AACAGACTTTCTGTACTTGTTTCAAAACCTTTTTAGGAAGAATAAATAACTGCATCCAAAACTGTACTATCCCCATCATAACAGAATTCAATAGCTGCAATCTCCCTGCAAAAGAGAGCTTTTTAACACGCCAGGATTTAATCCTTTTTGTAATTTTTTCAACCAACATGGCCACTTCAGTTGAGGATAGCTTCCCAGTGATCAAAGGTAGCCCAAGGTACCTAACAGGAAGCTTACCCTCTTGGAAGCCTGAAAGCTGAAGAGCAACAGACTTATACTGAACGGAGTCACCTCCAAAGTAAACCTCGCACTTGGAAGGATTACATTGAAGCCCAGAGATCCCATAAAATTGTTGGAGCACATGCTTAACTTGAAGAATGGCCTGAGCTGAACCCTCTGTAAATACAATAATGTCATCTGCAAAGCACATATGGTTCAACTGCACTCTCTTACATTGTGGATGGTAGGGGACTCTATTCTCTTGACTTGCTTTCATCAACATGGTAGAGAGCCCCTCCATAGCTATTGTAAATAGATATGGCGATAGGGGGTCTCCCTGCCTAACCCCCTTCCTAGCTCGAAAATAGCCACACAACCCCCCATTTATGTTAATACTATAGTGTGCAGTTTGAATGCAACACTTAATCCACTTCAAGAACTGCTCAGGAAACCCCATAACACTCATCATAAGGAAAAGATAGTTCCAATTTACAGAATCGAATGCTTTCATTATATTAATTTTGATAGCACATCTAGAGGAAAGCCCCTGCCTATGATATCCACTGACAAGCTCCTGTGCTAGCAATATATTGTCCATTATACTTCTATCCTTAATGAAAGCTGACTGAGAGGGACTGATAATAGTTGGTAAAACTTCCTTAAGTCTATTGGATAGAATTTTAGCCACAATTTTGTATAAGAGATTCACACAAGATATAGGTCTAAAATTCTTAAGGGTATCAGCAGTTGGGATCTTAGGAATGAGAGAAACAGCTGTGGAATTCACTCCACTTGGAAGCTTACCTTGATGGAAGAAGTCAAAAATCCCCCTTGTGACATCCTCTCCAATAATGTGCCATGTTTTCTTATAAAAGCCAGCAGAAAATCCATATGGCCTGGGGGCCTTCTGAGGATTCATACCAAAAACAACTCGCCTGATTTCATCAGCAGTGACAGGTTGCACAAGAAGATCCCTCCCCTCAGTGGAGATAGTGTGTCTTACCATACCTTCAATATCCTCTCTGCTAGGATTGATATCAGGATTAGCTTCACCCAAAAGTTTCTTATAATAACCTATAGCCTCCTCCACTATCTGATCAGACTGAACCAACTCTTCCCCTGTTGCAGAAGTTAGCTTTCGAATTGCTCTTTTTGAAGTCTGATTTTTTCTGCCTGGTGAAAGAAACCAGAGCTTTTATCACCAAGCTGCATTCAAGAGATCCTCGACTTCTACCAACAGACGCTCTCATAAGCCACCTGAAGCTTTGTACACTCAGTTTGCACCTTATTGACTTCTGCAAAATGAACCGAGGAAGGATATGAAAATGCTAACAGTTGTGCCTTCCTGAGCAAATCTTCTGATGCTTTTACCTGACCTTGCAAATCACCATATACCTCTTTATTGAACTGCTTCAGAACCTTCTTTACTTCTTGCAACTTCCTTTGAACAACCTGCAGTGGGGACCCTATAAACTCTTTCCTCCAAGCTTTCTCTACAGTTTCCAGGAAAAGAGGGTGCTCAGCCCAGAATTCAGAATATTTGAATGGTTTGGGGAGAGTTTTGATTGGCACAGCTGTGCAAGCTTGAATACCACAATGATCAGAGAAGCCTGAAGGGAAGGCCTCCATGGCACAATCAGGAAATTGTTCTATCCACTCAAAATTCACCAAAGCTCTATCTAATCGACGGGCAATAGGGTTATTTTGTTGTCTGTTTGTCCATGTAAACTGGGGGCCCGTTGTTCTGTAATCCAAGAGCTCCATATCTCCAATCTAGTCATTAAAAGCTGTCATACTAGAAGTGACAGACAGTTGATTGCTAGTCTCACTTGGTATCCTGACTGTGTTGAAATCCCCTCCCACTATCCAGGGATAACCTGCTACCCGTAGTTGCCTGAGTTCATCATAGGTTCTGATCCTGTCCTCCTCGACATTAGCTGCATACACAGCTGTAAAAAAGAAAGATTCATTGCTAATTCCTTTCACTATAGCATGCACAAAGTTTTTCCCCTGTTTTAATATCCTAACTTCCACTAGCGGATCCCAGAAGAGCCAGACCCTGCCCAACGGAGAATCTACACAATTCAAACACTTCTTCCACCCTGCAAACACTTCAGCTACTGCTTCCTCTGCTTTATTTGCTTTTATTCTAGTTTCTAGCACTGCAACTATATCTACTTTATTACGTTGCAAGACTCTTAACAAGTCCCGCTGTTTAGAGGGCTTATTAAACCCTCTAACATTCCAAAAGAGAACAATCATTTAGAAGACGAGGGTTTTACCCCTCATCCTCCCTTCTTACCCTCCTTTTTACCTTCCTTCCTCTTTGGCACTGCTTGTAGCTTAACTGGCCCTCTCTCTTCCAACTTACTAAGGACACTGAATGATGAAGCAGAGACCTGAAATGTATTATGAGGGCTTGTTTTTGGTGACCAAACACGAGGCTTGGCACCATGGATCACCTGCTGGAATTCAGCTTCAGAGGGCAGCTTTGGGGAAGCCATCTGCTGAACCTCAGAATCAGGAGGCAGCGTTGGAGATGCTACCTCTTGAAACGAGCTGTTCAGGTTTGCTGGGATGATTCTATCCACTGATGCCCCCACCATAGCAGTCAACTGAGGATCATCATCAAATATCACAATCTCCTTGCCCTTAACAGAGCTCTTAGTGCTGGACTCCACCTGAGGAAGACTGGTGTTCAAAGATTTCGGCACTGGATCTTCAGAAACAACCACCCTCTCAGTCTGATGCTTTGCACAGTCTCCAGTAATGCCAAAGAGATGACAAACAGGACACACTGGCGGTAGATTACAGTAGGTGACCCCAATTTTCAGAGATTGATCCTCATCAGGCCATAACATCACATGATCCGGACATTCACTATCCACGGTAAGCTCAACCAACACCTTAGCATAACCATGTCGATCCCCCATCCTTGTAGTATGATCAATCCCCAACGGAATCCCTAACCAGCTTGCAATTCTACTGAGCCCCTGAAAATCATAATACTCCAGTGGCACATTCACAAGATTAACCCAAATTGGAAGCGCTTTCCGCCCTAAATCCTCAGCACTAATTCCCGGTACCCAAGGCCTAAGATAAAGCAAGTTGTTAAGGTAAAACCATGGCCCATTCTCAAGAATCCATTCGCAGACCTTCGGGTTCAGCAACTGGATGAGAAGCATTCGATCATAGAGGAGAGAGACACGAACTACACCATCCTTACCCCAGAGCTTATTTGCCCAGCGACGAAGAACGTACAGCAAAGGCGGGTCTTGCAAGAACTGGCCTACTAGACAATTATTCCATCTAGCCGCACCAGCATCGCGCACCGCCTTAGGCATACGAAGCCCGCCATTGATAACTTCAGGCTTGATGTAGGTAAGACGATTGGCCTCCGAGATGCCAAACAGCGCCGCCCAGGGTTTCGTGGGAACACCTTGGGTTTCACCGAATGACGTCGTCGAATTCGCGGCCTCGGTCGCACTCACACCACTCATGAGAAAAGAGAAGAGAGGGGGAAAAGGCTGCTCCGGCGCAGGTGCCGGATCCGGCATCAAGCTCACGAGATCGGAAATCCTTACCACCGGAATCCTCAGAGCACTTCCTCACGCGGAGCACTACTCGCCTTTATATTACTTTACCACCTTTAACACTATTATTCACCAATTTTGAAGGCTATTCATAAAAGATTTTGACCGATTTTTGCAAATGCCAAATTTTCACCGATTTGGAAGTCGATCCATCAGGAAATTTTTGCGAGTTTTCATAATGCTATTATTAACCTATTTTGTGAGGCTTTCCATCACAGAGTTTAGCCGATTTATGGGAAAGCAATTTTCAACAATTTTGAAGGCCATCCATCATAGATTTTTCTTGATTTTGTGGAATGCTACTTTCATCAATTTTGAAGTTTATCCATCAAAAAATTTGTCCAATTTTTTTGAATGATATTATATATAGATTTTTAAGGTCATCATTTACATTTTTTGGACAATTTTTGACAATGCTATTATTCACCAATTTTGAAGGCTATCCATAAAAGATTTTGACCGAATTTGGGAATGCCAATTTTTCACTGACTTGGAAGTCTATCCATCAGATAATTTTTGCGAGTTTTCGGAATGCTATTATTAACCTATTTTGTGAGGCTTTCCATCACATAGTTTAGCCGATTTATGGGAAAGCAATTTTCAACAATTTTGAAGGCTATACATCATAGATTTTTCTTGATTTTGTGGAATGCTATTTTCATCAATTTCGAAGTCTATCCATCAAAAAATTTGTCTGATTCTTTTGAATGATATTATACATCGATTTTTTAGGTCATCATTTACAATTTTTGGACAATATTTGATAATGCTATTTTTCACTTATTTTGAAAGCTATCCATCACAGAGTTTAGCCGATTTTTTAGAGTGGTATCATTCCCCGATTTTGAAGGCTTTCAAAAGAGGAGAAATATGTGTAAATATTTATGCAAAGCACGATAGAACGGGTAGAGAATGGAGGCGGGATGATGCAGGTTGGAAACGAAATCTATGTCTCGTCAAACGAGTCAGGTCGCTTGAGTCGCACGGGTCAGGTCGAAAATCGCCATCACTAAAAGTGAGGTGTAAGTCACAACCACCACTCACCGAATAAATGCGGTAAATTTACGAATCAATGACCCACCCACATACGATAATTATAAATATTTTATATTTATGTATGAGTCAGATATCAAACCACGGTTGAACCACCCTATACATTATACACCACTCCGAATGGATCATATATGCGTAGCAAGACCCAGGCTTCGTGGACATCAGAATGTTGGTTCTGAGTAACTTACCCATTGGAACTGGGCCAAATGGCATCGAGAAAGCCTGGCCCAACCGCTTCGGTCCTTTGAAGCTTTCACCTAGGCAGTTCCTTTTTCTTCCCTCCCAGCATAGAGGTTTTGGTAGGGTTTTTTGGTCCAGACTCCAGAGCCATTATTGTCTTCGCCCCTCTCTCTCAGTTGTCTTCGCAGAACCTGACACCTACTGGTAAATTCCCCACTGCGCCTTCCCGTTTCGATTTGTTGAGAAACCCATCTTCTTTGATTCGAAGGATTGTCGAACAAGGGTTAAAAAAATAAAGATTCAGCTTTTCCCAGCTACATCTATGGCGAAGAAACGGAAGCATAGCGAAACAGCGTTGGCGGCGGCGGCGGCACCTCAAAAGAAAGAGGAAGTTGCTCCCGAGCGACCCAAAAGAACCCTTCTTGGATGGAAGGACAAAGAGGCTGCTGCCGTTGTTGCTCCTGCTGAAGACAAAGACGATGAAATTCATCAGCCTGCGAATTTCAGGAATAAAGAGAAGGTTTTAGTCACTTGCTCCCGCCGAATCGCTTACAGGTTGCTAAAGTTGATTGATTGGAGTGTATTTCGTTTTTCATTTGATTTGGGATTCTGGGCTATTGAATATGTGGTCCGATTCTGGGTTTAACAATGGTTGTATGATGTTAGGTACCGGCACCTGATGTTGAACGTAGTTTCCCTGCTTCCCCATTGCAAGAAAGATAATAAGGTTGAATCTCAAAGCAGCAAAGGGGTTGCACTCAGTGAGATGGTTGAGCTAAAGAGCTGCTCTTCCTGTTTGTTCTTTGAGGTATAACATTTCTTCATTTCTTAGCTCGTAATTTGGAAGTTCATCAATATGGGAAATTTGAATGTGAGATAGAAATTTCTTAGCTACAGATTTGGGCAGTTTAGGTGGTTGAGATAATGCATTTGGGTTGCAATTCCATTTGGTTTATCATATGAACTTATTTCCGTCGTCGGTCTACTGTAGTGCAGGAAGCACAAAGACCTATATCTATGGATGGCAAAGTGTCCTAGTGGACCATCGGTGAAATTCCTAGTTAATGCTGGTAACTATAATTGTCACGGGGTTCTATACTCCCTGGTTCATTTTCACAAGTGTTCTTGTATTGGCTCTACTGCTTTAGTTTTTTCCTTGCGTTGAATCGATGTTTTTCATTTGATCAGTGCACACAATGGAAGAGCTGAAGCTTACTGGGAATCATCTAAAAGGATCACGCCCACTTTTAACTTTCTCAGCTAATTTTGACAAAGATGCCCACTGGAAGCTTTTGAAGGAAATGATTACTCAGGTTTCAGTTTGTCAAATCTGTTCTTATTTTCTCAATCAGAACTGTACGAGGCAGTACTAGTTCGATATGTAATTTTGTCGGTATGATTTTGGTTCAGATATTTGGAGTTCCAAAAGAGCACAGGAAATCCAAGCCTTATCATGATCACGTCTTTGTCTTCTCCATTGTGGATGACCATATATGGTTTCGCAATTACCAGGTAAACTTTGCACCTTGTAAGTTTCAGTCTGATTCTTGCACATCTGGATCTGTGAAACCATCACATAGCAGGAGTTATGCTGCTTGTCCTGTTTATTGTGTATATTTGCACTGTTTTTGCTACCTTGAGATTGTTCTCATTTAGACATTGATATCGTTGCTCACACTGTCATCACTTTTTTTGTTAATCCAGATATCAGTACCTCACAATGAAGCGGATAAAGTGGCTCGTGGAGGCCTGGACAAGATGACCCTTGTTGAGGTAGTTACTCCAATTCTCATCTTAACTTCATTAACATAATGGCGAACTTACTGTCAAACGCTCTTAACCCGTGAATGGTCTTACACAGGTCGGTCCAAGGTTCTGTTTGAACCCTATCAAGATATTCGGTGGCAGTTTCGGCGGCCCAACTCTGTATGAGAATCCATTCTACATATCTCCCAACCAGGTCAGTGTTCATTTCCCTTCGTAAAAAAGTGTTCTCGTGCAGAGAGTAGAAATTGTGAAGACCCTAGCTAGTTCTTGGTATCTATTGATGACATGTATGATTTCGGTAACCTCTCTCCCGATCATGCTGCATTTTTTTCCAGATAAGGGCTCTAGAGAAGCGGAAGACTGCCGGGAAATATGCCAAGAAGGTCAAAGCCAAGACGAGAAGGAAGGTGCACGAGTTATCGAATCAGCTGGAGGCTGGCGAATTTTCTGAGATGTGGAAGGACCAGTGAGTAGAGTCTTGGGCAGGTTTCTTAGATGAAAGCTTTTTGAGGGCATCTGTTGTGTTATACATCACAAAACATGCAATTACTCTGTATTCAGCATTATGACATGAGTTATCAGCAGCACAGCTGTTTTCCTTCTCCACAATTCGTGTGTGTTAAAGCAAGTTGCAATTGGTTTCTTCATTCACACCGTTCCTCTTCTTGCCAGCCATCTCGATCAACTATAAGATATCAGTCGTCGGATGTTAGCACTCACTAATTACAATCTTTGAGTTTCATGATGAATGTAAAAATTTTATGTCAAAGAGGAAACATACAGAAATGAGCTTGTCCATCGAAAGCAATGTGCAATTTGGTTTTGGTGCACGAGCTTGTCCATCGCCCACCAACGTGGTTGCTCCTCCTTGTTTTCCATGTACTCTGGCAAGAGTCTTGTTCAAAGCCTCTACATCTGCAGGCACGAGACTGTAATCAATTGGTTGCTACCTGTTATGTCTCTTTTGGATCTATAAGCATCTGCTGTAATTAACCTTTGGGATCATGAAGTTTGATGATAAAATTGTAACATTGCTGCCCATAATGATCTTCGGCTTATGGCCATTCTCTTGTTTTGGGTTTTATCTTTCTTGAATCTTCACCTACAAAAGCTTAAAAGGATTCGTTGTCAAATCAATTTATGTCATTAAGCTGGTCCAAATCATGAAAATATATGTGTATATTGTTGGGGGCATTCGGGGCCCAAAAGAAGAGCCCAAAAAGTCGAGAAAGGCCAAGGATGTGGGCCTGACAAGAGAAAGCCCATCCAAAGGGGGCCTGAAGTGGGGACCTGGGTGTGGGACCCAAGCTTGACGTAAGGCGCATAACGACAAAAGGGGTAACGGCTGGGGATGTACGGAGGGAACAGGAAGTGGGACCATGCGCCTCAGCAACGGGGTCGGGTGTCAGAATATTGGGGCGCATGCCTGGGGTAAAGTACGGTGCATTAAATAGGATGATGACGTAGGGCGGATTTGGGGGCACTGGTCGACTCTACCTGGAGTATAAATAGTGAAATGGGTGGAGCTCATTTACTCAAGTTCTATCTTCTCTCTACACTTACATTTCACTTCTCTCTCTAGAAAGATCATACTGACTTGGGCGTCGGAGTGCTAACGAGCCCTTCTCGAGGGGGCTCGACGGGCGCCTTTGAGTGCAGGAAGAGATCCGCGGAGCGGGAGCGTGTGAAGGATAGGAGGAGGAAGCGAGCTGTCGGGAGCTAGAGGTTGCGTGGCACAAACAATTGGCGCGCCAAGAAGGGGAGTATAGCCTCAGGAACATAGATCATGGAAGAAGCGGCAGAGAGGGCAGGCGAGGGGAACCGCGCTCCCAACGAGGCAACCTCGGAAGGGGTGCCACGCGTGTCCGAGGAGGCGCAAGGAGGGGATGTCGAGGCGCAAGAAACAGCACAGTCGGAGGGCGTCACGCTGACCAAGGAGCACCTGATCAGCATCATAGAAGAGCAAGCCCAAGCGCTCGAGGCACTGAGGAAGGAAGTGGAAGCACTAAAGAAGGGGGGAGACGTCGCGCCTCCCCTCAGCGGAAGAAAGAGGGAAAGAGAAGAAGAGGAGGAGGGAATGTCCAGCGCGGTAAGCCGCACGGAGGAAGTAGGACATCTGGCCCGACCCGGGGCCCCGGGCCAGGAAGAGCGCATTGAGTGGGCGCCGAGGCGTCTTGGGCGCGCCCTTGGGGGGTGAGACAGCCGTTGTCCAGAGGCATCTTAGCCGAGCAGGCCAACTCGGTCATCCCGGCACTCCCCAGCTACGACGGAACGGCCGATCCGGAGGACCATCTAAACAATTACTTCACCAAAATGCAATTGTACAACAGCTCGGACGCCACGTTGTGCCGTGCCTTCCCGTCAACCTTCGTCGGCGTAGTGCTGGATTGGTACCACCAGATCGACGAGGGGAGGATTGACAGTTTTGAGCAGTTCGCCGCCATGTTTCTTTCGAAGTTCGCCAGCCGGAAGCGTAGGAGTTTAACGATGAGCGCATTGTTCAAAGTCAGGCAGCGCAAGGGGGAGGCGCTCCGGGACTTCTACGAGAGGTGGATGTCAGTCGCGATGGCCGTCAAAGACGTCAAGCCGCCTGTCTTGGGGTGCTGCTTGGACGAATGCACCAATAGCGAGGAGCTATGCCGGGCGCTGTCAAAGCGCGACGTTGTGTCGACGGATGATTTGGACCGCCGGGTGCAGAAGGTCATAATGCTGGAAGAAACGTTGGCCGCAAGGAGGATGGAACGAAGGGAGATGCGCCCCGAGGAAGGCGAGTCATCTCGGGCGCCTCGTCCGCCGCACGCCCCACAGGCGATACAGAGCTACCCCCAGAGCGCTCGGCGGCCCGAACCGCCACGCTTCCCACCCCGGAGTGCGGCAAACTTCACCGAGCTCAATGACTTTTTGAAGAATGTCCTACAGTACGCAAAGGACAAGGGGTATCACCTCCGCTGGCCAGGCCCCATGCGGGGGCGCCCGAACGAGCAAAACTAGGATAGGTTCTGTGAGTTCCATCGCGAAAGGGGGCATCACACAGCCGACTGCTATCAACTCAAATCAGAGATCCAAGGACTCGTGGATAGAGGGATGCTGAACGAGTTCGTAAGGAAGGGGGAGGAAAAGGCGTAGCGCACGTTCGTGTCGCAGGAAGAGAGGGTGGCCCCGCCGCAGAAGAGCGAACGCGGCGGAGGAGAAGAGCATGTCCAAAGGAAAGCGCCTAGGGAAGGCGAGGAGCTGCCGCCTCCCCCCTTCGAAGTTGAACCCGAGACTAACCCCGCCCGAGTGAGGCTGATCATTGAGGCCATCTCCGGCACGATCGACTTGAGGCAGAAATTGGAGGAGGGAAGGCGCCTGAAGTCGGCCACCGCCAGCGCGCGCGCCGCAGTGCAAATCCGCTTCAACGAGACCCCGCAGGAGGCATGTCGGGTCCCGTCAGTGGAGGCATTGGAAATCAGGGGGGTGGTGGTTGGATGCGAAGTGAAGAGGATGCTGGTAGACACAGGAAGCTCAATGGATGTGTTATTCCGGTCGACCTTTGAGAAGATGCAGTTGTCTCCAAGTATCGTAAGGCCAGCCGACACGGTCCTGGTCGGATTTTCGGGAGTACCGGCGCGGGTAATTGGGCGCGTGAGCCTACCCGTGACGCTGGGAGAAGAGGAACACAGGGTCACGCATACCGTCGACTTTGGCATCGTGGATTGTCCCTCCAATTATAACGCCATACTGGGGCGCCCACTTCTTGCCCTCTTCAACGGGGTGGCGTCATCGTGTCACCAGGTCCTGAAGTTCGTCACACCAAAGGGAGTGGGAGTGTCAAGGGGCGAAACGTCGCAGGAGGCCCGCCTTGTCAAGAGGAAGCGGACGTACAACATAGATGTGCGACCCGAAGACCTACCGAGGGCGGAGGCGGCGGATGCCGAGATCCAAGTGCCACTGGACGATGGGCGGCCGGAGAGATGCGTGCGGATCTCAGCCCATACAAGCGGGGAGGCTGTCGAGTCAATAGTAGAGTTGTTGAAGGAGTTCGCCGATCTGTTCGCCTGGAGTGCCCGTGAGATGCCAGGGGTAAGCCCGGAAGTGGCGGTACATCGCTTGTCGGTAGAGAAGGGCGTGCACCCCGTGCAGCAGAAGAGAAGGCCGCTGTCAGAAGAGAAAGAGGAAGCGCTGCGTCGAGAAGTAAAAAAGTTGCTCGAAGCCCGGTTTGTAGAGGAGGCTAAATATACGACGTGGTTGTCCAACGTGGTGCTGTTCCCAAAGGCGCTGGGCGATTGGAGGATGTGCGTCGATTACACTAGCCTGAACCGAGTGTGCCCGTCTGACACGTACCCGATGCCACGCATTGACCAGTTGGTGGATGCGACCGCCTACCACGAGGCGCGGAGCTTCTTGGATATGTTTTCCGGCTACCACCAAATCCTCATGTGCGAGGAGGACCGAGACAAAACGACGTTCATGACCTCCTTTGGAAACTTCCGCTACAAGGTCATGTCTTTCGGGATGAAGAACGCGGGGGCAACTTACCAGCGCATGGTCAACACTGTGTTTCAGAAGCAAATTGGGAGGAACGTGGAGGCGTACGTGGACGATCTGGTGGTCAAGAGTAAGAGGAGGGAGGATCACCTGGGGGACCTATGTGAAACATTCGAGACCATGCACTCTCATTCCCTCCGCCTTAACCCCCTCAAATGCGTTTTTGGTGCAAAGGCTGGTAAGTTCCTGGGTTTCATGATAACGAAAAGGGGCATCGAAGCTAACCCGAAGCAGGTAGAGGCAATCAGGCGCCTCGAGCCCCCACGGACGCCGAGGGAGGTGCAGAGTTTGAATGGGCGTCTGGTGGCGCTGGGGCGATTCATTCCTCGGTCGGCTGACAAGGGCGCCCCATTCTTTAGAGTCCTGAAGAAAGCCGCGCGCTTCAAGTGGACGGAGGAGTGCGATGAGGCGTTTGAGGGATTGAAGAGCCTCCTGGTATCACCCACTGTCATGACGGCGCCCCGAACGGGCGAAGTGTTGTACCTATACATTGCGGTTTCGCGGACAGCGGTATGCACGGTGCTCGTCTCAAGAGCCGCAACTGATGGGGAAGAACGTCCGGTATACTACGTAAGCAAGGTGACGACGGGTCCTGAGACGCGCTATGCGCCCATAGAGAAGGTAGCTTTGGCCGTGGTCGCTACGGCAGAGAAGCTGCGTCCATATTTCCAGGCGCACACTGTGGTGGTACTCACGAACCTGCCATTGAAAAGCACCCTAGGGTCCATGGACGTGGCAGGGCGCATGGTAAAGTGGGCAGTGCAATTGAGCGAGTATGATATTAAGTACGCGCCTCGCCCGGCGATCAAGGCGCAAGTGTTGGCAGATTTCGCCGCAGAGGGCGTGGTATGCAAGGGGGAAGGAAAGAGCGAGAGCTGGCAGGTTTACGTGGACGGGGCGGCCAGCCGAGTTGGAGCGGGGGCAGGGATAGTGGTCATCAACCCCATGGGCGCCATGCATGAGTTGGCACTCCGATTTGCGTCTCTGAAAACCAACAATGCGACGGAATACGAGGCTGTGATAGCGAGGCTGAACATGGCGCGGGAGCTGGGAGCTCGGAGGATTCAGGTCCGTTCCAACTCAGCCCTGGTGATAAACCAGCTAAATGGCGTGTTCGAGGTGAAGGAAGAGGCGCTGGGCGCGCACCTTAAAAGGATAGAGGAGATGCGTTCCTGGTTCGAGCAGGTGGAATTCACACAGGTTCCAAGGGAGGAAAATGCCCATGCGGACGCACTGTCGAAACTGGCCACTGCTACTGATTTCGAGAACGAAAGGCACGTGATAGTCACAAAGGAGCACCCCACTGAAGAGCCAATGGTGGGAGTGATCGGCGAACAAGGCAGAGAGGACGAAGGGTGGATGACCCCGATCAAGGCATATCTGCTCCATGGGACAGTCCCGGAGGACGCCAGGCAAGCGTGGCAAGTGCAGCGCAAAGCGGCCCGGTGCACGATTTTGGAAGGACAGATGTACAAGAGATCACACTCGGGGGCCTATCTGAGGTGCCTCACGGAGGCTGAGGGAGAAAGGCCGATAGCCGAGGTTCACCAAGGCGCCTGCGGTATGCACGCGGGTGCGAGGAGCCTCGAGAAGGTGCTGTTACGCCAAGGTTACTACTGGCCCACGATAAGAAAAGACGCCAAGAGGCATGTGGAGAGCTGCCATCAGTGCCAGATCCACTCCCACGACGTGCATATCCCCCAGGCACCCATGCGAGGCAACGTGGGCGCTTGGCCATTCTCACAATGGGGGATGGACCTGCTGGGGCCCTTCCCTAAGGCGCCTGGGCAGATGAAGTACCTCATCGTGGCGGTGGATTACTTCTCAAAATGGGTGGAAGCCGAACCCTTAGCGACCATCACCCAGGCCCAGGTCAGGAAGTTTACAACCAGGAACATTTTCTCACGGTACGGGCTGCCCGAGTCTATCGTAGCCGACCATGGTAAGCAGTTCGATTGCCGCCAATTTATCGAGTTCTGCGATGAAAACGGTGTTGTCCTCCGCTTCTCCTCGGTGGCCTACCCGCAGGCCAATGGGCAGGCTGAGGCAGCCAACAAAAGCATCCTGCATGGGCTCCATACGCGATTGCTGGAGGCCAAAGGAAGATGGGTCAAAGAACTCCCGGGCGTGCTCTGGGCGCATAGGACGACACACAAGGTGGCAATGGGGGAGACGCCATTCGCTTAACTTATGGTATTGAGGCGGTTATCCCAGTGGAGGTGCGTTTTTCGACGCACCGCGTGGCAGAGTATGAGGAGTCAGCTAATGGGGAGGAACGCGTGCACGACCTAGACATGCTCGAAGAGCGCAGGGATATTGCCTCCATACGACTCGAGGCCATGAAGCAGCAGGTATCCAAGTACTACAATCGTAAGATGCGACCTCATCAGATACGCCTGGGAATTCTGGTGTTGCGACGGGACTTCCGCCCGAAGCCAAGCGAGGGGAAGCTCGCTCCCAAGTGGAAGGGACCATATCGTGTGCGAGAGGTGATAGGCCCAGCCACGTTCAAGTTGGAACGCGTTTGAGGAAAGGCCATCAAGCGGACCTGGAATGCACAGAACCTCAAGGTGTATCATGGGACGGGGGCAGAAGACGTTTCTGAGTAATGCGTAGACAGCAAGGGGAGGAGTGCCCAAATTTTGGCCCGTAGTTGAGGGTAAGTAGTTAGATGTAAGGGGGATTAATATTACTGCAAGCGTGTCACCCCACGCGCCGAGGAAGATGATTGTAAAGCGCCCTCCTTTTGCGCCATAGGATTATTGCAATGAGTAACGTAAAGCGCCCTACTTTTGCGCCTTAACACTAGCAACATTTACCGTAAAGCGCCCCACTTTTGCGCCTCACTATTGCCCAAGTCTATGCGCCCTCCGTTGGCGGCATAGGATTATAGAAATGCGTAACGTAAAGCGCCTACATTTTGCGCCCGGAGTTAAGAAAATGCCTACATTAAAGCGCCCTACTTATCTCGCCCTATACGGAATTGGTTTGCACAATGCACCCTACAAAACGCGCCCTTAATAATGACTCGATTAAAGGCGCACAGGAGCAACGCCACATAGTTGGGAAACATTGGGATTTCATTGACAAGGGAAATTCACAAGTTACATCACAAGGAAAATAAACTGAAAACAATAAGTAAAGAAAAATAGTTCGGACGCCCCATCACTCGTCCTCACTTCGCACTGCACCCTCGGGTGTCCCCTGCGGCTCGGGGAGGCGCCCTCCGCCCGCATCCTCACCATCTGCGGTGCCTTCGTCTTCCTCCTCATCCCCCTCCTCGTCCGCCTCCTCTTCTTCATCCGCCTCCTCCTCCCCGGCGTTAGGCGAAGCGACTTCCAGCCCCGCAATGGGCTCCAGCTCGCTAGCCTTGTGACCACTGTCCATGAACTTGAGGACATGCATGATCATGGTCATGGAATCCCACTGCATCTCCGGATGATCCTTGATGACCTTCTCGCGAAGGATCTTCACCATGTCAATCACCGTATCCGCTTGGAGGTTCTTCCCCACGTACGACTTGTGGTATTCAGACAGGTCCTTCTCAAGGCGCTCTACCTTCGCCTCAGCCGCTTTTAGCTCTTTCTTGTGCTGATCTTTGGCCCGGGTGGCCATCTTCAGCTCCTCCGAGAACCGACGCGCCTCGGCACGGAACCGCTCCGCCTCCTCGTAATACTTGTCCCGCCCTCCTGTCAGCTCCGCCTGCCTCTCGCGCAACCCTTTCTCCACTTCCGCCATCTCAGCCTGCGTGGCGGCAGCCTGCGCCTCATAGCGCTCCTGGCATGTCTTTTCAACGGCCGCCTTAATCTTGACCCGCTCCGACTCAAGGCCGGTGGAGAGTTTGGCCGCCCAAGCCTGGGCATCTTTTTGCGCCTCGTCCCGGGCTTGGGTCAGCTTCTCATGCGCCTCCCGAGCGGCCGCCAACTCATCCCGGAGGTGCTCAGTTGCGCTTTCGGAGGCTGAACTCTCCTTGGCCAGCCGGTCAAACTCACGCGCGGTAGATTTGATCATCATCATCATCTGGCGCACGAACAGCGCATCAAAGTTAGACTTAGTAAAAATAATCAAGTATGTAGCTCTCAAAGATGAAAGAAGGGGCGCCTTACCTACACGTTGAGGTTGGCAATGGTACGGAGCGAACGGTTGGAATTGAGGTGATCTGGGCGCTCGATCACGGCGGCGTGGGAGAGCACCATCTGCATTGCGGCGCCCTGGTCTTTAGCCGCCCTGACAGGCACGCCCACGTCAACCTTCTCTAACGGGCGGGAAGGCGGCTGAAGGTATGGGGGCAGAATGTTCTCGGTATGCGGCCCCACGGTTGGCATAACCAAGCTGACTGGCACGCCCGAAGCTACCACTCGATCCAGTTTGGCTTTTTTCGCTGCGGAGAGAAGCGGTTCGGCAGGCCTCTTTTCTGAGGCCGTGGCATGGGAGGCGTGGGTCGGCGTCTGCGAGGTGGCACCCTGGCTGCGCGGTGACAGAGAGGTGCCTTGGCTGTTGTGCGAGGGGGAGGCGTCGTCGTCGATATCGATGGGGGAACTTTGGGACGCCTGAGGCGCTTCGGTAACCGCAGGGGAAGGAGCGCGGGTCACAGGCGCAGTCGGATTAGAGACAATCCTCACGCGCACTGGTTTTTTGGGAGGAGGTTGGGTTGGAGCAGTTGGCGCCTTTGGCACCTTGCGGGTCTGGCCGCGGCCGCGAGGCGCAGACGGAACCAGATGGAGCTTTGAGCGAATGAGGTCAGAGACACTGGTGAAGGCAGTGCCTGCAAAGAAAAAATTGAAAGGCATGAGTGTTAGTCAGGCGCATAAAAAAAACATGAGTGTTAGTCAGGCGCATCGAAACACAGAAAAGAGAAGAGGCGCATGCGATCGACGTGAAGAAGTTACCATCGTCGTAGAACTCTGCTAAGAGACGAGCATACTCGTCATGTATTTTCAGATTTATTGGCACGGACGCAAGGCGCCGCGCCATGTCTTCCTCCGCCTTGTTGAGAGGGGGGTGTTTGTTGAATTCGCTCTCATCCCCGAAAGACCAACGCGTAAGAGGCGGCGTGCCGCTCTTGAAGAAGGGCGTGTCACAGGGGCGGACAAAGAAGAAAGACTTGAACCATGAGCGCCCCATTTTTTTCCGACACCTATGAAGTTGTACTTCAACTTGGGGCGCTTTTGCAGGCTGAAGCAGTTGGGACTTCGGACCATGGTAAAGAAGTGGCGAAAGAGTTTGAAGGAGGGTAGGATATTGTGTTGGCGGCATTCGAGGCGGAAAAGTACTGTGTATAAGATGATGACAGGCGAAAGGCGTCCAAGGGAGCACTGGCACAGATGTAGAACGCCTTCAAGTATGGGGTCAATTGGGAAACGCAGCCCAAAGCGCGCGTACTCCTGGTACACGCCGATCCACCCCTCGCCACAGACTCCCACGCGTGCGATAGGAGATGGGTGGGCGTAGCGCCAGTCAGCGGGCATCTGCGCAGCCCGAATCAGCTTCGTAAAACGCGAATAGAGAATTTTGGACGCGTGAGGAGGCCCAGCTTCTTCCTCGGACATCTGGTCAATGTCGGCGGGCATGTACCCGGGGGGCCACATGTTGCCCCACTGGCTTATCCCGTACTCTCGAGGCGCGCAGGTGCCTACGTCAGAAGAAGAGGAGGAAGTCAAGAGAGGCGCTCAAGGTAGAAGGCTATGCAAAAAGGAGACGCCCAAATGAAGACGCGGGGAACGGGAGAGAATGCAGTGGCCGAGGGGGATGGCCGAGGAATGAGGAAAAGCACTTGCGAGCTGCAAAGGAGCAAGGTAGAGAGAGGAAGTAGAGAGAGAGCCAAATTGACAGAATGAGGAAGGAGGAGGTCGTGGGGGGCAATTTATAGGCGAGAAAAGTGGGGAGGGGAGGGAGAAAGGAGGGAGACGAACGGTCATTCGGGGGGCAATTGTTGGGGGCATTCGGGGGCCCAAAAGACGAAAGGAGGGAGAAAGGAGAAAAGTGGGGGGGCAATTGCTGGGGGCATTCGGGGGCCCAAAAGAAGAGCCCAAAGAGTCGAGAAAGGCCAAGGATGTGGGCCTAACAAGAGAAAGCCCATCCAAAGGGGGCCTGAAGTGGGGACCTGGGTGTGGGACCCAAGCTTGACGTAAGGCGCATAACGACAAAAGGGGTAACGGCTGGGGATGTACGGAGGGAACAGGAAGTGGGACCATGCGCCTCAGCAACGGGGCCGGGTGTCAGAATGTTGGGGCGCATGCCTGGGGTAAAGTACGGTGCATTAAATAGGATGATGACGTAGGGCGGATTTGGGGGGCACTGGTCGACTCTACCTGGAGTATAAATAGTGAAGTGGGTGGAGCTCATTTACTCAGGTTCTATCTTCTCTCTACACTTACATTTCACTTCTCTCTCTAGAAAGATCATACTGACTTGGGCGTCGGAGTGCTAACGAGCCCTTCTCGAGGGGGCTCGACGGGCGCCTTTGCGTGCAGGAAGAGATCCGCGGAGCGGGAGCGTGTGAAGGATAGGAGGAGGAAGCGAGCTGTCGGGAGCTAGAGGTTGCGTGGCACAAACATATATATTGTAATAACTTAACCTTTTAATAACCTGAATGTAATATGAAAGGTACCATACAATAATTTAACAAATAATATATTATCTTCCACTAAAAGATGCATATAGCATATATATGTTTAGTTTTCTAGAATAGAGCCTGGGAGAGGGCCATAATGCAACATTCTGTCTAATAGTTAGAAATCGGTCAATCCAATCATACCACACATTTTTGTGGGTTTGGTGGGCTACAGGTTTTGAGGCAAAAATAACTTTTTGAGAGCAGTTTTTAGTACCGACTTCGGTCCGACCTGATCCAACCAGCCGACTCAACTACGTAAACAAGACTAACAAGTCCATGTTTAGGTCCAAGGAAATCACCAATCAAACCAAACCATAGTTATAATTTCACTGTTTAGACCAAGTCAGACGGTCCAATCTAAACCGCGATTTTCCATACAGTTTGACGCGCCCTACTTGGTGTATCCAATGGATAGATCCATGGGGTCGGATACTATGCCTACCCCCAAAGGGGTTGGCTTTTTGACACCCCCTTTATGATTGGCCAATTTTATTTTTAATCATTGACAATTATTAATTAAACTTGTTTTTTAGTTTTTTTTAATCTTGTAATTTTGGTTCTCTTACCCACATTGGAAAGAGAAAGAACTTGGGGAACGAGAAAAAAGCACCCCCCAAATGTGCAATTAATTGTCATTTTTGTATTTCTTTCGTCTCCTTCTCTCTCCCTTTGGACCCCCTTTCCATTTTGATTTCATTTTCACCAGAAGCCTCCTGTACTTTGAAATGACCAAAACCCTCCCCATTTTCCTCTTCCTCTTCCTCCCGCCGCCGCCACCACCCCTCTCCGCCCTCTTCATCCACACCTTCCACTTGTGCCGTCTCCATTCCTACAACCGCTGTACTCCTCCAGCTTCTTCCCCCATCACCATCCTCCTATCTCCATCCGCCGCCGTCTTGGGATCGCCTCTGACCTATCGAGTGGGTTGCTCGCCGTCGGAGGACAAGACGCAAGGTTATCACCGGAGATCAAACATATGAAGGCCACACCGAGAGGGAAGACGGATCCAACATTCCGCGCGACGATTCTGGACATGCCAAGAATGGCGACTCTTGTGCGGTATCAAATGATGGGGGTGAAGACGAGATCAGACTCTCATCCCGAACGTAGGAGGGACTGATGGCCACCGAAAATAAACCCGCCAGAGACGAAGAAGAACATGGAGGGCGGCGGGAGGTTGTTACTTACCGCTCCTTGTATTGAAGTTCAACTCTACAATGTCTAGGAGACGTCGGCACTGCCGTGAACATGTACCACTGATCTGGTACATGTACCACTGATCTGGTTCATGTACCACTGACCTGATACTAGTACGAGTGCAACTATTCAAGTCATACTTTCAACACCAAAATTTTACAACCCACTTGTAGTGTTAGATATATTGAACTTGTACCATTAGCAAAATTGAAACTCATCCTAAATGTTGCCATTGCAGTGTTCGATAGACTTTGGAGTGGTACCATTGAAATGGTACATGTATCACTGAACTGATATACTAGTGAACTAATACATGTACCACTGAACTGATATATGTACAACCAATATGATACGTAAACAAACAAGCAACTTCCCATTGGAGTGGTACGTGTACCAGTGGAGTGGTACGTGGTACGTGTACCAGTGGAGTGGTACGTGTACCAGTGGAATGATACTGTTTAGGCTTAAAAAAATTGAGCCTACTTAAAAAAATACGTGTACCAGTGGAGTGATACGTGTACTAGTGGAGTGATACTGTTTAGGCTTAAAAAAGGAAACGCACCAATAGAGTGGTACGTGTACCAGTGGAGTGGTACGTGTACCAGTGGAGTGATACTGTTTAGGCTTGAAAAAATTGTGAAGACTTTATGTTTATTCACATTCGAGGGATAATTTATTGCTTTTGGCATTGTTGTTGGCATTTCCCTAATTTTGCAACCCATTTTGGATCACAGTTTTTGGCTACTAATGGAAAGTTCCTATTTTGTTGACTGATTGAAATGTTTATTGTGTTGCTTGTGCCAGAATTATATTTCATGATCAAGTAAGTATGAGTATTGGTATATTGAGTTGCTTGTGTTGCTTATACTGGCTCTCACGATGCCATTTTTTGTTGGTACCCGCACTCGAGGCAGGAGCTTGGCCTATCTCAATTTTTACCGTTTCCTCTTCGTCATGGCCATTCCTGAGGTCATTGGGTAGGAAGACAATAATCAGAAATATCATTGAAGTGATAGAAATGCGAGAGCGATAAGCAAGACAACTAGCCATAAACAACTAGCGATAAGTAAGACAACTCAAAACTGTCATTGGAGTGGTACTTTTACTAGCCATAAAAAACATTATATACCACTTCGGTGACAGACACACCTTCAACTAATTGGAAACAGAACTACCACTGAAAGTGGTACAAATATTAGCCACAATAAAGATTTTATAGAAATACGAGTTCGATAAGTAAGACAACTATCACTGTAGTGGTAGAATTACCAATACATCTTTGCACCTGCTGGCTCCCTCCAAGCACCTGCAAAAAAGTACCACTACACCGGTAAGACATGTCACTTCACTGTTACAAACACCACGAGAATAAAAAGCTTATAAATGATAACGTTCAACAGAAACTCAGACAGTGGTAGAACTACCATTGCAGTGGTAACATTACACCGGTATCAATACCAGTACACTGGTACTAATACCACATGAAAAAATCCAGACCTAGAAACTCAAAGACACATATCTGGGTAATGAAAATATCATTGAACTAGTACTAATACCACACGTGTGCCTGTCGCCAACTTGTCTCGACTCTACTGTCAAAAACTTGACAGTAGAGTCTCACCAGATCTGGGTTTGGGAGAGAGAGCTACCTCAGATTCTTCGTCGTCGTCGGAAAGGGGAGGAGGCCGTCATCTTCGCCGAGAAGGTGAGGAGGGTAGTCAGAAGAAAGACCTAAAAAAATATATAAAGAAGAGTAGAAATAGGAAAATGTAAGGGAGTAAAACCCAACACCTACTGTCGATTTCGGGAGGACGGAGACTAGTTCCATGAAATCGTTAGTTCTTCGAAGTCGTGTCGCCGATGGAAGGTGGTTGACGGAAATAGAGCAAAAGGGAAGAGGAAAGGAGTTGGTTGGCAAGTTGATTCTCGATCGGTGGAAGGAACAACCTCCATTGTTGTCGCCGAAGAAGGTCGAAGATGGCCGGCTGCTGGTGATGGAAGGAGGAGGGTTGGTCGTCTGGTGGGAGAGACGAAAGGGGAAATAATCAAAAGGGGAAAGTCAAATCGTTTTTTCCCAGTCCCCAAATTTCTTCCCCTTTCCAACGTGGGTGACGCCAACTAATGAAGAATTTTATGCACAAAAAAGGCTGCTCAATCCTCACCCTACATTACCACTAATTTAGATAGACGGTTGTGGATGGGGGTGTCGAAAATCAGTCCCCTCCATGGGGTAGTCAAGCTAACTACTCCCATAGATCCATAGATTATAGTTAAACGGGACGCGCCCATGAAAGAAAACCCGGTAATTTTATTTCTTTTTAATTCCTGAAAACATTGGTCCAGATTTTGAAGCGAATTTAGGTGGCTCGAATAAATAACAAAGTAGCTGGAGCAAAAATGGGGAACCCAAGCAAGCAAAATAAACCATAAAAATTTTGCGTATATTCCTTCGTCTGCTAATTCTTTTTTGTGTGCCGCTGAGATCTCTCCCTGACTTGGCGCCTTTTTCCATCCAATGATGGCAGACATTTCTCCTCCGGCCGCTTCGATCCGGCGGTGAACACAACCGCACCGCGCTGCTGAGCAGGGGAGCTCACCCTTTTATCCGTACCGGAATCTCGTCCTACGTACTCTTTCTTCTTTCCAAGGCTTTTTTTTTTTGTCTCCATGGACGCCGTCGGGATCTGGAGCCGCGACATTGGGCCGCCGGAACCCTGGCATTCCGTCACCGCTGTTTGCTTCGCGGTGTGCCTCTGCGGCGCTAGGTTCCTCCTCGACAAATTCATCTTTCGGGTTAGATTGGCCTTTTTCTTTTTCCCCCCTCTCCCCTTTTCTTTTGTTGCATTCGTTTTGTCGCGTCTGGTTTTCTTAGCTCGAGTTCTGATTATATGGTTATTTAATTGCTGCGATTCCTTTGGTTGGTATGGAAAAGAATTGAGGCTTCGGCGTCTTTTGAGTTGGGTTTGATTCATGCTCATAGACGAATCTATTGCTAGATTAGGATCGACCAATTTGAGAAAGCTCCCGCATAGTTTCCTGAATTTCTTTGAGCGTTGTTTAGCCGATTTGAGGAGTAGGGGAACGTTGGTCATGATTAACGTGGAAGTTCTTGGGAAGTACTGCTTTCGAATAGTGTCTCATTGGCTGAGTTTCTGTGCTGCTGGCTCGGAATGGATATGTCTCCTAGCTGTGAAGGCCATAGTCAAATAATTGAGTGGTTTGGAAGACCCTTTTGGGACTCTAGGTGTCTGGTTTGTGTAACCATTTCCTTGGGGAGGAAGATTTTCTTGGATCTTCTCCAGTTGTCTTTTCTTTGGCTGGCCTCATCAAAATTGGTTTTTTTCTCTGTTTGCTTCATCTGCCGCAAATGGGTAGAGCCAAGAGTTATCATTTGGGTATCTTGAAGCATTGTGGGATTGACTATGCAATATTCACCAATGATTGTTCAGAATGGTGTGTTCAGTGATTAGAAAAGGATGTGATTGGTGTCCAGATCATCTAATATTAGCAATTTTGTTTGCATCTTTTGCTTCCTTTGTTGAGAATGTTTTGTTTAAGGGCAAGAGAAATTTTCATTTGCAGAAGCTGTTCTTTTTAGTTCAACTGACAGACTTTGGAAGAAACTGAGAATGCAAGACAACTTTTGTGTTCCATTGTGTTTCTGCCTTTATTTCTGCTGGGGTTTTATAGAATCTGTCGTTTTGGTCATTACACTGTCAGAAGTTGACCCTGTCATCTGTACAGGAGAACTAGAGTAGAACTGAACACTTTACTCTTCTTATTTTTCACCTCCTTCTGATGCCCTGTTCTTTTGTACATTATAGGGTGTGACTGTTTGGTTGTTAGGGAAGAGAGCTGCTTCAGTGAAGATAGATGAGGTTACACAGGCGACAATTATTAAATGCACTGAGTCGATGTGGAAATTGACATACTATGCAACTCTTGAAGTGTATGTTCTGAAGATTCTGTTTGAGGAACCATGGTTCTGGGATTCACAACTGTACTTCAGAGGCTTGCCAAATCAAGAATTGAAGTGAGTAGTTAAATTCTGTATTCGGGGGCGACTGTTTTGGGGGGCGACTGTTGGGTTCAGGTCTTAAAGATAATATTTTTGTTCTTATTCCTGCTAGTTGTTCAGGCTAATCAGCCTTTTCATTTTTGTTATTTTCTGGCATATCTTAATACTTGAGATTGCAAAATTGTCTCTTCTGTCTTTAAATATTATCTGATGTCATCGAGTCATCCAGCATTGTGGCTCCTAAGTTTCTATCCTAAGTACTCACATGTCATTTTTCTATTGCAGGCTTTCCATTATGCTATATTACATGTGCCAGTGTGGATTCTACCTCTATAGTATTCCTGCTCTCGTTTTGTGGGAAACTAGAAGGAAAGATTTCTCTGTCATGATGTCTCATCATGTTATTACAGTAGCGTTGATCGGAATCTCATATGTTACAAGGTAGTGCTTCAGTGATTATACAGCTCTATGACTGACAATTTATTGTAGGTTACACGTCCTAAAGGTTGCCGTTGGTTTCATAATTTTGTCCAAAGATCATCTTCTTGCTTCTCCCTTCACTGCATTTCCCATTTGCCTTGTTTACTGAAGAAATTGACTTCCCATTACCACATGATGCAGGAATATGATAGGGCCACTCAATTTTCTAATTGATTCTTAATGTTCACCATGTCTATTTCATTTGCTGAAGTCAAATAGTTTTATAGTCTGGAAACGGTGTCATTATGCATCTCTCTTGTGGGTGGGTGTACTTTGGCATCTGACAAGAACAACTTGTAGACTTGTAATATAGTTTAAACACTAACAAACTATGATGAATTCCCTTTTTGGTGTCTCACATAACCAGAAATGGCATGACTGAGATGTTAAAGCATTGCTCATTCTCTCTAAGATTGCCTACACTATAAGTTTCTTTTTAGAAGAAGCAACCGAACTGTGAGCTTCAGTTTAACTGACGAAATAACAGAATGCCTAACCTTTTCCCTCTCCAGCTTTTTCCGGATAGGTACAATCATCCTGGCCCTCCACGATGCTAGTGATGTATTCTTAGAAGCTGCTAAAATCTTTAACAAGACCAGGAAGGAGCTTGGAGCAAGCATTTGCTTTGGCTTATTTGCTGCCTCATGGCTCATTCTGCGATTGATATTCTTTCCATTTTGGATTATCAGTAGTACAAGGTTTGTCGCAATCTCCTTTCCTCCTTCTGTCTATCCCATATGTTAAAAATTTCATGTGGTTTTGCTTTGTCGCCAGCCGCGATCTTGTGGAGTATTTGGATTTAAGACAGTGGTACCCGAGATCACTGTACTATGCATTCAACACGTTGCTGATCATGTTACTTATATTCCACATCTACTGGTGGATTCTGATATGGGCTATGATAAAAAGGCAGCTACTGAACAGAGGAAAGGTCGAAGGCGATATAAGATCTGGTAAGGCTTCGCGCCCCACTTCAGTTAGTGAGTGTTTTTTTTCAATCTTAATCGTCATTGTGGCTCGGTTCTGCTTCAAGTTCCAGCAACTGATCATGGTTATGTATCGCCATTGCAGACTCGGAAGAAGAGGACTGAATGCGAATAGGCAGTATTGCTCGTCGGAGTTGTCTTGTCTGACGGAGGGCAGTAGGGGGCGAGGCAGTTAGGGGGTTTTGACTATGATTCTTGTTGTAGGGTAGGATGTTGGTGAAGCTCTTATATTAGTTCCATCTTCTCAGAATTCTGATGTGGAGATCAAAAGCTCTTGCTGGTGCAAGTGTAGAGATGAGTTGACGAAAGTAGAGCAAAGGACCAGAGCAGGGAGGCAGGCAGGCAGTACGGTGGTGTTCTTGTTAGTTGATATTTTTGGGGTTAAGTGTCTTCTATTTTTTTACCATTTACTCTACATTTGGTGTATACATGATATGATAGGCAACTCAACTCCTGTGATATGAAATTTCCCAAGCTCAGTAAATTTTACAGAAAGTATATAGTTTCCTTTCCCAATTCACAACCTATATTTTTCTCTGAAAACCATGTTATTCCATGTAGGGCTGGAAGTTTGGTACCGGTATTTGGGATATATCGAATACCGTACCGAATTTGTGTATATTTGGTATTACCGAATACACGTATTATTTCTTGAAATTGGAATTCCATTTCAGTTGTTATTTGGTATTAGGGATTACGGGATTGAGATCGGTATATACCGAAATACCGAACAATACCGAAATATAAGCTAGTGTGTATTTTATCTTCTCAACTAGACTCTCTCATTCACTATTACACGACACTCAATCACCAATCTATTGTTATTTTCATAACACAAAAAAACAAACACTAGTATTAGTCTTCTCTCAGCCTCCAATTCGTCAAAATTAAGGATTAACAATGACAAAAACTTGAGATTTCACCTCTCCTCTGTTCTCCTTATCCATATCCTAGCTCTAGCCTCTAGCCAAACTCAAAACTCTTTGCTTAGTCTATTTGTCCTATATTAAATAATCAAATCTAATTTATATATTTAATTATTAATTATAAAGGTAATTAATTTCGTATTTCATAATACCGATTGGGATACCGAAATATTTAGGGATTGAGATTGATTTTAGGGTGTAATTTGGTATTTGAGATTTCGGTATTTTGTACCGATACCGTACCGATTTTCGCCCCTAATTCTATATACCTATGCTGTATTTAGTAAATTTAATGCAAATCACTACGACTTGTCGGTTAGGAGGCGGTTTATCAGTATCATGTCCAAATCATTAAGAACCGTTCAGTCCATCCATAACCGTTCAATCAAATGAACTGAGTCGCTACTGTAACTGATTTAGTGGTTCTACTGGCCCATCTATTAATCCGATTCGATTCTACTGCTGTAAGCCTCTATCCTAACAACGGCCTGTGCCACGTTAAATACTATTTTTATTGTGTGACCCGAGCGGGGAATTTGAACTCCCAAGATTACACCAACTTACGATTTATTACGTAATGGCATACGTCTTACAGCAACGTGGGCCCCAATTATTTAAGGGCCTGGACCTTTTCAAATGCGTGGTCAAGCCCAAGCAGGATTTTCCAATTTTTTTTTTTTGTTGTAAACTTGACAAGTGGCCAGGAATCGGAAGTCTTAGGGGTTCACACGTGTCCGGTAATACTGCCACTGTCGCCGGGACCCTCCAACGGCCAGCCCAACGTTTTCCGGCGTTATCTCATCCGTCGCCGTCGCCGTCCCTACTTCTGATTTCTCGTCCACTCTTCCTTCCTTTGGGCCCCTTCTGGTTTTTGGCCTGGTTCCTGGTTGTCTTCTTGTAAGTTTTATTGTACATTTGCCATTTTTGGTTGACCTCTTGTTTTCAGGCAAATCCATTTCCCAACTTGGGAAAATTATGTCAAGTTACATTTTTTTTTGTTGATATGTGTGTTTACCCACACAAAAAATGCTTACCACATTGCTTGATTATAAGAGATTAAATGACTTCATAAGGTAAATTAAAATGATTTAAATTGGATTATAAGGGTTCGATTTTTAAGTAGACGCGGTGTACTAACGTAGTCCAATATATTTAATAAATCTCTTCATGTTGGATTATAGGGGTTCGATTATAATTGTTCGAAATTTTTTGCACAAATCAAACGAGTTTGTTGTGATATACAAAATAAGATCCATGTTCAATATATTTCGGTAAAGAAATATTCGTATTACGCATACCACTCGTTACCACCTGATACCAGTCTGTACCACATTCTTTTGAACTTTAATTTAAAAAAAAAAATTGACTAGAAGGAACGAATTCATCTTAAATTTATTAGATCTACAAATTTATGAGAGAAAATTTTTCAGGACCAAATATACCATCTTGGTGCGAACAAGGGCTTGATTTAGTGGTAATACCACTAGCCTAGAACTTGGAGGTTCCAAGTTCGAATCCTTAAGTTGTACCTTAAATAAAAAAAAAACCTATATCACCCTTATCCAGAAAAAAAATATACCACTCTGGTATATTCCTACTAGGCTACTATCCTGTATGCAACATCTCTACACTTTGACATGTTTATACCATCACGGTATACTTCTATACAATGTGGTATAATCTTATATAATACCAAACATTACTATCATGATACAAACTCGTAATAAAATTTTCATTTATTTATAAATATATCAAAGTGTATATTCATTTGAAAAACACAATTAATCTAATTTCTCCGTAAAAAAAAAAATTTACAAAGTAAAACTAGATATCTTCTGTAAATTATTAGTATGAATTATGTACTACAATGTTATGTACCGTACCCACTCCTATTCTTCATCTAGTTTTTTACTTAAATTGCAAAATTATTAACTTCTAAAATGACCGTCGAAATCTAATCACTAATTAGCCGTCCAAATAAACCTTCTTTTTCCCCGATAATTAATAAAACCCTTTCTCCTCACGTGCGTGCAGACAAAAAATTATATAAAAAGACCCTCCACGTCATCCGAAAGTGCCCCCACTTCAAGTCCAGTCAGCAAGCGGGGTCCTACCTTTTTTATCCAAAAAATACCATCACGTGCAAATTCCAACCTCCTTCCATTTTCCATTTCATTCAACCCCGTGTCTGAACTGTGTCTATCCCAGCTGGCAAGCCACGTCACCTCCTCCTTCTTCCTCTCTTCCGTATATAAACCCTTTGACCGCCATATTTCCCCCTCAAACCAAAATCCATCCGCAAAAAGAAAAAACACTCCAGAAAGAAAACAGAGCAAGAAATTCAATCTCCAAATCATGAACCAGATTTCTCCCAAGCGGCCGAAGGTCAGCGGCTCGCCGCCTCCGCCGTCTCGCCTCACCCAGGAGGAGGAGCTCGCCGTCATGGTCGCCGCGCTTCGAAACGTCGTCGCCGGCACCACCAACTCACTTCGAGCCCACCAATTAGTCCAATTCTCATTGCCGCTCCCGGCGTCGGATCTCGACACGTGTACGGTGTGCCGGATCGAGGGCTGCTTGGGGTGCAGGCTTTTCCCGCCAAACCACCAAGAGGATCAACAGAATCAAAATGCGGCCAGCAACAACAACAACGAAAACAAAAACAAGAAGAAGCAACCCGCCGCGCCGCGGAAACAGAGGGGGAATAATAAGAAGAAGAACAGCTACAGGGGAGTAAGGCAGCGGCCGTGGGGGAAATGGGCGGCGGAGATTCGGGACCCGCGAAGGGCGACGAGGGTGTGGCTCGGGACGTTCGACACGGCGGAGGACGCGGCGAGGGCTTACGATCGGGCGGCGATCGAGTTCCGGGGCCCGCGTGCCAAGCTGAATTTCTGCTTCCCCGATCAAATTCAGATCGACGGGAGCTCGGATTGTTCGAATCGAATAATGCCGGCCGGGTCGGAGAAGGCGAAGGGGAAGCGGGTGAGAGAGGAGAGGCCGAAGGTGGAGGAGATGATGGCGATTGATGGAAATGGGATGATCGGAAGTTGTAGCGAAGCGATGGGGGAAATGATGATGGGTGGAGAACAGGATGAGTTTCAGGAGTGGATGAGGATGGTGATGGATTTCTCCGGCGGGGATTCTTCGGATTCCGGCGGTACGTCGGGGACAATGTGCACGACCGCCGGGAATCTCTGCTTCTGAATATCCTCTGTTTTCTTTTTTCCGGCCAACCGAGTAAGAAAACAGAGTAGAAGCAGAACAGGGGAGGAGGGAAGGAAAGAAGCTTCTGATTCTTTTTTTCTCAGTAGATTTTTTTTTATTAGGAGAAAAGGAATCAGAATTTTCTGTGTAATATAGTTTCTATTTTATTTGTTAAATTCATTTTTCAAATACGAGAAATGATGCTACAAGTCTACAACAACACTGTAAATTCCACAAATTATTTGGTGTGAACGATTGCTTACTTCGTAATGTATTTAGTTAAAATCGGCCTATAAACCAATTATAATCATACCACTTGCTAAACCGACGTAACGATATAAACCGATAACCTATGCGCGGAACACAATACGAGTGGTGGGACCAACGCGGTCCACTTCAAACCTGAAGAAAAAGACCGACGCGTGGGACCCGCGCCCAGGGGGGATCTGCGCCTTCAGAGTTCAGTATTTACTAAAACAGAAAGAACATGTGTGGTTTCCGATCCTTCGATAAAAATTAACCAAGTTGGAGCTTATGTTATAGTGATCATCATTTAACACGTGGGTGAAATACAATCATTTTGAGTTTAAGGAAAGACTTTAATTAATTAATTGATTAGAGGGGGTTGATGACAAAAGAGACATACCAACGTGGGGGAATTAAGGAATATGAATATGTCTTTTAATCTTTTTTAACAATTTTTAAAAAAGAGATAAGATGACATCATGACACCCCATTTGGAATTTAATTAATTAACCTGTCGAGTTCATACAGATTTAATCTCCTGAATGTTCTTTTTAATCTTATCGTATGCGCGCAAGGTGATATTGGGTTGCAGTACGTACTATTTGTAAGCAAGTCTTGCATAAAATAATAGCAGAAGAATTAAGCAGCCGGTGAGATCTCAATCAAATCAAGTTATAAATCGTGTAAATGCATAATTTTCACGTGGATTTGCATTGCTAATTATTGAGGTTACTGCTAGTAATCATGTTTGTGTAAATGCTGCAAGACAGAAGAACAAACTCCAAATTTATATATTAGCCAAAAGAACAACCTATTGCATTTCATTAGGTCGGTCTCTTATCTTATATGGAAATTTGGAAAATAAGGAACAATGTCTCGTTGCTACTCAAAAGCAGAGAACAACTCTGGGTTGGATAAGATTGTGACTCTTTAATAAAGTGCAAACAGGAAGACCTGACTTAGTCGGAGCCGTCTTTCATGTTTGAATGTTTCGAAATCTCGAGATCATATATTCTTTCAATGCGCGAAATTGCTATAGGTTACGTTACGAGTGATCAAGGGATCCATCTCAACTGCCGGCCCATCTCAACTGGGCCGGCCCATCTTTCAATGGATTTAATTCCCATTGCCCAGTTTGTGGTCGAAAGGAAGAAACGATTGAACACTTGTTCTTCAATTGTTTAGTTGCTCGCAAATTTTGGAGGTTGCTGGGTCTGCGGGCTTTTTTTGGCAACAAGTAGAGAAAAGGTCCTTTGTGGGATTTATTCGCCATACTCTCAGCCAAGCTACGGGTTCCGAGGCCGATTACTTCATTTTACAGGTGATTTGGTTATCGGGGAGATTATGGAAGAATCGGTGAATGGTGGTGTTCCAATCAAAGCAATTACATCTCTCTGCTTTGGCTGCTCAATGGTCTCGTCAAGTTCAAGAATACGAGCAGGCTGTGTTGCTCCCTTCTGCTAATAGGATGGCGCCACCTTCTTCTACCCATCTGAAATTTTTCCAACAGGCTCCGTTTTGGCGAGCAAACTTTGATGTTGCGATTTTTACTCAAGGATTTGGAACCATTGGTTTTGTTTTGTTTTGTTCTATCCATTGGGTGCTATCTTTGGAGCTGCTGCTCGTCGCTACGATGATATTTCAGGTCCTTATGTGCTTGAGGCTTTGGGGTTAAGAGATGATTTGGAACCATTGGTTTTGTTTTGTTTTGTTCTATCCATTGGGTGCTATCTTTGGAGCTGCTGCTCGTCGCTACGATGATATTTCAGGTCCTTATGTGCTTGAGGCTTTGGGGTTAAGAGACTCTCTTATCTATTATTTCCAACGACAGCTATAAGCTAAGGTGTTTTATTTGGTGGTGATGCCAAGTTGATTATAGATAAGTGCTTGGCTAGGGATGTGGATGATAGCAAGATTGGGGTGATTCTGCAAGATATTTTGGGTTTTTGGATGGGGTGATCAATTCTCAAGTTCAGTTCTTGGGAAAAGTTCGAATTAGAGCGATTTATTGTGTGGCCCGTAAAGCTCTTAATTTGTCACCTCAAATGTTAGAGAGGTTCGACTTTTGTTCTTGGCTTCGTTCGAGAGATGTTTGATCCACTCTGTGACTTTGTATCTAAACGATTTCCTCTTTTGAAGAGTAATCTATTGAAAAAAAAAATATATATAGCATCATAATTCACACTTGAACTACAACAATGGGAAATGAACACAAACCGTACTGATTCTCGATGGCATTACGTACAAGCAGAAATCTGAATTACGAGGGATATCAGTTTTGAGAAGCAAAATCAAACCCTGCATACAGCCGAAACCAGAAAACCAAACTCTGCACAAATCGAACAACTACGAAAACGAACCACAGAGAGACCACACATCTCAACCGCGTGACCGCTGCTGCTTACTGCCGGAGAGGCTAATGGAGCTGACCTTCATCGGCGTCGCCACCACCAAAGGAGCCTCGGGGGAGTTGCTGAAGGCGTAGTTGTCGTGCATGAACCGGCTCTCCACGATCGACTCGTCCTTCAGCACGATCTTGTAGCAGTAACAGCTCTTCAGTCCCTGCTGATTCTTGTAGCAGTGGTGTCCACTGTTCTTCACCTGCTGGAAGTCCCATATCACGCTGAACTTCCCCACCGTCGCCACGATGTGGCGCTCTTGCCTACCGTTTTCAGTCACCTGAAGAAACAAAATAGGACATTGTTGACTTCGGCCATGCATACAAGATCATGTCCTAGGCACATGAGATGATCCGGTATGACGATTATTAAGGTTACAAGATTCCAGATTTCTCGACGAAACATGTATGATTCATCCTTTCACCAACTAATTGGACAAAACAGTAACAAGATGTCATCTTTGCTCACAAACAAAAAAATATGCTGCTAGAATTTGCACTTGGATTCCTATACTCTGGTTAGCATTCACCTTTTACTGAAAGTAAGGAAAGCATTAGACCAGATTGATTGTTATGAAATGCTATCTTAAGTACCGATCAAGTAAGAAATCCTTACCCATGAGAAATGGCCGCCATGGAACTTGTTGTTGCTACCAGCCGAATGTGAATCCAGCGGCATCAACTTCAACAATCTGGGAGCTGGTATTTTATTCCCCATTCTACCACCGAATCCGGTCTTGGTCTTACCATCCTTGTCGGTAAACAGAGTGCAAATGAGAATCAAATACGTATCAGTAGTCCCCAGCACCCATTTCCCATCATATGTAACATCCACATGAGTAATGGGCGAACCAAGACCAGGGAAAGCCGTCTTAGCCTGTCTCAGTGATCTCCTTGAGTACAGCCTGATCTTCCCATCCAGTGAGCCAACAACAATGGATCCATCACCGGTACTCGCAAAGCACTGGAAATTAGTACCTCTCGAGAACTGATGCCCTTCGCTCCATTGCAGAACAGGTGAATCGCTGGCTTTACCGATGTTCTGCACAATCCCACTCTTATCCCTCATGTCCCATTGACACAACCTGTTATCATCCAATCCCAAGAATGTGCTCTCTGAAGGATCCAATTGAGAACCCTTGTTATCATTTGTAATATCCCTCATTGTAATCTCTGTCCCATCTTTCTCAAACTTCCACTCTGTCACAATCTTCCCTGTCTCAATGTCGAGCTGTTTGATCCCTGTCGAATGTGGGTTCCCGTCTTTCATGGGACTCATGAGCATCATGTTAGTCTCAGCTCTCATTAGCATCCCCTTCTTCGGGGTCGATTTGGCCAAACGAGACCCGCTGTTTCTGTCATCAAAGCTCACACAAATGCCCTTGCCATGGATGCCCTTCTGATTGTTCCTGTAAACCTGAACACCCAGATCGTTGACAAGGAAACTATTGTCAAGAGCACCTAGAGTCAAGCTATGGACGCCACCATTAGCTGCCTCCTCGAATTCCTCCATCAAATCTTGATTCGCACGCAACGGCGTGAACTTCTCCTCTCCGGCGTCCGCATCCTCCCACATCGAATCGTCGGCGGTTTCCGGTTTCGCCCACCCGATGAATTCCTTCCCGTACACCTTCACCTTATTCTCCTCGGTCGCCTTAAGCCCGTACACATTCTCGAACAAGCAATCGTGATACTCGTTAACGAATCTCCTGAACTCCTCGTCCGCCGAGAATCGTAACGCCCAGACACCGCTATCGACGAAATCGACCCTCCTCTGATCCGCAAACATCTTCAATTGCATCTCCGTCGAAACCCTAGCCCTAACTTTCGCACCGACCCGGAGAATCCAGAACGAATTGTTCTTACCTCCACCGCTGGAAGATCCTCCTTCGTCCTCATCGTCCTCCCCTCCGCGGCCGCCGCTCTTCACGAAGGCGTACGGAGCCGACTTCTCGGAGACGATCCACTTCGCCTTGGGACTGTTTCCGCCTAAGTGGAGGTAGAGCTTGACGCGACGCTCGCCACTTCCCTGAGCGGCGTCGCCGTATTTGAGCTTCAGAGATTTCAATTTGGTGTCGATTTCGTCGATCGTCCTGTTCGAGGAAGTCGTTTGAGGCGTCTCCTGGCGCTCGACGGCGTCGTAGTGAACATCCTCGTACTCTTCTTCTTCGTCGCGATCCTCTGTTTCGGAGTGGTAGTCGTCGGAGTCGGAGAGGTCTGCGCCTTCGCGGCTGTGAGAAGTTCCCATTGGGAGTTTCGCGGGGAGAGAGACGGAGACGGAGACGGAGACGGAGAATTCTTCTGCGAGCTCGTTGAGATTTTCTTCTGTGTGGATTGTTTTCGCGAAATGGCAAAAAGTTTTCTGGAATTCTTCAGAAGAAGTGTGTGTGTTTCCGAAAAGGGGAAGAGAGACGGTGGGGACTAGCTAGGCAGTTATATATACACGGAAATTCATGCCTACGATGACCGGTGATAGCCGGTTTACCGGGCCGGTGCCTAGTTTTAAGTTTTTTTTTTTTTGCAGATATGCCCCTAAGCTTCGTTATATTTGTTACCAGTAACTAAAATTAAAATGTAGAAAAGTGCAAACAATGATCATTCAGGATATTTTCATACCATTCGTCAAGTAACTAAAAAAATTGTTTCTTTCAAATGAGCTTCATCCATTTTGAAAATCGTTGTTTACCGGTCGGTCTGTCTTTACTTCCCGAGGGTGTTCGAGATTTCAATTTGCACGATCTCCCACTTCGCAATCAAATTACCATTACCTTCGTAGCATAATATATCGACTGCCAAGTATGGGTGAGTATTCGATTAGTCGATCAGCAAGTTACATTGATAAAACTACCCAATAACTAATGGTTCTCGGACAATTATAGACCGGCACTGCAATTATCAACAGACTGAAATGGCTTTCAATGTAACCTACAATCAAATAGCCGATTAACATTATCCTCTCATTCTACATTTAAAACAAGCTAGTGATTAAAACTCAATTAGGGAAAATAACCAAAAACCAAAATTCATTCTGGCCTCAAATGACAATTTTTGAAAGTTGAGCACAACTGATGAAAAGGAAAAGGACAAAGTGAAAAAGAACGGGGAGCAACAAGAAAAAGGAGCGGCAATAGGGAGAATCACCGGCTGTTCCCGGTTCAAGCAGCGTCAAAACGACGTCCCCGCCCTCTTGCTTCAGTATGAAGCAACCGGTTGCCGCTGTCCCATCCACGTGTCAACACCGTGTTTGGATGGCTCGGTATACAATACAATACATTTCAACGTAACAATAATAACGGACAAATAAAAGACGCGGGTAAAAATGGGACGCCTAGTTCGCCAACATTTCTTCATCCCCAAGTATATAATAACTCACATTCTTTTACTCTACAGAGCCAAGCATTAAACTGCAGCCTACTAAGATAAAAAGATAGCTGGTTTATGGATGCACACAGTGGCCTTCGACTACTTCAAGCACAATACGTCCTTATCTTTCCTCACAAGGCATCCCGGGAAGCTATTCGGCATGTAATGGCATCAGCAAGTGAGGAAATCCCCAGCTCCATCGCGGAGATTTTGTAATGCTGAAACAAACATAGTACGAAGCAATCGTGTATGGTTATCGGTAGCTTGAAAGCAACGATATTATTATCTATATACAACTCTCGTTAAGAGCCAGACACTAGTTTATATACCAACCTTGAGGATCTGAGCTTGGTTTGCTCTGCTCTCCAGCTCCTCTAAGTCGACCTCTTTGCCGTTGATAAGTTTTTCTACCACTTTCATCTGAAGCGAGATGCAGGAAAAGCTTACATTACGGTCATGATCTTTGTGGATAGAAATCTATGGATCTTAAAGGCAATAACTGCATTAGTTTTTCTTAGAAATGAGGAAAAAGCTTACATCTTCCGGCGAGGCATTGAAGCGAGCTGCGAGGACGTACGTACAGCTGTCTGAGATACCACATCGTTTCAAGGACTCTGTAATCTGGTACAGTCAGAAGAATGTAATATACATAGCAGTGCAGTGATTAATTCGAGCTTTGAACTAGGGAAAGGTAAACAAAAGACAAGTTATGTAAACTAGTCATTGGGGGACTTACATGCTTGGATCCTGAAATATTGTAGACAAGCTCAGAATGAAGCGTTCGGGTTGTCAATGAATCCCGAGACTTTGACACAAGCGCCTTGTGTGCTGCAGCGAGAACAGGGAAAACATCGGGGATCTGCCATAATGGAAAGAAATCGATCAGAAAAGCCAGATGATTAAAAAATGATTGAAGGAGTTTTTCGGATAATGAATGTCTAAAAGAAGCATACAAGTGATGCATTCATAAACGCAACTTCCAGCTCCAGATTCCCAGCTTGCATAGAATCAAGAAGCTCCCTGCAGCATAAGAACTTTACAGTGAGCTTGATGTTCAAGGAGGGGAAAAACTCTAGTAATTCTCTATTATACATAACTTTGCATTTTCGTCTAAAGCGAGATGCAGTAACATATCATTACGGCCATGATCAAATTTCTTTTTCCATGGACATCAAACTGTAGCTTTCTTTTATGCCGAACTTCGAGACTGCTAGACACGAAACCCAAAAGCTTCTTTGTAGATAGCTTAGCTAAGTCCATTGTCTGGAGTGGTTCAATCAACATTTTCCCCCTTCCTACTTACCATCACAAAGACAATCCTCCACAGTACTAGCACACCATAACTACTTTTTCTATTTGTTCATTCTAACAAAGAAAACAACTTTCTTCCCTGATAGCAGTTGCACCAAAGGGGAAGCCAGACTCCTAAAAGCTCCCAAATCCTTATTACAAAACCTTCATCACGTTTCACAGCACATCCTGTAAGGCTGTAACTCATCTAGTGCTTAAAACCCAGCTAGAACATTTCCAAAGCAATTTCCATACGCAGCAACGAGAAGCAAAAAAATAGAGCGAGAGTTGTTACTTGGAATTGGCGACTTCGGCGAAGAGGGCGAGAGAAAGAGTGTTGTTTCCGTTGATTTGGAAGACCTTCATGGTTGAATTTTTTTTTGCTACGTTCAAGCTCTCCACTTCAGCTCTTCAAGTTATGAGGAGAAATCAAATTAGTGTACGATGCGCAACCCCAGAAGGATTCAAGGAGGAGAGTGAAGACGCCGGGGAGGAGCTGGGACGCCGAATGGTTAAACCTCCGACGGCGGCGATGTAAAACTCGGTGGCCGGCGAGGGAGTGACTACGGGTGATAAAGAGGATTGGGAATTTAGGGTTCAAAATTGCCATATTGGTGACCGCTCCGCGAGGGCGGAGAAGGCCGAAACTATGGGCCCAGCTACGCTTTCTTAAGGCCCATTAAATGTATATGAACAGTACCCACGTAACATCCCTGCTGGCCCAATCCAGATACTCTGATAAGGTCCACGACTGCTACGAGTCATTGTGATTTGAAGAAAACGATCGATTTCTACCGGATAAACGGTTGATCAAATGAAACAATTAAAATAAAAAAGAATGATTGATTACTCTTATGTTCGAGTAAATTGAATATTTAAATAGAGTATATGTATTTGAGATCATACTACACTAAATTGTACGATAAAATATAGGTTTGTAAACCACTTATCATGAGATGAGACAATGACTTAGTTTTAGTTTGACCCTGCTGTAGTTTTTGCAGAGACCGCTTCTGATTTGAGCTTTTAAAGAAGTACTTTTCAAAAAAAGCAGTTGAGTGTTTGGCTGAAAAACTATTAGAAGTGCTTTTTAATATGAGAAGTTCTGTAAAATAACTATAGAGGGCTTATAATATAAATTATGAATAATAATTCTAAACAATAACATGTAGTCAAAATGGATCTTATTAGACTTCTTTTATATGAAATAATATGTTTTTATAATTTATTTTATTTTTAAAATAATATAAATGAAATAAAATTATATTTTTTGAAATAAAATTAAAATATGGTAAGGATAATCTTGTATTTTCAAAACAACTTTTCGCAGAAGCTCCAAATCGGAGCTTCTGCTTTTATGTTATACAAAAGCGTTTTTCGGCTTTTCAAAAGCCGAACTTTTAGATATGTTTGACCCTACTTCAGCTTTTAAACTCGAAAAACACTTTTAAAAACCAGGCCAAAAAGTTTAACATCAAGTTGAAGAAGAGTGTGGACTATACCTGATTTACTACTCTAGGCTCACGATTTCTACGTCTAAAACTTCCCAACATTTACAATAGTTTCCATTGCAAAGTGGCGAAGCTTTCCACTGTAAAGTTCTAGTTCTTCCCGCTATAGGCGTCTTGGTCGAAACTCGAAAGGAGGAGCTCGTGGCAAAAACTGCACCTTTGACCTAGTTCTTCTTTGTCTATTGAGAATTCCGTACTGAAAAAATATCAACATCCCAAATATCTTCTTGCACAAAAAGCTCATTCCTTTATCACATTCCAATCCAAGTCCTCCTTGCTCCGAAAATTTATCAGCAGACCCAGTTCAATTTCAATTCACTAGAATGTAAAAAAATCCCAATTTCCCCTGCTATCTCTACTCACGAAGTCCCCCAAAATGCATATGCTCCACTTCAACCCTAGCTCACTCTTCTTCCCGTCAAAACCCAGTTCTGTAACTCCGCTCTCGCCGGCCGGTCCCACTTTTTCCCGCTGTTTTGCAGTCGGAGGCGACGTCCCCGCCGGGCCAGACTTCCCCAGGTGGTTCCCCTTCATTTCTTCTTCTTCTGCTGCTGCTGATGCCGCCGGCATCCGGATTGGTAAAGACTCCGACGGAGGAGGAGGAGTTGGTTCCGGCTCTGGCTCCGGTTCCGCCGCTTTGGACGGCGGCTTGTCCCAGAGGCGGGGCAACGGCGGCGTGAGTGGAAGCAGGTTGAACGCGAGGGAGAAGAAATGGTCGAGGAATAGAGATAGCTACTTGGTGGATGATGAGGATGTGCTCCCTCTTCCCATGTCTTATCCCAATACTAAACCCGTCACTCCAGAGGTGATTGATAAGCGATTGAGATGTGACACTGAAATTGAGGCAAGTGAAGTTCCAAGAACATGTAAAGCTGAGAAATTTTATGTTTGAAGGCATAATAGGGTCAATGGGATGTCACTGGTTCCAGTATTTTGTGATGATTCCAGTCAGTGTCTTGAATTTTAGAAGGACAGGTTGAAATGGAAGCTCAATAGCATTTCTGGGTTCCGATTAGTTAGCATGGTTCATGTGATGAGTTAAACGGCTTTTGTTTGTCTGGCCTTATGATTGTGCTTGGTCCATAGTGTTGTGGTGATGAAGCTGTGAATTTCATTTCTGGAACTGTAGGATTGCAGGGAAGTGGTTTATGAATGGACTGGAAAGTGCAGGAGTTGCCAAGGGTCAGGGGATGTCAGTTATTTTAACAAAAGAGGGAAGGAGATTATCTGCAAATGTGTGCCTTGCCAAGGGATCGGTACGTTTTCCTTCTCTACATGCTGCAGTACTGCAGCAATGGATGAATGAATGAATGAATGAATGAATGGTGGCTAGATGGTATACGAAATAAAGAGTAAATCCATGCGGCTTCTTTTTTGGTCGACAGGTTGGCTTATGGTAGAATACTGGATATGAAAAATGTTTTTGTAGACCATCAGGGAGCTTATTGCATAACTGAATCAACTGATAACTATTCTTAGTGATTGTGGTTAAGAGGACAGTGAACCGGTTGTTGTAACTGGCTTCATTATCATATTGAAACAAGTAGTAGGCTCCTGAAATATGTAGGTGTGAAGTATTAGAATGCACATCAAGCAGCTGGAAGAAATTATAGCATCAATTTGGCGATGTTGAATGGATGATTAGAGTTTATAGTGCTGGAGACAAAATGAAGCATACTCATAATGCAAGTGGTGGAGTAGAGATGCATAAGTATAACTAGTAATATTAGTAGTAATTAGTAGCGTAGCTATAGCGTTATTAAAACCATTCTATAGTGATTAGGGTTAAGGGCTTTGCTATATCGAACAATTAAACCAAAGTGCTATTCGGTTTAGCTCTCCTCTCCTCTTCTCAGTCTCTCTAATCCCTAATCATATTTTGTTCTTCCTGTTCTGATCCTTACTCCTTCCCAGTTGTCTTCCAACCCTTCTCAATTCTACTAATCTCAATCCCAGTTGTCTACTTCTCCTTTTCCTGATCCGTTACTTGTCAGCAAGCTCGTGATCTTTGTTGTACATCGTCTGTAACATATTCGCATTGAGCGGAAGCGATGAGCTGTGTCTATCTGAACAGGGACTGGAAGTACGATAATTGGGAGATGTTGCTGCCACATCTTCTATCTGACTCTTTCAGAATCTGACTTTCTAGTTTATCGAATTGCTCTGTTAAAATGAAAAATGTGAAGGCAAATGAATCATATTCTATTGCCGAAGGATGTAATAAGTGATGCATGAAAGTTCAATGGGTTTGGCCAACCATTTTGATTTTTGTTCTTAATCCAGGTACTCTTTCAACGCTACCCTTAGCACAAAGGATAGAGTCCCTTTCCACCTGTATATATACCTCAGGTCCACAAAGTTTGGCACCCATAGTTTTGGCATATCATAATTGATTATTCATAGAAAGTGGCTACTAGTTTTGTGCTTTCCTTATTCATTATGCTATCAGATAAATGTTGGTGAGCTTTATTCTTTTCTGTTCCTCTGTCTCACCCCTTTTTGTTTGTCATAATTGTGACAATTGAGAATTTTTCATCTGGCAGCTGACTTGCCCTTTTGAGCATCTCTTGTCTGTGAACTTCATCGATTAACTACTTCTTTTTCGGATTCCGATTGGCTAATAATCCAGTTCAATGTAACTACCCTTTACAGGATATGTGCAGAAGATTACTGCTCGGAAGGACATTGAAGTAATGGAGAACTTGGACAACGGAAAGCCACCATGAGATCGATCATCGTGTTTCTTTTAGGTTCAGACTTCAGAGTATACTTCCCATGAATTCTGGTTTTCGTACAGAACTATATAGAGATTGACAAGCATATCTTGACATGGAGAATATAGGGCAAAAAGTGATGGGCAAAGGGCTTCAAATTTGTTAACCTTTTTGAAAAGGAATCTATTCTTTCCGTTGAGCTTCTTCAACCATAGCTTTCTTTTTTCCATATGTACATCTCTTGAAGAGGTTCCTCGCAGGTTGATCTCAGGAATAAAAGAAAGCCATCTTTACTTTATTCTTTGCTTTCCACCTTCCTTTATAAATATGCATGGAGTTCATACATTATAATTGCATTTAACATCTTCCCCATCTTAGAACTTCCATTGCTGCAAAAAAGAAACCTATGTCGAACGTCAGCTTTCTGGAGTTTCAGTACAAGCTCTCTAACAACAAGTTCCTCCGAAAACCTTCTCGGATGTTCTCCTCGCACAGCAGGCAGAACTCAAGCAGCAGTGTACCAATAAGGTTGCAGCCGAATGTGAAGGAGATGAGACAAGTGTTCAACAAATTCGATTCCAATGGAGATGGCAAGATCTCTCAGCAGGAGTACAAGGCCGTGCTGAGGGCTCTAGGGCAGCAGTCCATGATTCCCGACGTGCCCAAGATCTTCAAGGTGGCCGACCTGGATGGAGATGGGTTTATCGATTTCAACGAGTTTGTTGAAGCTCAAAGGAAGGAAGGAGGCGTTCAAACGATGGATTTGCAGAGTGCCTTCAGGACGTTTGACGCAAATGGAGATGGGAGGATAAGTGCAGAGGAAGTCATGGGAGTTCTGAGGCAGCTCGGGGACCGGTGCAGCCTCGAGGACTGTCGAAGGATGGTTAGGGCAGTGGATAACGACGGGGATGGGCTGGTTAACATGGACGAGTTCACCACCATGATGACTCGTACCCTCGTGCGTAATAACTGACCATGGCTGTGGGTTTGTTGTGCGAATCTTTGCTTAGTGTTCTTCTGATGGCCTCTGAAATCTAAACTTGTTTTCATTAGAGTTGTTTTCTTCTTTATCAGTTCTCCTTGTATCTTCAGTGATATCTCATGTACAAAACGCTTGGTTCCATGGGGCGTGATCTCATTGAAAGTTCATAAATAAACGCGTGCTTTCTCGTACTTCATCAAACCGTTTCAATCAAAAACGAAATCTGAATTATGAATGCTAAATCAGAGGTGCATAAATAATTCAATACGTATACCGGCTTTGCATTCGATGCAGGTCGCATCAGGTATTTCGTTTGAAAAACAGGTGAGGAAATGTTGGCACTAATAAGAACATATATCGACATAATCGTGAAACGTGATTTGCAGAAAACACTTGCAAATCAATAAGTGGAACGGGATGAAGTAGTCGTTCAGACCATGAGCAGCTCGAGCAATTTTATAAACAAGGTCCCAGTAAACAGAACAAAGTGAATAAACTAGGTAACTACAATGTTCTCAGGAATCTTGTTTCAGTAATCACCACTCACCAGTAATCTCCACAAGAGCACTTGCCATCCCTGAAGTGATGAAACCTCTTGTTATCCCTAACGATCAACTCCCTCCCCACAATCCTGGACATAATCTTGATGGCATTGTGACAGTCGCCGCATATCCGGAGGTTCTTTATGATCCTCAGTGTCGTCCTCGCAGGAGTGCTGATCAGTCCATAAGCAATCGCCAGCCTCTCACTATGGTACAATAAAGCTTGCTCTTTTGCCTCTTGATCAATGTCATGGAGAACATATCTGGTGTCTGGAACATAACCCGAGTTCTTCAACTCCAACATTTCCTTGAGTTTTGGATCATCCTTGTAGAGAGCAGGATAACGGTACTCTGCTATTCTACTCTTCCCTTCCAGCATGCTGACTGCAGTACGCTTCACTGGAGGTGGCGTAGGAATCTTTTTAGCCACTGCCTTAGAGGGATCCATGGAAACAATCAGTTCTTCGAGGCGATCTTCAAGATCCACATCTCCGTGGATTCGAGCATAGTTCATGTACTTCTCCCAGATTTCCACAGAGGGATCAAATGGCAGTTTCTCAATGTACTGTTCGATTTCGTTGAGAAACCCACATTTCCCAAGCACGTCAATCATTCCAACATAGTGTTTCATTTGTGGATCGATCCCAAAATCGCTCTTCATCAACTTGAAATGGATGAATGCCTCATCCACGGCATCTGCACTGCCACAGGCTGATAGAACAGCGAGGAACGTTTCTTCCGTGGGTTTGAGATCTAGCTTCCTCATCTGCTCAAACAGCTGCAAACCTTCATCCCCCAAGTTGTTGTTTGCATAACCATGGATCATCAAGTGCCAGGTATCCATGTTTCTTTCCGGCATGTGATCAAACACCCTACGAGCATCAGTCATACTCTCGCATCTGCCATACATCTCAATCACCTTATTGTTCAACATCAGATCACCCCTGCAAGTCGATTGCAGAAGGTAGTCATGCACTTTCTTGGCATCCTCGAGTTTGCTACACAACCTAAATAGAGAATCGAAGCAAGCGTAATCAGCTCTAAGGCCTTTATCCATCAACTCGACTGCTTCCTTGACCTTCCCTTCACCGCACAAATTCAACAAATCAGCTAACGAAGGCACTGGATCAGAATTAACAGGTTCAGCAACGAAATTTCCCGGTCGAGGGTGCTGCACTTGGACTTGGTTATTCCACTGATTCGGAACTCCCCGTTGCCCATAGTTCTGGACATTACCGTTCACCTGTGGGGCATTATGATGCTGAGGACCGCTCTGACCACCACCTGGAGAATTCCAATGGCCAGGGCCCCCTTGAGGAGGCGGATGCTGCTGCTGCTGCTGATCGAAACCACGATTAGGGTATCCCTGATCTGGATTAGGATACCCTCTATTAGGAAACCCCTGATTCAAATTCTGCCTTCGATCTGGAAAATTACCCTGGTAATTCCCCTGCCCTCCGCCCATCTGCGGCGGAGTGTTCTGCTGAGGGTGGTGCCACTGGTTATGGTTTCCTTGCTGTCGCTGCGGCAGCGAATTGAACTGCTGCGGAGAGTTCTGCTGAGGATGGTGCCACTGGTTATCGTGCCCTCGCTGTTGCGGCGGCGAATTGAACTGCTGCGGCGGCGGAGGCGGCGGAGGAACTCTATTATCCCAGCGAGGCACCTGATCAGTATGCCTCTCGCCATGGAAACCTCTAGGCTCGGAGTGAGACGGTTGTGGGCGGTGGTGGAACTCATTGGGAACGGCCGAAGAAGTAGTGCTTAGGGTTCTGGCCGCAGTTAGGGTTCTACCGAAGGGAGAGTGGGAGAGGTGCGGAAGTAACAACCGTACCTTGATGACGGAGGACGTCGCTCGCGAGCCGCGCATCGCCATGAGAGACGCCATTTTTTTTGCCGGACTGAGATCGAAAATCAAAGAGAAACAGAAGGGTAGAAGGCTCCGATCCGAACTCACCAAAAAATTAAAAACCCTAGTTAAACCCCCCCGGCTAGAATGGGGAAAGCAGAAGCCAAGTAAGGCAACACCAGAATATGGAGTGACCGAGATTGAAGAAAAAGAGGACGAAGTGGAAGGAAGGAAAAGGGGTTAAGGATGGGGAGATAGGTAATAACGACGGCGCCGGCGAGCGGCTGATGTTCGGCGTTGTCGAAGAGAGAAGATCGCCGGAGTCTGGGGTGGAAGAGAGAGTGAGGAAGATGAGAGAGCGAGTATGTCTGCTTCTTCGCCCTAACTAAGGAAGCAGGGGAGCGAGGCCGGAAACGACGCCGCATTATCGAATTTAACGGCGTGAGATGTGAAATGATTCGTTTGGATGGAAAAAATAAAAAAAAAATAACGCCGTTGCCGGGGATCGAACCCGGGTCACCCGCGTGACAGGCGGGAATACTTACCACTATACTACAACGACTGTTGTTGATATAATTGGTAAAAGGAAGTAATAATATTAAAAATAGAAAGAGATCAATCTTCCCTTTAGTTTCTGTCTCGTTCTCATAATATGCACATACTCCACAGTATTACCAATCAAACACACACGGATCAATCTTCCCTACAGCTTTATGTACAATGAACAGACACATTCCAGGCCATTTTTACATCGCAATTCCAGAAGAATCAATGCTCGAATCCTGTAGTTTAAACCGGAAAACGAAAGAAAGAATAACGACTGCCAAGCATTCAAAATAATTACATTCATTGGTTAACTGGATAAATGAACACCCTCCTGTGCAACAAAGCACGAATTTATCTACAACGAATGTACAAGAGTTGCTATGTTTGCCGCAAAAGGATGCGCGCAGGTAGATGGTTTATATACATCTCTGTACACCTGAAAACCGGGGGTGCGGGAACTTGAACTGACAGATATTCTCAAGCTACGAAACCATTTGCGGCTTCTTCAGAAAAGCTCGGATGTTAATACGAAACTTAGTTGAGAGATCTCTGCGTTCCAATTCACTTTTGATTTTTTTCTCTCAGGATGTCACCCGAGATCCCACCATCGATTATATTCCCAGGAGGAGACGAGGACAGGCACATCGTAGTGACTTATCATTTCACCTTCAATCTCTGTTGTGTGTCTGAGTTGGTCCTAGATATTTCTCCATTGATTCTTTCTTGTGCTCAGGGTCGAGGCTGCAGGAAACCTCAGTAGAGTTAATTACCCAGAGTTTTTAAACAAAATCAAGACAAGAGAGATGAGATTTTTAAAAGAGAAGGGAAGAGGGTGTAGAGCTCTCACCTATTTCTAAGGCCGAGAAGAGCAGAATGCGCAGCACTTGCACAAGCAGAGACAGGAGCTATAGCAGCAGCAGGAATTCCCCGTACTGCAGTGGCCAAGGCAGACCCAGCACTGGCCCCGTATTGGTATTTTTTCAACGGTGTTCGAACTAATGCAGAAGCCGATTTCCCCAGGCCATCACTTAGGTTCGAATATGCCTGTGAATAAACATTAGAAAGATCAGAACCTTTGTAGCTGTAATGAGGATAGCCTTCTTCAGTATTGAAATGCAGAAAGTTCTACTACTACAACCCTCACCTGTTGCATTCCTTCCTGGGCATCTTTTGGCTGATTGCTTCGTACATTCGACTTCTTTTTACCCTGTGCGGTGGAAGACGATGACGATACCTGACGAGAAGGAACAGCCGTGAGGATGTACTCGGCTTGGAGTAAGATATCATGGGCTCCTGCAGCCAAATGCACTCCAAGTCCAACAGCTTCAAGCGATATACTTCTAAGAAATGCAACTGTACCTGCCAAAGGTAAAATTCAAAATATTGTTGTTAACTCCTCTGATTTTAAAATTCAAAGTATTATTAAATCATAACAAAATGTCTGGAAAAATCAGTCAAAAAGACAATATGATCATAGTGAGGCATCTTGTCACTCATCTGATAGACATTCCAAAAGAACCTACAGAGTGTAATTTGTATAAAGATACTGATTCAAAACGTAGGCATGCTATACTGTCACTTAAACATCAAGTCGTGTCGACTATAGGACGGTTGAAAAATTCCTAGTACATCAACGTTAGTGAATAAAATTATCTATGCTTTCCCCTTGATATTGTTCTATCATTAAAAATGCAGTAAACATTACATAGATTTAGGCCAAAGACATCTTGTACGTCAAGACAAAAGTGACATAAGTTAGCTACTTTATCACGGTAAACATTGGATTGCAAGGATAAAAGGAGAACAGCTAATAAGAGGGGGGAAGAGCATCATGCAGCATGTTATTTACCTCTTTGCATTCCCTTCACTACTCGTTGATCTTTCTTATAGCTCTCAACTGGCAGGGACACAAGCTTTGCAGCCCCAGAGCCAACAGCAACTAAGGATCGTATCGTAGGAAGACCTCGCAAGATTTTGCGTACCTAAAGAAAGGTACATATAAGTTAAAACAAATACTCTCGATATGGAATAAGCACATTTGATCAATAATGTGGATAATGCAGCCAATGAACCTGATTTTGCGAAATATCTTCAAGCCATTCCCCCAAAATTGTTTCACATATGTTGCCCCAACCATAGACTCCAAATGCATGGACATGTTTGAGCTCAAGTTCAACACCCTGCATTCAGATTTGCGGATATTTCATTCCCCCAACAGCAACCAACTTAAACAAAATGAAGCTGCTAGATCTAATCTTATAATGATAGATGAAAAAGGTGACTGTCAAAAGCTACACCATCTTACAAAAATCACCATGAACCAAGGAAACAAGATAGAACAAGTGACAAATCATTAATGCTAAAGGTAAAATGGAGCTCGTTAAATTGCCAGAGTGCAACAAGAAAGCACACAAGTAGAGAAAGCTATATCTTGGTTTATTGGGTCAGAGTTTGATATGATGATCATATCAGAGTTGGTCACAATACAAGGCATGTCAAAATTAATAAAGGTTCACTATAGAAACGTTCAATTTTGGATGGCAAGACTACAAGGCAAGTTCGGGAGCTACCATTACCACAAAATAGTACCAATGATCCTGTCTTTGGCATTCCCAATACAGAACAGGGGAAAATATGAAACATACTTGGTTAAAAGATTTGCTCAATTCCCACCATTTACTCCGTCTAGCTCACATAAACAGCTAAGCAAACCAATACTAACAAAAAAAAAATATATATATTTAAAAAGAGGCTAACTATTTACCTTCCAGGGGACAAGGTTCACAAGTTCCACATACTTCCCACCTCCTAATGCTGCTAAATCAACACGACTGGGTGTGTAATCGACCCGTAGAAGAATAGGGCATATATCAAATTTCTGGAAGTAAGAAAGACAGTCAGGATTTGTTACAGTTGTCACATACTTGAACGAAAGAACAGATAAAATAGAATATAGATATCCAGCTTCCAGAAAAATAACGTATCAGTTTAATGGTACTTGCCTGAAAATAAGGAAGAAATGCCTCTGGTGCAATGGAATGACCAGCAAGGTCGGCACCACTAATTGGTAATGATTCGACAGAACCTGAATTTTGTTGACTATCCGAAGACAGATCAGCCGAAAATCCTTTGGGACCAAAATAGCTAATAAGAAAATCCAGCTGGCTTTGATGAAGATGCACTCGTATTGGAAGGAGTGAGATTTGTAACCTGAAAGGAGTAGACAACATTTAAACCTTTTTATTTTTTATAACTAACTCTATCAAGATCACAAAGGAATCCACGTGCATGATCGTGAAACCGCAGTACTGTTAGATAACAAGATACCCAAAACTAACGATTTCAGGAACTAATTCTATGATTTCATGAAGAGCGAGATGGAAAAAGTTCGTCAAAAAAGAAAAGGTTAACGTGTGCAAGAGTTTAAGATACTAGGGCCTACGTGGCAATAACATTTGTATTTACTAATTACCAGTCTAAGAGAACTGAAAAGATAATAAATAAAATTAAATAAATCAGAATACCTGTATTCTTCTAAAGGTATCAGTGGATCTGGTCTTACAGCTTCCAAGTCCAACCTGAATGCTTTAGCAGATGATGTCCTAGGATGATCTTTCGAATAGTAATATCCAAGCATCTGCCCATTTGAATGTAGTAAAATCAAAGTACGTTATACACATAAACACTCGTCGAATAGTAATATCCAAGCATCTGCCCATTTGAATGTAGTAAAATCAAAGTACGTTATACACATAAACACTCGTCGTATATGCATGAAAAGAACAATCAGCTTACCAGTCTCCAAGGTGCATTTTTGCTCTTGTCATAAAGATAGAAGTCCTGAATGGAAAGTGACATCTTAGATGCACAAAGTCCCCTCAGTGGGAACAAATCATATTGCAGCTCCACCCCACATAATGAAACCTCTAGACAAGTAGTTGTGTCCCTTCCACAATTACGTTTAGAAGGGTCATCATTCATACTGTACGCACCCCAGTCAGTACCAGCATACATTTTCCAGCTCACATTAATATCCTTGAGAAGTAAACGTCCTATAGCTTTTACAGATTCATCAGACATTGAAGAGGCACTCCCAGGAAACCTGTCATCAAGAGACTGGTTCAAGCTACCACTCCCACTAACATCAGAAATGTGGTCCTCGACAATGCTTAAGGGAACCTCCCCATACCATCCACTATTTCCCCGTGCAAGATCCCTGTCGCCGAAATGCTCAGATGAAGATTGGCAGCCAATTGACAACCCAGACAAAGGGCGCAAGTCAGATATGCAATAGCTTTCTATAAATTCTGGTAAAGAACCATTCACCAAAAATGATCCTTCCGTACTATCTGCCCCTACTAGAGACACGGAACAATCACCAGATGCACCTTCCAAGCAAGTATCGTTAGCTTCAGCACCAGTTCCATAACGCTGTGCAATGAAGCTTTCACCAGGTGGCAACTGACAATTTGATCCACTGGAACCATGTTGACAGTCCTGTTCTCCATCCAAGCAAAATGCATCTTCACATATCTCATCCATCAAACCAACTGCCAAGGCTTCATTCTTGGTGAAAGCACTAGGTGTAAGCACCTCAGAAGTTGGTAAGGTAGAATCTCGAGTTTCAGCCCTACCTTCCTCATTGAACTTATTCTTCTCTTGGTCCACACAAAAATTATTCCACCTAGCCTGCAAGTGCACAACTGATTCCTCCAAATCAGGAGCAAAAAGTTGCTGCAGTTGACTAGCCAGTCGAGTCAGGCCTGAAGTAGTATCATGGCAAGTGTTCATCCAGATATGGAGCTTTGAACACTCTAACTCCCATTGAAGACCATTCTCGCAGTTAGTTCTCAAAATGGCTTCTACAAGCGCTTCTTGAGAAACTTTAACATATCCCATCTCACGAAGATAATCCACACTGTAGATAGCACCAGGATTTTGCAGTGCCTTAGAAAGAAGGAATCCTAGATCTTGTGCTCTTATTTTATAATCTTTGTCCACAGAATCTTCCAAAGCAGTACTGGAAATTGTCAAAGAAGAAGCAGCTAGTAGACAAGCAAAATATGGCCCAACAGTATCCTCTTTTGCATTTGATGAACTGGAAATAGAACTGTGAACCACTGATACTGAACTCTTCAAATAGGGCTCATAACTTAAACCAACATCAACCAACTTAAGAAGGAAAGACACTCGATGCGAGGCATGGAGAGCCTTCTGCTGATTTTCATGATCTGCTTTCACAACTTCAGGAGAGGGCAAAGTGAAGAAGGAGATTATTGAATCAAGCCAGTCCAACCGTCCACCAACTGCCACAATGGTTGCACATCTGATGGTAATGGATGTAATTGAATGCAAATCCCCTGGATCACATAGGTGGACAATATCAGAACCAGCCCACCGTGAAGATAATGCATTTGAACCGCTTCCATCCCCACGTTTCCGGGAAGAGTTACTACAAGAAATCAGAACAAACAGCTTGCCTGGAACCTTGGTGACAGAACCCCACAGTTTACCTTCTCTATGGGTTACCCACAACAAATTAGCATCTTTCATGCCACCAATATTGGAGACAGACATAAACTCGACTTTCCGAATTTTCAGCTTGAAATATAGCCATGATCCAGGAAGTTCACTTTGTAAGGAACTTGATGTTTCCTCCCTTGCATCTAGTCTAATTGAAACTTCTAGAGAGTCACACTCTACTAGGACTGCTGCCTGAGACACGGATGGTTTTTCCTCGAGATTAATTGCTTCACAGGCTCCCTGTGATAGGGTATTTACCATCTGACCAATAAGATGAACTAGAGTATGATACTGAGAACTGTCCAAATCAACAATGCAAGGGGGTAGATGAACATGCAGAAAAACAGCAGAAGTCAGTATTATGTCCCTTCGAGTTCGAGAATTCATATCCTCCATGTCTTTCACAGCAGTTACGGTGGCAAATTCGTGACCTCTAGCTACAGAGTTTTCTCTCATCCTGGACTCTTCTGAGGTAGCCATGGACTTGGCCCTCTCAGTAACCCAAGGACCAGTTAGAACACTATCTTGACATAATAAGCTGATTTTTGAAAGACACCCAGCTCTATTGCTGAGAGATAATACCTTCTGTACGAAAAATTTCTTGCGGGGCATAGTTACAGAATCATTCTGATTGACCAGATAAATCCCAAGATCACCAACAGACACGTGCACAGACCATGCAGGCCTTGAAATATATCTTTTCCATGAGTTGGAATCAGCTACACGACCATGACCCTGATCTTTCCACTCATCCATAACAGATGGTGAAGACAAATCAATAGCAATAAATTGATCCCAGGAACAGCGGCTTTGGATTCCTTTGTCCACCTCTAACGGAAAACAGAGTATTATCCGGGCACTGGTAATGGAGATATTACCTTGCCAGTTTTGAGCCGAGGAAGATGCACCGACAGTTCTTTTCGATTCATGAACTGAAGAGCCACGTTTCTCATGCGCAGATTTTAATCCATCATTCTGGTGACTGGTATTAGCAACGCTTCCGACATCCTTCACAAGATCCATTAACGTCTTTATTGATATCAAGTTCACCCAAAACGTGAAGTGTGGGAGAGTCAATGAAAATGCTGCTGGCATTTTTGCATCACGACTGGATGGATCTGAATTCACAACATATTGGCAATGAGTGATGCCAGATGTACTGAGCAATTTGATTTTTGTTTTTCCAGGGGGAATATCTGAACCATCAAGTATATTCCAATCATCTGAATTCGCAGCATTTTCCGGCGGGCCAATATGAGGGAGAGCACCATGTAAAGCAGCTTGTAGTTTTTGAATCCGAAGAGTCTGATCATGCCCATCATTAGAAGACCCATCCACGTGTCTGCCATCTTTTCCATTGTCTGAAATCTCAGCTACCTCGATACATCTCACAGTGCCATCAATTCTCATTTGTTGAGGACTTACCTGTTAAACTCATTAATATGAGCAGTGCAATAGAAATGGTGATACAGTATGCAAACAATGGAAATAGGAGCAGAAAATCTGAGACTGAATGTATTAATTACAACAATACCTGCACAACAAAAGAAATATCTTTGCATTCAGCAGTCACATGATGAACATCAGAAGCACTATCACTTCGATCACTGTTTGATTCACAGCAATATTGTTCGTCTTCATCTTGGAAGAACAAACTAATTGAAATTCCCGTCCAACAGACTCTGAGATTGGTCTGTATATGCTGCTTCTCTGTAGAAAGTGGAAATCAAAAGTAGATATAGAATTTTGGATACGTGAGAAAATACAGATGCCATTCACATCAACGAAAGAGAATTATCCAGACAGACACACCCTATTATCTCCCAGCACTTAGTTGACTTCTGTTCAATACAACTAGCTAAAAAAATCAAATAAAGCTCCATAAATCCTTGGCGCAACCATGATCCAAATTCAAAAGATGCTAATATCATCATGTAAGCCTCTAAACTATTCTTGAAGTCCCTGGCGAGTCACTAGGACTACATCACTCTTCTTCAATCGCTTCTCACATCAACATATATCTAGTGTAGCTAAATATGTATTTCAACAACACAAATTCGAAGGACATGAGTCCTATATTACAAAGAACCATAATTTAAGTAACAATGAGGTTACAGGTTTCAATATGGGAGTTAAAGCATTTACATTGTTCAACTGTCTGGATCATTCTCTTTCGTGAGCTTTGCTTTCTTAAATAATTCTCAATTACTAGAATGCCACTGCATATTGCATGAGCTGTTATTACAAGGGAATATATAGCAGTAGTTCGTATTGCTTAAGTTAGTTACTCAACAAAAGAACTATATAGACAAAGACCCTATTCAAGAAGACTTCAGTGACATCCTTGATGCACTACTGAACTATAAACAAAGAGACAGTATATACATAACCAATCAGTTGTTCATATAAAGCAAGGTAAGAGTGCACATACCAGATGTAACGAGGAAAGAACCAGAAGCAAGGCTAGAAGCAGCAGTTAAAGCACCAAATACCGAGCATGTCCAGCCCCACATCCCACTACTCCCCAAAGCTGACTGTGAATTTCTAAGTCCATCAAAACACTCAAAAAACTGGTCCACACTGCAAATAGACATGATAAAATGAGAGATTATACTCGGGTAGTTACATCGTTGAAGTGAGTCAGAGAGCACATCATGTTTCCTCAACAGAAATATATGATGTTTTTTTCTGTCGATATATGACTTTTTTGTCTAATTATCCAACTAACAAACATGTAGCCGAAAATACCAGGACTGTTTAGTGCCAGTAGGGCACAACAGAAGACTGCATTATTCCGTCTCTTACAAAAGCAATGAAATCATCTAACAGATGAGAAAGCATTAGTCTATATGCTATAGCAAAAAATGACACTAACCTTGCCCCAAGGTCAAGATCTTGCACACCATCTGTAACAGATTTTGGCATCCAGTCAGGTATAAGATGCGATCCAGGAAGAACAGAATCACTGAATGACTGTTGTCCTAATGAAGAACTTCCTGAAGCTGAAAGCAACTTTTCGGCTGGAATGAAAGCAGAACTTCGTGTTGATGAATAAAAATGAGAAGCTGAATTGAAGTAAACAGAGTCCGTAGACTTGAACTGCGTATTGGGAACACAATCCTTGTTCAAGGTCTTAAAACTCTCCCATGCATGAAGAAACCATTTGAGTGTACCAGGCCTAAGCCTTAATTCCACAGGATCAATACGAACATCAGCATCCACTTTGCGGAGATCTGGGGAACCATTATTCCAGGGGATACTCAACTTCAATTTCCCAGAAAATCCGTCCTCATTACCCAACATGATCGGAATTGACTGATTTGAGGTAAAGTCTGACGACATCACCTCACCAAAAACTGAAACTGATAGTGGTTCAGATTCACTATTGGCATCACCCATCTCCAGAAGTTCAAGTACCGCTCCTTGAAATTTTAGGAAGTATGCTAGCTGACTGATTCCTAGGAAGTCGTCAGTGGCTCCATTAGAAGTTGAAGAACCATCTTCAGAATCACCCCTCCCAAATTCCACTTCAGCTACGCGTAAGACCAAGATTTTGCGGCAGCCTACTTCCTTATCATACTTTTCCTTGTAAGGTTCAAATGCAACCAGCAAGTTTTTTATCTGAACATGGAAGCTGGTCAATAACCATGTAACCATTTTCGCGATCGTCTTTACACCTTCATGGATGTCAGCAGAACCGGATTTTGCTACCGGGTCCAAATCATTACCTAGTTTTCCAGGCTCACCATGCATCAAGGATATTTTATCTTGAGTCGAACGACATTTATCACCATAGGTAGATGTTTCATTCTCTAAACATTGTCCAAGCACAAGCTCAAGCTCGTCCACTTCAATCTCAATCTCGAAACCATTATCCTTCCGGCACAATTTAACAGAAAGAGAGCCTATTGATCCTTCCTTTATAATCACAGACGACTGGGCACCCCACTGGAGGACATTGCAAAAATCAAAGAAATATAGCAATTAGAAGGTCCCAAAACGATTAGCCTTCTTGCTAAATGCTAAAAATAGTTAAAATACTACCATAACATACAGATGAACCAGGAATGCGAGCACCACCACACTTCAGTGTTCATAGAACTAGCATTCTGAGTTACAGAGATTCCAAAATTCAAGAACAGGCAACTTCCTCAAATAGAAACAAACACGAGAGACCCTTCCTCCGCAATTGAACTATCTTATCACCCTCAACCATTTTTGCCTCCACGCTTCCTCCCACACTAACACTCAGACAGGGATGGATAAGTCCAAACACTAAAACTTAGGTTGCACAAATAGGCTGGAAAAAAAAAAAAAAAGCAAAGCTTCCCCTTCTACTTCAAAAAGGAAAGAGAGACTCGAATTCACCTTGTACAAAGAAAGACAGAAAGAGGGAGACAAACAAAAGATGAACAAATTCAATGCAACAGCGTGAATTTCCGAGCAATTACCTGCTCATTGAGATAATCAACGTTAAGGGCGAGGTCCTTTAGCTGGATAGCGCCTTGCCCGAGCTCAAGCTGATGAAGATCAATATCCCCCAAAATCAGCTGCCCTAGTTTCTTCTTCAACATAAACTGAAGCAGCTTCTTCCTCGCCCACTGCGGTATGTTCCACGGGGACATCGTTGCGCCGCCTCCTTATCCCCGCAAACCTAGCCTTCGCCTCCGTCTCCGCAGATATGGATAAGTTCTCAGCTCCGGAGCGGAATTCGTAGCTCAGAAGTTTGGATTATGATGATGCGAAGGTGGAATTAGGGTTGGCGTTTCTTGTTAGGCCGCCGGTGGTGAAAGCGTGGCAAGCTCCGGTCATCCATCAACCAGCGATGAGAAAGAAAAAACGACAGGGAAGAATGTTTAATGCTAAAGCAATCATTTATCTTTGACGACTGGAGTTTTGGACGGTATTCATATTTTTTTTTCCCGTGTTGCGTTGAGTTTTGTCAACCGTCGTGGTCTGTTTTTAATATTTTTAAATTCCGGATTAATTCTAAATTGAATTTCGACATAACAATTTCTTTTGGGCCTTCTGCTAAACTATTTTCATAAGCAAAAGGTTGCAAGGAAAAGGCCTAGTACATAAAAATTAAATTATCATTATCAGAATTATATTTTATTTTTATTAATTAAAGTGTAAGTTCCAAAAAATGCAAGTTACTGTTCTTTAAGAAAAACTCAAGAGTTTACTATTTACAAGAGAGTTGGAGAATTCGTTGTGGGCAAATTCATGTGAGCTCATTTTCACTTTAGTTGAGTTAGTCAAGCGTGATCGTTGATGTGATTTTCAATTTCTTAAATGCATGAGCTCATATAAAACCAGTGGCACGCAATTTATTTAATAACAAATTTGATTAAAAAATAACGAGGAAACAAAAAAAGACAAGAAAATTTCAGTTAAAAAGATCATCGACTGTCGCTCTCTCCTGCCTCACTAAGCACGTTGAATGGAGAATTTCAGACACCTCAAACGCAATGAGTTATCGAGAGAGTGAGTCTGAGTGAGAACGATAAAGAGAGTCATGCCTGCACGTTTATGGGTCAACACAATCAACCAACTGCAGAAGATGGCTCTTTCGATTAAGCTAGGAATCCAATGCTCTACGACATTGATCCAGTTCATTGCCAAAAACACTGTTCCATATTTGCACAGTCAGATACTCGGATGTGTCTCTCATGTTCTTGAACATTTAAAACTTGTGCAGATTGTCGTCTGCATTGATCCATCCTTCAATCAAAAGATTGCTAGACTATAGAACTGTTTGCTGGCAGCCCCCAGCTCCAGAACTCTGTAGTTGTTGGTTGTTACACATGCACAGGCACGATTGTTCTGAACAATTTTGTAACATTTACAGGAAAAAAATAAGGAATGTGGACTATGTGCAGTCTTTAAGCATGAACATTCATCTACGACGAAGTAGAAGTTGAAACATTAGCTTGATCCAGGATGATGATTGTTATGTAACTTTGGAACTGAAGTAGTACTGAAGACAGAAGAAACCCTCAGCTAAGAAATCCTACGTTTATAACCATAAATCTCTTCCCTACAATCGGCCACACTGAAAGACCAATGGAAAATTCCATGTCGAGAGTTATCTGCCGATGACAAAAATCAGCAATTTCTGCTGCAGTTGTTTGGGAGTCTTCACCTAGCTACGACTAAAATTACAGGTCCGATGGTTAAGAGTGACACTGGCGTACCTTAGGAAAGCTAGCCTTTCCACAGCACAAAAGGAATGCCTACTGCTACCAGCGCCCAAAACAAAATCCCCCATTTTCAGCTCCAAATGGGACACTACTTTCGACCTGCACAAAAAGATAGCACATAGCAGAAATCAGAATCCACCCTGTAAAATCACCATCAACAAGAGCAAAGTTGTCTGTACTCAGAAAGCACGAGTCCTGATTTCAAGTACACTATTGTACTGCGTCGAGACCTTCTATCGAGAAATCTAGACGAGAAGGTTTGAGCTGATCCGGTAGACTATTCTAGTATTCTACTAGTTCGACCTCTAGTCGATTCGTATTAAGCAACGTCTAGAGACAAGCTTCTTGGAGCGTTATTAAGAACCCGGAAATGCAGTTCTTACCTGTTCTGATCCGTTTAGAACGCCTCCTAGTGCTGTCCAAATCATCGTCTTCCTCGTTCTTGTTTTCCTTCTCTGCAGCTTTCGCCTTGGCCTGCTTTCCCTTCTCTAAGGCTTCATCTTCTTCCTCCTCCTCATCTTGGTTTTCCTTCTCAGAATCGCCCCCCACTTCATTTGCCCTAATGATATATACCTGAGCCACCATACATGAACTTCACTAAACCACCCTCTCATATCCTTGGTTGGAGACCAAAAGAAGACCCAATCCACAGAGGGAGAGTGTTTAGGTAAAAAGGGTTGGCTCAACCTTGAACTCTGTGGGGCTGACCAGCTGGAATACCAATGCGTCTCCATCGACCAGCTCGTGATCAATGGCGAACCCTCTCCAACCGCCACTGAGACCAGTTTTCCCAGCAAGGTACTTGGTCTGAGATGGCTCTTCTCCCTCGTCTATCAACGTCATCATCTCGTCCTCCTTCGGAAGGTACGTCTTGCAGAAGAGGGATGGCAGCCCCTAGAAAAAAAGGGAATTTTTCTCTTGTTGACTAACCAAAATTACAAAATTTCATATCACACCATGGTAAATGAATCGGAATTCGGAACCCAAACTCACCAGCCAAAACCCTCCAGTGACATGGGACTGGAGCATGGGTTTCACAAAGCTCGGATGCTCAGGATCCAGGGTGGATTGAAGTTCTTCAGCTCTATGAATCGCATATTGCCTTACCTCACTAGATGCATACACACGATTCAGCAGATCTCTTCTCTGGTAGCGAAAGGTCCTGGAATGGAAGTGCATCCATCACAGAGGAAAACCCTAATTATTACAGTCATGAGAAATGAGAAACAATTGAGAGAGCAAACCTTCTTGTTTCGCCTAATGGCTCCACTGGTCCCTGCCAGAAATTTCAGGGCATCGATCAGAAACTCGAATCTCGAACGGGGTAGTGAGAGAGAGAGAGAGAGAGAGAGAGAGAGAGGCGGAGTAGCACTTACTTCCCTGTAGCTAACGGAGGGCTGGTCCGCTATTCGTGACGACCTCCTCGCCGGAGCCAGCACCGCCGGCCGGCGAGCTCTGGGTTTCGCCTGCTCGACGGAGACTTCCCATTAAAGCCGGCGCTCTCCGTAAACGACTTAGAGTGAGGGAAAAAGAAAGCGAGCGAAGAGCATTACATCACTTACAGGGGAAGGATTGGAGGTGGGATTGGGTTGGGGACGAAGATGCTTCGCGAGCTTCAGCAAGTTGAGGTCTTCCATCCTCTTCTTGTTCTCTTCCACCCTCTGCCGCCGGACTTCTTCGTAACTCGTCACCTTCTTCTTCGCTCCCGCCATTGTTGAAATTTCTTCTCCGGACCAAAGATCTGCAGCAGAGTCTTCTGGCTGCTTTTAGGGTTTCGGTCTTTTCCGCTCCGCCTCGTCGTGTGCAAGTCGGCGGGAGATGAAGCGACGAAGGAGAGGAGCAGCAAAAATGGAAACTGTAGCGCTCGGTCTAAAATTTCAAAATTCGAAGACAGTAGTAGACACCTATTAGTCATACTTACTCGTTGCTACTACTACTATTGCAATTTAGTCTATTTTCATCCCTGAAGTTATGCCCAACCTACGATTTGGTCCTCATCCTTCTTTATCTGTACGATTCAGACATTTTCTCTTCTCAACATATTGTGTTCCAAAAGAAGCTGAGGAATTGAGATAACTGGACTAAATTGACCTGTTTGCCGGAACAAAATTTGGATTGAAAATTTTTGAATCGATACATTTTGGATAAATTTTAATTGTCTGAGCTCGGATTGATAATTCGAATCGATTCGTTATAAATGACTCGTTTTAACAATCAATTGTGAGAATTGACCGTCACGTAGGAAAATTCTAACTAGAATGGATGAATGGGTGACCAAAAATGAAACGAGAGTTAAAAATTAGTGAGCACTAATATAAATATAATTAAGAGATTCTAACGACAGACAAACGTGAAGCAAAATAGTAAACCCAATAACCAAACATATCATTAGTCGCGTAGTATCACACATGCCCATAAAGACCGGCAATCAAAATGTGATAAGTAATAATAAGCAATAATAACAAATTCCAGTTGAACTGTCGATACGATTTCACATACACTCTTGATTTTAGCAGATCCATTCACATCCTCTAACTTTCAAAGCTAATGACAAAAGCATACACGCCATAGAAAAAAGTGTCTCATCTTCCTGCCTAAGTAATAGGGCATTCTACTTCCTGTCTTCCTCCTACCTTTCATCAATCACCATGGAGCATTTGCCAACGCCACAAACTCGCTGTCAATCCCACTTCCGCCACTCAACCTCTCAATCTTCCCACGCAGTACTTCCATCCTTTCTTTCGCCTTCCCGACCTGCTTCTCCAGATCGCGCAGTTCCTCTTCTGCAGCCTCCCTCTCCTCCACCAGCCTCGCGCACCTGTTCGTTGCTTGATCAGCAAGGCACGCCAGCTTCCTCAATCGAGCCAGTAGGAACCCCATACCCAGCTTCTCAAAGGCCTTCAACTTCTTCTCCCACGCCTCCAAATCGTCACGCTGCCCTGAGCTCGACACTGCTCCTCTGATGGCATAAGCAATGCTCACAACATCATCGATCATACCGGCAATGATCTTGGCGTTGAGCCCCTCGAGCAGGCCTCGGTGCAGATACGAGCCCTGGCTGCGGCACAATTGGTAGTACTTGAACCTAACAAGCTCCGGGAGTTGGTCGTCGATGACTGAGCCACTCGCAACGATTTCAAAGTCGTCAAAGCATTCCACTCTGTCGTCGAAATCATTATCAGCAATGGATTCTGGCAACTTGCTGTCACTTCCACTATGAAACCCTTTATCTGGCTCAGACCCAACATTACCATGATCATCATCATCATCATCCATGAAACCATTGCTGTCATCTTTACCATCCTCTGCATCAACCCAAAACAATTAGACATTCATTATTCAACCCTTTACCCCACTGCAAGCCAATAACTGAACAATCAGCCCAAATATGTCTAAAGATAAATTGCTTACCACGATTAACAGCTCGCGAACTTAAAAGACTGTGATCGACACCCACTTCCTTTGAGGCGGCATCTGCCCTCACAATGTGAACCTGAACAAGTGCAATAGTACCAAGGTGAAGTACATGGTTACTGTCAAAAACCAGTTGATCCCAATAATTCGAGTTGTTGAGAGAGGTTCAATCGTGGATCATATATCACACACTAACACGTCCCCTCAAACAAAAGTCACTCACAAGGGCTTGAAGCTTGCACAGATCCACATACCATGTGCTTAACAAATGGGGGTTACCAGAATTCGAACACAAGACCTCTCTCGATCACATAAAACTCTGATACCATGTCAAAAACCAGTTGATCCCAATAACTCGAGTTGTTGGAAGAGGTTCAATCATGAATCATATATCACTCACTAACAGTTACAATCCGTCTTTCTACTATACAAACACAATGAACCAGGACGTACCTGGAATTCGAATTGAGGGAGGATCTGGAAAACCAGAGCATCTCCGACCTCTAACTTGTGATGTTTGGCGAAAGCTCTCTACCCTCGGCAGATTTCGCGCCTGCCCCGATAGTAATCAAGATGGAACACCTCCCCATCCTCCCCTTTTAACCCGATCGTTCGATCCGCCGGTGGCAGATTCTCGTCACGGACTTCTTTGGGTAGCAACTGTTACACCAAAGAAAGAAAGAAAGAAAATCCAGATTTTGATATGAGAGAAAACCAAGCACGCGCATTGCAATTTCACAGTTACTTCCACACTTGACCCAAGCAGAGCAAAACAGACAGAAGTACCAAATGGAATTGAGGAGCGACGTTGGAGCGCGTCATGATCTTGATAAAGGTAGGATAGCCACCATCTTTCTTCAGATTGGCTTCAATGCCCTTTGCCTTCCTCATTACATTTGGGTAGGCAGCTTCGTATAAACTCTCCACTGCCGCCTTCCTACTCTTCTTCTGGCTGAGAAAAAAAGCCGATTTGGAATCAGAAACTCTGAACCCCAACAGTTTTTTTTTTACCAATGACGATGAAACAAATCAATTACGTACCTTTGTGGCTCGATCTCCGGCGGGAACTCTCTGTTCTTGTTCTGCTAAAACAGAGGAGAAATAAAAAAAAAAAAAGGTTCAGCAATGGCTTTCCACTAAAGTTCACTTTCACCCTTATAAAACGAAAGCGGGCGAATGTTTAATCACTTACAGGGGAAGGATTGGGGGAAGGATTAGATTGGGGACGAAGATGCTCGGCGAGCTTCAGCAAGTTGAGGTCTTCCACTCTCTGCCGACGGACTTCTTCGTAACTCATCACCTTCTTCTTCGATCCCACCATTGTTGAATTTCTTCTCCGGGCCAAAGATCTGTGGAAGGTTCTTCTGGCCGCCTTCAGGGGTTTCAGTCTTTCCCGCTCTGCCTCGTGTGCAAGTCGGCGGGAGATGAAGCGACGAAGGAGAGGAGCAGCAAAAAATGGCAAACTGAAGCGCACGGTCTAAAATTTCAAAATTCGAAGACACTTTATTAGTCACACTTACTAGTTGCTACTACTACTATTGCAATTTAGTCTATGTTTCATCCCTGAAGTTGTGCCCAACCTACGATTCGGTCCTCATCCTTCTTTATCTCTACGATTCAGACATTTCCTCAACATATTAACATATTGGGGTCCAAAAGAAGCTGAGGAATTATACGATGGATCGATTTGATCCAATTGTCTTGTTTTGGGGTTAATTGCATGGTTGGTCACTGAGATTACAAAAAACGTTCAAATTTGGTCACTCGAAATATTTAAATTCATTGGTGGTACTTCAGTTTACTGAAACCGTTCATGTTTGGTCACTCTCCGTCCAACTTCGTTAACTTTTGTTTATGTGGCGGTCAAATCTAAAAGTTGACCGTTAAATATGTGACGTGGCAATTAAAAAAAATTAAAATTAAAATTTTCAAATTTGCATATCTCATTTCCACCTCATTATCACTTTTATTTAAAATAAATTAAAAAATCCTATTTTTTTCTAGTAACCAATATCAATATCCTGCAATCGTTCCTTAACGCCTTCTCCTCCCAAATAACTAATTGTTCCTTAACGCCTTCTTCCCCACAAACCCTTTACCCTCTCGAGGCAATCCCATCCTTCCTTTTAATCCTCTCTCTGTTATTTGACTTATTTCTCTCTAACACCTTCCTCACCACACGCCTCCCCGCTTCCCCAACCTCTCTTTCCGGCCGCCGCACTGCTCAACTCTAAGCGGCAGAGACGGATTCCTCTTCATCATCGGTAGAGAGTTGCCCGAGCTTTTCCCCTTCCTCTCCGGAGTACTCCGATTCGACGCCGTGCGGATCGGCTGCTGCTTCCCCTTCCTCCTCTAATCTCCTGAGCGCTCCACCTCGTCAAATCCAAGAATTCGCAGTCCAAGGTCGAGGGAAATCCACCGCCTCGTCAAGACCACACAGTGGTGCCGCCGCCTGCTCGCTCACGTCGTTCCGCTACTCGTCTCGATGCTCCGGGTGCGTGACTCCGCCGACTGCCACGAGGAATCGACACATTCAGGTGGATTTCAATTCCGAGGAATCAGAGACATCTAATGGCTCGAAACTAAAGACCCCACCGTTTGGCGACCATTCTAGCTCGGAAGAGTGGCTTGACTGACAATCGAACCAGAATCTAGAGGATTACTTCGTCGGGGAAGAACTCCACCGTCGTATTCATGAGTTAAGGAGACGGGACTGGCTGAATTGGGGACTAGAAAAAATTAGGATTTTTTATTTATTTTAATTAAAAGTGATAATGAGGGGACAATTTTGAAAATTTTAATTTCATTAATTTTTAATTGTCACGTCACATATTTAATGGTCAATTTATAGAGTTGACCGCCACATAAGCAAAAGTTAACGGAGTTGGACGGAGAGTGACCAAACATGAACTGTTTCAGTAAGCTGAAGTACCACCAATGGATTTATATATTTCGAGTGACCAAACTTGAACGTTTTTTGTAATGTCAGTGACCAACCATGCAATTAACCCCTTGTTTTGAGATAATTGGACTAAGTTGACCTGTTTGTCATAATAAAATTTGGATGGATCAATTTGGTTTGGAAAATTTTGTTACGATACATTTTGGGTAAATTTCAATTGTCTAGGTTGGGCCGCAGTGGTGGAGGGAGAGCTTGAGGAGAGGGGTCCTAGGACCCCACTTAGCAAAAAATTTGGGTACTAAAACCTTTTAAATATATGTGTTTTAGTATGATTCTTGAAATATAGGATCCCATACTTTCGTGGATACCCTTTCATATAAGGACCCCAATAAATTCAAAAATTTTAAGGACCCCGATCCATCTAAAGTCTAGCTACGCCACTAAGTTGGGGGTTAATAATTCGAATTGATTCGTTATAAATGACCCGTTTTAACAGTCACGTAGGAAAATTTCAACTGAAATGCATAAATGGGTGACCAAAAATAAAATGAGAGTTAAAAAAAATTTATGTGATCGCTAATATCACACATGCCCATAAAAACTAGAATTATAGAAATCAAAATGTGGTAAGTAATAGTAAGTAATAATGACATATTCCAGTTGGACTGGCGATACGATTTCACAAACACTCTGGATTAATTCACATTCTGTAACTTAAATCGAAGTCAAATCTATATGCTATCCTAAGCTGTTGCATATACCCTAACTTTTCGAGCTAATGACAAAAGCATATACACCATAGAAGAGTCTCTCATCTTCCTGCCCAAGTAATAGCAATCTGCTTCCTCCCTGCACAAAAGCAGATCAAACTTCCTACTTCCTACTTCCTTCTACCTTTCATCAATCACCATGGCGCATTTGCCAACGCCACAAACTCACTGTCACTCCCACTCCCACCATTCAAACTCTCAATCTCCCCGCGCAGTACTTCCACCCTTTCTTTCGCCTTCCCAACTTGCTTCTCCAGAACACGCAGCTCCTCCTCCGCTGCCTCCCTCTCCTCCACCAGCCTCGCACGCCTGTTTGTTGCTTGATCAGCAAGGCACGCCAGCTTCCTCAATCGAACCAGTATGAAACCCACACTCATCCCCAGATTCTCGAAGCCCTTCAACTTCTTCTCCCACACCTCCAGATCCTTACTCTGGCTCGAGCTCGACAGTGCTCTGATGGCATAAGCAATGCTCGTAACTTCATCGATCATCCAAGCAACGATCTTGGCGCCAAGCCCCTCCAGCAGGCCTTGGTGCAGAAACGATCCCTGGCTGCGGCACAACTGGTAGTACTTGAACTTAACAAGCTCCGGGAGTTGGTCTTCGTCGTCGATGACAGAACCATTTGCAACGATTTCAAAGTCTTCAAAGCGTTTCACTCTGTCGAAATCATCATCTGCAATGGATCCTGGCAACTTGCTGTTCTTGCTATCACTTCCTCTTTGAAACCCTTTATCTGGCTCAGACCCAACATTATCATTATCATCATCCATTAACCCATTTCTGTCATCGTTTTCTTCCAATTTTACTCCTAAACTTCCATCCTCTGCATCAACCCAAAACAATAGGCATTCATGATTCAACCCTTTACCCCCCTGCAACCAACAACTGAACTATCAGCACAAATATGTCTATAGCTAAATGCTTACCACCATTAACAGTTCGCGACCTTAAACGACCATGATTGACACCCACTTCCTTTGAGGAATTTTCCCTCACAATGTAAACCTGAACAAGAACAACAGATTCGTAGCTTATAAGGAGCATGCACATTTCCCCCACTGAAATTCTACCGCAGCTAAGAAATTACCTTGAACATCAAGGGACTGACAAGATGAAGAACCAGAGCATCTCCAACCACTAATCCATGGTAACTGGCAAAAGCCCTCCACCCTCCGCGGATCCTGCTATCACGCCAGTAAAAATTGACCAGGAAACCCTTCCCATCTTCCCCTTCTAAGGTGACCTGCTTGTCCGCGCTTGGCATATACCACCCACAGAATGCTCTAGATAGACACTGGTCACAACAACAACAAAAAAATCAAGCTCCACTCATGCACCAATTGACGGGTAGAACACGAAGTAACAGGCAGTAAACCGTAATAGGGTTTTTCTTTCTTACCAGCTTATAATCTCGAGCAGTGAAATTGGAGGGCGTCAGGAGCCTGATCAGTGTAGGATTCCCGTCGGTTCTCTTTAGATCGGCTTCAATTTTCGCGGCTTTCGTCTTTACGGTACCCACAATCTCGGCATTTGCAGATGAACTGTCCGGCATCACCTTCCTTTTCCCCTTGCGGCTGAATGATAGTGACGACGCAGAGTTGTTGATTCCGTCCTGTCAGATTTCTAACAGTTAGCGAAGGTACAGAAGGAGCCCAGAAGAGCAGAAAGCAAGCCAAGCGTAACCCAGGAGAAAAAAAAAATTTAAGGAAAGGTGGGTGGGAAGGGAGCTTCACGCCTGCTTCATCTTCCGATAGCTACAAAGTTCTTCTTCAAGCTCCGCGACCTTCTCACTGCAGCAAAAAAATAAGTATCAGCAATGGCGTTCCAGAGAGATTGGGTAAGTTAAAAATGAACCTTTTCTCTCTGCAGCGGAAGAGCGGCGGCCATGGCGAATGGGTATGTTACTTCAGCTACAAGGAGTGAGGAAATACAGCAGCAAGTCAGCAACAGCTTTTGAAATAAAACAAGTTTTTGATCCACCTTTTCGTTTCTACCACGTCTGTAGGTAAAAAAAAATTATACTGCGGACAAACTGTTGGTCACCAGCTCTGCATTCGTTTTGTTTTTTCTCCCCGTAAAACTAACAGGGCTGCCCATTTCGTGGCGAAAACAACTCTTGCATCGGCTAATCAGCATTTGGCTGATTTCCGTTATCTTCTTTTCAATTCATTGTAATGCCCTATCTAATACATTCTACCTTAGCAAAAAAAAAAAAAACTGTTGGTCACCAGCGAGGTAACTGGAGCAGCAGGTTATCAGATGTACAACTGTCAGACTGTGGATGATTTCTTTTGCAAACTGTAAAAAAAAAAATTCACCTTTTTACTATTAGCAAGGTTGCAGTTTTTTGTACTAATGTCATTGTAACTCATATGATTGATTGCCCAATACGTACCAACAGAAATGGTGTAATGTTTTGAGTTCATGCAAAATATTCGACAAATTTATCCGATTACATGTGACTCATATCGCAACTCGTACCGATCAAAATCAAAATACAAATTATATTCAAACATAGAACTAGAATGCATAGATTTCCTTCAAAAAAAGAACCAGAATACCTAGACCAAAAGTCATTCTACATAACCATACGCATACTTCCTAAGCATCACATTCTACAAGAAGCCGACGTTCAACCCGAGCTGCTCGAACCCTCTCAGCTTGCTCTCCCACGTCTTAAAATCGATGCCTCGCTCCGCGGAACCAACCACTGACGAAGCAGCGATGATGCAGCCGGCAATGCTGACTGTGTCGGCAATCATGCCCGCAACGATCCTGCCATCGAGGCCCTCGGAGCAGGTGTTGGTGCAGATAGGAACCCTGGCTGCGGCAGAGATCGTAGTACTTCGATCGAACGAGCTCCGAGAGTTCGTCATCGATCACCGAACCATTCGCCGCGATTCTGAAGTCGTCGTAGCGTTTCACTTGCTCGAAATCGTACGCAGCAGGTTCCATTACTTTGGCCTTGCTATGGCTTCCGGTATCAAACCCACCATTATCCGACTCCGACCGATCATCGTCACCATCACTATCATCGTCCACATCAATAACAACAATGTCATTGCCTTCTTTAACTTCTGCTGCTAAGGGCTCAAAGCAAACACACAGCAACATTCAGGTCTTCAGTTATCAACAGCAACCAAAATATACGCCGGAAAAAAAGCCAACATAATTAGAACTTACCACCCTTAACAGCATGATCCGCCTTCAAATGGCTATGATCAGGATCCACTTTCTTAACCTTTAAGGCATTTGCCCTCACAATGTGAACCTGAACAAGTGGCAAGTGCAATATTACCAAGGTAAGTACTGACAAGCCCATATATGGTGGCTTTCGTTTAAAGCTGTGTGTTAGTATCACGAGCGAGGTTGGTGCGCGTGCTGATCCTGATCAAGGTAGGATAGCCATCCTTCTTCAGATTAGCTTCAATGGCGATTGCCTTCCTCTTAACATTTTGGTGGGCAGCTTCGTATAAACTCTTCACTGCCGCCTTCCTACTCTTCTTCTGACTGAGAAAAAAAGCCGATTTGGAATCAGAAACTCTGAACCCCAACTGTTTCCCCCCCCCCCCCCCCCCCCCCCCCCCCGACGAATGACGATGAAACAAAGCAATCACGTACCTTTGTGGCTCGATCTCCGGCAGGGAATTGCTGACTCCATCCTGCTTCCTCTTCTGATAGGTAATAGCGGGAACTCTGTTCTTGTTCTGCTAAAACAGAGGAGAAATAAAAAAAAAAGGTTCAGCAATGGCTCTCCTTTCACCCTTATTTAAAAACAGAACGAAACTTTCTTACATCTTCGTCTTCTTGCTCATCTTGGCCGTTCCTGTCAAAAGAAGAACAACCATGCGTGTACTCATTAGGAAACAGAGACAATCCCAAGACAGGAGAGGTAAAAAGCTTGGGATATACTGATCGAAATTCTACACTAAATACAGTTCTCTCTCTATCTTTCTCTTACTTCTCCATAAGACACTCCACTCCTCGATAGTTTTCTAAGGTGAAATCTTTTAGTCAGACTCTGTTCGATAAACTGCAAATATGTACCAGATGAAGTGATAGCACTAGTACTACAATGATAGCGATATCAGTGATAACATTATCGATGGAGTGATAGCGTTATCACTTCATCAGATAACGTTATCAGTGTATATAACACTACCACTAGAAGAAAAAAAACTATCACTCGACCTAAATGCAAAAAAAAGAAGAAGATATATTAAATAAAAAAATCACACTTATGAAGAAAATATGAAGGGGAGGAGAGGAAGAGTAGCAGTGGAAGGACGCGCACTGGCAAAGAGACGAGTAGAGGAGGTAACGACGACGACGTCAGTGAAAGAGGGCGGCAGGAGAGAGGAAGGTGGCCGGCAGGAGAAAGGCGGTGACGACGTTAATGGATGACACCAACGATTCGAGATTGGAACATGGAGAGGAGATTCGACAGGGATGGGAGCGCAACAGCCGAGAGGAGATGAGGAGGGGGACGACGACGGCACAGGAGGGAGGGGGGGAGGCAACTAGGGTTTTCGATTACCATTCCTACTTACAAGTTACAACCAATACTGAATTGGCTGGATGGTTGAGACAGCATGTCCATGAATTTATTGTTGTAAAACATGAAAGGGGGGTACGCTTTTTCAACCCAAAGACCTTACACACTGTTTCATTTTTTGGCGTCTAGCGTCCAAGTAGTGTAAAAACTCCTCCAACGCAATCTTTCACCCGCAGCCGTACGCAGATCCCCTCGGCCTTATCCTCAATTCAGCAACTGCAGATCGCCATACATACTCCACGGCAGCGGTACTGTAGCCATGCCTTGCCTAAGCTCAGTTTCCACCGAAACCTACCGCCGTTCACCTCGGCCTGGTCCTCTATCCAGCAACAGCCATACCGTTCCTCACTCAGTTTCCCAGCAACCGCAAGTCACCACCCATACTCCACAGTCAGTATTGCTGTATCCGTACCGTACCTGCGCTAAGTTTGCCCGAGAACACGCATACCCCGATCATGTCTATCTCTTCCCCGTTCTATTCTGCTGTCCCCAATTTTCCCACTCCCTTGACCCCTTCTCGCATGCTCGCTCACGCAACCGCCCATACTTTCAGCACCGTGTGGTTTGCTTCACTCTCTGCAGGTAAGATTGCTCTCTTCTCGCTCAAATCCTACTCTTCTGTTTCACCTCTCATTCTATTCTTTTGCTTCCTCTTTCTTCCCGTCAACACCACAGCCGTCCGGCAAACCTGCTCAGTCGCTTTTACCTCTTCTCCTTGCCGCCATGAATCATGTCGTCCTCTCGAAGCTGGCCTGGACGGACAAAAGTCCTGCTGTCAAATTGCGCCTCCTCCATACATGGATGGCTGGGAACCCTTCCCGGCCCGACGGGTTCTCTGAATACGCTACACTTTGGACGGACGAATTGGTAAGTTCTCTCCACTTTGGGTTTCTGCTGCTTCGCGCATGTGCTTGCTTTTCCTGATTCTAACCTTCCCTATTCTTCTGCCAGGGGGTGCTGGTACAAGGGCTTGCCTCCAAGCATCTGTCGGAGCAATTGAAGGAGGTTCTTTCTGTTGGCAAGATTTACTTTGTCACACAGTTCTCCCAACGTGAGGCAAAAAAACGCTGGGCACCCTGCTCGAATGATCGCCTTCTCCATTTTACTTCATCCACCACTTTTGTCCTCGCTGATGAGGATGCTTCGAGTTTCTGTGCTGATAGCTTTGAGTTTCGCCGCTTCGAGGACCTACACGGCATTGCTTCTCGAGCTGAACACTTAGTTGGTTCGTTCTCCATCCTTTTCTCACGTGTGCACCTGATTCCACCCTCCATTCTGAATTAATTCCTTTTCTTAGATGCTGTTGGTCGGCTGGTGTCTGCAACACCTGTCACCTATTTCCAGAAACAACATCGGTCCATCAAGAAACAGGCTGTTGTCATTGAGAATGAGCGGTTAGTTCTCCTTACACTTCTTCTATTACAGTTATTTACCCTCGGGTAACCATCTCATGCCCTTCAACGGTTCGCAGCGGAGCCTCACTGCCAGTTACGTTGTGGGCGGAGTTTGCTGATAAACTGCCCCTGGCTGAACTTATTCAACTGGACGGGGCTGCACCAATTGTCGTCGCGTTTACTAGCCTCAATCTGTCCCTGTGGCGTGGTACGAATATCCGTGTTGCTTTCCTTTTTACCTTATGTTCAGTGTATGTTGTTTACTAGCTTACTTAACATTGTATGCAACATTCTTGGTTACTTTGTGTGTTAGTCTGGAATTGCCCTTAAGTTTCCATAACTAACTTCATTCTGCTTTTGCCTCCTGCTCTAGCTAACTCCTAAACTGCATATTATCCTTTGCACTTTAACAATTTCACCCCTTGCCAACGGTACTCACTGGTGCCTGTGATTTGCAAATATTCCACAAGCTTCCATCTTTACCCCTTACCTTTGCCATGTTGTCCTGCCTTCCTTTGTCGTGTGGTTACATGTGCATGCTTACCACTTTGCTTATCTAAATCAACCGATGTCTAAAGCTTTTACCCCACCCTAACTGAACTTCCTTGCTCTGGTTTGTTAGTTGTATATCTTTTCCTGACCCTCGACTCTTCTACTCTAGGGAATGTTGGCGCGTCCAACACTTCTGCAACTCGCATAGTCATTCGCCCAACGGTCCTAGAGGCTCAATCTCTCGCTTTACAGTATGTACAACCTCAGTTGTAGATGTTCACGCTCTTCTGCCTCGGTGTATAAGTTTGGATCCTCATTTCTCTTATGCAGCTTCGGTTATGTTATTGGGGCTATTGGCATTGTTCCGGTTGAGAATGACACTCCTGAGAAAGCAGCAACAGTTTACCATGAATCTTTCAAGACAATCACAGAACTCCAAACTATTCAGTCCACTTCTACCATGGTTAGTGGTTTTCCCTACCTACTAATTTGTCGTCACTCTTCTGTTCTGCATCTTGCTCATTAGTCACCTTACTGTTCTTGGGGGCCATACGCATTATAGGGAGGAAGATTCCGTTGCAAGGCCACGATCACTGATATAGACATGTCACGTGATTGGTGCTATCTCGGGTGCGCTGTGTGTTCTAAGGCTGCCATCCGACGTGATGCCCCTTTTTGGTGCGAGAAGTGCGATGTCACCGTCCACCCGCACCAACTCAAACAATGGTGATCTTGCATCACTTGCCTCCCTTTTTTTCCTGTTCCACCAGTAACCTATTCCAAACTAATTAACAATGGTTGCTTCCATTCTGTATACCAAGTTTTCGCATACGGTTCATGGTCCACGACGGTACTGCGTTCACGCCTTTCCTGGTACTTGGACAAACTGCAGACAGCCTTTTGGGAGTCTCTGCGGCCTCACTGTTTGCTGCTGCCCCAGATCGTGGCGCCGGTTATCCTCCAGAAATAGAGGAATTAGTTGGCAAGGAATACATCTTCCTACTGTACCTTCCTGTGGGCCAGGTTTCAGACTCTATGGATGACATGGTTGTCTCCAGTATTGAGAAAGATGAGCAGCCCGCCTTCATAGACAGACAGCCGCATGGGCCACAGTTTCAGAAAAGGCATTCAGCCACCATTGCCACGGTGCCACAGCTAATGCCTCCGAGGTTTGTTCTCGGCAACCTAGCTTTCCACCATTCACACCTTCAAACACTAATGTTACCTTACTATACTGCTTAGATCCACAAACTACATCCAGCACGCACCTTCAAACAGCTCTGACATAACGGTTTTTGCATCGCCGACCAAGCGTCTTCGGGACGTTTCCCCAAGGTGCGGGTTTGCCCCCACACTTCGTAATGTTTGTTCTCAATTTTTACCTACTCAACCTGCCTGTCAGGTCTCTAATTAACCTCCTCCTTTGCAGTACTTCCATGGTCGACAATCCTGTTTCTCAGGAACACACAGAGTTCAGGGCCCCGCGACCAGTTCAGACCTTAGATATGAGGTAGCCTCCACTTCTCATGCTTCTTTCATTATAGCGACACCTATTCCGAACTTCCCATGCTGCTCATGCGGGGTAGGGTACTGTCTTATATTGTCAGGCCTACCCGGGTAGCATGCCTTTTACCACACCATGTTGAGGGTCTTACCTTGAAATTCCCGTCCTACCTTCTTACTTGAATGCTTTTTACGTTCTACCTCATGCATGACCTGATCCTACCTTCTCTATGAACTATTTATCCCGTTATTGTTTCTATCATTGCCAACCTGTTCTCGCCAATTTCATCATAATGCTTTTTGACAAAGACCGTTGGTGTTGTAGTACATTCGCCAGCCCTACAATCGCCGCTGCCTTGACCTCTGTTCTATCAACTAATAATGTGTCGTCGACACCTATTAAGCCTTCTGAGCATTCTGCCCCTTCCAGCTTGCTTGCCGGCCTCCAGACACCCAACTCCAAAGGGTGTGTTTCCTTTCATGACACGTTACCCTATAGACTCTGCACTTAGAACTCGCTTGCGCTGCTCATAGTTAGTTCTCCTACAGGTTGAGCTCTCCGCTGGCAGGGATAAACATTGCCACCCCATCTTCCAGTGAGAAGAAGAAGGATAAATTAAGTGACACTGCCCATGTGGAGCCGCATCAGTTGCTGTCACGGTGTGTTTGCCTCCTACCTTACCTGGAATGTGTTTTTACCCTGCATACCTTATTACTGGTCTTGCCTGCTTATCGGATTTCTCCTTTGTAACAAACAGGCCTGCCGATATTGCCATTACAGTTGCTGCTGGCCTGGGAAATACCGCCATCCATGAGAAACCATTGCCATCTGCAGCGCTGCTCAAAGACATCCCCCCTTCCATGATGCCCATCAACCCGTCAGTCTATTCCTTGGTTATTGGCTTCCTTGAAATTCCTTTCCATCACATCTATCGCTTGCTGATACACCCATTGTTTCGATTCTTTGTCCAGCCTAAGCCATCCACTCGCAAAGGTGAAAGTTGAGAAACTTCAATACTCGCGGAAAGACGCGAAGAACTCCAAGGATTCTGATACTTTGCCCATTTCCCATCTGAAGACAAAGGTTTCGAAGGGAAAAGGTGTCGCCAAGAAACTGTTCCAGGGATGATCCTCTCCTACCTTCTGCAGGCGTATCCTCTCCTACCTTCCGCAAGCGTCTATTTTGCCACCTATCCTGTTTTGTTGCCTGCTCGCGCCAATGTTTTGTGGATGGGAATCTTCATTGTCGTTGTCATCGCCTGTGTCTACCATTTCATTTCCTCTAAGAGTCTTACGTTTATGAATTACTACTTTCCTCTCACTATCGTTGTAATGAACTCCAATGTGCGTGCATTGTAACTATTGACGATCTAATTATTAATTTCAGAATTCTTAGGCAGCAGCTCTTACCTTGCTTTTATGCCTTAACCTGCTGCATTTTCTTTTAACCACTTCACTCTACAAATTGAAGTTTGCCCTTTCCACACTGACATGGTCGTAATCTTAAATTCAGTGTCAATAATCCTTTAGTTAAAATAGACACAACTCTTTACAAATTGTGAACATATGGTGCTGCAATTTAGACTTTGGGAATAACACCTTACAAGTTGGTGATTGATTGTTGGTACTTTACAGCAGGGTAGGAGTTTTGAAACCACACTCTGACAAAAAATAGACACATGATTAGATTAAGTTAGGTGATTCCCACCATTCCCTTGAACTGTCATCACCTTTGAGATCCTTGGACATTACTCATTCTCTTCTGTCAATTGTCAAATCGCAGTTGGTCTCCACAGTGGTCATAGTTTTGGTTTTACTTTGCTATATTAACCTTTAACCCTCTTCTTCCCATGGATTGTTGTTCTCTAACTTTGTTCCTTCTTCTACATGCAGATTTCACGTTTTGCTCTCCAATACCAATTACTTTGTGTTCTGAGGTGTCAACTTTTCTGTTTTCAGAACCTGTAGCACGCTGAATGTATTTCTTTCCTTTATTCAGAGATCACCCTTTGCTGGTCACAGGTATCTTCTCTCATATAAGCACTTCTTGCCTTTTGTATGATGCCTGCTTTCTCTGCGTTACTCTCATGGTATCTTCTTCTCATGTTTTGCTCTCCAAATCACTATGGCATATGCATGTTCTGGTTCTTTGAAGTTCTTAGTTATGCTGCCTCAGTTGTAATAATGATCTCATCACTTGGAATTAACTTTACTTTCATTCTTCTACCATTTGTCTTCATGAACCAGTTCATACACCCACCTTTTCCTTAAGTTGCCCGGTTGCTGGACACCAATGCTGATAGTATGAAGAGACCAGTGAAGGGGAGGCATGCTTCGTCAGATTGTTCTTCTCCTTCGAAAAACATTGTAGGTGTAGTTAATCTGGTCATAGGCTCTTCAACGCCCGTGAGTATTGATCGAAGAGGGAGAAAGGCCACATTCACTCCATCTCACTTTAGCTCTATCGCTGGGAAGTCAGCACATGCCGTTGACCCCATTCCTTCTCGAACAAACAAGAAAAGACCAAGTCCGTTTGCAGCCAAGTCACCTCCAGGAAAGGGAAAAGAGCCACGCCTCAGTTCAGTTCGTACGGGCACAGATGTCAATGAACGCCTACACGAAAATGATCAACCATTCTTCACCTCGCCTGCTGCCACAACACCACAACATTGTTCTTCAAATCCTGTCACTCAAGCCTCCCCTCCGTCCAGCATGTCTTCAACTGGTGTGCGACAGAAATCCAAAGTCCAACGTGCACAGCCCTTTTGGAATGATGACATTCTGGATTTTGGTCTTCCTGAATGTGCTTGCCCATATTGCGGAGCTATGTTCTGGTATGTTGAACGCCTTGAACGACACCGAAACACCACAATGCCAATATTTGCTCTATGCTGTAATCACGGAAGAGTCTCTCTCCCTTTGCTAAAGCAGACCCCGGCTTATCTTAATAGCCTTCTTGATGTTAGTGGAGGCTCGGAATCAAGGCACTTCCGTAAAGAGGTTCGTCCATATAACGGTATGTTTTCCATGAGCTCCATTGGTGCTAAATTGGATCGTCGGGTGACCAACTCTTCAGGACCATACTCTTTTGTTATTTGTGGCGCTAATTACCATCACATGGGTTCGTTGTTACCACCGGAGGGGCAAAAGGCCAAATTCTCCCAGCTATATGTATTTGACACTGAAGATGAAGTCGGCGATCGACTTTCTAATTTTTCATCGACTAGCCTTGCTTTGAAGCCTCATATAGTTGACAATCTGATCAAGATGTTTGATCAGACAAATGAGCTGGTCAAAAGCTTCAGGAGAGTCGCTAGGGAAGTACAAGATCCTGCAAATCATAACCTTCGACTAAGAATATCAGGCCACCGGGAAAACAACAACAGGCAGTATGATTTGCCAACTGGGTCTGATGTGGCCGGGCTTATCCCTGGTGACTTCAACGCCGACGATGATGACAGAGATATTATTATTAACCACCGGGAAGAAGGCTTGCAGCGAATTGACAGTCTGAATCCAAAATTTCATGCTCTGCAGTTCCCTGTTCTTTTCCCATATGGAGAAGATGGTTTCCATCTAGGAATCAGGTGCGATCCTGTCCACAACTCGCCTACTGCCAAGAGACAGCATGTCACTGAAAGAGAGTTTCATGCATTTCGGTTACAGCACCGCGAGGCAGAAGGTCAAAGTTAGATGCGAGGCGGGAAAGCTCTGCAACACTATTGTGTGGATGCATTTTCAACCATTGAGCAAAATCGGCTTAAGTTCTTGCGTCGAAACCAAAAACTACTGCGTGCTGAATTATACAAGGGCATTTGTGATGCTTACAGCAAGGGTGACACAACCGGGAATGACATTGGTACGATTCTTCCTGCAACCTATACCGGCGGGCCCCGGTACATGAAGCACCAGTACCTTGATGCTATGGCAATTAGTCGTCGTATAGGCAATCCAGACCTATTCATAACATTCACCTGCAATGCACAGTGGCCAGAAATCACCAAAGCATTCGCAGATGTTGTTGGCCTAAAGCCAGAAGATAAACCAGATGTCGTTGTGCGCGTCTTTAGGATGAAGGTCGTTGCTTTGAAAGAGCAGATTCATCGGTATCAGTTTTTTGGAAAATCAGTTGCAGGTCGATGTTGTTATCTTACTCCTCTTTTTTGTTTCCCTTTACCATTTTTAGATTACATACATGCCAATTACGCCACCTTAGCTTGACCCATCTATCTATGCTATGCATGTTCCCACCTGCTCATGTGGTACTCCAGTTCTTTTTCAAATAATTGTTACTAGAGAACATTGCCAACCTTATTTTTACCACCCAACAATCATTGTCGTTGCTGTTCCTTTCTATATGTGATCTCATAGGTTGCTGTTTTTTGCTATTCTAAAGTAGATATACACACAATTGAGTTCCAGAAGAGGGGGCTACCGCATGTGCATCTATTGGTGTGGCTTCATGAGAATGATAAGTTGAAGACCACCGAGGCTATTGATGCAACAATTTCAGCTGAACTACCCGATCCAGAGAAAGACCCTCTTGGATATGCGACTGTGACAAGATTCATGCTACATGGACCGTGTGGTCAGTCCAATCAAAAATCTCCATGCATGATAGAAGGAAAGTGCAAAAAATTCTTCCCAAAGGCCTTCAACTCAACAACTACATATGATCACAATGGGTACATCGTCTATCGGCGTAGAAATGATGGTCGGACCTTTGACAAAGGCAATAGTATCCTCGACAACCGTCATGTGGTCCCTTACAATCGCAACCTGTTGGTCATGTTCCAGGCACACATTAATGTCGAAATCTGTCATAAGGGAAGACTCATAAAGTATCTGTTCAAGTATGTTACAAAAGGGCCCGACCGAGCTACAGTTGTTGCTGAAAATTGTCCAGCCCATCAACCAACCAATACAGATGGTCCCCCAACAACAACGAGAGACGAAATCAAACAGTACCTTGACTGTCGAGTTCTCTCCTCATTTGAAGCAATGTGGCGGTTGTTTGAGTTCCCGATACATGAGCGATCACCATCAGTTATTTGTCTTCCTGTCCACCTCAAAGACCAGCAATCGGTTGCATATAACCCAGATGTATCCTTGCAATCAGTTGTCGAAGATCCTGATAAGGCAAAGACAATGTTGACTGAGTACTTTACTCTTAATCGCATGGACCCACAAGCTAGACCACTTACATATGCCGAAATACCTACTGCTTATACATTTCATCTCCGTCCAAAACATTGGGCTAGGCGGAAGCAAGGCTATGTCATTGGTCGTATAGTCTTTATCCCTCCAGGGACAACTGATGTCTATTTTTTGCGCATGCTGCTGACCAAGGTGAGTGGTGCTACGAGCTTTGAAGACCTTATGATAGTTGACGGTGAAGTTTGTAAAGATTATCAAGATGCATGTCTTAAACGCGGTTTCTTAACCGATGATAATGAGCCTCAAGCAACTATGGTGGAGGTCGGCCAATGGGGAATGCCAGCCTTACTCAGATCTTTGTTCGTCATGATTCTGGTGCATTCTGAGGTTGCTGACCCAAGGGCATTGTTTGAAGCTAATTGGAAACTTCTGGCAGACGATTTCTCCTATCGAACTCGACGCGGTTTGGAGCTGCAACACTTTCAACCACCAACTGAATATTTGCAGAATGAAGTGTTGAAGCATATCGAGGCTCTTCTGCATAGGCACTCAAAAAACCTAGCTGATTTTGGCTTGCCGCAACCTGCTGACCATATTGATAGTGTGGTTGGAAATAGATTAATTTGTGAACAGCTCAATTATGATGTCTGCATGCAGGAGCGCATGGCCGTTGAGATTTTCGCAACATTGAATTGTGGTCAGGCTGAGGCCTACCACAAGATCATGGCTTCTGTACACGAAGGGGCAGGAAAATTCTTCTTCCTGTACGGCCATGGTGGTACAGGGAAGACCTATCTGTACAACACAATTGTTGCAAAACTCCGTAGTCAGCAAAAAATCGTTTTAGTGGTTGCATCATCGGGTATTGCGGCTACTCTACTTCCAGACGGATCAACCGGACATTCTAGGTTCAAAATTCCAATTGAGATCGATGGTTTTTCCACCTGCAAGGTTAAAAAGGGCACTCATTTGGCAGAGTTACTGAAAGCAACCTCGCTCATTGTGTGGGACGAAGCACCGATGACTCATCGCTTTTGCTTTGAAGCTTTGAACAAGACTTTATGCGACGTCATGGATGTGCCTTACAGTGGAGATAGTCACAAGCCATTTGGTGGCAAGACAGTCCTGCTTGGTGGGGATTTCCGGCAAATCCTGCCAGTTGTTCCAAACGGTGGCCGTGAGGAAACTCTTAGTGCATCAATCGTTCGTTCTCCACTGTGGTCGCACTGCAACCTTCTCTGTCTACACCAGAATATGCGCATTAATCAAGATGTTGTCAATGAAACCGCTATATTCAGTGGAATGACATTCCCACAATGGGTTCTTGCTGTTGGGAATGGGGTTGCACCTACTGTTTCCTTAGATGAAAGTCTTGAAAGAACGTGGATGAAGATTCCTCAATGCCTACTCTTGCCACAGGAAAGTGAATCCATTGAGCCAGTTGTTAATTTTGTATTCCATGGATTGCTCGAGGCTTACAGGTCAGTTTCCTTCCTCAAGAGTCGGGCTATTGTCACACCGACAAATGAAACCGTCTCTGCGATAAATGCTTCTATTCTTTCGTGCATTCCTGAGGAGACAAAAAACTACTACAGCACAGATAGTTTGTGCGCTGAATCAACGGAAAACTCAGACTTGGATACACTGTATCCCATTGAATTCCTAAACTCTCTTTCTTTTAATGGGATGCCTGAGCATGAACTAACTCTGAAGCTTTATGCACCCATCATGTTGCTTCGGAATATTGATCCATTGGCTGGTATGTGTAATGGAACACGCCTAATGGTGACACATCTTGGAGAAAATGTGATCAAGGGAATCATACTCACTGGTACCTACGAGGGTACGGTGGTCGCTATACCGAGAATAGCTCTCAACTTTAGTGATCACAAATGGCCTTTCACAATGAAACGCCGTCAGTTCCCGGTACGACTCTGCTATGCCATGACAATCAACAAGAGCCAAGGCCAGACACTAGAAAAGGCAGGGGTTTTCTTGCCAAAACCAGTATTTAGTCATGGCCAGTTATATGTGGCAATTTCTCGGGTTCGCTCGGCAGCAGGCCTTAGATTCCTCATACACAATGACGGTAGTCTTCCCCATGACTGCACCAAGAACATTGTCTACACTGAGCTGTATTCTGAATTATCCTACCCTGGTAACTTTGCATGCTGCCTTACTTACACTTTAGACATAGCCACTCAGATTAACTCTTTTACACTTTAATGATTACATTTTTTTACTTTCATAGAACCTGGTGTGACTGAACAGCTGGATCAACATCTATGAAAGTAAACAGGTATGTATACGTTATTGGCATGCCAGGTGCTATCTTTAGGTATGCAAACCAAGGTCCATTCTATCACTGAATGATTGTTGTCTGCTGTATAAACCATTTGTTGCAATCGAGTGCAGACCTGTGTTTAGATTTCAGTCATCCAAACAAGACTATTTACTCCATTTTTTCTGTAGCCAGCCACAACTCTGGAGAGACTGCAGATGTTCAATGGAATTTCAGAAGTTTTTGCGATCTTCCCATCGCCGACGACTGGTGCTTTTGCCTACCTTGATTTTTACTATGTCCAGTTCGCAGTTGATGCATATTTCTCCTTCTGCTAGAATGTATGCAATCAAGCTTTATCTTCTGCGGTTTGGCAAATGGTGTGCATTTACTAACCGCCTTGGTGATAGAGCTTTTCTGCATATGATATCTAGAATAGAGATGAATGCTTATGTCTAGCTGTTCTTCCCATTTTGAGCTGTCCTTTGCAACTGATGTATTTACATTTGCCTGTAAAATCATGTGCATTCAACAAATGTATTCGGTGTTTGGTTAGACCGTGGCTTTGACCGTCTTCGTGCTTCGTACACTGCCAGGGTACAGCATACCAGGAAAAACAACATTTCTACCTCCCCACTGTCTTCTTCAAGAATATTTACTTCCCTCTATCTTCAATCGCATTATGTTTCCCTCTAAACCACACCATAAGCCAAATTAGATAAAACATTTTATTTTGTACTTCATGTTTACGACCCACTCTTTCCTCAACATGCTCATTACTTGGTCCGGACTGCAGCAGGCCCATCAAAAGAAGTCCACTAATTGCCTTAATCGTAGCAATTTTTCCTGCACATTAATTGCCTCCTGTAATAGTACTTCCTACTCTTTTGCTGCACTGTGACGAGCTCTATGCAAGGACACCAACTATATTTTGCCAGAGTTTGGAGGCCAGCTGTGGTTCAGGGCTTCTTTCAAGTTTCAACTGCATGTTCTTTTGATTTGTCTATCAATAGTATTGAATCAGTGTGTTGTTCTCCTATCAATTGTGCATACAGAAACAACCATTTTGCTGCTCCAAAAAAACTATAACAAATCATGTTCGTACCTTCTTCCTTGATGCAAATTTGCTTCCCGCGGCGTAGCCGCGGGTGTTGGTTCTAGTTAACATGAATGCAAACTCTATGGATGAACTCAAAGAACAGGGTTCAACTTAAAAACACAGACTTCTTATTCATTAAAAGGAAGAAAAAGCTCCACGAAAGAGCACAAACATGGAGGGATTGTCACCTCCTAGCTACTTTTATACACAGCCACCATTTACATACTGTTCTAACTTCTTATTTTTTTTGGTTAAAACTGTTTTAACTTTTAACTTCTAAGCATTACCACCATACACTTTGCTTTGAAGCCACCATTACCACAACGTAACAAACAAAACCCTAAACCCTTATGACCAAGCAGCACTTGCCATCTCCCTGACTGCATCCTCAACGCCATCCCCATCAATCCCCAAACCTTCAATCTCAAGCTCCAGCTCTTCCATCTTCCCTCTAGCTTCTCCAAGCTCTGCCTCCAGAACCTTCACCCTCTCCTCCACATCACCTCTTTCTGCTCTCAGCTTCCTGTACTTGTCCGCCTTGTCAGCGAGCCCCGCGAGCTGCTTCAACCGGGACAGCAGGAATCCGACATCCATCCCCAGCTTCGCGAATGCCTCCAATCTGCTCCCCCAGCTCTCCAATCGATCTTCTCCTTCGTCGAGCTCGAAACCCCTGATCGCGTCGGCAATGTGCACTGTCTCGGCGATCATGCCTGCTACGAGCTTGTCGTTGAGCCCCTCGAGGACGTGCTGGTGCAGGAACGAGTTCCTGCTGCGGCACAGCTCGTAGTACTTCACCCCGAGTCGCCTGGGCAGCTCGTTGTTGATGATCGAACCGTTCGCCACGATGCCAAAGGACTCGAAGCTTCCCACTTGCTCGAAATCGAGAGCGATGCCGCGGAGCTTGTCGATCAGGTCCGATGTCTCCTCGGTCCCATCATCACCATCATCATCATTGTCACGCAACATCGAGCCCCTAGCGCCCCTATTCGGAGCAGATTCTTCTGGTGGCTGCGACTCCGAGTTCTGTCCTGCCTCCTCAGGGCAACTCGTCTTACCGGACTTCGTAGTATCCGAGTTCGGCGTACCAAAATCGCCATCAGAATCAGCTTCGATCGAGGCATTCGACCTCACAATGTAGACCTGATATGAAACAAGTCCGAATTTCGTATAATCCACCGCGCTACATTGCATCGATAAACAGAAAAAAACCAAGCAAACAATTGCATATATCTATATAACCTTGAACTTGATTCTCCTAATCAATTGAAAAACCACGACGTCTCCTTTCACCAACTTGTGAGCAATGGAGAAGGCTCTCCATCCACCACTGAGCCCTTGCTTAAGGGCGAGATACTTCGCGGCCCAAACTCTCCCGCTCTCGTCTTCCAGCTCGACTCTCCGGTCCACAATCGGCATATGCTCGTCGCAGAACTCCTTCGAAAGGCCCTGGTGCCCGCCATCTAGATCGTTAGTCCACCATTCAAGAGCTCAGCTTCAAGCTGGCTTTGTAAATTGTTAAGTAAAACTAAAATCTCACCAGCCAAAACCCATTGGAGACGTGGGAAGGAAGCATAGTCTTCGTCAAAGTAGGATGATCCTCAGGAAGATTAGCTTTGATCTCCTCTGCCTTGTTCATTACAGCATTCATCACCTCAGCATTGACATAGAAATCGTCTATCACCGCTCTTTTCCGCTTGTAGCTGGAAAGCAGCAACAAAACAGAGTATTTAAGGGGGGGTTTTTGCAAACTGAAATTCTTCAACAGAAACCGGAATTGTTAAAGATTGTTCTTCAACAATGAAGAATCACTGACCCTCGAGAATTGGGTTGAACGCTGCTGCCTTCCTCCTGTCCAAAAAATTCCAACGGTTAATAGCTTTTACAGTATCAAGAAAACAAGAATATCCAAAAAAAAGGGCAGAGGTTTTTTTTACAGGGAGCAGAATCCGCTTGATCTTAGCCAAGCCTTCTTCATTCAGCTTCACCTTCCGCGGCCTTCCCCTTTTCCTCTGCACCAAAACAGAGTAAACACAAGAAACAGAGAATTGAGTTCATGCATGCATGCATAAAGAAAGGCAGAGAGATCAGAGAACCAGAAACAGAGAAGAAGAAGAAGAAGAAGAGGGTTGAAGTTAAAAACCCGGGGAGTGTGATCAACTTGAAGATCGGACATGGCGGCAATGTCGTCGATCGTTAAAGGCTACTTCACCAACTGAGAGATAGAATTGAGTCTCAAAACAGAAAACAGGGGAAGGGTATAGTGTTTTTATTTATAGCGTGGGGAAGGAGATGGAAGATGGAAATCGGCAGAGACAAGAGACAGGTGTAATTAACTTTCCTGACACTGCTACAGTAACAGGAGGGTGGCTTGAATCCGGAAATCGTGCCACCTGGGGCTCATGGTTACTGTTCTTCCCACGATGTTGATTAGCTGTAAGCTGTACAGTGAATCGTGTCTAACTCTTCTTCCCACGATGATCAACCAGCGGTAAAAATGGAGGTGCAGTTTACTCCAATGCTAAACATTTTTTGTTATTGATCATGATCCGTTACCTATGGTTGCCACTTAGTTAATGCCGCGGATGGGTTAAACAAGTTCTGAGGTCGATGGCTCGACACAACTAGGGTTTTGTGAGTCGAGAGATGGAGTGCTATTACAGGCAAACTTCGAACCCCGGATCGTGACGACGAGAAGAGCGGCATCATGAACCATCATTGCTGACTACATGCGAAAACATTGGTTCGTTGTTGAGACATAATTGGTAAATAGTTAAATCAGTGACTTAATTAGGAAGTCAATTTACCCGTTACGGATGGAAAATTATTACTAAATTTATTAGAGGTAGAATCTAAGTGCATGGGATACTAACAATGATTCGACTTTCTCTTACAGGATAGTAAATTACTTTTGCAAGTTCAGATCATCGCTTCAAATCATCATTGTCGTATCCAACATATCAATGTCGAATATGAGAGATGAGTTGCGTTGAAAGAATTGCAGTAGCGACATTACTCTATGTTGGCTGAAGTTGATCGGGACAAAAAAAGAATTGCAGTAGCGTTTGGGAAGCCCTCTCTGACTCTGAGAGCCAGTCTCTTGACATCAGAAAACAAACTGTCCATGGCACGAATATCACTAGACTCGAATCATGGTGGCAAAGATTCATAAAGCTACAAACTTTCAATCAGATTAAGGATAATACAACACCATACATTGAAATACAACCTACAGGCCTACAACTACAGCATGTTACATTACAGACATTCAAATGTTACAGTACACTGTTGCCTCTAACGGCAGGCCGCAGACATTACATTACAGTACAGTACATTACAGAACTCCTTTCACCATGGAGCATTCACAACTTCCTGAAACATGACTTCATGCCTCTCCGCAGTCACTTTCAGAGTCTCGATCTCTTCGTCGATCCTCTTCCTGGCCTGTCTCAACTCCTTGAGTTTCATTTCCAGGCACTCCATCTCCTCACTCACACGTTCCTGCCTCAGTTTCACTTCCCGCCTCTCAGACTCCACGGCCTTTTCCGACTCCAGTGCGAGCTTCATCAGCTTGTCCAGTCTGTTGCACAGGAACCCGACGTTCATCCCCAGCAGCTGAAACCCTTTCAGGTTCTTCTCCCAGACGGCATACTCCCTGCGAGAGCTCGACAGTGTGGACGACCTGATGGACTCAGCTATATCGACTGTTCCGATTATGAGCTCAGCAGCCAGCTTGCAGTTGATGCTGTCAAGGAGGTTCCCGTGCAGAAATTTTCTCTGGGAGCAGCATAATTCATAGTATTTTTGCCGGTGGTGGTCCGAGAGCTCCGAATCAATCTCGGTGCCATTGACCACCACACTGAACTCTTGGATGCCACCTGAGAAGTCGATTATGTCATGAGAGTCGGTGGGTTCTGAAGAACATGTGACGATATCCATGTTTCCGGAGCTGTTTTCAGAGTGCTCTTGAAAATTGGCGTTGGTTGTTGAATCTATTGCTACGAGACGCTTTTCTTGTTCATCGTTGTTGCTATTGTCCTGCCTCGAAAGGGCACTTTTAGTACTGTCTTGGGTTCCCGGCAGCTTAACTGGTTCTCTTGCTGTCAGGAAAAGTGAGTGAAGATAGGATGAGACTAATGTTTATGGACAGGTCAGGAATTCGTAATGAGTTTTTGGCGGAGAAGGTTAAGTACCAGAAATCATTCGCTTTTCACTAGGCTCTGTAGGTTGGATGTGAAGATCGTTGTTGGGCTTGGGAGAAGAATCATTTCCTCTCACTACATACACCTGCAAAAGAATCATTTCCTCTCAACCTATGCTTCCGTTTTTCATGCTTTCCCAAAATAGTTACAGTTGGAAGATCTGTTCCTTCAAAGTTCTACTCACTAGAGTTGACTTTAGAGGTTCAGTTTTGACCTCCTAACCAAAATATCTACGAAATACATCTCCCTTTTCATGTTACTAGTAACCTTGTTTTCTAGAAACAAAGAACCCAGATGAAACGACCAAAAATACAAGGAACCCATCTTTCCACAATGGAAGAGAACATTACCTTAAACCTTAGGGGTTTGACCAACTGGAAGATGAGAACATCGCCCTCAATCAGCTCGTGTGCAGCACAGAAGGCCTTCCATCCACCACTCAAAGCTGTCCTGTCCGCAATGTAATTGATTACATATTCTGCTCCAATTTCATTTTCGACGAGAACAGTTGTATCAGACTTTGGGAGGTAAGATTTGCAAAACCGCATTGGAAGATGCTGCACGGTGAAAATCAAGGTCAATATACATAGCTTTACGTCTCTCGAAAATGGGACAGCAATTTTTGAAGGCATATTACCATCCAGAATCCAACAGTGACATTGGAACGGACTAACGTCTTAGCAAAGCTAGGGTTATCAGCAGGTAGATTTGCTCGAAACTGTTCTGCACGCTCCAGCGCAGAAGATGACTTCGCCTCAGCACCATCGTAGAAGTCATGTACAGCCGCTCTCTTTTGTCTGTGCACACAAGCAACCGTATTAAACAACAGTCCTGCTATATGAGCAGTCATCAACTGAAGCAAGGAAACACCAAAAGACTAGACCACTGAACCTTTTAGAGTCGGGTGAATTGTCATACACAACCTGCAAAGGTGAAGAATATCCAAGTAAGTAGTTTAATATATGCTGCCTCAGCAATTTCAGTTACAAACTGTAGAAGTCCCAGTCCTTCTAATTAAAAGAACAACTAACTGCAAAACATTTGCTGGCGTAATATAGCCAGATACGGATGAGGAATCAGAGAGCTTGTGCCGCAGAGAAAGCTCGAAACTTTGAACGCGATATAGCAGAAGTAATACACATGCCCGCAACCAAATGAACAAAGTCTCCTATTTCAAAGATTTCACAGGACATAAACAGTGAGTAATACAACAACCTCAGTTAGCTTAAACCAAAAGGCAGCTCAAAATCCTGCAATCGATTCCGAGGAGCTCCAGCAAGCTAATGTACGAAGCTGCAGCTCGCAACTGAACCAACCACAACAGATTTCTCAGAACCCTCAGCTCGAGCAAGCAAATCGGGGAATCTAAGCTAACCCCCTGATTTCCCGCGAAAAAATTTGTCCACAGGAGAGCTTCATCCACCACTAATTGTAAACGGATAACGAAAGCCCTCAAATTGAAATTGCGAAGGAACAGCAACCAAACAAAAAAAAAAAAAAATAAAGCTGAAGCAAGCTGAGCAGAGAGTAGAAACACAAAGAGGCTGCCCGCCCTAAACAGAAAAATTCGAAAGTTCCACAGAAGAAGCTCGAGAGATCCACAGAGAAAGAGCTAGGGGGGAAGAAACGAAATAGGGTAAAAGAAAAAAAAAAGGAATCTCACGAGTTGAGAGTTGGAGTCAGGTTGCTCAGGAGATTGAAGATGGTGGTGGATCTGGCTAGGCTTCGTCCTGGAGCCACGCGACTTCCTTCTATGAACCTGAAAGTGAAAGAAAAAAAAAACCCCACAGACAGATTCTTTCTCAGAGATCAAACACCTCCCCCGGAGAAAACCCACATCGGACAACATGCAAAAGAGGGAAAATAACCTTGAAGTGGGGATACATGGCGATGTGCTCGTTGAGGGGAAGCTGATCGGAAGGAGTAGGGGAGATGGGTTCTTCCGCTGCATCCATGGAAGCAAAGGGGGTGAAAGCTTGGTTCTTTTTGGTTTCGTTTTTCTGGGTTTTTTTTCTTTCTTTCTCCCTGAAGCTAATAAGTAGTACAGCAGCTGGTTCTGGTCCTTGATAAAAGGGAAAGGGAAGTGGAAATGGGGAATGCAGAAAGTAAAAAGGAAGAAAAAAAATGGTGTTTGGCTTTTTTTCTCGTAAGGATGGTGGTGGGCTCACACAGTCACATTTCCTCTCTCAGGTCAGGTCTCGTCAGACCTGTTTCAGGTCGTACCTTACGTGTAGCCCAGCTCGCGTTCAAAATTAATTTACTCTTTTTTTTTCAGTTTTTACGGGGGAAAATAACCTTTGTGGTAAAATTAGTGTAACAACCGAACTTTTTTTCTTGACGAAGATATGGGTAAAATACCTCGGGTATCACTTAAGTTTGAGAATTTGGGTAGACATACTACTTAAGTTTGAATAGGGCGTCGGGTATCCAAGTAAAGTCGCCAAAATGTGCATCCGTCTAGTTTTCCATCCAACCCAAAATTTTAATTACTTTTTGGTACCCAAAACTTTTAAAACATCCAAAACTATATGTCAACAAGTTTTTATCTAATATAAAAATTAAAAAACTTTCTAAACATAATATTACTAAAATGACTAATCAAAATTGACAATAAAATAGATAAATTACTAAAAATAATAAACAAATATCAAGAAGAATAAGAAATATATAGAATATAATAATAAATATTTAAAATCAATATTAGAAGATCTATTTAAATCGCTAATCCAATTAGAAATACTATTAAAAATAGTTAAAATAGAACCTAGTCGATCATCAAGACCAAAGAAGGATAAATGGAATCGAGTCAGAAAGAATTAAACATATTTCCATAATTGAAAAAAAATTAGAACGAAAAGAGAACGAAAGTAACCAAGTAATAAATAAAATAACAACATTCTGTAGCAAATCTGGAAAAGAAAATACGACTATAGGAAGAGAATTAGAATTAGTAAATTTAATTAATAAGAAACATCTAAAATATAATATTAGAAAGTTACAAGGATATTTAACATAGAAAATTATACAACACATCATGATGTACGAGAATTAAATATATATTTGCTTCAGCAAATTATTCGATTATTATAACTTATAATGGTAATTGAAATACATGATAATTGATTCTACATTTCCTATTCGAAAATTGGTTTGGTATCAAAGTCTTCAAAAGAGGATTCCAACTAAATAGAATTCATAAGATATATTTGCTTTAGAGAATAATTCAATTATTAGAAAACATAATGATAATTGAAAATACTTATAATGATAGTTGATTCTAAATTTTCTATTCACAAATTAGTTTGGTATCAAGTCTTCAAAAGAGGATACCAACTAAATAATAAAAATTGTTGTTTTTTATAAGTCAAAATAATTTTTTACAATAAGAAAAGTACAAGGATCAATTAAGAAATTTAGAAAATAGTATATTCCAAGAATATTCTGTTAATTTTAACAGAATGCACCTAACATTAAACTTAAGTGGTACCGGGTGCACAAATAATAAAGTTTAGTGGTACCCGACGCCCTATTCAAACTTAAGTGGTATGTCTGTCCCAAATCTCAAACTTAAGTGGTATCTAAGGTATTTTACCCACAAAAATATTGTCTGTTTTGGGTCAAGATCCTCACGATTTTTACTTTGGGGTCCAATTTAAGGTGACTTTTCAGAATATCACCCATCCTTATTGTACTCTACAATAAACACGTTTAACTTCGGAGTTCTCACAAGAACTCCTCAATTTCACCCCAAAAAGTGTCTTGTCAGTTACGGCCGTTTTCTTACTTATGAACCATGAATCTCTCCGTGCTTTGTCGATGTGGGATTTGCATCATTTGCCTAATGTGTTAGGATTAGTGTCTGAAACGATGCGGTTTTATTATTCATATTGAGAAGTTGGAGTATAGACCATAGATTAGAATAAATAGTACAAAGTATGTGATGAATTCGTCTAGTATAATTGTAGAAGAAATATATTTTAAGTATGACATAGTATTTTATGATAAAAACTTATTATTTTAATTAGAAGAGAGCACACAACGGAACGGAAGCGGTCAATAATTTTTCTGTAAGAACGGATCTCTGTTTCTCTGACTTTTTGTATGTTTATTGTTCTGTATATATGCAATCATCTATTCTCAAGACTCTCATATTCACTTTTTCTACTCAAAACATGGAAATCAGAAAATCATTTTGCTCATTTTATGTGGTATTATTATGGCTCTTGAATATCAGTATACAACTTGCTGGAGTTTTTGGTCATGACTCAACAGGGTTAGAAATCTATAGTTTATGTGATCATTGTCCATGTTTGCCCTTTTCCATCATAATATTGTCTCACTTACTCCATCATGTTATATTTCATGATAGGCCTGTTCCAGGGGGTGGTACTGATGCTTCTGGAGCGGTGAAACTTCTGTGTGATGATCCAAAACATGTAATGAAACACGAACGTCTTACTGGTTACGTGCATGGTGTTCTGTTTAACACGACGAAGATTTCTAAAAAAATATAAGTTTATCTTCATTCATCTTTTTTTTATATAGGTCACGATCGACAATGGGATCATACAGTTGACATTGGCGAATCCAATTGGACGAATCACTGGACTAAAATATCATGGATCCGAGAATTTATTGCACAATGTTGAATCCAAGTTCTGGGGAGCGTACGTGATTGATTTGCTTCCATTTTCCTTCATTTTCTCATTTTTAATAATTAATGTGGTGCAAAGATTTTCAATTTAGGAAGGGAAAGAAGAAAAAAAAACAATAGAATCTTGATTGTGTCCTTTAATGTGGTTTCAGGTACTTTGATGTCTCCTATAATGTGATTCCACCACGTCAAGGGGCAGGGGGTTTACATAGGTAATTACTATTAATATCACACATCAATCTCAAGATAATTATGTGCTATTATACTTCATTAGTTCATTGTCAAAAGTTTCAACTAAAAAATATCATCTAAAATGTGCTTATTTATCAATAATATGGGTAGCTAGTTAGGATAGCCAACACTGGCCACATCTTGAATGTTATATTTTGAAGTTGATGCAAACTTAATCTCGGATGATTTGTATGTTTGATAGAGTGGAGGCAACGAAATATACTGTCATCACAGAGAAACCAGATATAGTGGAAGTGTCATTCAGTGCAGCATGGAATCCAGAGCTAACAGATTCTGTCGTTCCACTCAATTTTGACATAAGGTAAATGTAACTTGTCCACAATGATTCGTTATGTTAAGTGTAGGACGAAGTAAAATAATCAGGGGTGATATGTTTCTCACACTACAAGAAAAAATCTTTTCTGCAACCATCTAATAATCAGGGACACTCGTATTTATGTTACTAAAGAGTGACAGATATGTAGTATGAAAGGTGACACTTGTATTTATGTTATTGAAATTGACAGATATATAGTACGAAAGGGTGATTGTGGATTTTATACTTACGTCGTTGAGGAAAGACTGAAAGACTGGCCAGACATGGACATGAGTCTACACTTTTTCGTTTTCAGGCCTAATAAACAGTTGTAAGTTTTCTTCATTTCACACTCCGTATACTTATTGTCAAAAGTTTCTTCATTTCAGGCCTAATAAACAGTTGTTTAGATTCAACTTTATGGCAGTGTCCGACGAAATTCAATTGGTTATGCCGACAGAAGAGGATCGAGCAACTGGTATAACCCTAGCTCCTAAAGAAGCTGTGCTAATAACCAAACCTGTATCTAATCCGGATTTGAAAGACCAAGTGGATGACAAGTATGAATACATCCAAGAACAGAAGAATTCAAAACTCAAAGGTTGGATCTCCGATAAGTCCAAAATAGGGTTTTGGTTGATTCAGCCTAGCACCGAATACATGAACGGCGGACCCATCAAATATGATCTCTCTTGTCATTTAGGGCCAACTTGTGTCATGGTAAGAACCCATAAGACTTTTTATCGAGGATTCTCTAAATGAATATTTCATATTTTCAATACGATGATATCCGTTTAATCTGTTATTCCACATGGTTGTGCACATATATAGGTTTTCACGGGAGAACATGTTTATGGAAATGATGTCGACATGGTGTTCAAAAAAGGAGAGGGGTGGAATAAACTGTTTGGACCATTTTTCGTTTATCTAAACTCCGACCAAGATCGTGCAGGCCTCTGGAAAGATGCCAAATCACGGGTATAATTTGTTGTTCACCCGTAAAGTTTAATGTTTTATTTAACGTATATGTGTACCTATGTATCTATATGTGTGTAATTTTATTTATTTTATGCTTATGATGCTAACATAGTTGGAGAAAGAAAAACAACTTTGGCCATATAGTTTTGTTCAACATAAAGATTACCTTCCAGCTGCCCAACGCGGAAGTGTTATTGGCCAATTACTCGTTGACGACAAGTATGAATATCCGTAATCTGTTGTTTGCTTATAGATATTTCTTATCCAAATTTAATTTATTATAGCTAAATGTTTTTATTTTCAAGTAATAATTATATTAAATAACATTTAATAATTTGCATTAACATTTCAGATACATATGCCAGACTCCTAAGGAGGCATGCAAAGCAATGGTGGGTTTGGGAGCGCCCGGTACAACTAATGAAGCATGGCAACGTGAAGCAAAGGTTAATCTATCTTCTTTTAATCCCAAAATAATCATTTTATGTGAAAAAAATTAAATTATTTTAAATATTTTAAAAAATATAAATAAATGTCCCCATTTCACATCTTTTTTCTTTCTCTCTTTTGCATTGTTTTGCTCAACAGGCCATGTTTATAATAGCTATATAAATAGATAAAATCCAAACAAATGATGGTCTATCACGGTTAATTCTCAACTTGAATATCACTGGTTTGAATTCCAGAGCGTACTTTAAAATTATGGGATACGCTCAATCAAAATAGTAGAATCCAAATTATTCTAACCAGTAAATTTTGATTTCTTTTAAGAGAATTCGATTGACAGGTTATAATCCTTTTACTCATTCCCATATCGTGGCATTATTTTTTTTTTAAACCTTGCAGGGTTATAGCTTTTGGACGGAAGCAGATGAGAAAGGAAACTTTGTGATTAAGAATGTGAGGCCTGGAGACTACAATTTATATGGTTATGTTCCGGGTATAATAGGCAGTTTAAGACATCCTCAACTTATTACGGTGAAACCAGGTGTGTACGTACATAGAAAGTCGTTAGCTCATTTGACTCACTTACTAAATGACTTCCTATGATTAAAAACAACAACAACAACAACAACAACATATTAGCCACTAAACAATTCAAAATTTTGAACACAACCGCAGGGAATGAGATCAACCTTGGCCAAGTTATCTATAAGCCTCCAAGAAATGGTCCTACGATATGGGAAATTGGCATTCCAGATCGTTCTGCTAAAGAATTCTTTATCCCAGATCCAGATCCAAAGGCTCTGAACAAGTTCTGGTTAGATAAACCAGATCAGAAGTAAGTAGCCTCTGTGAAAATACAATCATTCATGCTAAAAATATTATACTTTATATCTCTCACACATTTTCTCCATTTGAAATGACTACATGACAGGTTTAGGCAATGGGGATTGTGGGATCGATATCCTGTGTATTGGCCTAAAGAGGATGTTGTTTTTGAAGTCGGTCGTAGCAACTATAGCAAGGATTGGTGTTTTGCTCACTTTTTAAGGTTTAAAATATATTTCTTGATAGGAGATAATTTTATTGTATGATCCATTTCAAGAAAAATTATATACATGCATATACCGATTGGACTGATATGTTTTTGGATCTAATTCATTGTTTGAAATCTTTAGGTCAGATGGAAAGACTTGGAATCCCACAATTTGGAAGATTATTTTTGACCTTCCAGAAGTATGCACAACCGGAAGTTACACTATCCACATAGTATTGGCAGCCGCGGAATTGACAAATACACTTGTGCGTCTTATTTCCCCTCGTCACATATATAGTCATGCCATTTATGGTGATTTTTTTGACTTAATAACACCTTAATTATACCCACATTATAAATCTATATCTAAACTAAAAAAAAATGAAATATCTCATCCAACTGTAAGAAGTTGTACTTTTATGACAATTTTTAACTCAAACATTATAAATGTTCATCGAGATTTTTCCGTTTTTCTTTTCTGCAGGTTTATGTAAACGACTTAAACGCCAGGAGGGCACATTATATGACGGGGACTTGTGGAGATGACAATGCAATTGCAAGACACGGAGATCATGGATTTTATAGGTGTTTTAGTGGACCTCTCCCAGCAAACTTATTTGTGAAGGGGAAGAACACAATTTTCCTAAAACAAGCCAGATCCAATACTTACATGTTTGCCGGGGTGATGTACGATTACATTCGTCTCGAAGCACCGCCTCCTCCCACAGCAGAACCAAAAGAGCTATAACTTCATAGTTTTGTTTTGTGTTATTGTAAGATGTATGAATTCATAATCTCACCATAGCAATTGATGAAAGTTCAAATAAAATTTCACCATATATAGCCTATGTTTAGTGAAGGAAACACCAAAAGACTAGATCTCTGACCGCTTATGCTCAAACACAACCTGCAAAGGTGAAGAATATCCAAGTAAGTAGCTTAATATTGAAGTCCCAATCCTCTCAATTAAAGAACAAACTGATTTCGAAACGTTTTGTAGCATAACATAGCTAGATACAGATGAGTCACAGAACTTTTGCCATATACATCAAACCGTCAGTTACTAATTAGTTAAATTTGGCTACCGATAACTGACCGTTCACTGTTTAATCGGCTATCGGTGCAACAATTAACCGTCACTTACCGGTTCGGTTATCGGTTACACCGCTAACAAGACAACCGTTTAACAACCCTAGATGTGGTTGTTGATCACTGTTCATCGAGATGATAACTGCTACCTGGTCCTAAAACCTGCTTCTCTTACTTCCGGCTTCTTTAGTCATTTCTCCCCCTTCAATCAAACCCTAAAATAGCGGGGAAAGTTAATCTGCTAACTTGAAGATTCGTTAGCAGATACTAACTGATATCCAAATTACATGAACTAATATCCAAGTACTAAAGTATCTAGAGAGCACAGACTAGTATTCAAAGTTTGCTAACTGATATCCACCATGAATCAACCATTATCACAAATTCACAAACTAATATCTAGACAACACAGAATAGTATCCAAACAGCACATAATTAGTATTCAGATAACCCATAAGAGTATCCATATTGAATACTAGTTGGTTGATTGTGGATATTAGTTGGTATCTGCTATCTGGATAATAGTTTGTGATGTTTTGAGTACTAGTTTGTGCTATCTAGATACTTAGAATACTTGGATATTAGTTCATACATTTTGGATATTAGTTAGTATATACTAACGAATTTTCAAGTTAGCAGATTAACTAGGTTGTAAAATAGCAACCCAGTTCCAAACACAATTTCTAACTTAGCATCAGACATGGTCATTTTTCATACATACTTGTACATCAAGTCATCAACCGCGACATATTACGACGCATTGCGCTATGTTGGTTTCTATGTCATGACAATACCAAGACTACATATGTACATATGTTCTTCAAGTATAGACAAGTATTTACAGCTTATCCTCTAAGCCTCGACGCAGATCTTTGGACCCTTTTCACGCTCAGCATTTGCGGATTTCCCTTGCTCTACCTATCGCCATACTTCTTGCATTATCTGTACACTTCTACATCCCAAAAAACATGGACCAGCCTCAAAATGGTCCCCGAGACACATCACTGGCTTGCTAACTCGTCTCGTAGCATGCAAGCACTATAATCTCGAGCGGCGAAAGCGTTTCAAGGCCTGGAGATGCGGGCGCTTGCCAGCAGAAGCAACAGGTTTCCCATTGAGGCATCCAGAAAACCTGATATCCCATCCGTCCACATACTTGGGGACGCAAACATCGAAGAGTGCCTGGCCAAGAACGCCGTGAGCGCTGATTCTGGGCGGACTCGTTAGGTTTGTGGAGGAGCTGGCTTTCCCTTCTTCTTTGTTGTTATGGTCTTTGGAAGAACTTGGTGCAAAGAAGTCGTCATTGGGCAGCACTGGTGGAACTCTTTTCAACCCTTCGTTTGAGTCGATTGCGACTTGCTGAAGGTCGCATACCATGTTTGATATTTTGTGATGCATATCATTCATCTTTAACCCCTCTTCTAGTTGTTGGATTCTTTGACAGTAAACTGATGCAGCTTTCTCTAGGAAATTGGTCACTGCAGTGCTGTATGGGGTTGGATGATGCTTGTAGTGACCTGGGAAAACAAGATCATATAGGGTGCAACCTCATCATTAGCTGAGCACAAAATCACGAGGCAGATTTGATCATATAGAAGATAAAAGAAGGAAAAGAATACAAAACAGACCTAGGTGAGGAGAAGAATGCAACTTCAGAAGTGCGACATCTGCGCCGAGTTCTTGTAGCTGATGGCTGAATTCACAGATAACATTACAAGGTGCAACCTCATCATTAGCTGAGCACAAAATCAGGTATGGAGCCCCCAACTCCTGAGAAAAGAGAAAGCGAGCACACATGCCCAATCACAAAGATGGATTAAAGCAAAGGCTTGAAAGGACAGAGTTGGTACGGATTCCAACTTACTGCTGAAGAGTACAGATTCTGCCAATACTGTGCACGTTGGTACTCAAACCTAGTAAGGTGCAAACCGTCAAGACCAGAAGTGACCCCTTTTGCCAACCAAGACATGAATTTTGATGGGCCGGGCATTTTCTGAATGGCAGGAAGAGTAAACTGGGCAGCCAAATCACTTGTAAAGTCTACTGGGCTAGAATCATAGATATGCCCAGAGAAACAGTTTCCAACTAAACGGCTTTCATCCTGCACCAAGAAAGGAATCAATTAGAACAAGAGGGACGACGTAAGAGGAAATGTCATGCGAAGGAGATTTAACTACTACACAAGGAATACATACCAGGTTAAGGTGACCTTCACAAGACCCTTGGATAATCTGCATAATGCAAAGCTTTAACCAATTAATCCAGTTGAAAAATGACAACAAAAGAGGAAAAAAGGAAAAAGTTCAGAGAGCCTACCTGAAAAACCTTGGACATGCAAGCTTTTGAACCACCAGAAAGAGCCACAAAGACAACTGGACATGGCCGAACCCTTAGCTCCTACATACATAAAGTTTTTTTGATGATGAACAACTATTTCAATTACATCGTCAAATTTTAAAGAAAGAAAACACCCGAGAACCTTCCCCAGCCCTGTTCTATCACCCTGATCATAAATAGTAAAAGTGGCCGTCTTCAGTAAAGGCCATTTGAACAAGCCAGCAGATTTCGATATTGCAATACAGCCCGTGCAAGGTTCGATTCCACACATCGTATTTGAGATGTAAGCCTAGAATCGTCCACTATGGACCAGTAAACCAAGACAGTATGTAACTTAGCTAACCTGGACGAGTTCACTGAGGAGAAGAAAAGCCAAAGAAATGGCTTTATCAGGATCAAACCTGCAAAAAAAAAAAAGACAGAATATCATCGAGCATCAAATGTACTACCCAGTTCCTGAATCCAAAAAGAGACGAATTACATAGATGCAAACCAGTATGCTTCACAGACCAGTACCATCTTTCATAAACAATGTACAATTCCAAAACCTGAATCAACCTAACCACACTAAATTCCAGGAAGAGCAACTGAAACCAATCACAGCTGTGTAAATTACGTATAGAAATCCATGTTTGGCAACCAAAAGAGCCGTGATTAAGCAAGTTCTTACATTTCCGTTTTCCCCACATAACATCCTGAAACTTGCAGTCCTTCTTTTCAGCTCAAATTTCCCCCTCATTTAACCACAACACAGAGACAAACAAGCAAGCAAAGAGAGCGAGAGAGAGAGAGAGAGGGTTACGCGGTGAGGAAATCGGCATGGGAAACGAGAGAATTCCAAGCGAGAGAGGAATACAAATCGACGAGGCTCCTCAAATCCACCGGCTGAGCGGAAACCCAAGCGAATATCACCACGATCCCTTTGAATTCCCTGCTCCTCCTTCTCCTCCCCCAATACACACTCCCTCCGCCGCCGCCGCCGCCGCCGCCGAACATTGCTGCACAAGTCGCAGCTGCAGCTGCAGCTACTAGTACCGCTGGTGAAACCGGAGCAGCAAAGCACAAAGAAGAACTCGACTCTCGTTCAGGTTCAGGTTCAGCTGAAGATGAAGATGAAGATGAGGAACCGATAGAGGATGGCAATAATTCAGGTATTGCATCCGGATTATGGTTTCTCTGCTTCTCTACTGTTGGATTCTGGTTTTTCGTAGCAAGCGCTCAATTGAGGAAGCTTTGTGGGCTCCAGTGACGCTGCTGGTGGTGCTGGTGATCCAGTTGGGATGGGGATGATTTATGATTATTATTTTATATTATTTTGTTGTAATCCAGTTAATATTTTTTTGACGGTAATCCAGTTGATATTAGGCAGCACGGCATAATTATATCGGCTATCATCATCATTCATTATTCGCTACCTTTTACTAGCCACAGCCCCGGCCAGTTGGCAAATGATTATAAGATTGCGTAGAGTCATTTAACTTTAATCTTTATCTTTTTTTAAAAGGTAATAGCTATTTTCTATTCAAACATTTTTCATATTCTTTTATATTATCCAAACCTATTAAGGTCAACATGATACTCACTTGGAAGAAACTCATGAAGGTCAACATTCCAAAATTTTAGTATTTTAACTAAGAAAAGAGTTACAAAACTATTAACGATAACGTAAAAATGGCTAATATTTTGATGCATTATGGAAGATTTGGATAATTAATAGAGTTTTAATATGGTTGGATAATATAAAAGAATCTGAAAAAGATTTGGATAAAAAATAGACAGTACCCTTTCAAAAAAGAAATTTGATAAATTAGTCAGTTATTTTCATAAATTAATGAAAGAGCTCAATGGAAAGAAAAAATGCATGTACGATTTTTTAGGAGGCTCGACGATTCATACTGCTCTCTCGACTCACGTTTCTTATGCCACTATGTATTTCTCTATATTAGAGTTCTCTTGTTTCCTATGTCGATTTCATCATCTCATAACCCCATCTTTTTGTTACGGCTTCCTAACGACACAAATTAATGATCAAAATCGCATCTCATAACCCCACCTTTTTGTTATGGCTTCCTAACTACACAAATTAATGATCAAAATCGCAGGTCGAATCGTCAATGGAACGGTTCGGTCGCGCTACAATCTAATACGCTTTCAATTAATAGATGGATGATTATTGTGAAAAATGTTATATATAGTATCTATGTCCTGACGGTTAAAATTGTTGTAAATGTGATTCAAAGATATTGATGCCTTCTCCATCAATATGCCAACCAAGGAACCATCATTTACAGCCAGGAACCATCATTACAACTCAAAAAAAAAAATTACCAATTGAATTTGCAACCCAAAAACAACCTGATCTAGGTATCAATCATAGATGAAATACATGGGAAAAACGTGTATATTAACACGATGCAACGGTCAAAACGGACATTTCGACTTCCTGTTACGCATATTAGGGTTTCGAAATACGCCACGAATAGAAGAGTTCAGAACCAACTAAGGTAAATTGTGAATTGTCTAATCAGCAAAAGGGTAGAGACTGGGCATGTTGTAAGCGCCCCTCCCGCTTCCGTTAGAATCCACCATGGGGTAGTGATGCATTGGCGACTGCAGCTCGCCGGAGTGAGAAGACGACGACAACTTCCTAGACGTCTGTGGAGAACCAGCGTAGAATCCGTTTAAGCTGTTGCCGCCTCCTGCATACATTGAAGAGGATAGAGGGAATCCTTGCATTTTCGGCAACCCCGTTGTATCAGAACCAGAGCTGTGCCCTCTTTCCACGGATTCAGCTTCCAGCGGCAGTTCTTCCAATGTCTGTTGTTGGTAAAAGAGAGAAAGAAGAAGCGAGAGTTAAGCGCGAGGGAGATATCAGAACTTGTGTGATCATAATCAAGCAAACCATTACAGGTGGGAACTTACTCGAAATGCTTGTTGAAGGACTTTGAGGGTATCTCTTGTCCGCTTTCGCTTCACTGAAATCTCGTCGGGCTCTTGCAACATCTCCTCAAACAAGTTCTCCCTGGAAATGAGAAGCACAATATGATTAGGAGGAGAGAAACGAAATTATAATAGGCATGAATTACATTAGAAACTTAATATTACCTGTAAAGCTTCTTAATCAAGACATTGTGCAGCTCTCGTTTGGCATGCTGTACCTGGAAAAATGTAAAGATCGACTACGCATAAGTAAGAGAACTTCAGAGAACAAGTTGCTGACAATAGTCACTTTATTCAAGTGCCTAATGAAGCATTTACCAGAAAGTGCATGATGGTTTTTGGAACTAAATCCTCAATGTTCTTCCGAACAATATTGTAGTACGACGTCAATAGCAATTTAATGACTTTGATTTCAACAGCCTCCTGCTCCGAGGGGGTATCTGAAGGTCTCAACATTTCTGGTGGCTAGAGAAAAGGGGAACAAAATCCAGTCAGCGACATAAGAAGCAACAGAGCACAACAGAAGGCAGTGAGTTAGAAACAGCTAGTTCATCAAACCTCTTGCAAATGGATCACAGACAGGCTCTTGTCCAAAGGGTCACTTCCATGAACTGCCTCCATATATCCCATACTTGCTGAGTTCTCAGATGACATACGGGAACTATTACTTCCCTTGAAAATTGACGAAATGCCCCATGAAGAGCCGCTATGATTTCCTGGAACCAAAACATAAATTATCTCCCAGAGCCAGCGATTGGCATGCATTATCATTAAACATGCCAAAATGCAGGATTGGGTGATTCTTTTGGAAACCAAATTTTGAATTTTATAACTATTTACCGGATGGTGCAACCTTCTCAACATCTGCCACTCGGCGTACTCCCTGTAACATGGCAATTGCATAAAAAAAGAAGGGAAAAAAGGGAGTTGTAAGTAACAGCAACGAAGAAATAACAATAGTAAGCTTGTTGAATCTCAAAGGACAACAATAATATAAAATGAATAGTATTATCATGCCTGATCAGGTGCAAACCCATTGACAGGTCTGCCAAGAATAGCTCGAGTCTTCAGACTCCTTTCGGAGGATGGTGCTTTATCAGCTTCAGCGACATCCTATTTAAAGTCATAGCATAAAGTTCAACGTGAAGAGAACAACGAGGTCCTAAAAGGTCCTTCTATAGAATAACTACAAACTGAGAGAACAACCCATTGTACGGAGAAAAATGCTGACCTTTGGCCTGGAGATTGCAGGATTAACTTTTGATGTCTTTACTTGTTGCTCCGCAACTTCCACAGCATTGGTCCCTCCAATAAAATTTGGGTGAGAAGTATTTATGTAGTCCATCTATAAAGTACCCAAAACTTATTAGGTATTTCACAAGGGAAAACAATTGGGATATATGTTGAGAAGCAATAAAATCGAGAAATGGGGGAACAAAAAAACAAGAAGCAAGACTTAAAAAGCATTAAGAGGTGAATATACCTCCATTTCAATAAGATGCCCAATCATCGTCTCCGATGGTTCAAGCCCATCCCGCAAAAAGTTCCCAATAACTTCATCCATGCGTTTTTTAAGAATAGGAAACCGCTGCAGCTCATTGGCTAGACAGCGATGGCTAATCTGGAGAGACGGAGAAACATTTATACCAAACCAGAATATTAATGAGAAATAAGAAATGGAAAAAACTACAAGGAAAAGCTTCTACCTTTAGTAGCTCATCATATATGAATCTTGCACACTGCAGGCTTGGATACAATAACCGGGCAATTTGCCTCCGAACAAGAACTTCAAAAGGAATCTGTACATAGTAGGAAGGAAACCCATCATTATGATACCAACAGTAGTGAAGGAAACAATAGCATCAGCAAAATATGAACAAAACTGCAATAAGAATAAACCGGATTTCACAAGCCTAACCAGACAGAAATGTACAATGGAGAAGAAAAGGAAGAACTTACAACTGGTACAAACAATGCAGCATTAGAACCACAAGCATTTCGAATCGCAGTTCGGATGTCATCATCTGTCAGATCTTCACAAGGATCAACCCCCTGCAGTGAGACATCAGGTGGTGGTTGTTCGTTACTGGATTAAAATTGTTAAACTTACACAAAAACACACTGCAGCCAAAAAATATAAGAGCTTGCACATAAGCCCATAATTAATTGATACTTCTCTAAAGATTATCACAAACATAGGGGCACCCAGAAACGAAAAGATGGATTAAGCTCCGAGTTTCAAGACGTGCAATTTACTAATTCTGAAAAGTAGCACACATGCAAAGACAATGCCATCTTCATATTCCCTGTATACAGAATGCACAGCTGTAAGCAATCATCGTACAAACCTCCAAACTCTTGACAAAAATTGACTGGAAGACATATTTGATGCGCGCTAAACCAGACAGCTGAGTTGTTGATGTTTCTTCATTTTCCCCCTCCAACATTGAAGAAAAAGCTGTCCAACAAGAAAAAACTTATAATCAAATGTTTAGCATATGCAGAACGAAAAAAGGAAATGAGGTGGTTAAAAGGGACAACCGCTACTCCATTAGGAAATTCAGATATACCTTTCCCATATTTTGAAAAGATATTCAACAGAAGAGCACCTTGACCAGCCTACAATTAAAAAAGTCAATAAGCATGTCTATCAAGGAGAACGACAAAATGATTCCCAAAAGCAGTAAGACAATAAGCACCTTAGACTCAGTGATTTCTCCGTAGCTGGCATGCTCCTTTGCAACAGAAACAAGAGCATCACTTATCCGTGATTTCAGCACTGGGAGAATCCCTTTGATATGCTGCACTAAAATCTGAAAGAGACGAATAGTAAAAACTGTTACGCGTGGATAAGGCATCCTTAGTAGTATAATTTCCAGGATAAAATTACATACATGATTCAACTTCTTGGCAAGCTGAGGAATACCGCATCGATCAGCCAAGGAATTGTATACCTGGAAAAAAATCACATGAATTGATGAATCATCCTATCAAACCAATTAACGATGAGAGACATCAGTTAATGGAACTGTGTGATAGGAAACGTCATACTGGATGAGAGCGAAAGAACCTCTCCTCTGCTGCAAGTGCATCCTTAATAGTTCGATTGAGATTGATATCCTGCAACACATTAAAAGATTATATCAGCCAACATGTAATGTCAACCAATATCCAAAAGAACTAACAAAACATGCCACTTTAACCAAGCCCGCATAAAATGGTAACCAACAAATTACCTCTTGACTACGATTCACAACGCCAACATAACCAAGTCGAAGGGGAATCACTTTTCCAAGTAACAAGTTACGGGCATCAGTGCCTCTATCCATGATATCCAGCTGAAGTCGACAAAGAACATATCAGCTACCACACAGAAAAATGTATTTGAAATGATAAATTAGAGAAAACAGGATGCAGAGCGAGAAAGTAACCTTTGTGATAATGCCAATTGTCCTGTAACCTGCAATAAACTAAAATGTCAGCATTGCAAAGCAATCATGAAAAAAGGCATTGAGGATCAAGTTTCAAAAGCAAGTACCATCAGGATCAGCAATTCCTGCAATCTGAAGTGCATCTGAGTTCGCCAAATCCGCATTAGCAGCAGTGACAGCCAGAATAAGGCAGCTAGGTTTTTTAATGTACGACATGATCATTGTTCTAATTCTTGATTCAATGTCCGTGGGTTGATCACCAACAGGCACTTTTGTTATCCCGGGAAGATCGACAAGTGTCATGTCAAGAACATTTGGGGAGAAAATCTTCAAACGGATCTGCTTGTCTGAGACACCTTTGTTGTCTCCTGCTTCCTTAGCTGTTACAGCCTACATCCAGTTCATTCACATATAAACAGTAAGTAGGACTTGGAGACAAGTTTTACAATAACTTAGCCTAGCTCTCTGAATTATACACGAAACATTCTCGAGGCAGTTTCAAGACACAGTTCTCGAGGAAGAGTCGCATGATAGCAAGCAACATAAGAGAATCATAAGCATGATTATCAAGTAAAGCTACTAAGTTTTTGGGCTCACGTAACAATCTCATTACTAAATCAAGCTACTGCGCATAAGAGTGCATTGTGCGTGATGCAGTAACGCTAGATGTGACACCGAATTCCTATAATGTCTGACCAATAAGCTCCCCTTGGAGTGGTGTAAAATGCTTCACCCAACGTTCAGGACTCAAATCTACCATTACAGGCCCTAACTTCATTCACGTCCTCCAGCTATCCAACAGGACGGCTTTTTCCTACCTAGAACGCCACATTCACAGCAGCAATCCACGGCAGACAAATAGGAAGGCTTTTTCCTTCCTACGATCGTTAAGCAACACAGAAATTGGAGCTAAGGGATTCCCTACAGAATTAGAACTCAAAGGAAGCAGCAAAAAGCCTGAAATCCAAATTGCACTAACAATCTAGTCATCAATCACAGGTACTAGCAACCTCCAAAACTATGAACAGAACACAAACACGGCTAATTTACAGTCTCAAAGTTCAGATAACAAGAAAATAAAGAAGCAACAACAATAAGAAAAAGATTCTCTAAACCAGAACACACCTCAATTTCTCTGCGGATCTCCGAGAAATCATAGAAGCGCATATCGGGACGGTGGAGGAACTCCCCCCACTCCTCTTCAATCCCGTCGCCCTTCCTCTTCGTCTGCACCAACTGCAACACCAGCGGCCGGCGCGTGCAGATATCGCTCCCGCGCGGCAGGAAATCCCTCCCGACCAGAGCCTCGAGAACACTGGATTTGCCGCTGCTCTGGCTGCCGACCACCGCCACCTGCGGCAAGTCAATCGTGGACTGGCTTCCAAGCTGAGCGAAGATGTCCTGGAGCTTGTTGACGATGGGGATGACCGAGGATCCCAGCGGCGCCGCCGATTGCGACGGCGATGGTGACGCCGGCTCGTCGGCCATTGCTATGGATTCAACCGCCGAAAGAGAGAGAGAGATGAAGCGGGAAGAAGATGCCTAGGGTTTTGGAGACTTTTTGAGAGAAACAGGGAAAGAAGGTTTTCGCGTTTTTTTTCTTCCTTAATTCACTCTTTTGAGTTTCTCTGTGTTGAGAGAGACGGAAGAGATTATGGAGGTTTTTGTCTGTCAGGTGAGTTTAAGTTGGAGTTAAAATGTGTCTAATCGGAGCTGGCTTACGAGCCACGTCGTCCACGTTCCGGACTTCCGGTAACGACTGGAAAAAAGGAGAGCGAGCGCCGAGCGGGGACACGTAAAGACAGATAAGTACCTAAAATTTTATCTTCTACCCAAGTGAATACCTCAACTCCGAAAATGGTTGTTTAGTTTGGATGATAGTTAAATAGATGCATAATAATATAAATATATATAAGGAAATTGATGTATTGTAGTTCACAATGTTTAGTTTCTGTGATAATTATTCTAGTATTTAAATAAGATATATTGTTTTCTGGGTGAAATGTCATTTTTACCCTTTGTTATTGATATAAAAAGCAAAACACATCAAAAAGTAGGGACATAGTTGGAAGTAGAAAACACGCCAACAATCTCAAACAAACAATCTCACCAAAAACTTGAGATATTACTATCACTCATTTTGAGTGATAGTTTCCATCGTATCAAACAAACAATGCATGTATAGTTTGTGCAGAAAATTCAAAAAAAAAAAAAAAATGATGCATTATGAAAAATGCATGCACTGTAACTATCACAACCAAACAATCACCAAAATCAAACAAGTACCTAAAAATTATAGGCTAAAATGTTCGATTGTTTGTATTACTATCAAAGGGCTGAGGGTTTTCCTAAAAAAAGTGGGTTGAGGGTTATATGATATGTTCAAATGCACCTCACACTGATCTTCAACTTCTATAACCGGAAAACACGAAGAATAGTTTTGATTATTATTATTATTTGTTAGTCGTATAATGTCCATAAAATATTGAAATTCAAATTGCAAACAATTAATTGTATCAAATTCATAAAATCGTCAATTTTCTCTATCGGTAAATACTTCATTTAAAGTGGTCAAATGAAATGTTGGTACAAGAAATGAAATACATTGCACGTATGAGTACTAGTAGGATCCATGGAAGACAAAGCGAGAAACACATAAATTACTAAAATATTACAAATTTACGATAATTTATTATAAATGTTAATCAATATACACAATGACTAGTTGAAGAATCGTTTCTCGAGTTTAACATACAAATCATTTGCACTCATCTCCGCTATCATCCAGAAGAACGCAAATAGATAATTAATCACAATTGTGATGGATCAATTCGAGATCGAAACCCATCGTTATAAATTAGAGGCTGTGATTCCTACAAAATTCAGGAGTGAAAGGCCTACTTGTCTCACCATGAAAATAGAATACCCTAGACAAGATCAAAGCCCTGCCAAATTAAAGCATCAATGTCGATAACAATACAGTGGAAACTACAATTTGTGTCTCCGATAACCCCCCGATCACGTCACCTATTCCTTATGGGAATTCGACAAACAAATCTCAGAACCATAATTAATTTACACAAATACCCCTCTCTATCTTGCTGGCTGACAATGGAAAACCACCAACAACAAGGCAACAACTTATTCCCAAGAGCATCTCTTTTCTACACAAAGGAAAAAAAAAGACCACTTGCGCTTGGCAACCGAATCCTGCCCACCACCACACTGGCAAAGTATAAATTATCATCAAAACATGTATTCTACTTCTAAGACAATCCTTCGGTTCCTGAAAGATATCAGTATCACTAATACCTCTAAAGAAGCAATCTATCAATCGTTGTTTTATCGAATCAATCGACGGAAGGATAGAGACCTTGCATGTAAACACCCCTGCCGCTGCTACCATTCGAATCAACACCGGTGGAAGAATGTGATTGCAGTAGCTCGCCGGAGTGGGAGGACTTCCTCGACCTTGGATTACTCGGAGAAGAGTGATACCCGTTCGAGCTCGTGGTTGTTCGAACTCTAGGCAAACCAATTGTATCAGCAACCGTGCTGTGTCCCCTTTCGAGTGACTCAGCTTCCAATGGCAGTTCTTCCAGTGTCTGTGATGGGCGAGATGAAGGGTGAGAAACATGGGAAGCACTAGAATGTTTACATTGATGGGGTACTGCATCTGCTGGAACTTACCCGGAAAGCTTGTTGGAGGACTTTGAGTGTTTCTCTCGTCCGCTTTCGCTTCTGTGCGATCTCGTCGGGCTCTTGTAGCACCTCTTCAAAGAGATTCTCTCTGCCAGGAAATGGAAAGCAGAGGTGGAAAGAGAACGAGTGAGTGTTTGGATGGTAACTTTAGCTAGGACCGCAAGCAATCAATGTAGAACAATGCATTTTACCTGTAAAGCTTTTTAATCAGAATGTTGTGCAACTCACGTTTCGCATGCTGAACCTGCACAATGAAATTTAAGATGAAGACTTGGAACAAGCACGGAAAGGAGAGCAAAAACAGAAAGCTTTAAAGAATGCGAGATACATAAAGAGACGATTTCACATGGAGCGTCTATGTAAACTTGAGTATATGACCTTTCATAATAAAGAGATGACAAATGCTACTAGTTCGACCTAGAAGAATACATTCAGTTTCAGCCATTCAGGAATCAAAACCCATGATAAGTTTACAACTCTTTCATGCCACAGCATAAGAAACATAGGGGAGGTTTGTAACCCCTAGACTGTTAGGATACGTAGCAATTAGCAAACAGAGGATAGACCAGATATTCTTGATTGCCATAAAACCAATCTTTCCATAAACTTGTTCCAATTTCAAGGGTAACATTTAGCAAGATTCTGCAGCAAGTGAGAAAAACTGGAAGAAGAGCACAAGCATGGGTATGGCCACAAGGTAAGGACTTACAAGAAAGTGCATGACGGTTTTCGGCACTAAATCTGAAATGTTCCTCCGAACAATATCATAGTATGATCGCAATAGCAACTTAATGGCTGTAATTTCAATAGACTCCTGCTCAGAAAGGCCTTCTGTAGGTCTCAAGATTGTTGGAGGCTAGGTACACAGTGAACAAATTCTAGTCAGCATGTAAGAAGCAGCCGCTGAGTAAAACTCAAGCAGACAAGGGCAGACAAGGCAGTAAAACTGTTTCTTAGATGATGTGAATCTCCAAACCTCTTTTAATCGGATAACAGAGCTGCTACTCTTGTCCAAATAGTCATTTCCGTGAGTAGGCTCAACATGTGCTTTGCTTGTTGAACTGTCCTTGGAAAGACTAAGGGAACTATCACTTCCGCCAAAAATTGATGAAATGCCCCAAGAAGATCCACTATGGTTCCCTAATCAGAATGCAATTTGTTCAACAGTCAGTGAAAGGGTACATATACATATTTTAAGCTTGAAAAACAGAACCTCAAATAGATTTCTGAATCTTTGCTCCAACTTACCAGAGGGCCCAACCTTCTCAGCATCTGCTACCTGGCGTACCCCCTTGTAAGTCATTGGGGAACAAAAAGATAATCAGAAAATAATTGATCTTGAAAACAATAATAACATCAGAAGACATACTAGGCAAGAGAACTGGAGGAAGAAGAAGAACGAAGAGAAAGCCTGAAAGCTGCAACTGTTCTTGCCTGATCAGGCATAACTCCATTAACAGGCTTGCCAATAATAGCACGAGATTTTAGGGTCCTTTCAGATGCTGGTGCTTTATCACCTTCTACACCGTCCTATTTGGGAGAACACTTAGAAAGTTAAAGGTGGAACAGAAGCAAAGAAAAGATATGAAAAGTGACCATACAAGAAAAAATAATGAGCGAGTAATCTTAAAAACATCCATGCAAATTATAATTTCTATGGGTAATGCACACCTTTTGCCTCGAGGCAGGGATGCTCAGTCTCGAAGTCTTCAATTGTTGTGCGGCAACTTCCACAGCCTTAGTCCCTCCAATAAAACTTGGGTGGGACGTGTTTATGTAGTCCATCTAAAGAAATATTGAGAAAAGGAGAACCATAAGCCAAAACAAAACATGGAAAGTACTCAGTACACATCAAGACATCTCAGCTAGGTTGTAGAATGTTAAGCCCACCAAACTGCACCAGTCATTGTACAATAAAGCAACAACAAAAAAAGCCCCAAAAAAACAAGGGAGAGAGTAGAAAACAAAGAGTGATACTAAGGCATTCACCCAGAAGAAGAAATAAAAACTAAGTGGAGCTAAGCTAAAAGAGGGAAAGAAAGACCACATAGGCTGCTTCAATAAGACTTTCAGAGAAGCAAGCAACTCAATTACCTCTGTTTCTATAAGATGACCGATCATGGTCTCCGAAGGTTCAAGACCATCACGTAAAAAGTTCCCAACAACTTCATCCATGCGTTTTCTTAGAACAGGAAACCGGTGTAGTTCATCTACCACCACTAGACACCGATGGCTAATCTGGAGATTCAAAAATCTAAATTAAAAACCCAACTATTTCAGATGCAGACAGAGAACACACTAGGGGAAAGCCTGACCTTTATTAACTCGTCATATATGAACCTGGCACATTCAAGGCTCGGATCCAGCAAACGAGCAATTTGCCGACGTACAAGAAGTTCAAATGGCACCTGTGCAATAAAAGCATCAACGATGGTCAAAATTTGCTGCAAACATGATATGAATAAGGCAGGATATGCACAAACTCAAATAAATGTTATCATGAATCTTTAACTAAACAGAAACTACATAACGGAACAAAACAAAAGAAAGAGAAACTTCACCCACAACTGCTACAAATATTGACGATTTGGGACCACAAGCATTTTGAATGGCAATACGAATGTCATCATCTGTCAAATCCTCACAAGGATCAACCTCCTGCATGAGAGATCAAGTGACATTCCATTTATTAGTCATTGGGCCAAGCTTTCCATAGAAGGCACAGAGCAAGCACACATAGAGAGAGCTTGTGCAAGCTTGGAACTTTTGAGGCATGTAAATTGCCAAGTACAAGACAAGATGATACCAAATGAATAGTTCTTGCACATTCACATATACAATCCAAAACGGAAAATATAAACATATACACACCTCTAAAGTTCGGACAAAAATTGACTGGAAAACATATTCAATAAATGCTACGCCTGAGAGCTGGGAAGTTGACAATTCTTCATTTCTTCCTTCTAGCATCGAAGCAAAAGCTGCTCAAGAAACAAAATTTACACACAAAGGTCAACAGAAATAAAAGGAAAACATATCATACATTTAATGACAATGTGCACACAACAAACCAAATAGAACAGAAATTATAAAGGTTAGACTTGTATCATAAGTCATAACAGATGAAAAAGAGGGACTAGGATACACATAATTACCTTCATAGTATTTTGAGATTATGTTCAACACGAGAGCCCCTTGACCAGCCTATAATATAAAAGTTGGCAAACTCAGTGAGATTACTGAACCTAAACAAAAACATGGCCAAACTAGTAAAACAATAAGTACCGAACCAATCCATAAATTTCTAAAAGTGGTGCCAAAAGATTACACACCTTAGATTCAGTGATTTCTCCATAGCTTGCATGTTCCTTTGCGACACTCACAAGAGCATCACTAATGCGAGACTTCAACCCAGGAAGTATTGCTTTAATATGCTGCACTAAGATCTGCAAGAGGCATAGTAAAAGAATCAACCACAACAGTATAACAAGGTAAGAGATCTTTTCAAATGAAACTCTTTAAATAAGTGTAAGTAACAGTATCAGTTCATTAACAAAATAAATTTCTTCAAAACCACGCCAAACTTACACAACCAAATAATTACGCAATTGTCTTTCATCGTCAAGAAGATGACTATTCAAGGGAAACAGAAGACACATTTGCATAATAAGCAAAATGCACAGGAGACATGCGCATAATATTCTAGATAATTAGATCAATGGCCAGAAAAGGTATACATTGTTCAATTTCTTTGCAAGCTGAGGAACGCCACAACGATCAGCTACAGTGCTGTAAACCTACACAAAAATATAAGGGGAAACAAAGTGTAAGCAAGCACATCCATACATAATACAAAAAAATAGAAGAATCGGCAAACCAACTTCGATTATAGTAAAACGAAAAAAAGAAATGAGGAATAGGACAATCATACTGGATGGCTGCGAAAAAACTTCTCTTCTGCTGCTAATGCATCCTTAATACTTCGGTTGAGATTAATGTCCTGAGTTAAGAGTCACATGATGCATCAGCCAGAGAAACATCCAAACATTGGTCACTGAAAAATATATCGGTTGATACTTTCTCTGCTTGCAAGTAAACCAGTAAAAGACATCCATATTCAGCCATGATTACCTCTTGCCTACGATTCACAACGCCTACATAACCAAGTCGCAGGGGAATCACTTTTCCGAGTAATAAATTGCGGGCATCAGTACCTCTATCCATGATATCCAACTGGGTGGGGAAATAAATGTTAAATTTGACAACAAATATATAACACACCGCTCTGAAACGAAAAGTAAAATGAAGTATGAATGTCACCTTTGTTATTATACCTATGGTCCTGTAACCTGCCAACATTTCAACGTCATATTATAAGCCCCATAAAGTAAACATAAAAAGAAAAATAAAGCACTCAAAGTCAAGATTCAAAACAGATGAACTACCATCAGGATCAGCAACTCCTGCAACTTGAAGAGCATCCGAGTTTGCCAAGTCCGCATTTGCAGCAGTAACAGCGAGTATAAGACAGCTTGGCTTTTTTATGTATGACATGATCATTGTTCTGATTCTCGATTCAATATCAGTGGGCTGGTCACCGACAGGAACTTTTGTAATACCAGGAAGATCAACAAGTGTGATATCAAGAACGTTAGGAGAGAAAATCTTCAAACGGATCTGCTTGTCCGAGACACCTTTGTTCTCTCCCGCTTCTCTAGCTGTTACAGCCTACATCCAATCCAAGCCACCAATAAATACAATACTATAAATAAGAATCAGAGCATGGTTGCGACATCATTATGTCAAGAACGCAGCTTTCATGCAGTATCTATAAATCAGCAACATAATTTGTTTAGATTCGTAACGTGTTGCATTTCAGAATACAGCAAAAGGAACAATATAACATCCAAGAGTACACTGCGCTCTCCAGCGATTCAATGATCAGAATTTAGCTTCCACATAATAAAGTACAGGAACGCTAGCTTTTATCGGCGATGGCAGAGTTCTATCCCCTTTGTTTCATCCTAAAAGGCTAGGCAAGAAAAAACCAGACATTATAGGTAAACGAATTTCAGGAACAAGCTAGTTCAACAAGCACATTCCATCCGACTTCTCTTAATAGAACTTGCGCTTAACCAAAACCACAGCAACTAAACTAAAAACAGTCCTACTCAAGGCATTAGGTTCAGCAATCTCCAGTTCACTACTATCCTACTCCAGGTAAACGAAACCGAACCTCGATTTCACTCCGGATCTCGGAGAAGTCGTAGAACCGCTTGTCAGGCCGATGGAGGAACTCCCCCCACTCTTCCTCGATCCCGTCGCCCTTCCTCTTCGTCTGCACCAGCTGCAGAACCAGCGGCCGGCGCGTGCAGATTTCGTTCCCGCGAGGCAGGAAATCCCTCCCCACCAGCGCCTCGAGCACGCTCGACTTGCCGCTGCTCTGGCTGCCGACCACCGCCACCTGCGGCAGCTCGATCGAGGACTGGCTCCCGAGCTGGGCAAATATGTCCTGGAGCTTGTTCACCACGGGAATCACCGACGAGCCCAGCGGCGGAGCCGCCGGCGACGGGGATGCTGGCTCTTCCGCCATTTGATCTAGGGATTCAGCAACGTGAAGATTAAGAGCGCGAAGAGAAATGGGGGAAAGTAGGGTTTTGAAGGTTTCTCAATCAAATCTCTCCCCTATCGATTGGAATGCGGTTAGTTTGTTCGTAGAAGTTGTTTCTATGGACTGGTTTTGCTCTCTGGACTTCTTTACTTTCTGGTTTGTAGCTCACGTTTTGCTGACATCATGTAAGATTACATCAGTAGTTGTCGGTTTAGTACCTATTTTTCTACTGCATTCATCCTCAGATTCCTATCATTTTTACGTTAAAGTAAAATAATATCTCGGTTCCTAACACTAACATAAAGAAATTATTGTCCCTCCCGCGACATCCAATGTCAATAAGGCTGTGGTTTAGAGCCAAGAATTCGTAACGGTGACATTGGAGATAGATATTTGTAATTATGGAGCGCGCATAATTATTTCTTTGACGTGTTTCTGTTTATCATATTTTCATAAATCATTTTGACGGGCCTCAGAATCATCTTTTCTGGCTTGCTTTAGTGTTGGTAGATCTCTCATCTATATCTTTGTTTCATCCATCGAGTTGGTGATTAGGAGATGCAAAGACGTTCTCATCGAGCAGTGGTCTGTATGCAACTTATGGACAATAAGGCACATCATTCTGGATCTTGTCAGTCTTCATCTGATTTTTCTGGGTCAATTTTTCGTTCTTTTTCTTCTCTTGTGGGGCTTTTGCAGGTCGCTTGTGGCTTTGAGGGCTCGTCGATGAGAATCAGCTTGTCAACGATGTTGGGGGACTCATTCGATAGTGTTGGTGATGTCTGACGGAAGGTGGAATTGGTGAAAAGGTTTGTGCATTGTTCAAAAGGACGCGCTTAATGTTACGCTTAGGCACGTATAGGGGTTAGGCAACGACAAAATGCCTCGCCTAGGAGTTTCCCGCCTAGTTAGGTACTGCAACACGTCAATGAAGTAAGATGACGCCTAAGTCTTTCATAAAAACAATTAGGAGTTAGGAAGTCGATATTAAAGGAGAAAACTAACCTCAACTACGAGACCAATTTTTTATATCAATATTTCCAATTGCTCAAGAACTTGTGAGCTATTGGGCTACGAGTCTATGATTTGTTTAGCTATCTTTCTAACGTTAAGTGTTACGTAAGTTATTAATCATTTTAACTTAAGTGAGAAAGCATTATAAATTATTATTTCATTCATCATGCAGTGCGAATAGCTATTGTTCATCCAACGCCTAGGCGAGTTAGGCCCTTAGCAAGGTCTCAACGCACGTCCTTATGCCTAGCGTCTTGGTGAATTTTTATAGCTTATGCCTGACATTAACTAAATAACTAGATTTTCACCCAAAAAAAAACTAAATAACTAGACTTGTGGCTTTGGGTTCTTTCTTTTGATGGGCTTCCCTTCTATTTGATCTTTACAACAGTTTTTAGCCCACTGTTTTGAGGCATTCATGTTAACTATTTGTTTTGTGTTGCCCTTCCAACTTTCATGGGTATTATTATATTATGTACTCAAACCTTCACTCATATTTGAAGTGCAATGGTTGAGAGATAGGCCTTTGCATGGAGATCCACCAACTTGATAGCCCAATGTTTTCACTCACAGAAAACCTCGTGGGCTGATAGGCCCATTCTTTACGTTTTTAAACACGTATGATGCGGAATATGGACCTTGCTTCCTTGGTCAGGCCCGAATGGTAATTTGACAAATGAATCGAAACTGGTGATTTTTTTTTTTTTTTTTTTTTTATTGAGTGATCCTCATGAATTTCAGGGAAAAGTAGAGTGGAAGTGGAATGAAAGCGAATGCGTATGGGAAGAAGCGAAAAAAAGCAAAAGGCAGTAGGAAAATTCCATTCTGTTCCCCACTTCAAGAGCATTAATCCATTTCGTACGGAACTCAAACCCTAAAAAGACCCAAAAAAAGAAAGTGCTAAGATCGAAACAAAATAATAATAATTAATCAGAAAGAAATATAACCTAAGTCGTAATTAGGGTTGTGTAAAGTTCTGGATATGACCAAACTATTTTAGAATCGTGATTTCAATAGTGAAAGACGTATTGGAATGAATTAGTATTGTAATTCAATTCGACGCGGTAAGATTCAAACATCAAATCAGATCATGTTTGTTTCGGGTTCAAATGTCAAATTCGGCCTGTTTTTTTACATTATCTATTAAATTCATACTACCAAGTACCGGACCAACATTATATTCGGTTCAGTACTGTCCAATCCAAAAATGTCATTCTGATCCGATAAGGATCAAGCCGTTCCACACCACTAACCTTTTTACATCAAAATACTTTTTTTCTCGTCTGAAAAATATTAATCCCTGTCTTATAAATAATGAATCTCTCTTTGTATTCTTAAACTATTAGATAGTCTATAAGACTATCAATTTTTTTTTTTAATACAGGAACCATCTTCCAAGGTGTGGCGACATTCATTCTGCAATCCCAATACCCTCCACGAATATCACCACAGCGCCTTCCTCCCATTTCCTAATCACTCTTACATAAAAATAAAATATTATTATTAACCACTTTTTTTGGGCGCCGGATCCAATGCTAATTTTTTTTTAATTAATTAATTAATGAATAAAAATCGCCACGCCACCACACCTCTCCCACGTGCAACTCTCCTCTCTTTCCGCATTTTGCCCTTCTCATCATTACTTCCACTGGCAGCGAATCAGCAAATATCCTCATCCTCCTTCCTTCCTGATATCTTGGCCGTTACAAGAACAGAGAGAATTACCAATTTACCACCATTTTTGTCATTGAGAGCAGCAGCAAAAAAGCAATGATGAATGGAGACAGCAAGCAACTCAGGCATACTGTGACTGCCTAGTGCCTACTTGCTGCAACATATATTGGATTACGACAAGGAAAGCGCGATAAATCGATCAGGGAGAAAGAAAAAAATTCATGTTATACCTCAATCGTTATAAATGATACATTGATCATAATATAAAGCTCGTGTGAGTCGTCGTCTGTTAAATAGCGGTCTGTGACAGAGGAGCGTTCGATAGTGGTATTTGTAGATTTCAAATAGGGGTGACTATTTGGTCCGATCCGGTTAAATTGGACCAAATTGATTCGGTCTCAGTCCGGTCTTTTCGGGAATATAAGGACCAAAGATTGGATTGGATACACTTCGGTCTTGATCCGGTCCGGTCTTGACCCAGTCCGATCCCAATTTGATTTTGATTTTAGATTGAGCTTGTGGGGATTTGAGAGTTGGGGTCTCTTATATGGTCTTTATCCAGTTTTTTTTTTACCTCAAATCTAAGCCCGAATATGAGATTGCATTGTTTGCTATCCGGTCCCAATCCGGTCCCGGTTTTGGGTAAAACCAAACAGTCCTGAACCAAATTGTCAGCCCAAATTTCAAACTCTGTAACCCACGAGCGCTACACGACAAATCGTTGAATAGGTATTGGGGGAGCAGAAAAAGGAATTGTAGTAGTGCAGGGGTGACACAAACTACCTCCAAATTGGCCGATTAGGGATTAATTATTAAATTAATTAAATCCTCAATTATTTAAAAGGAGGAGGAGAAGAAGAAGGGCGGCAACGTAAAAAAAAGAATTGAAGGGGGACGGTTGAACAAACATAGAATACTGCCGGCCACATATGGTCCCCGGCGTTGCCGTTTATACCGTTTTGGGGATATGGCCGGACCTTGAAATTCCAATAGGCAGAAAAAGGGCAAAGAGACAATTCCACAGAGACACAGCCGTGTGTGTATGCAGGCCTGATCCTATTTCTCTCCACAAAACGTCAGTCCTTCGGAGTAATCATTTTCACGCTTTGCATCGATTTCGTGGAACCGATGATACGTTGTGTACAAAATCAATGGACGATCATTGTATAACGCTTCCTGCATAACCTCAATCGTATGAAATACTTTATAACACAGATACGTAAATCCAATTGATCGAAATCGTATCTTATTTCATCTCACCTTATCATCTTGTTTATTTTCTTTCATGGTTTAACATAAATTACAAGGGCCCCACAACACAGTGAATACAATACACACACTACTACTACTAATGCTATACTGCTAGCAGACAGAGCAAAACCCACCCTCCATTGTCATTTTAATGATGCTCAGCCCAAAAACAATGATAACGTGATATATGGGGGGAGAATATTCCAAAACTGGAGCTGACAAACGAGCAAAAAGAGAAGGTAAAGTGAACAAAGAAATAGTCATAGTGGTGGTGGTGGTGGGAGAAAAGAAAAACAATAATACTTTGGCCGGAAGACTGAAGCAGAGGGAAAGAAAGTGGCCAGAAAAAAAACCAGAATGTAAAAAAGAAGAAAGACTAAAAAAAAAAGGCTCTCAAACAAACGACACTTTTCACACACAGGAACAAAAACCAATCAATGCCTGCCTGCCTGCAAGTGCAATTCTGCAAAGCTAAAGCAGAGTCTCTCTGCCATTGTAGTAGTCAAAATTCTCCCCCCCCCTTCCCAAGCACATAAAATAAACCAGATACAGCCAACAGATTCCAGACAGTCAAAATTATAGCCGGCTAAAGATTAGATTAGCTTTTGACGAAGAACAACTGAAATGGATAATCTGTACAAATTCGAAGAACCACAAAGAAACTACTGAAATTTTGCTAATTGGAACCCCCCCCCCCCCCCACGGTTAAATTCTAATTACTCAAACAAGATGACAGTAAAAAAAGCTAAAAATGCTATTATATTCTTGCTGATGCAAAGAAAGAAAGTTACCTCGAGCTAGCTACAGCTACCCCTCTCTCTCTCTCTCTATCACTTTTCTTCTTTCCTGAATTTTTTTTTACTTGGTTAGGTATTTCAGTATTTGCTCTGTTTTTCCTCCTCATCATGGCTTCAAACGAACCCACTGGTACCGGCCCTCCAATGGCGCATCCTTCACGACGTCAAAGTTGTACCTGCAAAGAGAAGAATTGCCCCCAAAAAGGGTTTGTTACTTGTTAGTAGTTAGTTAGGGTTTCGATTTCGGATTCCACCTCCCTCTAACGTACGCCCACTCTTATCCTACGCATCCACGAACGAAATTACCCATAAATAAATAAAAATTTAAATAAAAAAAATAATACTACTCACTTCTCTGTAAATTGTTTCTGCTGCTCGTTCTCCGCCGCCGTGAAGAACTCGTCGAGTTCTTCCTCACTCGGAGACTCCTTTGCCTTCCCCGCCGTCAGCGTTGCGAAAGGAGGCGCGCGCTTGGTGGCGGTGGGGATTCTCTTCGGCTTCTCCGTCGTTGTTATTGTTTCCGATTTCGCTGAGGAGTCGTCGGCCATGTCTGTTTCTACTGAGCTGTCTGCGCTGAACCGACTGGAAGGAGAGGCTTCTCTGCTACAAACGGAAAGAGGAAGACGAAGAAGAATGAGAAAACGAACTCTGTGCAGATATAATTGACCGTTTGGATTTCAAAAGAAATTCTGGAGCTACAGTAGGAAAATTAATGAATGAATTGGAAATGAAAAAAAAGGAGAATAACCATAAACAAAAACGAACCTGAATTTGTTGTCGATGCAGGTCGAGGAGCTTTCCGTTTCGTAGCTCTTAGCCTGCAGTAACAATATATATATATATATGGTATTAATTAATTAATTGCCGAGTGAATACGAGAGAGATGCTCCCTCTCTCTCCGACTGAATGAATCGCTTTGAATGTTTGGAGAAACGGAAATCGTTGCGACGAGAGAGAAGAAAACAAGTATTTCTACCTTCTGTTTGTTTCCTGAGAAAGAAAGGGGAAAATTTTGAAATCCTAATAATTATATGCTAGGATCGAGTTATAACTGTAGTAGCGAGCTCTCGGAGGATCGGAATTTTTTTTTGAAATTCGAATTTGCTAAAATCCTAACTGAATTTCGCGCTGATTTTCTCAGGAAAAGATACCTCTCGCGAAGTTCAATCTTATCCAGAATTCCGGAAGTTCAATTATGAGCTAGCCTAGAAAGGAATCCATTCATTCTTCAAGAAAGAAGAAAATATTGCAAAATACGCTTAACAAGAATCGGAATCCCACTGCTCCAATTTTCTTCGAAAACAAGAAGGACACCGCTCGCAGAAAAGAAGAAGAAAACTAGCTACAGCAGATATAGCCAATTCCGAAAACCAGCCGCAATTCTCGAGGAGTATCGATCGGGTTTCGAGTTCTTACCTCTAGATCTGCCGCTCCGAATTCGCTCTCCTTCACATCGTGCTCGCTCGACTCTACATTGCTGGAGCAGCAGCCGCCGGTCGAAGCGCGGGAGTCGGCCGCAGCGGAGCAGAAATCGCCGTCGAACATGAGACGGCCAGCTGCCGACGATGTCGTCGGTGCAGCCGCCTTCCCCTCCACTGATGCGCAGCGAAGCCGGCGGATCTCGTCCGAATTCCGGGAGAGAGGGGAGCTCGATTTCAATTCCGCGAATTCCAGCCTATCATCCTCGTCGCTCTTCTTCAACTTCTTGGAGAAGCTCCTCGCGGAATCCCTCGCACCTTCGTCAAATCCACCACCGCCGTCTGATCGCTTGCAGTTCCTCGAAGAAGAATCCTCCATTTCTCTCTCTCTCTTTCTCTCAGTTTTCTTCTAAAACCAACTTTTCAAGTTTTCTGACTCTCTCTATCTTTCCGGTTTGTTTTCAGCTTCTTATGGGAGGGAGAAAGGGACGGGGGGGAAAAAAGTAGAGAACTGCCGGAAATGGAAGGAGAGCCGTTGATTAAACCGACGGTTGAGATCACACTGGGCCCAGCGGAAAATTATCCGTGTGGTCCCTAACTATTCACTTAACGGTGTGATTAAAGGGCAGAATGTAATTTAACAGTGCCGTTATGATTATCAGACGGTTGGAATTTGGAAAGGAAAAAAGATGCTCCTTACCGTTAAAGAAGCGTTGCCTTCTCCGTCCATCCCAATTAATCATGACACACTTAAATGGTAATTAAGCCACTCACTGGGTTGTTTGGCTTTGTAACTAAGGTTAGTGACATAATTAGGGTCACTAGCTAGGTTTTCCAGAGGTTGGAATGATTTATATGGGATTTTCTCAACAGCTTTCATTCTTTTCGATTTTGTAGAATATGTAAGTCCTGAAGTTATAGGAAAAATAGAGTTTGAAATTTTCATTCATGTTGCTTGTTATGTTGTTATATGGATTGATAACAATGTTAATTGGATCGATGTGGAAAGAGGTGGGTTGCTTGCCATTCAAGTAACATATGACGGTTATCGAACGATGGAGATTGAATGTACATATCTAATCGCACATATTTTTCTTGTCATTATTTTTGCTGATCGATGCGTTGCAACATGTTGTCGTTGGTCTCCGACGACTACTATTTCTACTGAAACTGCCACCAGCTAACTCCAACGGTTGGTATACAATAGATTATTCTTTTTCGTTCATATTGATATTCCAGATTTCTATCATTGCTCTTTCTAACGGATTAACAAGTTATCGACACGAGCTTGCTAAATATGGATTCACTTGGACCTGTTACGTTTTTTTTTTCTTTGTGAATTTCCAATACGCACTCACAACATACAAGTTTGTAGTATGAATATGCTAATTTTCTCAAATAACAATTATCGGGAGTTTGGGACACTTTTGGATGGACTATAAAGTGATTTTTGCATGTGATGATGGTTAGAATGTTGTTGTCTAAAATCCCCGGAAAAAGCATGTTGGTGATTTTCAAGGTAATAATGAGATGCTCGAATCTTTCGACGTCATCAAAGTAATTAGTATATTAATGAAATGGTTTGTGAATTCAAGGCCATACATGTTGAGATTAATTAATGATTACAAAAAATATTAATGTTAACTGAACGGCTCCACCAAAACGTTTCCTAATTTTGGTGGAGAGACTTGAAAGCATGCTTCTTCCGTTATTAGTAGTTGTCCATATCAATCAAGTACTATATTGTTTCATAAGAAAGAATAGTTGGCCCAAACCTTACTTAACAACCACACAACACATAAATCAGGCACCATGAAAGAAAACCTTTATTAGCCCTAGCTAGCAAGGATAGTACAAGGGGGTCGTTATACTTTGCATCATATCGATGGCTACTTTATTCCTATATATAAAAAAAATCGATGGCTACTTTATATTTTGAATTGTAAAATATAACAAATTTAGGTACTAAATGTTGGAGCTGCTGAGGTTGGAATCCTTACTGCACAAGGATTAGTCTGTGGGCGCCAAGTTCTTGGTTCTAATTAGAGTCTGATCGTATTAGTGGGTGCGGCGTCGCTTGTCTTACTGTCTAGCTAGTCATTTATTTTTTAGTTTGTTGCAAATAAGTCCCTGTGTGTTATGCAGGACTGTTGAGAGCTTTTAGCCCAATCAGTTAGTAATGGTAGCTAGGAATCAGGAGTCTGGGAGTTAGGGTGGTTGTTAGTGGCCGAGTTCTGTGGCACACATCACCATATTTACATTCTCTTTGCTGCATTCAATAAAGATTGTCAGATTGCACCCTATTGTGTTTTACACTAAAACCGTAATAATTCTCCAACAACCCATGAATCTAATTCGTTAATTCACCTGTCCAATTGAACATGAATTAATTGGATTGGATTAGTTTAATTATTAGATGAATTGGATTGGTGGATTGAATATCAAATAACGACCTCTAGTTCCGCATTCACTTGGTCTTTGGATGATTCATTGGATGAGGGTTACGCAGAGATCAAACCAACCATTGATATGAATGGACCGTTGCCGCCAACACCACAACGAACAAGACTCTGAGATCGAGAAGATCATTAATTTGTTATAGGGACTTCAACGTGAGCACAGTTAGGCATGTGTTTGCTCAATCGGATTGCTCGGGCATTAAGAGCGTGTGTGATTAGTGATTAGTCCAATCAAAGACCAAATTACGAATGAAAAGATGAACATATATACGAAAGTCGGGAAAATGTCTCTTTGAACTCAAACTCCAATCGAGGTGGACATTGATGCAGTTTAGAGTTCGATCAAATGCCACGTTTAGAATGTGTAAAGGAAGCTAGAAAAAGTGAAGCAAAACGACAGGCAGAAATAAATAGGGGATGAACAGCCCGGAAAGTGTAAATTGTAAATGGTCGGGTTCGGATTTGAACAAATTATTGGGAGAAGGAGTGGAAAAATAAGACCCCCCAACTCTTATGTTATGTGTTCGTCCCAATAGTTCGATTTTGTTCGGAGAACTTCAATGATAAATAACAGTTTCTTTACCAACACTCTAAAAACACTTAGGCTGGCTCCAACCCAAGGAGCTAAAATGCTAAAAAGTCAAATTTAGCTCTTTTTCAAGCTCCAACCCACAAAAAAATGGGAAGCAAAAAATGGGTATTGGGATTTTGGAAGGGAAATTTGGCTGGGTTTTGGGGTGGGGAGTGATATTTGGCTGCCAAAAAGTGGGTTTGTTTGTCAGATGCGGAGAAGGGCGCCAGGCGCGCGTCCGGCGCCCTTCTCCGCAGCTGACGTGCTGTTACTTTTTTTTTTCTTTTTTTCTTTTAACTTTTGTAGTGAGGGAATTTGTTTTGCCAATTTTTTTTGGATTTTTTTTCTCTATTCTCATTGGTTGTTTGTGATTCAATTTGAAATAATTGATGTAGTGACGAAAAAACGGTCATATTTTAACGGCCATAAAAAACGGTCATATTTTAACGGCCATATTTTTTCTTATATATTACAGCACTCTTCATAGATTTCTCTTCACTCATTCTCAGAGCATAAATCGAATTCTCTCAAAATTCAATTGTTATCGTCTCTCAAAATAGAAATATGACAGGCAAGAGAGGACCTAATTGGCGTACGAATGAAGATGAAATCTTGTGCAGAGCTTGGGTGTCGATATCAGAAGATGGGGGGTCAAACCTCACAATGTCGCCCATAATGCGATGGAATAATCTTGGCTGCATCCGATAGCGCCTTCTGAATATGCGAGCATTGTATACTGGATTTGGATCGAAGTAATCCCTCATAAGACGTCCATTACATTCGACCCTCTCACGATCAATGTGACGTCGGCTTGTAGTTTGACGGCGACTTGATGCACCTTCAGCCAGCCTCCGACCGATCAAACTCAAACGTAGGTGGTGAAACCTTTCGTACTCTTCGTTTTCTTCTTCTCCAGACGATGAGCTATCTGAGATACTCATGATGAATGTGTTTGTTTTAGAAATGGGAAGAAGTTTTAGTTGAGTTGATGAAAATGAAGAACTGTCATTTATAAAGACAATTGGTGCAAAAAATGACAAAAAAAACGGTCGTAAAGTAACGGATACAAAAAAACGGTCATATTTGGAGTGGTCCCGAAGTTTTAACGGTAATATTTTAACGACTAATTTTTGAAAAAAAAAATTATCTCGGAATTTAAAAAAAATTACATCGAAAAATTTGTATTCAAAACTAATAACGAGTTATGAAAAAATTAAAGTGAAATATAAAAATTAGAGGTCAAATAAGTATGGTTTATTGAAATAAATTGAAAAATGGAAATGGGAAGCTAAATTTAGCTTTTTATAGGGTTGGAGTGAAAAGTGGGTTTGGGGAGCTAAAAAGCCATATTTGGCCATTTGGGGAGCTAAATTCCCCTTTATGGGTTGGAGTTAGTCTTACTTATACAGGCTTAAAATACGGACATATCAGAATATCATGTATTTAACAAATTAGAGATATCGGAATTCAAACACCAACCCTATCCATCATCAAATACTCTTATACCATATCGAAAATCAATTTATCCTGATAATTCGAGTTGCTAGCAGGCATTCAATTATCAATTTCATATGAAATAATGTAAAAATAAAGAAACCACAAGTTTTTTGCCGATTCTCATATTCTTAAAAGCAGTTGTGGACCCCTCTCTCCACATAGCTTAGCTTTTTTAGAAAAGTTGCAACCCGGAAAAAGGAGAGCTTAGAGGATAAGAAATGTGAACCTTGCCGCTGACATGTTTCCAAATCTATCGAGAAAGCAGCAAAAGAGCCTCAACCAGTCTATCAACTCACACTCTAAAACCAGTCTCTGTGAAACCGTTCGGTGATCAAACCTATAAAAACCTCCTATCGGAGCACAAATCGACAAGTTATCATTAACGTGGTATAAAACGATTGAACCACGATTTAAAGTACAAACTACCCTACCGCTAACCTTTTTTGGTAAAACCTCTGGTACGGTTTTACAATCCTTGTTCTCAATACATATATCCGAGAGCGCTAACCACAATACCTATCATCGGACTGATCATATATACTAGACTTCCACCCCAAGAATCCGAGTCGCTAGAAACTCGTTGGTTGGTGCAAAACACAACAACATGCTAGCTAGTAAAGGTTTGTTAGCCCACACGAATAATCTTCAGAGCACAAAATACTATCCCGCTAACTTTTCCGGTACAACCTCCTATAACGATAAACACTCCTTTGAAAGCTAAGTGAAGCATACACAAAAGTCATCTGAATGTGACAGCCCGGAGAGATGGATAGGTGCCGCAATTCATAGAATTCGTGGCCCTAGAAACTTAAAAAAGAAGACAATAATAATGTGGGGAGAAAAACAGGGGATGGGAAGAAAACAGGATAAAGACACAGCAAGCAGAAATGGGGCCAGTTCTTTGGTGGACTTCATTTCAGGAATCTGCTGCTATCACACAGCCACTCTGCTCCATTCATAAAAATTAAAAGGCCTCTTTCTTTGCCTTGAAATTATAGCAGCTTGCAGAAATTGCATTTTTATGTCCACGTCCCCAGAAGCCTTTTTCTTTCTTTTGCTTTTTCCATTGAGCACTGAGAAAAGAATTCCAGACTGGTATCTGCATTGCTATCTCCATGCATAATAAAACCTCGTGATTTCAGCAGCTGAGAAAAGAATTCTAGACTAAGACAGGGCTAAGAGGCAGGCAGAGCCTCTTTAGCCCGAGTTGCATATGAGTCACATGAAGATTTGTAGAGGGTGGGATCTCTCGGTTTGGTTCGGTTTACTGAAAAATCAAGAAACCGGAAAACCGAAACAAGCACCTTTCTTTGAAATCAAACTAAGCTGTTCAGGGGGCTTCACAATTTCGGTTAACCTGTACGGACTGTCCAGCCGGAAAAAAAACGTCTGCCGGAGTAAAAACCGGTGTAGGATTTTATCGGTATAAAACGGTCGAATAATGGTTTAAAGTTTAAACACAAAAAAATCCTACCAGTACCCTATCCGGTACTGCCTGTTCTAAAACCCTTGCCAATAACAGTTTAAACCTCCTAGCAGTTCGGTTTGGATCGACCAAAACCGATAAGTGCAAAACGATTCGAGATCGATACCAGAAACCGATAAGAGCACATTCTCGGTTTGGTTTCGGTTTAAACTGAAAAAACGGCACCCAAATTGACAGCCCTAAGAGACATATATGGACACCCAATTGAACTAACTGAAGATCTATTGCTTGGGTAAGAAAATAGACCATTCAGACTTCAGAGCTACTTTGATTTATATTACAGATGGGAGCATCCATCTGCTGAACCAAGTAGCTGGCAACACAGGGATAAGATCTATCCTACAGCATTTACAGCGGTTAACCTAGTGCAGGCCAAACAGTTGTCAAGGAAAGGCAGCCATTAATTTAAACCTGCCTGCGGGAAGAAAAGCTGTGAAAAAGGATAGGATTCCTGTGAAAGAGGCCTCCATGAGGCAAAGCACCAACTGGCCCTCTCCATCTCGAAGCATCTCTACTTTCCCTATTAGACTTCGACTTTATTTTTAAGAAAGAAGTTAAAATCCATATAGGGTAGCAAAACAACTCAAAAAGATTTCATCTTGGTTTCATCTGTGGGATAAAAATAGGTCAGAAGAAGAGTAGAAACAAGGCTAGAAGTTATAGATGCATTTGAAGGGCAAATGAGTAGGGGGAAGATATTACTGGTAACAGACTGATTGGTAAATAATAGCAGCATTCTATCCTGACCTGATCGGTACGACTCTGACGAGTTATTAGTGGGCTGGTTCCTAGGGCTCCACCTAGGGGTGTATCGATTTCCCTTTAACGAGTAAAACCCGTGATATAAACGCGCTACTACGGATCGGGAAATCGCCGGAATCGATAAAGCAAGAATATGAAAGCGAGAATCGAAAAAACACAGACACACGATTTACGTGGTTCACTAACACGATGTGTGTTAGTTAGTCCACGGACGAGAGAGAGAGTCAGTTTTACTATATCGAGGAGATTACAGATTACAGAGGAGTATGAGAAGTATTTGTAGTACTTCTCCATGTGGGTCTAAACCTAAACCAATCTGGCAAAGGAAACGTTTACAGACCAGGCCCAGAACCCGAACCCAAATAACATTGAGCCCATACAACGAGACCCTGACTACCAGTCGTAGCGGTTGATAGTCCGATTCAAGTCACATCAACAAATCGGTAAGCACTTAATGGTTTTGGTTTCGATTAAAACCGAAAACCGATAAGGCTTAACGCATTCAAGGGGCCATTTTCGGGTTTTCAGTTTATTCCGACCGAAATCGTTAAGGGATGCTCGGTTTCGGTAACTGAAAAACTGATCATCCCTTAACGGTTTCGGTTTTGAGCAATTGACTAAATCATTTTTCGGTTCGATTAACCGAACCAAACTGCCACCTCTACCCCACCTTGTGTTTAGGCCCATGCCCATTAATTGTGAACTAAAAAAAAAAAAAAAAACTCTCCCATCAATTTATGCTAGCGACCCACATTTCACATCACACCAGCGGCAAAACCAATGGCAATGGCTGGTATGGCGGCTCCTAGAGCAGCAAGAGGGACCACTCTGCAAATTTCCTACTTCTTTCCCCCTTTTTCCTAGTTTGATCTAACTAGGAAGCATTCAAGTTTCACTGGGTGGGAAATGGAATATGAAAAGAATGATATGGATGGAGATCAGAATAGATGGCAGTAAGACTGTAAAAGTTTGTTACGAAGCAGACATTGATAGATCACGATGACAACGAAGAAGAAGTGAGAAGATGGCCTACCTTGAATTTCGAAGGTGGTCCGCTGAATTCTGATGATCAGTAGGAAGGTCAGATCTACTGGAAGATTGATGCTGATGATGGCGGCCCTTTGTTTAAAAACTCGGGTTCGTGATGTAACTGCGTCACTGCTGCTGAAAGGTACTCATCCTTGTCTTGCTGGTGGAGAAATCTTTATGAGAGCTCACTCTGTAATTCTCTGCTACCTGCATATGCTTTTACACAACTTTGTTTTTTGGTTTGAGAAAAAGAAAAGAAAAAAGAAAAAAAAAACAGAGCATGAAAGTTAACTTGCTAAGCTAGCTACCAGTGATCACTTTTTTTGCAGAGAAAAGTTTCAGATAAAATGAGAAATGGTATTCATCATTGGGGACGCAAATGAACATATAAGGTTTGCAAATGCTGCCATCATTTTCATCTCATCCTTCTATGCTTTGTTTTTGGTTTCTAGGTTGGCTATAACAGCGGCCGAACGAATCAGCCGGTTGATTCGATCATCTAGCTATGATAAACGGCGGATGATAGCTTGGTGGTGATCATATGGTGATCCCCAATGCTTAAACGACCTTCTTCACTTGGAAATAGTTGGGGCGATCCTTGTGCGCTGCATCTATGTGGCCTGCAGATGCCACGGCTACTGAAACTCCTTTATGTTTCACAGCATCGATCGCGTCTGCAAATTCCCTGAAGTTCTTCAAGCTGTGGGCAGTGGAAGGGAAAAGGAGAAGGTTATGTGTTGGAAATCAGAGCCATCCATAACTCCAAAACAAAACCCCAAAAAAAAAAAAAAAAAAAACTTGGACGACAACATGGATGCCAAGGGGAAAAACTTATTTGGTTCCCCACGATTATCTTTGATTTTGTATGGTTCTTACTTCTTACTGCAGCCTATTTGGTTATGACTAATGAGGACAGCCCCAGTCTTACATGGCTAAATTTTCATTTAAGAACAATCACATTGCACGCACTGCCTAACAATGAAAAAGCCGAGTATCTGGTTTACGATGTAAGAGGCCGATGAATCTTTACCTAGTTGAGAGTATCTCTTCGCGCCTCTGTTGCCTTTCTTCCTCGGTGACACCTCGCAGGTACCTCAACATGCTGAAACATTCGAATAGAGATTAAATGATTTAAGGATACCTACCAACTGGAATAACTTAATTCGGAGTTCAACAAAAAGCATATAGATATCATTTTCCTGAGAGAAGACAAACCACCATAATAATCTCAAGGAATCTTTTCAAGTTGGAAACTGGAAAAACAGATTATCAACCAACCTGTTATAACCTTTGGCATCCGGTAGCTGGTATGAGTCCACATTTCCAATGGTACCAATAATGGACTTTGTAAGAGTATCATTATCAAGTTCTAACTCACGCAGAAAATCCCCAGTTGCATCGTATATATCTAGTGTGTTCAGCAAATTGGGGTCTCTCCAAGATAAGAAGTAACAGACTCCTGAAACATCAAAAATCAAAGAACAAATTACCAAGCATGTATAAGAAGCTCACACTATCTGTTCCCCCGATGCTTAGTGCAAAATAGCAAGGTCTTTTACCTGAGTAAGGATTAAAATGACTCATTCCTCCATATGCTCCGCCCATCAGACGAACCCGATCCCACAGCCATGTATTAGAAATGTGGTTGGAGATAACATATACACTCCCATGAAGTTGATAACCAGCTTCATATATGTTAGCAGCTTTGCCAACATAATTAACCTGGAAAAAAGCTCGCATATCTAAGTTTCTGGAGATGCAGGATACCAAAACTAGCATCTAATCAAAATATGCTTCACCTGCGAAGGTATCACAATTGCTTCATTTCCTAGAGGAAGTCGAGCATTCCAAGAAGCAGTTGCTGCCGATGAGCTGCTTGGGAGACAATCAAGGAACTTGCTGACATACTTCTCAGAGGCTGTGAGATTCTTCCCATCAGCAGTCAAATTTACCAAGCATCCATCCTTTGACAACAAAGATGTGCGGATTTCCTCTAGTGATGCAGAAATTCCATCCCAATCTTGATCAACTCTCTTTTCCAGATCTTGCAGGAACTCAAGGTAACTATACATAAGAAATCATACCATGTCATCTTTAGCAAAGTACAGAAAACTTATCTTAGGATTGGACCTTCAAATCTTTTATAACCCCACACTGTGGAGATTGTCCCAACAGATTATAGGGTTTAACGATTTCATTATTAAAGAAATGAGGTAAATACTGGACCTGACACCACCCATTTGTTCTGAAATCCAGCCGGCAGTACTAAACTTGGCACCCAGCCTTGAAGCAGCAATTGCATGACCACTACCGCTTAAGCTGCTCTGTAAATATATGAAAACCAATGCATTAAATTGCCACCAAATTTTTTTACTGCATATACGATTTGCAATAAAGGATTAGGACCAGTTAAGCACCTCCATTCCTGCTTTGCTCTGTGAAACAAATTGCTTGAATCGCTGCTGGTCTGTGAATTGTACTTCTTGAAGAACACATTTTACCTACAGTCAACTACAAAAATCAATCCCAGTATCAAAAGTAAACTGCCCAAAGCCAAAGATTAGGGGACTTGATTACTATTGAAATACAAAAAGTTAAATCTGAGTGTTAACAGTTGGAACCAGCTTGTTCCTTCTAATTATTTGGAAGGCGTGAGATACTAAGGATGCATAAAAACTGACAAGCATGCACTGCCCAGAGACTGAAGGCCGGGGGATAGCTATGCAAACAGATAAGCAAGCTCACTCGTTTGATCCTCAATTTACATAGGAAAACTTCCCTGGAAAATGAGTCAAGTTGACAAAAATACAGCACCTCACAATAAAAGCAATGCATCAGCAGAGTGTACAACCAGCATAATAATAAGTGATAGTGATATCTAAGCACTCTTGATATTCTCGATTAATTATCATAGTTGACTTATAAAAGCAGCTGGTGAATAACCCAGTTCGAGATTACCAGGTTAAACAGGTCTTCAGCACGCCCCGCCATGGCCTTCCCTCGAACGATAATATGACTACATAGATCTGTTGAGCCCCTGACAGAGGATGTGAAGGGATAAACAGATATACCCCCTGTTTTCCTTCCAATCAGCTGATTAAGTTGAACAAAACTCATATCCTTTGTACCCATCTCAAGCAGCGATTGGCTGTTAAGACCACAAACCAGTTAGAACAAGGATCAAGGCTTCTTCTATTCATAATTTCCCATTGCCATCATAAAGAAAAAAAATAATCAAGGCTGAAAATGTAAGTTAATAGGGGATTCAGCAGACATTTAAGAAACAAACAGCTACCACAAGAGATCAAGGCTTCTTCTATTCATAATTTTCCATTTCCAATGATATTTTACGTAAATAAATTAAATTTTAGGTATCAAAATGTATAATATAAAAGTATAGATACTAAGTGTAATGTTTCAGATATCCATCCATCTATCCAATAGCATTTGGATTAACTGGATCCACAAGTTTGTTGGATACTAACAAGGCACCAAATTGGTATCAGTGTCAATTAGTTACAGGTATGTTATGACACGCAGGAAACTGAAGCGCGAGTGAAAACTTATATTTCATCATACAAGAACAATCCAACTACTGGTGGTAAGTGAAGGGAATAACTGAACAAAATGCAAAAAAACTTCATCAACCTTGACTTAGCAACCAAGGTTCCTTTACCGGTGAAAATGTATCCAGTGCTACAGAAACCACCATAACAGAACCTTAGGTGTCCGATCATTATGAGATTCTGAATTCCAGGGAAGATCTATAGGAGTTATAGAGAAAAACGTGAAGCCAAAAATCTAATAAACTTCCTTAACTCTGACTTGTTCGGAACCCAAGGAATGATATCATTAATTTGACCATGTGGATACAAACTCAGACATAATGGCATCTCAAGTAAGACATCTTGAAGTAGAGAAAAAGGAGCAGTAATCCTCTGAGTTTAGCTTCAGGAAAAGTAAGTTTCGAATTACTAATTAAAACCAACAATATGTGGTTGGTTAGTGGAGAAAAAAGAGAGCATATAATGTGTTTAGTTCCACGAATACCAGACTGTTCGAAGCTGAGGAAAAAGAATACAGAAGTCGATAAAATGACCAGAGGACCTCAAATGCTGATGTCTTACCAGAAAAGTGGTACCAAAGGAAGAAGCTCCTGCTTCAGTGATCTGATATCAAATACTACTTCCGCATAAAGGACATCATTTGTAAACAGGTCATGCTGCAATACTTTTGCTCCATTAATCTCCCCAACCTAAACGTATTAAGATTATTCAAATAAGTAAACCTCCAGTTCTCATTAAAAATAATAACAATAAGTAAACCTCCAGTTCTAAAATGAAAAACAAGAATATGCACAACAATGTAAGCTGTATCCAACCTCAATTGGAGTGGGAGTGGTTCGTTTCGGAATATCATCAAGCTGGAGGCATGGAACAGTCTTTAAGACTTCCGGGGGGTCTGGAGTTTCCTGCTTCAGTTTTAATTCCTGTGTTGCACGGGTTAGCTCAGCAAGATCTTCTTCTGTCATACTTGCTTTCAACTTCTCCAGTGATTCTCTCTCTAAGGAATCATCACGAGAAGCTTTCTCTGGATCAGGCTGAAATAGTAGACCTGTTACTCTCATAATATCAAGAAATTACCAAACTAAATCAAGTGTAGAAATATAACCCACCTGCATTTCCACAATAGCACGATGATTATTGTTCAGTATAAATTTCTCGATTAAAGGAGAGAAAACAGCTTTAGAGCCTTCCTTGGCTATTCTAGCTTTCAGTGCCTTCAATGGTTCCTCATATTTTAAAGGACCAAAGGGATCCAAACCATAAATCCATTTTCCCTGTACAATTTGACAAGTAGATTTAGCATATCTAGAGGGGGTATGAAGGCGACTGGTATCAAGAAATCAACAATATCTGAACACTTACCATGGACTGGAACATCAGTGCTAAGCCACGAGGAAATGATCCAGTGTTGTTTTCTCTGAGATGAAACTCAATTGTGTTCATGGATGCTTCCACAGCTTCCGTCTCAAAACCTTCTTCGCTTATTTTTTTTAGTGTACTCAAAATTAATTCTTCTACCTTCTGAATATCATCTTCTGAAACTCCTTTCAGCCCAATACTGAATTGAGGTTGAAGTAGGTCATCTTCTATACCGCCACCAACAATGTCATCTCCCAGACCACTGTCGAGCAATATCTTCATCAATGGAGAAGCAGGAGTTCCCAACAAAAGATGATCCAAAAATCCAAGTGCAAGCTCGGTTTCCAAGTCCAGTGTCTTATCAGAGAGCAACCAGTTAAGGCACACCATATGCTTCTTTTTCAAATCACCTCCATCACCAGCTGGATACTTATGCACAACCCTTACTGGCTCTGAGAAAAGTCTCTGAGGCTCAACTGTCGATTCACTTGGAGATGAACTTGACCCAAACATCTCCAGATATTCTGCACGTGTGAAGGAGACCACATCACTGAAGTTATAGGAAAACTGAAACCTTTCTGCAATAGTCTTGAACTCAAGCGATAAAAGGAAACGACCTCAGAAGCTAAAGTGTCATCATAACTCACAATCGAGATTTCAAGCTTCAAAACCTTCAGATGGAGGTACGAGGGTTAATGGGATAAGGGACTAATACCTATGTAACAAATCATAATGACGCTGAAGAAAAGGAAATGAAGCTCTTTGCCAGCAATATTAACTTAATTATTCATGTCCTCAGCCAGAAATGAGATTCAAAAGTCAGGAGTTTCATTTAGACACTTCCTTCTGATCATCTTTACGCACTAATAGTATTTCTTCCTTATGTATCAGTTTGTATTCCTTTCACACAACACACCTACAATGAAGATATTGGACGTGCAGCATAAATTAACAGTAACTTTGTATAATCTGTAATATTAAGTCAGTAAATACCACTCAGGATTCGCAGGCGCTCGGATGGATCATCATCTCCATAAAACCAAATCCTTGCATTGCTAGGGTGGTAATATTTACGATGAAATTCCTGCAATTTGTTGTTTAAAGAATCAGAGCTCCTTCACTGTGATTCATCATGCAGCAGTATGTATATTTCCAAGATCTCTCAACTAATAAATGAATGCACCAAATATTTTTTTTAAATTGATGCTGTATAGATTCTCTATATATATAAGAAAAATGGGTCAACAAAAATAGCTCCTTACATTCCTGCAGAAAAAGATTGTAAACCTTGTGGGTTTTCAATACCCAAAACTTGAAAAATTGCACCCAGTAGTAGTAAACAGAAACTCTGTCAACAGACCTTGAATTCTTCGAATGTCAGCTTGGGAATAACTGTGGGGTCCCCTCCACTGTCAACTCCATAGGTATTGTCGGGGAAAACAGCCTGAACAGGGAAAAAGGATACCAGTTAACACTACAGGGTAATACTTTTTCGTACAACATCCAGAAAGTTGGTTAATGAACTATGGACGCAGTAGGACCTTGGGCCAGTCTCATACTCCAATAGTTATATACAAGTAACCACTAGTACTTGGATCAGGAAATACAAAGAAAAGTCAGGAAGAAAGCTGAAATACATGAGAACATAGGAACACCGAACACCAACGACATTTCCAGATTGTTTCCTCCTACGTCATAGAAAACTAAGGAACTTTCTGAAAGCTCGATCTGTAAGAAAAGTTGTATTCTCAGAACTTGTACTTGTTTTAGATGAATGGAATTCTTAGAACTTGTGTTACAAGTGGAACTCCTAATCCATACGACACATATGTGGTGCAACAGTAAAAATACCAGCAACATTGGAAAGGGGAAATGTAACCATGAGAAGGGAAGATAGAGAGAAAAAGACTGGAACTCTGTAATCATAATATAATCACAAGTATGACTATGAGGAGGATGTTCAATGGAGGTGTTTAGTCACTGTTTTGCTCAAGCTTATGCAACAACTTCAAATATATACCCTAGGAGCATAATGTTACACGTCAGGAATGATGATATCGTCTTTATGTGAGTGGTTGACAGGGAGAGTGAGGCAGTGAGATGATGGTGACTATCACAAACTACAAGATATAAGTGGACTTACACGTCGAACGGCCCGGCCCAGAACATTTTCTGGCTGAGAGTAGACACCTTTCATCTCGTTAAAGACAACACCTGAGGATAATTCAGGTACATACGTGTAAGAGTAAGACCAATCACCTTTGGTGGGACATGAAATGGAAGCTAACTAAATTTTGCTGAAGATTTACCTTTATAAGTGATCTCTTTGGAAGGATCATCCAGCTCATAATGCCAGCCCTCCTGCTGAAAGATTAGTTCGTCCTCCACACAATTTGGGAAGAAGACAGCATCTAGATAGACATCAACTAGATTGTAGAAATCCTGTTTTCACATTGAGATCGAGGTGACATTAGTGAGCAATCGGGAAAATGCTGGACAAACAAATTCTGGATTCGCCGTATCCCATAAGAATGTACCTACCTTTGTATTTGTTGAAGCAATTGGGTAGCAGGTTCTATCAGGAAAGGTAATTGCATTAAGATATGTATTCAAACTTCCTTTAATTAGCTCCGCGAACGGCTCTTTCAGAGGATATTTTCTTGACCCACACAGCACGCTGTGTTCCAGTATGTGTGGAATCCCAGTTGAATCCTTCCTGCATTACAGAATTAGAAGTTAAGCACTGCATAATAGAAGGTCCTATACGCAACTGAACTTCAATACTCTCAAAACGATCACCAACAACGCTATATATGTACACCAGTCTTCTATGCATAGTAAATCAGCATGTTTCAAGTTCATTGAACTTTAGCAGCCTTCTCATCTACACAATACAGGAAGTTAGAATACTTACGGAGGCGTTCGAAGCACAATGCCGAAGACCTTATTCTCATCGTCATTGGACACTGACATAACTTCACAACCAGTCTTCCTATGCTTGAAGAGCACGGCCTTTGATTTGCACTCTTCAATGAACTGCTCCGAAACCTTCTCGAATCCCAGCTTCTCGGCAGCCTCATCAGAAACATCTACAGCAGCAAACAATTATTTAAAAAAAAAATTCCAGTTAAATAACTTCACACCCATCTACAAAAGGATTTTTGCTATTAGCAAGATGCCAAACGTAAATTATCCTCGAATCTCATCGCACACAGCGCAGAATTTACAGGGAAGTACGGAAACCGCTACAGTAGGCACGCTGGAATGTCCAAGCTACAGCCAAAATCCTAATTCGAGCGGCTTAGCTCTACATGTGCGATTGTCAATTGAAATAACAGGAATCGATACGGATTATAATTTCTAGCCGATGATAGCTTCCGATGAAAATTTCCTCGAGAGGACAAGGAAGTACCTGAGGAGAACTGAGGCGCTGATGGTGTTGCTACGGCGCGAGCGGAGAGAGTGGAGAAATGTTTATCGGTGTGAGCTGAAGAGAACGACGGCGACGAGGAGGAGGAGGAAGAAGAAGAAGAAGCAGCGACGCGGAGCAATCTGGAGTGACGGCGGCGGTGGAGGAGGCGGGAGCTGGTGGAAGGAGCGGAGGATGAGGAGGAAGCAGAGCGGGAGGAGAAGGGAGCTGAAGCGGGAAGACGACGTAGAGGAAATGATCTGCTGCCGGGGAAGTAGAAGAATCGGTTGGGAGCTAGAGAGGAACAGCGGAGAAGAGCAGCCCTCTCCATTGTTGCTTTTGACGCAGAGGGAGAGAGCTCTGCAGAAGGGCTATAATGGTCGTATGGGCTTCGGGTAATCGGGTTAGGGAGATGGACACGGTGGCAGAAAAATGGGGAAATAAAATATCTGCAGCAGGTTTAATATCTTCTTTTCAATCGAAAATTTAAGAAAAAAATTTAAGAAGAAAGAATGAGGCCGTGGAAGTCATACGTGGAAGTTTGTGCTATGGACAAGTAATTTCGCCCTGATTTATTGTGGGAAAAATTATATTGGTACGCTTATTTTCATTTTTTATTATATTTATATTTATATTCATGTCAAAATAAACCGACTTTGTTAATATCTAGTACCGAAGAAATCTATAATTCATAAGGAAATTCACTTTGAAGATCAACTTCGATGCAGGTGCTTGCATCTCAGGGTGCTCGCCCGGTCTTGTTATTCGTGGCTCAGACGGGCATGTATTGTTGGCAGCCGGTTTGCGTCACTAGGGAGTAGTCAACCCTTAATGCAGAGCTCCTAGTAGTAAGAGATGTTATCTCCTCATCGCCTCAAGATCATTGACTCACGTGTTAGTGAAAGGTGATTGAGAGGTGGTCGCCAGCAAGATCCGACAAGGTGTTCTAGAAGATTCCATTAGAGGTTCGATGCTCCGGGAGTGTCATCAGATCCTAATCTCTTTGTCAATTTGTATAGAGTTTAGGGTGGTTCCTAGAGCCACCAACAATGCTCTTTATAGAGTGGTGCTCAAAGCACTCTTTTGTCTCTCATAGAGTTAGTAGGGTGTCGCTTATAGTAGGGTGTCGCTTATAAGGAATTCATGGGTAGTTTTGTTTGTATAACTCTTATCTTCTCTTGATATCACTTGGAAATAAAATAAAAAGGAAGAAATTCACTTTAACTTACATATTATGGAATGAAATGGAAAAAGTTCTTATAAGAATTCTAAAATTAAACGTGTTCACTATAGAGCAATCCAAAAATGAGTGACCTCTAGCACTTCACCCTGGATATATACTCGTAATAAAAACCGTGAGAGTTTATACCCAAAATGGATAATATCTTAATCAAAAAAATGTTCGACATGTTATGAATGGTATTAGAGTCTCTCTGTAACCCAAAACAATAAGTAATTTAGTTATATGAAATAGTTAAATCATAACTATCCCATGATTTTACTACCTAATAGTCTATGTTAAATTTTTCCGGTATAACCTCCGTTACGTTTACACCGTTTAATGCATCGAAACGGACAAACCAAGATTCGGAAAATGCTAGAGAGCTAACACCATGCATTATTACAAAAGTACAAATGGACATTAACATCCAACTGCCCAACCCAGCCCAACCCAGTCAACGATGCCAAACCAAAAAAAAACAAACATTATAGAACTTCAATTACTACTATTTATGAAGGAGCATATCTTCTTCACCAAAACGGCAGCGTTCTCGCAGCCAGCATTCCACAAGTGGAAAACATGCTGCTCGCCTTCCGCCTCCACAAGTTCCACGTCACCTTCCCACCCGCTCCCTTTCAGCAGCTCGCAGTAATGCTTCCCTCTCGCTCTCAAGAAATCCTTCTCCGCCACCATAACCAGCACGTTCGAGCAGCCCAGCCGGGCCAGGTCCGGCTCGAACGCCGGGTTCAGATACGGGTCGTCCAGCCCGGCCGTCGACGTCGGGCAGGCCAGCAACCAGAACCGCTCCCACCAATCGGGCACCTGAGCCGCCTCGTCGTCGATCGGTTCCTTCCCGGCGAAATACGGGTGGACCAGGACCAACCCGGCCAGCCGCGGCAGCCCCTCTACCTTTTCTCGCCCGTACCTTCAGTAGCGTAGCCAAAATTTTATATATCTTAGTTCGAATTTGAAATAAAACGATTATCTTTTAAACATTTTACTGTAGTAATATATGAAAAACTTTTTTCTAACAGCAAGTTTTAGTAGAAATAACAATTTAGCCAGAATTTTATATATCTTAGTTCGAATTTGAAATAAAAAGATTATATTTTAAACATTTTACTGTAGTAATATATGAAAAACTTTTTTCTAACCGCAAGTTTTAGTAGAATAACAATTTTATAACGCGCTTTTTACTTTAGGGTTAATATTTTCGTATGACCTGAACTTTGATCAAAATAAACATTCTGGCCAATCTTTTCAATCTATAACATTCTGGCCCGAACTATACACCAAAATAAACAATTTGGCCAAATCCGACTTTTGACCGTTAACTTGGACGGTCAAGCGCGTTGACCGTTAGTCAACGCGCCATGTCACTGCCAAGTCAGCATAAAATATTTAAAATAATTCACAATTTCCACACATTTCCTAATTTTAAATTATTATAAATTTAAAAATCATCTAATACATTAGTTAAACCAAAAATAAAAAACGAAAAAATTAAATATTTATCAGATCTTATGACTTGGCAGTGACGTGGCGCGTTGACCGTCCAAGTTAACGGTCAAACATCAGATTTGGCCGAATTGTTTATTTTGGTGTATAGTTCGAGCCAGAATGTTATAGATCGAAAAGATTGATCAGGATTTTTATTTTGGCCAAAATTCAGGCCTTACGAAAATATTAACCCTTACTTTAATTCAATTTCAAATGTTTTTAGTAATTCAATTTCACGAACTAAACGACACTCCGCCACTGCTTACCTTATCCCCATGTGGTGAACAATATTGGCGCCCGCGCTGTCACCCGCGAGAAACACGGACCCGAAGTCCGCGTGGTCATTGAGCCACTCCTCCGGCCCGGGCCCATCGGAGTGTGACGCGGCCCATTTCAGCGCGGCCCAGCAATCCTCATACGCGACCGGGAGCGGGCTTTCGGGGGCTCGCCGGTAGTCGACGGAGACGGCGATTACATTCGCCTCGTCGACCAAGGCGTTGAGGTGGTTGTGGTAGGTCGGAGAGAAGGCGGTCTCGATGACGAATCCGCCACCGTGGTAGTAGATCAGGAGCGGGAGCTTCTGGTTCGGTTTGGTTCGCTTGGGTAGGTAGAGCCGGGCGACGAGATCTGGGTTGGTGTTGGTGGTGGAGTAAGGGACGTCTTTGGATTGGACGGCGGTTTTCGGGTCGGTTAGGGAGGCGGGGACGGTTTGGGTGCCGAGGAGGCGCTCTACGGTTCCGTTTTTGTGGATGCGGAGGAGAGGAGGGAAGTCGTGGGTGATTTCGTCGGGGTCGGGCGGTGAGGTTGGAGATGGATTGGCCATGGCGGATTTTGAGTTTCTGTGAAGTGAAGTTGTGATGGTGAGAAGTGGTTTTGGGTAGTGTGATTATTATAAAGAAATGATGGAGAGGATATGGTTCGACAGTGTTTACCAGTCAACGTTGAAGTCGACAGGCCTAATGAATAGAAAAACTACAAGAAAGTAACCAAAATTTTCTATTCATAATCACGCCAGTCGCAATCGTTTTATGTAGAAGCAATTTTGGTTATACAATAACTAGCTCTGTGCCCGGCCCTTGGCCGGGTTGATTTCGGTCATGAGTTCTTTGTATTGTCCTTTAGCTCTTTGCCTTCCAAAAGAGCAGACTCCCCGATTGTTAGTGTCCGTGTGGTTTGTTGTCCAAAACAATAAATTACTCTTATATCTCAAATTTGGTAACGCAAAAACGCAAATTGACAGAATTTTTCAAGTTATGTTAAATAAGTTTTTCAAGAGATGGGTATTTTCCATCTCATATATAGGTAAGAAAGCATAAGTTCACCAATATATTTGCTTGAATGTAATGCATTGCGTGGGGGTCGTGTAAGCATTGCAAGTTGCAACATTCTATTGCAACTGTTGATGTGTACGTCAAATCAACCTATATTTGAGAACTTTAGTACTTTCCACTTCTTGGATCTTACATTCTTAACGGTTTCGTTGTTTTAATTCGTGTTGTAGCCTTACGTTGTAGCATAGCATTGTTGTCTGATATGTTGATTGCGAGTTATAGTTCCTTTTTTCACATTCATCAGCAGTGGTGAAGGGTGATGTAGAGGCAGCCTCACTTGGTGAATGGTGGTATGTATTTGCCATGTGAATGTGAAACAGGGATGAGCAAGATTCAGAAATCAACTCAACAAAAAGATTATCATAAAAAAAAAATTAATTCCTTCACAATCCGCGTCCATTAATAAGTTTCAATCAATCCATCTTAAGGAACAATAAATTCAAAATCCAAAATTGTACTACCCACAAATACCCAGACTAACTAACATGGCAAAGCAGAAGCAGAGCTTTCGCATCCAAATTCCAAACTCTCATATTCTTCTTGGCAACGTAACGGGGAGTGTAATTTGAACGTTGTAAAGTGGTTGGTGACTAACCTGTAATTTGCAGAGTTAATGGTGTGAATATGCGATTTTGCTTGAGACGAATTGGGACGGGTAAAGAAGGCCAGGCGACTCGGTGGCGCAGTTTCGCAAAGCAATAACCCCGCCATATGTGGATGGAAAAAGCATATTGGGGGAAGTGGTCGTAGGTTGCAGAGGCATCTTCGGTACCGCCTGCTTCCTTAACGTTGTTCATTTTGTTTTGTCTTTGCCATCGTTCTCGTTCATGGCCTAAGCCGGCGACAACGGAGTAAAGGTGCAGCGAGACATCTGATGTTCGTCGCCGGGCATTTCAGTGTCACGTCGCTTCCCACCGTCTCATGGAGAACCAATATGCTCCAAATCCAATCCTGAATCCGAGTCCACTTCCAAGTTTGAGTTGGAGATTTTCGGCTTGTGAGAAACTGAGAATCTGTCCGGGGTCGAAGAGAAGAAGAAGAGAGAAAATCAGAAAGCACAAATGTTATTCCACTCCAGTCTCCAGCGTATAAAAACACCCAAAACAAAATTTAAAAAGGAAAAATAAATCTATTTCCGAAGGTTGCGGGTAGGCTTTCAACGCTGACGTGGAGGAGCTTTTTTCTCTAACTGCTTTAGGTATTGCAAAATATAATATATATATATAATATATATATATATATATATATATATATATATATATATATACAGTTATACACACGTAAAAGAAGAGATAAGATTGGGGGAGAGGAAAGAGGGACGAAATTCTGATGAGAGAAGGAGAGTTAAAGTGATGACGTGGAAGAGTGTACGGTAAAAGATTTTGAATCCCAACATGGCAGTTTGGGAAAACGCTTAAAGGTATTTTTAGATGTAAATTTCAAACCACGATATTGACTACATTATTGCACAAATCACAGAAAAACCACGATTCTATCTATTAGCATTTAGATGACCTACAAAGCGTAAAAGCATAAACTACAATTTTAACTACATTGAGATATATGATATAAGATTCAATATTAAATTGAGATGAACTGATTCTCTGCTCATCTATGGGACTACATGTCATACCTTGTTTATACACTTCCATTTATGGTTTGGTGATGATAGTACAACAAACAAACACACCTCACTCCTCACTGTAGCTTTCATGGTTACAAGTTACAAGTTACAACTTACAAGAGACAACACTTCCTTTCCGTTGCCTCTCTGTGCAGCCTAAGGGGCAACATCACATAAACCAAAACAAGGCTACAGGCGCTAGTCCATTTTCAACCACCATTCCATTCAGTTCTCAGCAGCATACGAAGCTGCTTGCAGCTTCTCTACTCTTGGAAGACAGTATGGGCAAAGCAATGTATGTCACCGCACCGTTATCGATTGATCCGGTCAGTCGATGCCCAGGCTCGAATAGGGTTCAAAACCACCCTGTCAGTAACAAAGAAACATCACATTAAATTTTCACCCTTTCTGGTCTATGATATCTATATCAAGTAACACAGTCTGTGTGTTTTTTTATCTTCAACAAGGTAGTAGAGAGTATTGAAGCGACTTCTTATTACTATCATAACATTGTTTGAAGTGGCAAAATGATTACTCACCGAGCAATCATCGTGCACTCGCCAGATGGTCTCTCCCAGGAGGTTTGCCACCGACAAGACAGTGAGCTGAGGGAAATAGTTCTTCTCCAACACCGGGATCGTGTTTGTGATGATAACCTCTTGGAAAAGACCACTCGACAACCTCTCGATTGCAGGTGGACTGCATAGCAGGCAGAATCAAATCACCATGTGAACTAGTTTTGGATGATTCAGTTATAGTATGCTAGTAGGCATTCCAACATAAATAATCCACCGGCAGACATTCCCACGGGGAGGAATGTCGCACCAAAAATAAATACCCACGTACCTGAAAACAGCATGTGTAGTGCAGGCATATACCTCCCTTGCTCCCTCTTGGTGTAATAGAGCTGCACCTTTACTTATAGTCCCTGCAATAAGAAGCATTCATGTGTTGTAAGCTCTTCATATGGAAAACAATAGTAATGAAAAGTGGGTTCTAGGCAGAACAATATCTACTTCTGGACAAACGAAGGGGAAGATCATATGTTTATGATTTATGCAACAAAATGCTTTTTCGACTTAATGATAGGAAATAAATTTATTAGGTAGTAAAAGGAAACCAGCTTAGCTTGATTCCTCAAACTCACCTGCGGTATCAATCATGTCATCCACCATAACTGCAACTTTTCCCTTAACATCGCCTATCAAGTTCATCACCTACAAGATGATAGGCAGCAGAATTACTTTACTAAAACCTGTTACAAGAAGGTACAAGATATTGAAATGATATTTTGTCAATATTCTAGGATTTTAACACAGTACATTCTGACAAACTCCATTCTATATCTATCCTTCAATTCAGATATAGACATCACAAACGAACAGCTGTAAGAGTCTGAAGCAAGTGGATGACCTAGTGATCCCACAACAACATGAAAAGAAACTGCAAAACCAAAATTGGAAGTAGGTGCTAACGGCTAACTCCATAGGGAAGAGGATTTATATACTATCCAAATTCCTATAAATAACACTTCTGTACTTTCCTACACCTAAAATTACGAATTATATTTCTTGACATGTAAGGCCTAAGCACTACTATAGCAACACATGAGAAGCCCATCGTTGGAGACTTACCTCTGCAACATTGTGTCCATGCCGCCTTTTATCTACGATGGCGAGGGGTGCATCTGATAATTTCTTGGCGAAAGCACGTGCCCTTGCTACACCACCAACATCAGGGGATACCACCACCAAGTCATCAGAACAAACTCTCTTGCTAGCAAGGTAATCTAGTACCACTGGCTGGTTAATCCAAAGAATGAACACAAACACTAATCAGAAGTAGAAATGTTGCTCGTTTCACTGTATTATACGAACAAGACAACATGATGCAATATTAGAAGCAATACATGTCGATCAAAATTCAACACAAATCATTCATTTGCAATGAAGTGACCAGCTTCTTGAAAAGCCACGTGAGCAATTGTCATATAAAGAGAAAGAGTGGGGTTCTAAACAGGTGTAGTACCTGACCATATACATGGTCCACAGGGATGTCAAAATAACCCATGGACTGCCCAGAATGAAGATCACAAGCAAGAACACGGTTAGCACCTGCTTCTGTAATCAAATTTGCCACAAGTTTGGCAGCTATGGATTCACGCCCTTGAGTCTGAAATAGAATAAAGACGTGTAAAAATCACTTTAGTAACCTCACCAGTTATCTCAATATTGTTCAAGAATGGAGAATCTAACTGTTCCTTCATAATTAAGAATGTACTGCGGTCATGCGAAGATTCTCCTGTTTCTATAAATGCCATGCCTTTAAGTTTAACCCTGGCTAATAACTCAACGATACTTTCTCCCAAGTGATTTTACCTTTCTATCAGCTCTAGCATAACCAAAATATGGAATCACTGCAGTTATATTTTTGGCTGATGCCCTCCGACAAGCGTCAATCATTATCAATAACTCCATAAGATTCTCATTTGCAGGAGGACAAGTGGGCTGCACAAGATATACATCACAGCCTCGTACACTCTCTTGCAGTTGGACATAGATCTCGCCGTCAGCAAAACGCTTTATGTTAATTTTTCCCAGTTCCAAACCCATGTAGCATGCGATTTCCTGTCGAGGACAACAATACTTCAAAAGTAAGGTATGGATAAGGCTGCAACTTTTAATGCACCACGCTTGGTAATGAAGCTAAAGCTTATTTTCTACCAAACTACCTATAAGAAAATTTCAAATATAGAATGTAAGTAATGTCAGAATCTTAATCTGCCTTAATTCCTTGAGAGCGAGATACCTGAGAGAGAGAAGGATTAGCTGTGCCAGAGAATATCCGCAGCCTAGTGTCATTCTTTCTAGAGACAATGTTGCCTAGTTGAGGCCTGGCTAAGAAGCTTGGATCTTTGCCAGCCGGAAGGGCTGGGGTGGAGGGTTTCCCATTCTCAAACTTCAGTGGCTCCACCAAACGACACCTCTTAAGGAAAACAGAACAACACTTTTCAAGTTACCATTTCAATCGAGCATACGCCAAAAAACAACACATCAGCAAGTACAATATGTTTTCTATCTCTTTCCATTACAATAGTCAGTCAAAATAAGTGGTGGAAACAAAAGGTAGCTTGCAACGTACCACGCCTGAACGACATTGAACTCGAGCTTCCTCAAGGATGCGATGTGAAGTGCGAAACCGAGGAATGAGTGGGAAATTGGATGTTTGAACCAGAGACCCCATCAGCTCGACGTGACAAGACTCAGCAATTCCAGAATCAGGTTTTCGAAAAGAGCCTTTTAATAACTCCAACTCGAACCTATCAGCCTCCGTCTCCCTCCCTTTTCGCCTGTGATCGATGACATACAAAAAGAACCAATTCCGTGAGACGAAAGAGTTCCATTTCCCAACTCCCATGACACAAAACAGATGCAACCATAAACAAAGAACACGCAAGAACCATCATAGCCTTCAAACTCATCGAACGGTAACACACAAGGTAAACCCACCTAAGAACTACAGCAGCTACGGTTCTTTCACCGATTAATTCAAGAGATACCACTCAGAAGCCCGAAGCTACTGATTCCTCAAATTTCAGCATAGTACACACAGAGACAATGAAATGCTGAGCTTTCGTAATTGCTCAAACAGTTCACAACATCACAATTCACAGCAACAATCACCCTATAAGCTATTCTATTCAGCGGAAACAGAGAAGAACCAAAATTTAAGCAACGTTACCCCCAGTAATGAGAACGCAAGATGGAACGACTACTAAACCACTCAACCAGTTCCGAAATGGGTTCCTTTCGGGCTGCTTTTTTTTTTTTTTTTTCAGCAGCAAACTGCCAGCAGACACGGTGGACCAACCAGGAGACGGCGACGGACGCAGCTGGCTCAGTCACTCGAGCTGTTCTACTTCTCTACTCTTTCCCCTTTCGGCCTTTCTGATGCTCAGACAGTCATGAAAATCGAAAATCTCCTTTTGCCCTCAAACACTTCTCCCTCACTTCTCTACTTTCGGCCTTTCTAACCTTAAACCCCTGCAAAGCGCAAAACAAAATCCCACGTCAAAACGACAACGAGCCGGACGTCAGACGACATCTCTTGCGGCTTCATTTGTTGGTTCACCCTTCACTTACCGCTGTTTGCCTTCTGGTCACCGTACTTCTTAATCTCTACAACATGGTCCCAGCGTACAAAATCAGCTAGCCTATGGCCCCGTTTTAGTATTGTTGTTTGTTTCTGCTTTCTGTTGAGTTTTTTAAAATTGTAGAAATCAAGAAAAAAAAAATGTTTAATTGAGTTTTTAGGGGTCGTTTGCTTGTTGGATTTGGGTCATGGATATGGTACCCAAATCCTAAGTTTGATGGATTTAACATAAGTTCATTGTTTGTTGAAGGGTGCTAAATTCGTGGGGTCCACGGATTTGGTCTTTATTTTGGAACCAAATCTATGGACCCCACGGACTTGTAAATCCCACATATTGATTTGGAATTTGCAAATCTTTGATGGTTAGTTATTTATTTAACAAATCCACCACAAATCCATCATCAAATCTATCATGCAAACATTAGACTCTTCAAATCCATAATCCAATAAATCCAACATAAATCCCAAGGTTTTTATTGGCCAAAATCCTCATTTTTCAAATCCAACAAGCAAACGACCCCTAATTTTTGTTGTGACCACAGATTTACACAACCAGACCAAAATTAAAGAAACAACAAAAGATTGCTTTGGATGTGTTTCTCCTATTTGTTGCACACGGTTTTTTTTTATATATTTTCATTAAAAGCTTTTTTTCCTTTCTGTTTCCCAGCGGCGCCCTTTCTTCTTCTTCGTCTTCTTCTCCATTTCACGACCCATCGCCTGTGGCCTCCCCTCTATCATCTCAGACTTGCCACCTCTGCATCTCTCTCTCATCATTCCACCGCCAAACTCGAATTCACCGGCGGTAGGATCCTAAAATCCCTGTCTTTTTCTTTCCAATTCAGATCCCACTCGAAATCCCCTTCCTTTTCTTTCTAATTCAGATCCCACTCCTAATCCCCTTCTTTTTCTCTCTTTGCTGCAATGGTGATTGGTGAGACAGGGGAAATCGAGACGACTTCATTTCAGGGGCCTGTGGGCTAGTAGAAGCTGCGTCTTCAGCTTCAAGGTCGGGCGGTGGCTTCTTCTCCAGGGTCGGGCTGCAGATTCCCCATTCCGGATCGACAAGTTCACCTCAAGAATAGGAATAGCCGAGGACGGCCGCCACTTACATTTGCTTGTTTTTTGCCAAGAACAGAAGCAGCAGAGGACGAACAAGATTTCAAGATCTTTATTTTTTTAACTCTTCAAATCAACGAAAACAACAGAAGTAAACATGTTTTTCTTTTGATTTTTTGTGTTTCATAATTTGTCAATTTTGTGAGATGAACGCGTTGTTGATTTCAGTTGTGTTGGTGTTGTTGTTGCTATTCTGTTGGCAAAACCTTGATAAAACACAACCAGTATGCTCACAAAATTGATTGATTTTTATGTAAGAAAATAAACAACACATAAGTTCAGGAATACGATGTGTGTTAGTTATTTTCATAGATAGCAAGATTTTCGTAACTTTCAATTGATGATGGATAATCTGAGTCATATCAACAATAACGTACCACTTTTTACTTCAACCTTCTATTCAACAATGTGTAAATATAAGCGTGTAGGGTCTTCCTTGAACCACGACTAATGGTTGCTTGCACAACATCCACTCAGCACTAACACAAATCCCATGTGAAATTCAGTTATTGCTACGACGATTCACGATTCATGAAATATACATGAACACTGCAGCACTATTGAAGAATGCATCTCTCCCCATATCCCTCACCACCTGGTTTGTTTAATTGCAGGCACCGACCCACCCCAAGCATACCTTGGCGAGGATGTTACAATGTGGGGGATAGAAGCAGATGGAAAGTTTCGAATTCGGACAGCCTACCAAGCTGCCTGCGAATGGCTTCGTGAAGCGGAGAAGAATGATGTTGACAGGGGGAGACAGCTCGACTGGAAGAGTATATGGAAGTGGAATGGACCCAGCCGCATAAATCATTTCTTGTGGCTTGCGACCATGAAAGACTTATGACGAATTGTGAAAGACGGCGTAGGAAACTGACGGTTGTTGACACCTACGAGCTGTGCAAACTTGGACCCGAATCAACGGAACATATGCTTCGACATTGCCCGCATTCACAACAGGTATGGAGTCGACTAAATATCACAGAAACCCCCCTTACTGTGGGTTTTTGTTTCGTAGATTGGCTGGCTTCAAGGTAGAAGGACGCTGAATCCGGGTTGATGTTTGGAGTGGCAGCCTGATATATATGGAAACGTCGTAACGAAGTAATTTTCCAGAAGAAGAAGATAGATGACCAGACGCTGGAACAGAGGATTCGGAGTTGGACGGAAACGATAAAACAAGCACAAGAGAATGACAAGCGGGTGCATTCAGTCTCCACTACCAAAGCGGGGGAGCAAATATTTTGGAACCCCCCGCCAGCTGGTTGGGTTCGAATTAACACGGATGGCTCTGTTCGACAACCGGGTTGGAAAGCAGCGGCAGGTGGCCTCATCCGGGGCGAGCTAGGGAGATGCACATGAGCCTTTACTGTTAGCTTGGGAGTCTGTACTATTACAAGAGTCGAGCTTGTTGGGGCAGTTCATGGTCTCAAATTAGCATGGGAACAAGGCTACAGGAAGGTGCAACTACAACTTGATTCCTCAACTGCCATCAGGATCCTTACCACAGGAGAGGAGTAGCAACAGAGATATTACACCATCACTAGACAATTTCAAGATCTCATCAACAGAAACTGGGAGGTTCAAATCTCTCATACTTTCAGGGAGGGTAACAAAACCGCAAATTTTCTCGCCAATAAGGGGCATAGTGTTAGTATAGGGAGCCATATTGTTAGCATTTCGGACCCAGGTCTTTCTTACCGGATTCTGTATGACACTATGGGCATTGCCCAAAATCATTTAATTTACGTGCCAGGCAGGGGTGACCTTTTGCACCCCATTTTCTAAAAAAAAAAAATGCATCTCTAACTAATATTGACGGTTGGTTCAACGGAGGTTTTATAACCTTAAACAAACATCAAACTACCATATGGATTCACCAAAATCATCATAGAAACTTCCTAAGTTCCACATGCATCAAAACAATTACTTAGAATTTTCAATTCGTAACAAAATGACCACTCTGTCCGTCCTCTGATTTTGCTGTTACTGTCTAACCCAATTTCGAACATGCTACAATGGTAATTTTTCAATCATAGATAGCACAAATCAACACAAATAAAAATATCGAATAAAAGTTTGTTGTATACATACAATACATCGAATTACAAATAATATTAAGGAGTCATTTACATAAGTCATTTTGATACCTGCAAATGACTCAATTTAACAAAGCCAAACCCCCCGATTGATACCCAAATTGTCCAATTATTCACCCACAAACCCCCGATTGATCATTCTTTCAAAGTTTCGACCCTGCTTCACAAACCCTACGATCCTCTCCATCAGAACCCCAGCCTCTCCGCTCCCCGGCTTAAACAAATGGAAGCAATGCCCTTCCCCTCGCGTCTCGTACCACTCCAAAACGCCGCCGTATCCCCCACCGTCCCTCATCGTCTCAAAATAGCTCACCCCTCTGTCCCTCAGCTCATCCTTCTCCGCCACGCACACCATCGCCTCCTTCACCTCCATCTTCCCAAGATCCGGATCCGACCCGGGATGAAACCTCGGATCCCCTTTCGTCCCGCAGCTCCCGGGGCTCATGTACCTGTAATACGGGTCGGGCACCTCGTTCCCGAAATACGGGTGCACCAGCACCATCCGGGTCAGGCCCACACCGGCCAATCCCTTTGCTCCGGCCTGGACCGCCACGTAGTGGGCCAGATTCGCCCCGGCGCTCTCGCCCAACAGCACGACCCGGCCCAGATCCGCGTGGGCTTCCAGCCACGGGTCGGGCCGGCGTGCGGCCCACTCGAGGGCGGCGAGGCAGTCGTCGTAGGCGGCGGGGAGCTTGTGCTCGGGTGCGAGGCGGTAGTCGACGGAGAGGACGATTGCGGCGGCGGCGGAGGATAGTTGGGAGAGGAAGGTGTTGATTGGGGAGACGAAAGGGGAGTAGAGGCAGAAGGCTCCGCCGTGGTAGTGGATGATGAGGGGGAGCTTGGCGGCGGCGATTTGGGGGAGGAAGAGGCGGGCCTTGACGGCGGTTTCGGAGGAGATGACGACGTCTTTGGATTCGACTCCGGTGGCCGGGTCGAGTCCCGGCGGGACGAAGAATTGGGTCGGGGTCCAGGGTTTCTCGATCCGTCCGTCCTTGTAGACCGTGAAGTGGCGGGGGAAATCGAAGGCGATTTCGGATTCTGAAGCCATTGGTTTTGGGGGGGATTTTTTTCCCGGGAAACAATCAGGAGCGGAAGTGGAATTGGGAAATTGGGGTTCCGACTTTGCAGAAGGTGTACTGAATTTATCAAAGTAGCCGTCCAATCATATTGAAACAACCAGACTAGGGTGGATATCGGTCGATTGAGTTCATAATTGAATAGAATTGAAATATGAACGAACCAAAAATCGAGGATCAGAATCAGATAAAAAAAATTTGTTTGGTATCTATATTTGGTTCGATTCGATTCAAATTCAATTTCGAATCTTTTTTTTCCGCACGTGAAATAATTTGTAGGATCGAAACCAAAATCCGATTTGGTCTGAATATCTAACCGATTGTGTGTGTAAACCGTTGCCCACTCCCACCGACAACATCATTTTTATGAAAGTTGTTTGTCCTTGTCTGGGAAAATGAGATATTCAGCATATCCTCGTACTAGTCACTTTGATTGGTTTATTATTATTCGGTTAGAGCATTGCTATCCATGGGTACTTGTTAATTAGTGTTTGTGTGTAAGTATTAGGAAATGGATTTCAGAGCTATATATTTGTAGTTTCAACTACGGTTGCAAAGAGGTTTAGCATAGCTCGGTTCAATTAATTAAAATACGAGTCGACCTTGAACTCAACTCATTTTTAAAAAAATTGGCTTAATCTCAGTTCGAGTTTAACTCCTATCTCGACTCGACTCATTAATACGCTCAGTAGCTCAATCTTTTTTTTTCCCACTCTAATACAGATATTAGTGGATTTGAGGTGGCTCTCTCTGATCGTTCCTCAGTCATTGTTAAATATCTCAAATTACAAAATAATGCTAGTTAGTTGCAGACTTCTAGTCTCTCTGTCTCTCCCAGCTCTGTTTCCTTAAATAAATGGAGAAAGACAGTTCGAACAGTACTCTACAAGTAATAATTCTCGAGTAATTAATGGCGATTATGATCACGAGGGAAGTGCTTGAGGTCGGCGGTGGAGGAATAATCAGCTACGAGGACCGGAGTGAGTGGCGGAGCCAGGAAATTGGCCAATGGGGTGTCTTTATCATATCATAAATAATCATCTATACAATAGAAAAGTCGAATTTTAAATTAAACAAAAAGTCAACAACACAATACTCTAAATTCACACAATTACATTAAAATAGTTTCACGTACACCGATTACAACGTCAAACAAATAAGTTCAGTACATACAAATCAAGACTTCCATTCATCAAATATTACAAATTAGAACTCAGAAGTACCTTGGAATTGATTTTGTGAAACAAACAAGTGAACTTCAATTGGTACTTCTTCACTTTCAACTTTGTTTAAACAAAAGACAAGAAATTTCTCTGTTGTAGAGCTAAAAAAAAAGAGCGAATTTAAACAAAAGACAACAATTTATTACTATAAATAAAGACGAAAGTGCATTACATAGCAAAACTCACTTGATCGAAATGATAAGAAATTCTTCCTGCAACTGAATGGTCATTGGTTCGAATTTGTATATACCCCTACTCGGAAAATTTTTCTCCAAACCCAAGGGGGGTGCAAAGCACCCCCTCCTCTCCAAGTGGCTCCGCCACTGACTGGAGCGACTGCCTCCAGAGTTACCTCCTCTCTCGAGATCTCTGGCACGGCTTCATCATCGTTGACGACGACGAGCAGCCGATTTCCTCGGAAGAAGATGATGACTGACGGCGGAAGAACGCGGCGGCGCTGCACGCGATCAAGATCTCGTGCGGCAGCAGCGTTCTCCGGCAGATTCGGGGGATTGATTCGGCCAAGCAAGTTTGGGTGGCGCTCGCCACTTTGTGTGGTGATGGAGGATAGCATCCGATGGGCCTCGTGGCCGAGTGGCTTAGTTACTAGGGATTTATTGTTAGTTAATTGTTGGATTATTTGGGATATTCGTATTAGTTATTGTGTCTTGTTGGGGAAGTTATTATTTACTTGTTGGGTTATGATTAGTTACCTTGTTCGAGAGGGAAAGGGTTATGAGAGTAGTATATAAACATGTACAATGTTCTTTGATTTTATGAAGTCGATCAATATATTAAGTAGTTAGTAGAGAAAAGTAGCTCTTGTATCGTGTTTTCTAGTTCTTTCGCTAAATCGCTCGAGATCACCGGTGCGTGAAATCCCGTTCCGCATCAATTGGTATCAGAGCTTGGTTAGGCGCTGAATTCGCAATGCCGATTTTCACGCAACATCCAGGAGGAGAGGGTTACGCACCTTGGGCACGAACCGACGAGGAAATCCTTCCTCGTCACGTCAATGGCTACCCTAGCTATTGGACGCCGCTACACCCACCGTTGCCGAGGTATCCATCATCGTCACATCACCCACCATGGTCATATCATGATCGATACTACCGCCAAGACCTGGAGAGCTTAGCCGCAAGGGTTAGTGATATTGGAGCTGCTCCGCCATACGCCGCCATGGATCATTGGCCATGCTAAGATCCGTATCGATCAGTCAGGTATCCCGAAGCTCAACAACAGGCGTCCTATACATCGCCAGGATACCGACCTCTTGGTTATGCTTCCGTTGTCCAAGAGGATTTGGATTGGACGGATGCGGGTTACTCGGCTCAAGAAGTTGAGTCACCATCGATAGTCACCAACGGAGCAACAACGGCCACGCCTTTATTGACCATCATCACACCAACACCATCCATGAATGTCGGCGCCGCTGCTCTAGCTAGAACTTTTATGTGAGTTCCATTCTCGATGTGCAAGCCAAGCCTTGTTGAGGAGACGCCGTTAGCATCGACAACCACCGTGGGAGTGGAATGGCGGGACAGAACAGCAAGCATCAACTGCGAAGAGCCGAGGGAGTTGGTGAGCAGCTGGAGGAAGGAGGACGATGACTTCACGTCGTCCTATGAACCCGGGCCATTGACGTTGGACATGGCAAAGATGGGGTCCGACTACAGAAGAGCGAGCGTGCCTCTGAGCCGCCCGAAGGTCTTTTCATCGGAGGGTGAATCGAAGAGGATACCAGCAAATTGTTTCACCAACGTTCCGTCAGAGAAACCTTCATGGGAAGAGTGGCGAGATAGCTGCAATCGAAAACTAAAAGAGCTCTCCTCCCGCTACATGAAGCTTCCGGCAGCGAAGAGCCCAGTCATGTCACCAGTGAAGCGGCCGGGTATGGAGGCGTCTACACCCATCAAGACAAGAACCAACACGGAGTCTCGCCGGGAAGCAGAGTACGGTGGGGATACGCCGGAAAGGGCTGCCGTTGGTCATTGCTGGGGACGTTTGGCGAGTGACCATGACCATGACAGGTCGGCGGCTATGTTAAGGCAAGGATCACGAAGAGCCGGTCCGACTATTGGATCGCCAAATCTCGTCTGCGGGTCCGAGCTACGACCTGCTTCTGTTTTAAAGGGCAGGCGGATTCGAGTGGACCTTGAGCCGAGGATGGGTGGATTAACTGAAGCCTTGTTGTTCGGGGCTAGACCGGCAAATCAGGAGGATCGTGAAGTTGCCATGGTGAGTGCCGAAGTTAGCAAACGAATGGCCTTCTTCCATGTATACGTACGTAGCAAGGGTGGAGGCATGCGTGGGGCGCGTGGAAAATGGAGAATGGTGGACCTCCCACGCCATGCATGGTAAGGTGGAGGAAGCTGATGTATTTGGTGACAGGAGTTTAGTTCAAGTGCCTGGGAGTAATTGGAAATTTCGTAAACGAGGTTGGCGTCAACGAGCATCCACTATTTCCATGATCATCAATACATGGGAGCGGTTTTTCTTTATCGATCCGGGTTGAGTATGGTTTGAGTTAGTTGGCTAATTAACTCGAACCTTGGGGACAAGGTTCTTTCGAAGGGGAGGGGATTGATGGAGGATAGCATCCGATGGGCATTCGATGGGCCTCGTGGCCGAGTGGGCTTAGTTATTAGGGATTTATTGTTAATTAATTGTTGGATTATTTGGGATATTCGTTTTAGTTATTGTGTCTTGTTGGGGAAGTTATTATTTACTTGTTGGGTTAGGATTAGTTACCTTGTTCGAGAGGGAAAGGGCTATGAGAGTAGTATATAAACATGTACAATGTTCTTTGATTTTATGAAGTCGATCAATAAATTATTAAGTAGTTAGTAGAGAAAAGTAGCTCTTTTATCGTGTTTTCTAGTTCTTTCGCTAAATCGCTCGAGATCACCGGTCCGTGAAATCTCGTTCCGCATCATATGGCGACCAGGCTGCAGAGATGGTTGATGTTCAGGAGCTCCCGTCGACGGGAGATGTCGACGTACAAGGTAAAACCATTCCGCTTCGTGGTAATGAATTGAGAGATCGACTACGTAGATTATTTACGTGATTGAGTAATACGATGTGTAGTAAGGTAACCGACAAGAGAAGGTTTTCAATCTCTTATATTCTTTGCGAGACAGAGCAACCATGTTGTCGTCGGTTGACAGAGAGAAGAACACGATGCCGCCATGTTAACACCTTGCGCTAATCTTTCTCACATCTCCGGTGCGGCTCTTCAGATGCAGAGAGAACTTCAGTGGTTTCAGGTTAGTCATATTACTATCAAAAAACCAGTTAGGTGTCAATTGTAAGGAAGTGAAATGGTTAAATATCATACATCGACATCTCTCAGTTATTGGAATCAGTTGGTTTATGACATGTTATCAAAAGCTGGTTTGTCCTTGATGTCACGTGTTTAAATCCACAGAACCCCCAATATTAACTGTTATCTTAAAACACATTGTATAGGCGGAGCCTGTACAAACTTCGAGCCCACGAGTTGCCTTTCATTTGAGGGGGTGTGTAAGAAAGTGGCTAAGTATCATACATGGACCTATGCCAACAACTCGAGTTTATAAGGACCAATTGGTTTATGTTGTCAATAACTCAAATTGTTGAGAGAGGTTCAATTATGTATCATATAACACTTACTAACACAACCCTTCAAACGAAAGTGACCATATATATACAAGCTTGAATTTTGTGAAGGTCCGAATACCATGTGCATAACAAATAGGGTCGTCACGAGATTCGAACAGAAGACCTCTCGGTACCAAAAGACTCTTATAACATTTCAAACACAATTGTGTGTATGGATCTTAACCACTTTCTTGCACGCCCCCTTCAAACGAAAGCGAGATTGAGGTTTGCACAATCCCACCATACCTCTTGCTTTTATCAACTGTTAATATTGGTGGTTATAGAGATTTGAATACACGACCACATGACCAAACCAACTATGATATCATATTGCGGACCTGGAATTGGCAGCGGCGGGACAACAATGGATGAAAGAAATGGCGGCGGCTTGCAGCGTCGTCGGCAGGGACGGACCTACTTGGGAGAATGGTTTGCCAGTTGACAAACCTTAAATTCAAAATTTGAACAAAAAATTTGTGGAAAATTTTATTTTAGTGATGGTAGTATTTGAATTCGAAAGTATTTGACAACCCTTAGATGTTTTGGTCCATAGGTGAATACCCTTGATGAAATTTCTGGGTCCGTCACTGGTCGTCGGCGCCCTCATAATCACGATCATGTTCACCGCCGCGCTCACGGTCCCCGGCGGGAACAAGGACACAGGCCTCCCGACCCTCCTCGATGACAGAGCGTTCAAGATCTTCATGATATCTGACGCGATCTCCCTCTTCGTCTCGATCGCGGCCATGATGGTGACTTTTTCTGCTACTGTTGTGATTGTTATGGATCGGCGGTGGGAGTTCGTGGTGCCGATGATACCACATGCGTATGTGTGAGGATAATCGATGGTTGCCACCGAGTTCGATGACTTTTTCTTTCTGTATGTGGTTCCATCTGATTGTGATGAGGTGTTCATTCAGTAACTTTTTTTATTTATTAATCCTCGCTTTTGAGGTTTTAAGCGATCGTGGCGACAACTATGTGTGATATCTTTGAATTGAGAAAGATCGAAGCAATCCCACATAGTACAAATATTTGAGCATATTGAATATCACCATCGCAAGTTCCCTCACAACTCTTACATGATTGTATGATCATGCTCGATCTAATTTCGAGTGTCGGTCTAATTTTTATCTTATTTGTACTTTAATTTCAACGAATTAAAATTCCACATATATTGTAAAATAACCTAGACATCCTCCATTAATATATAGTAGAGTTTTGTAAACTTTTCTCCATTTCAAATTTCCTGCAATGAGAGTGAAAATAGAAAGGATAATTTTGTCTTTACAATTAATTATTTATTTCATAAAAAATTTCAATATCAAGACTCGAACCCGAGTCTCTTCAGACAAAGATAGCAATCATAACCAATTATACTAAATGTATTTGTTGTTCCTTTTTTAATACAAAACATACATGTATTTAAACTGTGAAAAGCAGAGAACTTTTCCATCATGATTAACAAGTGCACTAAGTCTACTATATGTATTTTCATGGTGCTTAATACTTCAATTTTCATAGTACAGTTTCATTTAATTTTATCAATTTTAGAATTCATGCTCTCTCTTTTATTTTCGCTAAAGGTAAATTGGTAATTGGCTAACATGGAAGAAACTATTTCCTTTACTATGTGTTGTGTCCTTGCATTTTTCAATATAAATTTAAATTTTGTGCCTTTTTTATCTTTGTTCTTATCTCTTTCTAATTTTCTCCGAAATTCCCTCTATCGTGCAATAGTTTGCGTGCTTTCACTTCCCAGTATAAGGAGCATTTGAAAATCAACATTCCGGTATCTTTTGGCACTGCAGTTTTATTCTTGGGGATTTAAGCTGGACAAGTAGAAGATTTCAACTCTCATATCAATCCATGGCCAATAGAATGGAGTTCAATCAAGTAGTTATGGCATGGCCTTGATTATCTCGCTCGATTCCTCTGCACTGACATCACCCAATGGTTCTGTCTCTCCCCGATGTACTATCAGAAGAACTATTTTGCTGCTTCTATTGCTGAAGGCAATGTTTGATCAGTTATACCTTTCGCCTTTACTCCTCTTCCTATACCAGGCATTGACCTTTAATAGGTTTTCGATTTCCGATCAAGGTTAATCGCTTTACACATGTAAGTTATTCGTTTCTTCTCTATGTCTCATGGTTTTATCTTTCTGATTAATAACAAAGCGACTTTTATTTTCACGTTGTCTCATGAGCACAACATGCATAATATCTATTTATTTTGATCTTATTGCCTGAAACGATGCTTAAAGCTCGGGGGATCTCCTGCGTGATTTCTCCTCTTTCTGTTATTAGGTTTCAACTTCAATGTGTTTCTATCTTCATATTAGGTTCATCGAATTGAACTGGCAGACTATTATTTCCTTCCCGCTTTATCTAAGTTTTTTTTGTTTATGAATGATTTATTAAATATAGAAAATGAATTTGAACGATGGTTTGGGTACTATATTTGTTTGTAAGCAAAAGAGATGTTTGTGTAAAACATGTCAGTTGTACTTTGCTAGAGCCCTGTCCACTTTGTTGTGTGTTTCCTGTACTTTATTTTTGTTCTTTGCTTAGCTATTGAAATAATAAAATAAGATCAAAATGAGAAAAAAGGTTTCTTTTCAATTACAATATTTCCGCTCATATGTGATTTTGTGATAACTAATGTTCTCCGCAATCATAATTTTCCTCATTAATTTTTATTCTTATCTCACTAATCAAATTTTGATATTGTTTTAGAATTATTTATAAATTGAGCTTTCATGCAACACTCTAGGAGTTTGAGGTGTTGAACTTGGAGTAGAAGAGTTAGGATTGAGTTTGAAAATGAGAGTGGTGGGGGGAAGAAAAATTCAACTGTAGCATGTTAAGGCAGAGAAGAGGGAGTTACCGAGGGTAGTGATCGAATTGAGGAGGGTGTTGAAAGACGCGAAAGCAAAACTGGAGCAGTTAAAGAGAGAGAAGTGAGAGATGATGAGAATATTAATAAAAATGGAGAGGGTATTGAAGGACATGGAAGTGTACTGAAGCATGTGAAGGCATACAAGGGGGGAAATGAGCATATTGATGGAATTGGAGATGAGTTTTGGTTTTAGCGAACTTATTACAACTGGCCTTGAGGAAGATGAGTTGGCAAAACACAGGAAGAGGATTGAGGAGTTGAAGAGCGAGTTGACAAAAACCCTAATTGTAAGAGAAATTGAGGGTCGCAGAGAGAAGGTCCATCAAAGTAGCAGAAATGGAGTTGCAGAAGGAGGATTAGAAAGTGAATGTTTGGTTGAAACATATGTTTCTTGAGATTGAAGATAGAGTAGATAAAAATTTGGTCGTTCAATGGAGAGTGGTCGCTATTGGACCATTAGGTTTATAGTTTTTGCAGCTACCACGACCTATTTCTATCTTAAAACGAGTAATCATTGATTGATTTAATGAAGTAGGTTGATTCTTTATTCAACCTACTGGAACTGATAGATAAGGACTGTCTAATTTTGCGTCATATTACTTTGATCGAGTCTATTAGTATATTGGAGGTAACCCAATTTACTTTGATCGTTTGCTCTCAAGTTTTGATGGTCCACTCTTAGCCGAGTTGTTAGTATATAGTTGACTTGAACCTACAACTATCCATTTCTTTTTTATTAGTGGCATATTGCCCCCAAAATGAGAGCATTGAACCATTTACGTAGGATTGTGAGGTTTTAGATTCAGTTTCAAACTATCTATGGGTCGTGTGGGAATTCCAGTGAGCTTTTATACTCTATCTTTCTTAACAATCAACTAACCAATAACATATTAACTGGGCTTAATTATCATTATGAAAATGAGATCAATCATACATTTTTATGTTTTATTTTCTCAAATGATGATGATATTTCTCTGAATGTTCGACCTATATATTCTTTCTTTATGTATCATCTCGATCGAAAGATTGCCAATAAAATTAAACAGGTTGATAGACTTTAACGTAACATAAAAAGTATAAAAAATAAAATATAAACATTCCGGCCAACGGGCCGGATTATAAGCTAGTTTCAGAGAAAGTTGGTTTTTCACACCCGTGCTTCAATGTTGACGAGACATGGAGCAGAAAAGTCCAAGTACTAGTAATGTGATGGATTGGTAGTCAAAATTACTTTAGTCGAAGTCAACTGTGCCGAAATCACCCCGTTCATATATTTGGTGGAAGTTACTCGGATTTGTTGTGATTGATCTGTCATCTCCAATTAAGTAATACCATCCCCACTAAAAAGCAAAGCTTTCTTTCCCATCTGCAGGTGGGGGTGGGGGGCAAAAAATCTAGAGCTCAAACCGGTTTGTACTGTTATCCAATAAGTGGTATGGTTCGATTGGAGTACAATTGGTTTATGCTGATTTTAACAAAACAAACGAGGAAATGAGAAACAAGTAGTATATGTAAATTTGTATAATCTATCCTAAACCAATCTACATATAATCTCCATCCATATTTAATATGAAATACATCTCAAACAAAATGAAAAATCATCATATTTAAATGCAACATTTAACATCAACATCCAAAACTTTTATACTTGGAATCCAATAGACAAAATCAACATCTAAATGTTCATTCATTGAATCCGACAATTTTTTTTTTTTGGTAAGTTGATTCCACCCAAAAAACGACATCATGTTGTTTGTTGTGCTGAAAAACTGACGTTCCTGACATATCATTCTTGTACTGGTTTCGAGGTGATCGAAAAACCGTCTTGTACCGGCGGTTCGACCAAGGGAAAAAAATCCTCCTATCAGCAAGTGGTATGAAACGGTTGAATTACGATCTCAACATGAAATACCTTACGCTAAATTTTTCGATTTTTTTTTGTCAAAAGATATCATATATTGAATAGGAAAATTAGACAGATACATCCTGGAAACTAGCCATGCCCGGAAATCAAAGAAGCGACTCATAGTCGGATACAAAGAGACGACTTTTCTAGCTACCGAATGAGCTACCCTATTGTTTTCCCGACCTACAAAATTCACACTAAAACCAGGTTGGGTTCGTAAATAATGATCTATCTCCTCCAGGACAGCACCCAACCGACTATATCTTGAGTCGACTAGATTAATTTTATCAATAATCACCTTCGCATCGCCCTCAAACCGGACCTCCGACAAGCCACACTCCACGCACCAAATAATAGTCTCCCTAAGTACAAGCAATTCCACCACTGTACGCTCATCCATATGCGGAAACTGAATCCCTCTCGCCAGAAGGATCTTCCGCGCCTGGTCAAAAATAACCATCCCGCCAGCCGAATGCGGCCCACCCTTAGTAGCTCCATCCCACATGCAAACCAATCGGGAATCTCCCACTTGAGATTATGGTTGAACCAAAGGGATCGTCCCCCTAGGAACCTGGTCTGTTGGCAAGCCCACCCATTCCTCAAATTGCTGGTTAAATTGTCGCATGAGCGTCGGGATCCCAAACTGTTTGCCTTCAAAGACAACCCAAATACGAGACCGCCAGATCCGCCAAAGGATGGCAACAACAACCATAACCAATGACGGTTGGTGGATCAACGCCAACAGACGTTTGAGGAATAAAGGAAAGGCGTGCCGAGGCAAACCCTCCCCCAAGGAATCCAGCCCAAAATAATTTTTGGAGGAGAGAAACTATGTGCTTTTCAAAAATGAACGGAAGAACGGGTTTAAAATTATATATATATATTAGAAATATAAATTACCGGTTGGCTAGTTTTTTTGCAAAAAAGACAAAACGGGATTGGATTTCCCCCCTTATCCTTGCCGGATGTGCTTGACGGTCCCCCATAATAGGCTCACTTGGGGACTTCTTACTCCAGCTGTTCCGAGAGTTTCCGCTAATTGAGTTATAGAAAGAGTTGGTCTTGTCGAATCCGGATATTCTTGAATGAGGTATTCAACTCCAGGGATGAATCGAAAAAGAAATCTTTATGGGTTCTACCTCCTATTTTTTATGAAGAGAATGAATCTTTTTATCGAAGGATCAGAAAAAATAGGTCCGGATCTCCTGCGAGAATGATTTGGAAGATCCAAAAGTAAAAATAGTGGTATTTTCTAGCAACAACATAATAGAGGCAGCCAATTTCAATTTTTAGAGCTAACCCAATATGTCGATCATCTTTTTGACCATCGAATACTCCCTTTAACACCAACGGTAGATAGGAACCGAACTGTCTCACGACGTTCTAAAACCAACTCACATACCACTTGAATCGGCGAACAACCGAACCCTTGGGACCTTCTTCAACCCCAGGATGTGATGAGTCGACATCGAGGTGCCAAACGACTCCGTCGATAAGAGCTCTTGGGAGTCATCAGCCTGTTATCCCCGGCGTACCTTTGATCCGTTGAGCGAGAGCCCTTCCACACGGGACTCTCCTCGATCATATCACCAGAGAGCCCGAGCAACTGGACAATAAAAGAACAAGTGTTCCATCGTCTCCGGGCCATCCCAACAAACTGGACACCGAGGCAGCACATGAACCTTTTTCTCAATAAGCGCCTCCGTAGTTGAAGATCCCGATTAAGAATTTTCCAAACAAAGACCTTCAACTTCGGGGGATCTTAGTCTCCCACACCCTAATCCAACTCGACCTATCCATCCAACTAACTGAGGATCGCCACCCGCCCCTCCTCCTGGCCAACTCAACAGCCAAATGGTAAGCCGACTTGACCGAGAAAACCCCGTCCGCCGTGAAATGCCAGATAAGCTTATCAGACACATTCCGTCGCGGGAGAGGAATAACCTTGATGGCTCTGCAGGTAGGCGGGTCAAACCATTGACTGAGCTTATCATCAGACCACCGCCCTTCCCTTTCACAAATAACCTCTGCCATCAAGGGATCACCCCCATCAGGCAAGATCCGCGGATTATAACATGGGGGGATCAAGTTGGTACCCAGGAATCCAGTTAGAATGGAGGAGAGAGGCTGATTGGCCATCGCCAACCTGCCATCTTAAACCCATCTCCAATAACTATCGCCCGTGGAGGATACTCTGCCACCCCCATGAGGGACGTGACCTAGCCGTCGCGCTCAATAAAAAACCTTGAGGGAAGTACTTTCCTTTATAAACCTGGGTGAGGAGGGAATGAGGTTCATTGAGAATACGCCAGCCTATCTTAGTCAAAAGAGTCTGATTAAACTGTTCAAACTGGCGAAATTCCATCCCCCCATCATGTTTACTCCTGCACAGATTACGCCAGAATACCCATCTAATCTTGGGATGACCCTCCTTAGTACCCCACCAGAACCTGGTCACATGTCTATCTAATAGGCGACAAAGAGAGAGAGGAAGCCGGAAACATGAAATAACATGTAGGTGAAGGGCCAATGCTATGGATTTAATCAAAGTTTCCTTAGCCGCCCAAGACAATGTCCGTTGCTTCCACCCCTGAAGTCGATCTAGTAGTTTCTCCTCCAAATATATGAACGTAGCCATTTTGGATCTGGCAACGAGCGTGGGCAGCCCCAGATATTTATCATGGACCCCCACTGCACCAACCCCTAGGATCGTGGCCAAGAACTCCTGATCTGTCATGGAAATATTTTTGCTAAAGCACATCGCAGATTTGTCCAGGTTCACGTGTTGGCCACTCAGCTCCTCATATTCATTCAACACCTCAATTAAGTTCTCGCACTCCTGAAGGGAACCTCGCAAGAATAAATAAGAATCATCCGCGAGGAACAAGTGTGAAACTCTTGGAGCGCGCGGAGCCACCTTCAACCCTTCTAGCTTCTTATCAGAGATCGCCTTTCGGAGAAGAGCCGCAAACCCCTCCGTGCAGAGCACAAACAAGAGGGGAGAGAGCGGGTCCTCCTGGGGAAGGCCCTTAGAAGCAGTGAAATAACCCGAGGGTGTACCATTCATCAGAACCGAGAAAAAGGAGGATCGAAGACATTCATGTATCCATCCTTGCCAGACAGAGTTGAACCCCAATTTATCCAAAACAACCAGAAGGAAGGGCCATTCGACTCTATCATAGGCTTTTTCCATGTCAACCTTCAGAGCCATGTACCCCTTCTTCCCTTGCTTTTTTATTTTTAGATAATGCATAAGCTCATGTCCTATAAGAATGTTATCAATAATTTGTCGGTCTCTGATAAACGCATTCTGGCCCTCCGAGACGATCCGAGGGAGCATACTAGCAAGTCGTTCAGCCATGATCTTGGTTATCACTTTGTAAACGAACTGACACAGGCTAATCGGACGCAACTGTCTAATTCTTTCCACCGAATCCACTTTGGGGATCAAAGTGAGCCAGGTATGGTTAAAACTCCTCGGCATCTGACTCGAAGTAAAGATGGAAACTACTGCTTCAGTCACCGAAGTGCTCACAATATCCCAGAATGCTTTGAAGAACTTTCCTGTGAAGCCATCCGAACCCGGGGCCTGCTTCGATCCCATGGAAAAGACCGTTCTCCGAACCTCACTAGGCAAAACCTCCGTCGTTAACTGCGCATTCATTTGCGGAGTAACACTATGGGCAATCGACAGATTCGCCACCCTCTCAGCCATATTAGGAAACTGAGTTTCCGAGGTATACAGAGTCTGGTAAAAGTTGGTGGCAATAGTAGCCTTACCGGTTTCCTCAGTGACCCATTCACCCTCCTCATTTCGGAGCCCCGAAACAAAATTCCTCCTCCGCCGAGCCTTTGTGACCGTATGGAAATAGGCAGAATTTTGATCTCCTTTTTTTAACCATCTTACCCTGGACTTTTGCTGCCAGTAAACCTCCTCTGCTTCCCATTGACGGGAGAGTTCCATTTTCACGGTCCTGATCTCATCCCAGTCCACTGGATGGATCGACTTTATCCTGTCAATCTCTGCGTGAAGAGTCTTGATATCACGCAGGGAATTTGTTGTGCCCGCCCTGCTCCAATCATAGAGCAGATGACGAAGTTTCTTAAGGCGTTCCCACAGTCGAAACATGGGGGTACCTTGGATCTCCTCCTGCCAGACATAGTGGACCATAGCCCTAACTTCTGGATTCTCCGCCCAGTGGGCATCAAAATGGAACAGAGGTCGACTACTCCGAGTATACGGTTTATCCGCCAGCAGAAGGGCCAAATGATCTGACCCCTGGTCCGTGAAGTGCTTGACTAGAGTCTCCGGATAGATATCAATCCAGGACTGGAAACAAAGCGCCCTATCCAGACGTTCACGAATGCACGCTGCACCCATATCATGAACAAAATCCCGGAGACTAATGGTTTGGGCATCATTCCAGACCCGCCCCCATCTTTTTCACCCGCATGGAGAGTAGTGTTGAAATCGCCTATGATCACATAAGGGTGATTAATATTCGCGCAAACTTCCCGCAGCTGAGCCAATTGAGTAGCTCTAAGGGCAATATTACAGCTAATGTAAACAAAGATCACCACATAAGTAAAATTCCCTTCATTAATTTGTGAACAAATACAGAAATTGGAATGGAAAAACACCAAAGCGTCAACCCCGAGGTACCAAGCAACTACTAAACCACCTGATGCATCGACTGCATCAACAAAGAAACAATGAGAAATAGCAAAACCTAAACTCCGCATACGTCGGGACACTACACGTTGACTCGATCATGTCTCAAAAAAAAATACGAGATCCGGTTTATTAGAATGAACAAGCCCTACAGCAGTTTGGAAAGTGAGGGATGGCCCAATTCCTCTCACATTCCATGCTGATTAGTATGATTGTTTTTCGATGACTTAGATTTTTGACAAAGCAAATCATATTGATGGTCTACCAACCGATTCTTGTCCAACACGGGAACGGATCAGGTCAGTAAACTTATGGTGAGTAACTATGAGTAACCAGTCCATATCAGCATGACATCAGCATCACTCTCTCTCTCCTGGAAAGCCTTTAACTTTCCCATCCTTAATCTTTGACGGACGATTTCTCACTCGTTTTAAGTCGAATTTTTTTTTTTTGCACAATTAGATCAGATTAATTGTGCTCTTCAAAATGATATACACTTTGATATATTTTCCGAACAAAAAAAAATTGAGCCATTTTTTACCAGTTTATACCATATGGTATTGACTGGTATTGAAATAAGAGCATAACTATGGTTTGAAAAGCGTACCATGGTGGTATGAACACACCAAAACTGTAGGATGGTTGAATACATGATAGTAGACGTATATTAACTGTCATTTAGTAGACGTATATTAACTGTCATTTACGACTTTTAATATTGTGTACCAGGGTGGTATTGTATGGTATTGTGTGGTATTTTTTTGTCTTGTAATTTGTTCACCCAGAAATTTGTAGATCCAATAAATCATGATGAACTCGTCCCTTCTGTGCAAACGTTTTCAAAAACGAATTAAAAACAAAGAAGATACCATATGATATGCAGTTGGTACCGAGAGGACATAATTTTTTTTTCTCAAAAAATATTGAAAATTGATGTAATTTTGTAGAGCACGATGAACTCGTTCCATCTGTGAGAGAAAAAAAAATCAGAGTTAAAAAGAAAAAGATATAAGCCGATTAAGAAATCTAGGGAAAATAAAAATGACTTTTAATTCTTCATCCTTAGATCTGAATTTTCTAGATGAAGAGTTCATATTTTGTTATTTATGAGTACATAACCCATAATTCCACCACCCACTTAAAACCTCATTGTACCGGCCAGCATATACCCGTATTGCTATAAACCTGGAACCGTTCAATTGGCTGCTTAAATCCGAAACGAAGGGAGAACGTGGCCCTCGCCAGTCGCCACTTTCGTCTTCCACCACCGAACTCTCATTTTCACTCCGTTCCAAACCACAAAACTGAGGACAGGAGGAAAGGCGAGGGCCGGTCAGCAATCGTCGTCCCTTTCCCTTTCTCCCCAAAAGGAGAATCTCACAGTGATAAAAAAAGTCTGTACCCTTTTCCTTCCATCAGCTGCGCAAAAACCCATTTAGTACTGAAATTCACGAGAGCCTCTAGTTTGTTTCCCCCACTTCTCTCTCTCTCTCTCTCTGTTCTCTCTTTCTGTTGCTCTGTTCTCCCAAAAAGCTTTACACACACTAAAAAAAAATGGCGACGACCCACTTCATCATCCCGACCAGGGTCCTTCTCCAGTCCGTCGGGGACATCAAATCGTACGACAACTGGCTCGCCTGCCTGAAAACCTACCTCCTCTCTCAAGATCTCTGGGATTTAATCGATTCCCCTGAAAACACTTCCCCTGCCTCCGCCTCCTCCGCCGCCGCCGAGGACGCTGCTGCTGCTGTAGTTCCTCCGGCGTGGCGGAGGAAGAATGCGGCGGCTCTGCACGCGATTCAGATTTCGCTGGGCTGCGACTTGCTCCACGAGATACGGGAAATCGATTCGGCGAAGGAGGCTTGGGATGCTCTGGCGGATATGCATCGGAAGAAGCTCAAGAACGAGGCGCGAGATGGAGCAGAGCAGCAGCAGGCCGACGCTGGTAAAACTGTTATTTAATCGAACTGGCGTGTTTTAACTTTCTTAAATTACCGCAGTTAATTTTCACAGTGAGATTTCTTGCCTCCTCATATAAAGCCCTTTTTCGCTAAGTGTACGTTTACCATTTTGTGGTCTAAAATGTTTGCATTAAGTATGAGTTCTACAACAAAGTTGTCGCAATCTAAGAGCAAAATGATTTAACTCAGCCAAGCAAAAATGATAAACAACTGGAGACAACGCGCGTCATCGGGTGTTCGTAACTTAAGAACTAAGAACGTGTGTCTTTCTTAGTTCTTAAGTTACGATTTACGAATAGCAAATATAAGAAACTATCCGTGGGACAATTTGATTCAATCATTATTGATCCCATACTGTCATTCTTAATTCTGAAGTTATAAATAACAGTTCTAAGAAATGACTCGTTGAGTATTAAGTCGGACTCAAATGGACTCAAATGCACTTTTTTAATGATTTCAGATTTTGAGTTGAGTTTGATTGAGTCCAAATTAGGGGTAGTTTTTCTTGAGTTACGCAACAATATCGACTATTTTATTAACCGCATTCAACTCAACCACAACTTTTGGTGGTGGTGTTTCGGCCTTTCTATCTGTCTCATAACAACAACAACAACAAAAAAAAGACAATAACTTATTCGAATATTCATTTTCGTTTAGGTGTTCGATACTATGTGTCCAATTAAGAACCGAAACAAAAGTATTGGATATGAGAATTGAGACAGACTCCAAAAACAAAAAAATACAAAATTATCCAAACCTAATCCGACTCATACCAGCAAGCAACTTGGAGGAGCTGATGGGGTCCACCGGAGGAACAGCAACCGGCGACTTGGCGACCGTCGTGGATAATTAAAGGCGGAGATGATTCTGCTTTGAAAAAAAAAGGGTCTTAATCGCAGAAAAGGTAGGCTCCAGTTAGTTGTTAAATCCATTCATGGCCATTAGAGCCCCTCCACTCAACGAAAACGAATTGGTCAAGAGACACATATATATGGCTCAAATTGCTTCACTCGATCATTATCTTTTGTCTTTTGCCCCACCGAAGGGCAGAGGGCAAACAATGAGTGCGGTTTCATGGGCATCTAGTTGTAGGTCGTGACCTAGGGTTTAGGGGACCGGGTTAGGTCAGTAATTGACTTGTTAAAACGATTCGTAACCTATACAGCGGTCGGTGAGTCGTAGCCGTTTGATTTTTTTCGTGCTCAGCACACCAAGGGACGGAAATGTAAAAGTTGTTCCTTAAGTGATGAGTGATGATACCACACCTGTATGTTTCTCTATCGATTTCTCTATCTTCTCCAACGAAACATGACACGATTTTCCCTATGACGCTCTCTACTATAAGTCAAAGCTCCCCCATCTTCCACTCCCCTCTCGAACTACTCTGAATCTTTGAAACAAAATCTTATGAACAGTGGAAAAACCTTTAAATCTCCAGTCGCAAGAATCATCCATCAACATGTTACGATCCATTCGCAGCATCAGGCATCAATAGGCTACATAGCTAGTGTGTATACAAATATTATCACCATTTAAGGAACATTAGTTGATAATTTTGTTATCGAAGGGCACGTAATACATTGAGTTAATTTTCGGTATATGGGGTTCGAACCATTACCATATGTCCTTTGAGGAAAAAACTAAGTTTACAGTAGTTTCACTAACAAATTAAAGGAAATTTTCGACAACTTGAGATGATGTATTACGAGAATTCGTGTGTTGAAACTCTGTATAGTTTCTTTATGCCAAACTATTATGAGTAAGACATGCATGACGAATTCAAAATCTTCTACTTTGGATATATTGAATGAATGGCGGAAGCCAGTCGACACTGCATTGAATATGCTAAGTCGTCCTCCAAATACGAATACCAACACATGTAACGTAACATTACGTTATTATTCGATCTACTTCAATGCCCTATAACAAGATCTCAATCTCTTTTCCGATACTACTCAATACATATTCATGTTACTCTTCCCTTTTGTTTTTATCTTCATTCAATTAAGTTACACTCGTAAACAGACTAGTAGTTCAGCGATATCATGACAACGATACTACGACTTGCAAACTTGTTTTTTAACTATATAGTATTTTCGTACCATATATGACGCTAATTAATTAAGGTTACATCATGTGCAGTAATACACATAATTGGACTCCAAGACCCTTCCCCGCCACCGTCACCGGCCGACAGTTTCGCGATGACGATGAGCCCTTCTTCCTCCTCCTCCGACGCCGGCCACGGCGGCGACATCATCAACAACAACAACGACGTCATCACCAACATAGCCACATGCGACCTCCACAAGCTCACCAGCACAAAAAACAAGGAATCCTTCGGCCACCGCTCCTCCGCCGACGACGCGGCCGCCGGAGAAAAATGGATGAAGGAAACCGCCACCTCCTCCACCGTCGTCGGCTCCTTAATCATCACCATCATGTTCACCGCCGCCTGCACCGTCCCCGGCGGCAACAACCAAGAAAAGGGGACCCCAATCCTCCTCCACGACCGGTCGTTCAAGATCTTCATCGCCTCCGACGCGCTCTCGCTCTTCGCCGCCTCGACCTCAGTGCTGATGTTCCTCGGGATCCTCACCTCGCGGTACGCCGAGGCCGACTTCCGCCGCTCGCTGCCGACGAAGCTCGTGATCGGGCTGTCGACGCTGTTCGTGTCGATCGCCGCCATGATGGTGACGTTCTGCGCCACCGTGATGATCGTCATGGACCACCGGCCGCTGTTCGTGGTCCCGATTGTGATGATGGCCGCCGTGCCGGTGACGCTGTTTTTGCTGTTGCAGTTTCCGCTGCTGGTTCAGATCTTCAGGTCGAACCGGTCCGGGCCGCATTCCAACCCGTTCGACCGGAAGATGAAGCCCTGGCTTTTGAGTCTTTGACCCGTGGAAACTGGGTCGGGTTTCGAGGGGGTTTGTCTTTTTTGTTGTTGTTGTTTGCTGATTTGTTTTTTGAATATATACTCTCTGTAAATATAAGACTGTGCGTAACGTCGTTGTTACCGGACTTTGTAACGTTAACGTCGTGATTTTCATTTCCGTGAGGAAATGTTTTACTCTGTAATTGTCTGGCAGATCCGTGTTTGATCATCTGTCTGGGCGGATCACGACGATCAACTGGAGATCTGCACCTCGTAAAATCCTTGTGTCGAACAACATGCTGCTATTTATTTTCATAACCTTGATTTCATGGGATTTTCCGTTGCAACAATGTACTTGACGATAGGTCAACGAAAATAACGTAATACCAAAAACATTTTCGGATCTGAACCTGCTATCCTGTCGAAGAGAAGGGATAAAGATAATTGTTTAGGGAGGACATGGAGTTATACCGGTCCTTGTTTTGATGGGAAGATTGTTATTAGACAATTCGAATACCATATGAGAAAAAACTTGTATATTAGTTTCCACCTAATTCGTATAGTAAAAGACGGTTTGAATAGTAATAAAACTTCGTCAAATTACAGAACAATACTCTAATAAATACGAGATCCATTTTATCTGAAATTGGCTAAAAAAAAAAAATCAATGACATAAGTCAAAAACAGTCCTCAAAGAGTCCACCTTTCGGCTCTCTTCTCTTCAGGCAGATTAAATTATCATCAAAATTCACATTTGAACACTAAACCACATTCAAGCTATGTTCAAGCTACAGCAGAATTTGTGTTGGATTGAATGAGTTATATTAATTAATAAATGGAAATTTAATTACTCACAAGAAAATTAGTACATACTGTTTACGTTCATATCCTGATCGATAGTTGCAAAGTGGCATTTAACGACAGAAGAAGGTTATTAGTTTTTGGGTAAATACAATTTAATATCCAAACCTTTTATTTTAAACAATATAATAGCCAAATCTTTTCGAAAACAATCTAATATCCAAATCGTCAATTTTTTGTATGTTTGACCGTTAGTTGACACTTCAAAAAAGTTTGAAGTACGACACTTCATCAATATCCATCGATATCTTCTCTGAAAAACCACCAACATATCGTAGTTCCAAACCCGAGAAGTCTATGACTCCGCCATGATGGTATAGAATATCTAAATATTCAGTCATTGCAATGCCAAAACAAGAAAACAAAGTTGTATCGTGGCAATTTCCCCTAAACAAAGGTTTTTTGAAGTGTCAACTAACGGTGAAACGAACGGAAAGTTGACAATTTGAATATTAGATTGTTTTCGAAAAGGTTTGACTATTATATTGTTTAAAATGAAAGGTTTGGATATTAAATTGTATTTGTCCTAGTTTTGTAGACGGTTGTTTTTTTTATAAGAGAGGAGAGAGAGCTTAGTCGAGTGCCGTTTTGAAGGGAGAGCCGTGTCGTTTTGCGTAACAAACCAGCTCACCTCCTCTGCTCTTCTTCTGCGCCTGCTCATTGTGATGAACGACGCTCTTTTAGCTTCCCAACAAAACTCGAATTCTCAGAGGCAATTCTGCGTACGAAACGATTGCGAGGAGGAAAAAAAGGGAGGGGGAAAACCAGACCAAGAAGAAAGAAGAGAGCAATGGCGAAAGCAGAGCGTGCAACGGTCTGAAGCAAAAGGCAGGAGAGCGGAGTGGAGCAATCATTTTGACTTCTCACTCACGGGAAACGGCCCCCCCTCTTCTTCTTCTCCATCGTCTCCGCCTTTACTTTCTGTTCTGCTTTTGGGGAATTTGTTGGGTTTTTGAAGTTTTAAATAATAGAGAGAGCTACTGCTGCGAAGGACCAAAAAGGGGGGATCTGAGCTGCCGGATGACTCTATTTTCCCTTCCCTTTTGAGCTCTTTACCTTCCTTTCAAAGCCATGGCTGATGACGATCTCTGCTGCTTCAACAAGGTCTTACTAGTTATTCCTCAATCTCCATCGCATCCCCTCTTATTTTATATTCAGCTACCCTTTTGATTGATGGGTACGGGCAAAAATGCTGTTCTTTTCTTCTTATGTTTAGATTCAGTGTTTTGTAGATGATATATCATGTTTTCTTTGATACCGTCTGATCTGGTTTGTTTTTTGTCGCTGTGCCGTTCCAATGGTTCCGGGTTTTATGTTTTCAGTTTTCAGTTTTCAAGCACTTCACGTTAATCCTTCTCGTGGAGGATTTTATGGGCTCTGTTTGGTTTGGAGTAAAGTTGGGATCTTTCCTAGAGAGAAGTTAGAGAACTCCGGTCTTAAATGTTCTAACTTTCTTCAGATTTTGAGTTATTCTCTTATGGGTATTGCTTATGGGAGCTCAATGTTCCTGGGTTGAGTTATTCTCTTATGGTTAATGCAGAGTTAGGTGGGAGCTCAATGTTCCTGGGTTTAACTTATGGGTCATACTCATGATATGCAGGATTCTTTCCTTGGTAAAGCACCTAAGAAGTCTCCATTGCTCTTGAGAATGGCTGTTGTGGTGCTTCTAATGGCCTGCAGTCTGTACATATCATCAGTCTGTCTCAAGCAAGTTGGCATTGTCAGTGTCAACAGCCCGGGGATTTTCAAGGTTGTCGAAAGGCAGTGCCCAGTGCCTAATATTGAGCCGTGGGAGATACCATATGTTCATTACCCGAAACCCACGATGTATAGTAGGTAAAAGAACACATAATGATTTCTCTGGTTCTGAGTTCGCACTCAATAATGTGGATTCTAGTGATGGGGCTTTTTGGGTGCATGTAGGGCAGAATGCGAGTGCAATCCTGTTCGGTATTTTGCAATTTTGTCGATGCAGAGGTCTGGAAGTGGATGGTTTGAGACATTGTTGAACAACCATACCAATGTAAGCTCAAATGGGGAGATTTTCTCTGTTAAAATACGGAGGAGAAACGTTTCGACCATTGTTGAGACTTTGGACAGAGTCTATAACTTAGACTGGTTGAGTAGTGCTTCCAAGAATGAGTGCACGGCTGCGGTGGGATTCAAGTGGATGCTTAATCAGGTGAGAGAGAGTGTTGCATCTAACCAGTTCTGATATTTTACTTTCAACCACTACATCCCTTCTTTACTATTTCTGCCATTTATGTTCATGGCACTACATTTCTTAGTGTATTATGCGCTTGAACTAGTGCCGTAGATTGGATATCCCTCTTATCATTCACGAGATGGCATAATGCATTGCTGCTCCTAGTCAGCGACCGGTTGCTTAATTTACAGCTTTAAGGCATTTACCATATCAAGGTTAACGAAGAAGTACCCAATTCGTCCTGAACTTGCTGGTGTTAACAGTTAATAAGCTCTTCTGATTGCTTGGATCTTCTTGAATAGAAAACCTCAAAGGTAGATGAAATGGAAAGGAAAGTAAAAAGGGTAGCTGTAATTGAATCTTGGAATTGGTTCTGTTACATTTTACATGGCTCATTGCTCGTCTAGAGCCTGCATGGAGTTACCCTCTTTAATACCTCATAACCTACAGAACCCAGAATTCTTTCTGATCATCCACTGACTTCATTTGTCCATCTCATTCATTTATGATTTGAGTTGCTCGTTGGTGACAGTCAAACTGTCAAACCTTAAGCATGTTCGGTATACCTCCATTTTGTTTTACATTTCTCATTGTGCATTATCTTGTTCATATCAAGGGTGTGATGCAACATCCTGATGAAGTTGTAGAGTACTTCAGAACGCGGGGGGTTTCAGCGATCTTCCTCTTCCGGAGAAATCTCTTGCGTCGAATGATTTCCGTACTAGCTAATGAGTATGATCGAGGGGCGAAGCTGTTGAATGGGACCCACAAGTCTCACGTCCATTCACCTCATGAGGTACTCCATTCCTGCCTTACCGACTGACTACCTTCTTCTCCACTTCCTCCATACTTGCTTTGACATTAGCTCATTTCAGGCAGAGATACTAGCTAGGTACAAGCCCTTAATCAACACAACTTTGCTGATTCACAATCTGAAGCAAGTAGAGAATACAACTGCACAAGCCTTGGAGTACTTCAAAAGCACCAGACACATGATTCTTTACTACGAGGACATAGCGAAGAATCGCACTGTAAGCATCTAAACATTTCATCACACGCGACACACCGAAACTGTGCATGATTCAGGGTAGAATGAAATCACTTCTGTTTATCCTTTTGTTTTGCAGAAACTGTATGAAGTCCTAGACTTTCTGAAGGTTCCACAGAGAGAGCTGAAGAGTCGGCAAGTAAAGATTCATAAAGGATCCTTATCGAATCATGTTGAGAACTGGGAAGAAGTCCAAGCGGCACTACAAGGAACACAATATAAAGCCTTCCTCGATATAGATTACTGATACCTGTATTGTACATAGGAGATCTTTCTTTCGTTTTCCTCCCACTTTTCAATTTTCCTCACCCTTTTATTGCATGCTAGGTGCGGAGGAGGCCTTTACAGTTTACAGGACTAGCCTTTCCTGTTAAGAGAATTTTTTTGTGGCTTTTCAGTTATGGCTTTTCGTTGTATGTTCGGATTAAGTTAACATTCGATTCATTCTTTACAGAAGATGCTCATTGTACCAGAGATGATCAAAAGTAAGGAATCCGAGGCACTAGCAGCTTTTAACTTGCAATGCTCCTCCTTCCTTTGTTTCATGTCAATGTTTGAAACATCTTTCAATGTTACAGTTGACCACTGCTCTTTACAGAAGAGGCTCATTGTACCAGAGATGATCAAAAGTAAGGAATACGAGGCACTAGCAGCTTTTAACTTTGCACTGAGACGCTTCTGAAATGAGACGCTTTCAATGTTAAGGTTGGCCACTGCTCTTGTTTCGCAACTGAGACGCTTCTGAAATGGATCATCAGAAGCAGGAGTTGCTGCATATTCCCAGAAAAATATATCTTGTCTTTGCAGGAAAGGCAAACACCAAAACGCAGAACCCCATGAAAGTAATCCAATCCAGCCTTGCTGTTGGATCTATAGATACTAACAAAGGAAATATGCATCTAAATGGTTTTTCTAAAGTTGTCTCCTGAAAAAGGGAAAAACAAAGGAAATATGATTTCTTCAAAGTTGGTGTCTTCAACTTGCATATGACTTCTGCAAATTGCATCCCCAGCTGACAAAATTTTCTATTTTTAAATGGTCTGACTTCTTTCTCCTTGTAGCAATCTGACTTTGCAATTTTCCCAAAGAATGGAAAAAGCGAAAAGATCTTGGTTTGGTGGTGGGGGAGCGAGCAGGTGGATTTATATGTGAATGCATCATTGTGTTTGATTGGCTTTCGGCAGCTGGTAGGTCCTTCCCCACCTCTAGCGCTAAACACTGTTCAAAGTTTGGTGGTACGGAATTCGGCTTATCTATCATAAGTAGTATGGATTTGGATTTAGATTTAGGGCACTCTTGCATCGTGGTTAGAATTAGATCCGTCGTCATAGTTTAATCGGGAAATTTTTTTAATTTTGTTCTACTTATATGTCATTCAAGAAAACGTAGGTATGAATTATCAGGCCACTCTAATTATACTGAGCTATTGCAACTAGCAGCGTCTTATCACTCTGCATTTTTATTAACGTTTGAACTGATGTAAGATAAAAATCGAGAATTTAGTTCAGTTTATAGAAATTTATGACATGAATATATTCAATGTTTTTTGCACTAATTTAGAGGGGGGGGGGGGGTGTTTGAGTTCGTTAGGGATTCATACTTAATAGTCACTTACACAAGTCTGAAACTTACAAATATCTTGCAAGTAGATTTGTGAACCATCAATTGGCCTATTAGCTCAGCTGGTTAGAGCGTCGTGCTAATAACGCGAAGGTCACAGGTTCGAGACCTGTATGGGCCATTTTTATTTTTTTTGTGTTTTGAAATTCAGGTTTTAGTATGTTAGATCTAACTTATATTCTACCCATGTGTTTGGAAAAATTGATAACTATACATAAGGGTGACATTGATTTAATAGTTGAGTACTTGAGTTAGTTAGAGTTTTGTGTTAATAATGAGGCCATGACTTCATGTTTGTATCAATTCTAGATTGTACAATAAGAGTCTTCCTATAGTATATATTGGGAGAGAAAAGAACAACAAAAACAATACATATTTCTACCTCAAGCTATAGTAATTAGATCTGCCCAATATGGTAATGCTCATTGTTTAAAGCACATCAATTATTATCTCGCGCATAAAAACACATCCAGAGAAATTTTAGATGGTATGAAACTCAAGACCAGAAAAAGCATGAAACATATGTTAAGGTCCAGAGGAAGACGGTGGATCGGAAATCCCAGACCTGACGTACCAACATAAGTTCCCTCCGTGTAAATGGCTGCGACAATTTACACTGTCAAAACGAGGTCTGGTGGAAAGAACCGATCGAGCTGAAATTCCTAGTTCTAACTCTAAATGGGTCATAAGAAAGGTTTGAGGTAGCATATCATGCAACCCTTTGCACAGGTGGTTTGATATCAAACTACAGTTGCACCACTCATTTATCCACCTCTACTTAAAAACAATTTGAACGATAACTGAAAATGACACGCTTATTATTGTTTATTTGATTCCGCTTATTAACAAACTTAGCCGCTATAAATCTCCAAACTCATAGAATTTCAGTTTCACGATTTATCAATTTTAAAGAATATTACATATATGGATGTCATAAATGATACAAATCTAGGCACAATAATGATTTACCGCGTTGTTGTGTAATCCAGCAATTATCATCAGCAAATTCTTCCCTTTTTTTGACTGACAAATTGGCAAACTCTACCAATTAGTAGACCAAAATCTTAAATTGGATGCCCTGTTAAAAGTTCATCAGCCACCTAAATTTAACCCTAAAGGAGAGTGGTGGGTCTCAAATCCACCTTCAGGCGAAGCCTCCTAAAACCCCTAACACAACCAAATAACGAAATCCGCCGCCTCCTCCCTTTATAACCACTTCCCCTTCGCTTCCCCTGTCTTCCTCTTTCGGCATTCCGTCGCCAGCCACCATCTTCTTCTTCCCCAAGAACTTGCCTTTCCCCATCCAACGAGGAGAAGGTGGAAGAAAGGAACCAACCCAAAAAGGGGATTCTTCTTTTTTAACGGGGTCGCGGGGTGTTAGTTTCTTTGTTTCCTTCGTTTGGATTTGTGGGGCGATTTCGATCGGATCAAGATGCAGCCGCAATCCAACGGCGGAGCTGATCCGAACCCATCTGCCACTCCGCCGCCGGCGACGAGTAACAGCAGCAGCAGCAATCACCAGGGGGCGCAGCCGTATCAGCCGCAGCAGCAGTGGGTGCCGCCGCAGCAGCAACAGCAATGGATGATGCAGTACCCGGCGGCGGCCATGGCGATGATGCAGCAGCAGATGATGATGATGTACCCGCCGCAGCACCACCCGCATCACCAGGCTTACATGGCTTACTATCAGCAGCAGCAGCAGTACCAGAAACAGCAGCAGCAGCAACCGCCGATGTACCAGAAGCAGCAGCAGTATAATAATAAGCAGCAGCAGAATCAGATCCAGGCGCCGGAGGACGCCAAGACTGTTTGGGTCGGCGACTTGCTTGTTTGGATGGACGAGATTTATCTTCAAAATTGTTTTTCTCCCACCGGCGAGGTATACCCAGTTTCTTTCTTTTTAATTTGTAAGATAGACTGTTGAAATCTGGATCTTTTTGCGGCATGTGGATCTTTTTATGCAATATTTGTTTTGGTTTGATTGGATTGATTGCTTTTATTGTTTCTTCTTATTGATTTTTGGGTAATAAAAGCGTTTTGGTTCACCCATCGAATCTTTTGGGGATGACTATAAATGGTTTACTTCCTTTTGGCTGTGTGAAGGGTGAAGTGTCCGCTTTTAACATTGGTTGCTGTTTGTTAATGTGAAAACAGTTAAATTTGCAACCCAATTTCAGGCTTGAACTGTTACTGCCAATTCCAGTAATAAATGTGGATTGCTACTTTTGTTACTGTGGTCCATAAGCCGGGGAAAATCCATCTCTTGTTTTGTACTACTAACTGTGCTAAGTTCATGATTTCCTGGAAGAGAAACATTGTCAATTCTTTGTTTGAGCAGCAGAGTAGTTTTGAGAACGGTGAAAGTTAATGCTTTTAATTAACACCCTTGAGTTTATGAGAGCTAATTTATGGTGATTCTTTAATTCGTACGCTTTCAGCTCAACATGTGCTTGGCATGTCATGTTAAATCATAGTGCATCAAATTGTACCTCCTTTTGTTTTAGTATTATTCATTCAATTATATCTTTTGGTTTACTCGATGCTCTACATCAGATGTATTATCTTGGGGGCATTCATGTTTTAACTTTAACCTGTAATATATTACCTGGGTAGCTCCTGGTTAATGCACTTTCTTTTTTCTTGGTATGACTGTATTGAGCAGGTTGCATCTGTTAAGGTTATAAGGAATAAGCAAACCCATCAATCGGAAGGGTATGGTTTTGTTGAGTTCTATTCACATGCGACGGCGGAGAAAGTTCTGCAGAACTACAATGGATTCACGATGCCAAATTCAGAGCAGCCGTTCCGTCTGAACTGGGCAAGCTTTGCTGGTGAAAGACGAGCTGAACCGAATTCTGACCTGTCTATATTTGTTGGAGATTTGGCTGCAGATGTCACTGATTCTATGTTGCAGGAGACCTTTTCTGGCAAATATCCCTCTGTTAAGGGAGCCAAAGTAGTTATTGATTCCAATACTGGCAGGTCGAAAGGTTATGGTTTTGTTAGGTTTGGTGATGAAAGTGAGAGGTCTAGAGCTATGGTGGAGATGAATGGTGTTTACTGCTCATCGAGGCCCATGAGAATAGGTGTCGCCACTCCCAAAAAGTCTTCCCCGTATCAACAACAATATTCTTCTCAAGGTGTGTGTTTCCTCGCTGTCTGTTTCTGTACTTAGAGATCTTATTCGTCCTGTAATTTGGCTGGAATGCTGGATCATCTTTGTTCTTTCTTTGGTATGTTTGCCAGCTTGGACGTTTGAGCATTCCAACTATATTTAGTGGATTTCTTGGTTTTGAGTTTAAGGTAGCAATTCAACTATTTGATTTATTAATTGACTTTGATGTCCAAGGTATGACGCTGTGTTGCTTATATTACTTGTATAGACTTTTTTCGGACATCATTATGTGGCAGAAGTGTGCTTTCAAACTCGAAGCCTGTTTTAGGTTTTAGGTTTGAGCTTTTAGTTTTTGGATGATTATACTTACACAAGGAAACTACTGAAAAGGTCTTGTTAAGTTAGATGTTTTGTAACTGATTAGTAATTCATGGAGCCATTTTCTCATTTCAAATTCAAGCTTATTACACCTTGGATGCCTTATAAGCATTAACTTGTTGAATTTGAATTTCTTGTATTACCATTTTTATATGCATGTTTTGAGTATATTGGGTGATTTCAATCTGTCTACCTTAACTTGGTGAGGCTATTGTTTAAACAGAGTACTTGCCTGTAAGATGTGCTTTAAATATTGAATTTTTAATTTGTTGGTCAATATCATTCTCTTACTAGCTTTGGTTTTGGCTGGTGGTGGTGGGCATGCATCAAACGGCAATTTAGCCCAAGGTTCCAATGCTGATGGCGGCGAGAACAACACAACTGTGAGTAGGGCTGTCGTGGTTTGCATTAGTAGCGGCTTGGAATAAGATGTACCTCTTATTTCTTCAATGTTTTCAGATATTCGTAGGAGGAATTGACTCTGATGTTAGCGAGGAGGATCTCAGGCAGCCATTTAGTCAGTTTGGTGATGTTGTGTCCGTCAAAATACCCGTTGGGAAAGGCTGTGGCTTTGTCCAGTTTGCGAACAGGTATCTAGTTTTGATATTTGACATTGATTATAGCATATTCTGAAATGCATTAGTATATATTATCTAGTTGTAGCGGTCTTTAAGTTATTCTGCAGTGATTTAGGACTAAAGATCTAACAGATTATCTGTTTTTATCTTTGGGGTTGCAGAAAAGATGCTGAGGAAGCACTTCAGGGTTTGAATGACGCTGTGATTGGCAAGCAGTCTGTTCGTCTTTCATGGGGCCGTAGTCCTGCAAACAAGCAGGTAAATTTTTTGGGATGCAGTTGGCAATCCAGGCATTTAGTATTTGTTTAATTTTTTAAAACATTCATTTCAACTGTTTACTGCTGAAAACTTCCTTGTTTTTGGTGATATTGACATGTTGTGAGTATTTGCAGTGGAGAGGGGATCATGGTAATCACTGGAATGGTGGAGGCAGTGGCGGAGGGTATTATGGAGGGCAAGGCTATGGTGGTGGTGGTGGTGGTGGGTATGGATACAACACTGCACAACCCAATCAGGACGGAGGGATGTATGCTACAGCTGCTGCCTCTGGGGCTTCATAGCACCGCACTAGGGCCCCTCTCTTCCGGTGATCTCATCAGAAGAACGAGTCCATTACCCGAGAGCTCTGCAAAAGGAGGTGAAGCGAAACGATACCATGGTCATGAACAACGACATGACCAAGAGAGAATAGAATACTGCTGCTGATGTTGCAGCCGCTGCTGCTGGCCATTGGCTGCTGCTGCTGTAGTCTGTGTACTATTGGGAGAAGTTTTGTAGCTTGATATTGTTTTCATACTTTGGTCTGGAGTCTTGTCTCGAGTCTACTACTACTATGTTAGGTGGGTTGTATTGGTAGTGTTCTTTAACTGTGGATTTTGGTTTTGTTTGGATGTCTGCTTGGAGAAACTAGCTACCAGGATTTTTTAAATTTTGCAGGATCAAATTTAGAACTTAACTGTTTCCCTCTCAGAATGAGAATGGACTAGTTTTAGGGCTTGTTCTGTGTGTTGTCTGCTGCAATAGAGGTTAAGCTCTAAAAGCTATGAGCATCACATCTGTATTCTGGTCTGGGTTCTTTTTGGTTTGGGCTTATTTGGAGTCCAGGTTGCCCTGGGCCTAACGAAGGGAACTTAGAATTTGGTTTTCACCTCTTTGAAGGGAACTTAGAATTCGGTCTATTTTATGATAGAGTTTAGTTTGCATCATGATTAGGGCTGGGAATCTAGACCAAACCGTATGGGAAATCGCGGTCTAGACCGTATCATATGGTTTGGTCTAGACCGCGAGACCAAAACTATGGTTTGGTCTGGTTTGCGGTCTCCTCTTTTAGTGTGTGGTCTAAACTTTGAAGTGGTTTGGACCGCGGTCTACAGCAGTAAACCGTAACAGACCGCGACACATTACCTACTAACTCAAATAAAAATAACACTAAATTGAACCTCCATTTGTGTATTTGAAAAACAAAGTTAGTTGATTCTTCGTCTAGTTGAGAGCCAACAAATTGCCAAATGATCGCTTATGTGTTATCTCCTTATAAAAGAACAACACAAAAACCAGAAAGACTCATAAATAATATTCACAAACAATGTCTAGACTATGGAGTCGATAAAAATTAAACGATAGAAAAAAATTTGTTCACCTTGATGAGATAAGAAAAATTATTGAGAGATTTGTGACCATCTTAGTGGTTCAAAATTACCGCGACGTCATCACAAAGGTTATCAACCGGGAGAACCTTCGGATCACTCGAGAGAGGAGAGAAGCGGTAGCACAAAGAGGAATAGGGAAACAGGACTATTTGATGTGTGTGTGTTTGAAAATTGAAGAAACCCACTTCTATCCTCATATTTCTTCTCATTTAATTACGATCACAATTTTTTTGTTTCAATAGCATATTGGTCACTAAATTTTTTATTTTTATAGATACCGGCGAAGGGTTGGACGGCGAACAAGAGTTATTTTTTTTAACATGGTTTGTCTGGTCCAGACCATACCAGACTGCACCGCACAGGTGTGGTCTGGACCGTATAGTATATGGTTTGTATTCCAATCTCGGTCTGGACCACAGACCGTATCTATGGTCTGGTCCGGACTGCACCGTTTCCCACCCCTAATCATGACGTCAAATGTACGGGGTCGTTTGGATGAATTGTTTAGTTTTGTGGTGTTTGTAAGGTGAAATAATGCATTTGTTGTTGATGTGGTATTTGTATGGTATTTTTATGAAAGTTGGGATAAATAATCTTGTTTGGCTAAACCAATATTTGCATGTGGTATTTGATGATAAAAGATGCTAAATAACAATATTGCCCTCAATTGAGGGTACCATCTACTCTCCCATAGCTTTCATTCATTCCCAGAAATGTACCTTACCCCCATTTATTCGTTCATTCATAGCAAACCATTAGAACAACGAAAACACTAGAAACCACCGCCCATCCTCCCTTGAATCGAATTCTTCTCATCCTCCACTTCTCTGTTCTTGTTCAATAGAGCCTAGAATAAGGAAAATCAGAACCCACGAATCCAAAGATTCCCACCAGTAAGAATTTAGCCTCTCTATTCTTGTTAAAGACGTGTCCAAAACCACATAATTGACAAATAAATACGGAAAAATCAATTAGGGATGCTTACTATGGACGGAGGTCAAATCCAAATTCGTCAATCTGCCGCTGCCGCCAAACAAAAAGGGCGCCTTCTCTTCTCTTCTCAATTCGTCAATCTGCCCCAAGCTCTGCATGCAATCCCAAATCAAAACCTAGCTTGGACAATAGTACTCGCATCCAGCTCCAAAGATGCTTGATTCTCGCCGCCTACGAACTGTCGCTCGAAACCTCCGTCGCCGCCAATGATTCCAACCACGGCTGTCGCTCGAAACCTCCGTCTACCTCGTCCTCGCTCTCCATCGTACATACAGTAGTCAACAGTGAGGGTTTGGGGTTCTGTTGAATCGTCAACAAGAGAGGGGATTATGGGTGTCGTTGAATCAACAGAAAAGTGGAGAAGATAGTTAGATTATCTATTGGAGAAGGGGAGGTTAATCGTGTGCAAGAGATTATATAACATAGAAGAGAGGAGAAGCAGAGAGAAGATGGAAGTCGTTTGAGAGAGAGGGGAAGAACTGAAAATGAAGAAAGTGAAAGGGGCAAAGTTGGAAGGGAAACGACGCAGAACGCGTTATTGTCAAATAACTGCTGGATAGGTGTTATTTACAATAACTCGTTTTTGAGTCATTCGTAAATAACTCAAGGCCAAATAACCAATTACACTTTTGCATACCCAAACAAGTTATTTTGAATCAAATAACCCAATATGAGTTATTTGGACCCTAATAACTCAAGCAAATAACCTATCCAAACGACCCCTGTGAGTTTAGTTTGCAATTTTGTATCATAAATGAATTTGTACTAAAAGCTCAAAGGATGAATTTGTACAAAAATATCAAAGGTACACGTTAAGTTTGAAAATCATAAATGATTTTGTTTCAAGTTATATATATGTAGAAACAAAATTTGTACAACAAAGTTAAATGTACAAATATCATAATTCATAAAGGGAATTTTTTTATAAACCAAAATACCGAAAGTGACAAGTCTAAGGACTGCAAAACCGTATAAGAGTAGTGATGGTAAACTTGTAATGGGGCGGGGCGGGGCGAGTATCTCAATTTTCATGTCCCGCTCCACTCTATTACGGGTGGGATGGGTAAAACCCGTGTGAGTACGGGGCGGGGCGGGTCGACCCACTCTTAGATGTTATTTGAAATAATACACTCAAATTTTACTTTTTATGATAAAACAAAGGGAAAAACACTTTATGAATGAAAAATGGTGATAATATAATGGGTAATTGAAACTAACAAGTTGAAAGATCGACTCTAATTAGTTAAAGAAAATTCAAAACAGGAGAAATTATATAGATACTGTTAGAATTGAGATAAAATGGGTCTAAATCGGAGCAAGGCGGGTCGGAAGTAGATACTAGATACCCATGTCGCGCCCCACGCTACTGCGGGTTAGGTAATACCCGCCCCATCGCGGGTCAGGTCGGGTAATACCCACAGGACGGGTTCAAATTGCCATCACTAGCTAATAAGAGGTTGTACAAGAAAAATCAACAGTAACCAGTAGGGTATCTTATGATGCTACTGTAGACTGTAGTTTAGCTGTGGTTCAATTGGTTTATACTACTAAATACAAACTACTGATCTGGTATTAGGTTTTTCTGGTAGAATTTTCAATCCTTAAAAAAACATTATAAAATCCTCTATTTGCTACCAGATAGGAGAAAGTAGATGGGTTGACTTGAGACAAGCAAATTGGCATTTCAAAACTGTGACACGTTACCTAACACGTACAAGGTATACAAACACTATCTAATTAGGGACTGGTGAATGTCTCCAAAACCAACAAAACATAAGCCAATATTATTGACATGTGAGTATACTTTTTTTCCTCATTCAACAATTTATCGCGCCCACCCAAAACTAAATATATTTAAGTTTCTAGTTTAGAAAATCATCGAATAAATTAAAAAATATATTTAGACAATTAATTATATATATGGCTTTCTTTTACCATCACATATATATATATATATATATATATATATATATAAGAGTTGTACGGTACTCAGGGTGAAATTCGGGGGTACCGCATACCTTGAGTAAGAAAACGTTATCCAAAACTTGAATTGACTGATCTTTGGGACATGATACTATACTCTAACCCTTAAAGATCAAAATCTAGGTTTTAATTCGCTAAATCTTATACCCCAAGATCAATTTAATTAGAAACAATAATCGACGGTTATGATTCGTCAAAATATAGGCAAAAAAATCAACGCACCATCTTAAGGTTTATAGTTTATGGTTTGGATAATTATGACCTAGAGTTCACTCATTAAGGGTTAGGGTATAGTATCATGCCCAAAAATTCTACTAATTCGAGGTCTAGATAGCGTTTTCATACTCAAGGTATGCGGTACCCCAGATTTCACCCGGGGTACAGTAGAAGGCACCATATATATATTGACACTTTTAGAGATGGGTGCACTGAGTGCACAAAAAAAAGTGAGTGCACCGAAGTTTCAGATACTACTAGTGACTAGTGAGATATCTTTATGTAGACCATAAATTAAACGGAGTTTTGGGTATGATACTATACCCTAACCTCTAATGGATAAACCTCAGACACCGATTTTCTAAACCCCAACCGAAGTTTGATTTAATGAAAAACAAAAATTGATGATTGAGATCGGTCGGAGCTCATCTAAGTACATCTAACGATTAGATCACCTGATGTATACCATACGCCTCAAGTACACAAGTCATTACCATACATACACACATATATATATATATATATATTTCTATTATATTCGATAAATATGAGCGTGCCGCATATCTTTTGTGAAAAAGTACTAATATCATAAAACATATACTCTACGACCAATTTAATTACAAAACAAAGATCGAATGTTCTAATTTATCGAAATGCATCTCTATAAACAAAACGAACTTCTGGTAGGACATGATCTTGGTCGAGTAGAAATAGGGAAAGGTCGATTTTTTCAACATTTATCAACTGCATATATGCAAATTGATCAATAGTTTAGTTTGTCATTTGTTAAGTCTAAAAATAACCTATCCAAGAACGTCAACCAAAACCCAAATTCATCACGTGTCAAATTTAATTAAGTTGGTGCATGTTGCTATCGAAGTAACGAAGGTGTCATTGACTTATTTTTTTCCCTTGGAGTAAATCACCTAATTAACAAGTTTCTAGCCTAACGGTATCATCGTACTAATGTGGTAATTTTCTAACCTATTGAATTTGAATCACATGCACTCTATGTCGATAATTATGTCATTAGCGAAAATACGAAGTGGCGACACCTATCTGTATGACTATCAAAAGACTTGCAAGTTAGTTTAGACGTTGATAAAAGAAAGTTATAACAACAGCGGTGATGGAAACCAACAAACCCATAAACGAGTTGGTAATTAATGTGCGCTGAATTCATTTGAATAAAGATACAATCATACGACTCATGAGATATTAGACTGATTTGGCACATATATCTCCTATTTCAAACGATGTTTTTTTATGTGTAACTAAATGGAGTTAACGAAAGAAGAAGACTACCTTAAGTTTCGAATATGAAATCTCTAGATGAAAATATTAAGAAACCGTTAGACCGAACTCATTTCTTTCTTTTTTTTCCTTCAAACGAATTTAATGCTCAAAATACTTTTATAACAATATTTTCAAACCGCAAGTTTCGCCGTCGGCCGGCCAGCCGTCAAGTTTGACGCATGCGTCTTCCCGGCCGTCGTGTACTAGAACTTTGAACTTTCACTCTATTGAATAAATTAGAAGAGCTCGATCGAGCCAACTTGGTGTTAAAAGCTTTGTTTATGTATATACGGCGCCGTCGCTTAAATTGCGTAATTAAGACAAACATGCATGCATGATTAATTGACTAATTAGCCAATTTGTGAGATCCCTCTGCCGTATTTATAAGCATAAATGCAAGATTCGTGACAAGAAGAGGAATGCACGTAGTTATGTAACTATGTTTAATTAATTGATGCTGCGCTGGGTAATTATATATTACCTATAACCTAGTGTACATGCTCGCATGTAACATAGATTCGATGACAACCATATTTTAGATATAGGAAGGAGAATACGAGTGATGTTGTCGTCAGATAAATTTCGGAGTTAGCCGACTTGATAGCAACACGGTGATGAGAGTCGGGGATGAGCTTACTGAGAGGTTGCCACACGGTTGATTGTCGTGTTCCGATGAAAATATATGGGGATAGCACTAGTGCAATACTGATTGCCATTAATCATGTACTGGCACTGCATGACAGAACCAATCACATTGAGGTTCATGTTCATTATTATCAGACAGTTAGTGGCTGGAGGGGTGATTCAGATTGGTTATCTATCTACAGAGGATCAGACCGCAAAATTACTCACCAAAGCATTGGCGTCGAGTCAACATTGGTACTTGTCTTCCAAATTGATGTTGCGTACCACACATCAATTTGAGTGAGGGTGTTGTTTTGTACTCTTTGGGTACCAATATGTAAATATAGAAGCCAAGTTGTTTACTCTCTAATTAGGTTTAGTGTCTATCCTTATTCCTTATATAGAGTCGAGTTGTATATTGATGTAAGGTTAAGCCGTTTGACGTATAGTGAAATTGTTTGGAAAACACAGCCTCTATCGTGAATTAGTCATGATCTTCAGAGATACCATGTTAAATTCTCGGTGTTATTTCTTTCGAGTTCGTACTAATTTGACAATGGTACCAAGAATGTAATATACTCCTCTCCATGTACAGTAAAAATCCTTGGGAATCGCGCCATTAATTATTGCGGTCAAACACAAATAGTGAGTTTTAAAATTTACGCCAAAATAATTGATGATCATCATTTCCACTAAAAATAATTAATTACAGCATCGCAAAATCATGAATCCTACCATTAACCGATAACTTTACATTTTTGCCAATCAAGCATCATCATCTCTCATTTGTATATTTATTTAGGATAATAATTTGAGAAGGTAAATTGCACTGTGAAAAATAGCTGGATTTCGTTTGGATGTGAAAGTGATAACGGATTAATTTAATTTAATTATCTTGTTTTTAAACAATTATATCATATTGATTGGTTTTGCCAACTATTAAATTTGAATGCATCAATTTGGTTTGGAGAATTTTGAATTGAATGAGGAGTTCCAAATTTCTTGGGCGAAGTCAGGGGTCGTTTGGATGAAAGAATTCTAACAGATCAATTTGACCTAGTTGCTTCATTTTGAGATAATTGAGTCAGACTGACTCGTTTGATAGAACAAAATTTGGACGAAGCAATTTGACATGAAGAATTTGGAATCAAATCGTTTTGAGACAATTACAATTGTTTAGATTGATAACAGGTAATTCGAATGGACTCATTATAAATGACTCGTTTTACAAAACAAGCCAATGGATCAAACTATCTCATTTCTGAACTAATCCATCCAAACTATCCCCATATTAATTGAATCGAAAGGCGACAGACGGATTCACAAATTGAAATCTCACATCATCGAGTTATGGAGAAATAAAATTTTATAGGTGCTATAATATATATATTTTGGTTTAGGTAAGGAAATTATATATAGAAATTTGCATAGAAATAGGCATGGGATGAACCACAAATTGAAAAAGAGCATTATCCTCCCCACAACTGTTCAATGAGATGCATTGGATTCCGGTTGGAGTTGCGTTAATCTGAGAGAGTTCAAAATCAAATGTCAACGGGAAACCATAAGAATGTTATTCATGCAATGAATAATAATCATATTAATTTCTCACCTTTCAGCTTTAATCTTAAGTGTTACAGTTTCCCAACGAAATTAAAACAACTTGACCCCTATGTAATCATCTTCAAATTTGTGATAACACGATACTCAGTTTCAACAGATGAACGCGTAACGGCTCGTTGCTTCTTAGTGCATCAAGAGATGAGAACACCCCGGAGACTGACAAGATACCCCGTAGTAAAGCACCCGTCCCAACCAACTTCTACAATAGGCGGTAAGGGTCAGATCATTCGCAACAGTGAAGAACAAGTCTTGCCCAAGACGGAGACTTGAGATAACGCATGATACCAAAGGCAAATTCCATGTGCATTTGACTGGGCGAACTAACAAACTGGCTTAGGACTTTAACCGCATAAGCGATATCCGGACGTGTGACCGTCAAATACAACAATCGGCCAGCGGATCGCCGATATTGGGAAGGATCGGTAATAGTGATACACACATGCTTATGATTAAAACCATCTATATCTTATGAGCTTACTTTGTTCATATTCATTGGTTTGATAACATTGTATATCTCACATTTACAAATTTGAGTAAGTGGGCAAATACGTCTCGTTTATAATTAACAAGAGAAATTATGTATTATAGATTGCTTCGATACTAATTACTATGAAATTATATGATATGAAATAGTTGTAATTTATCAACTAAATAATATGATACCAGGGTATATAAACACGAGATCAATTAATTGTATTTATCATACATATATGCACATATTATAGTATTTTATTTATCAATTAATAGAATTAGTGATTTCAATTACGAGCCAACATTTTAATGTGTGATTCGATTCAGATTTTACTCGATTTATCTCGTTGATAAACGAGCGAAACACAAACTCGACTCAACTCAGCTCGACCATGTAACTATTCACTCCGAGTGATTCATGAGTCCTCTCTACTTTTCCTCATCTCCTTCCTTCCTAATTCCCCACCGCCATTTTCCTCTCCATAAATACTCTCTTCCATTTCCTCACACCAAATTTCTCCACCCCTTTTCCCTTCCCTCCACCGCCCCTGCCTCAGGGCTACTTCACTAATCAACCAATTCCACCGGCGACCCACGAAAATGGAGGTGGTAAAGCCGGTTCCGGCACCGCCGTCGCCGGAATTCAACTTCGACAGCTCATGCTCTTCCCCTTACATCACCGCCCCTTCCAGCCCTCAGCGCTTCGGGACCAACTTCTTCTTCAGCGCACCCACCAGCCCCTCCGCCACCTCCTCCTTCTTCCTCGACGATTCCATGGCCGCCGCTGCCGCCGATTCCTCCTCCGCCGTTCCTTTCGATTGGGAAGAAAAGCCCGGGACGCCCAAGCGTAACAGTAGTAACAGAGCCAAGAGTGCTGAGTTTTTCGACGACGATTACGATTTCGAATTCGATTTCAGCGGTCAGTTGGGTAGGAGCTCGTTATCCGCCGCCGACGAGCTTTTCGACGGCGGCAAGATCCGGCCGTTGAAACCCCCTCCCGGGTACGATTCGGGCGCCGGATCCTCCGTCGCTTCTCCCCGGTCCCCGCGATCTCGCGCGGCGGAGAAAAACAGAGATTTCGACCCTTTTCGGGCAGCGATTGAAGAGAATCGGAAGCGAGATGCAGAGGAAGAACGGGGAAGAGGACGGAGAGGAGCGATCGGCGGTTATTCGGGGCAGAATTCTGATTCCAGTTTCGACTCTGTTTCCGGCCGTCGGGGGACCAGCAGGTCGCTTTCGCCGATGAGAATCTCCGACGTGATGTTGGAGCAGGAGCAGGACGACTGCAATTCCGAATTCAACCCTGTCGCCGGCGGCGAGAAGCAGTCCTACGCGGCGGCTTTCCTGTCGGCGATTTCGTTTTCGTCGAAAGGGAAGTACAAGAAGTGGAAGCTGAGGGACTTCCTCCTGTTCAGAAGCGCGTCGGAAGGGAGGGCGACGAGGGCGGAGCAGTTGTCGGCGGCGGCGAAATACGCGGTGCTGTCGAGGAGGGGTTCGCCGGCGGCGGCAGTGGAAGCGAGGGACTGCAGCAGCTTCCGGTCGACGGAGAGCTTGGGGAGCTCGCGGCGGGCGGTGTCGGCGCACGAGATGCATTACACGGCGAACAGAGCGGCGGCGGAGGAGATGAAGCGGAAGACGTTTCTGCCGTATAAACAGGGGCTGTTGGGCTGCCTGGGATTCAATCCGACGGCGGTTCCTGACATTTCCAGAGGAATTGGGTCTTTGACACGTGGATAGAATTTTTTTCTTGTTCATTTTTCCTAATTTATTTCTGGTTTTTGGGATCGATAAATATTCAATTATGAACTGTTATACCATTCTTCGGGTTACTCTCTTTGTAAACGATGATCAATGGAAATAGTGTTATAAATTTAAATTCATTCTATTTTGATTTTTGATTGGGTCGGCTAATGGATTTAGATATGAATGCGTTCCACAAGAGGGTTTGTTCATATGAATTGTAAGAGTATCCTAATTAAAAATTGTAGAAGCTGAACATGAACGAGTGATCTCTTAATCTTATGTAGTAATAAAAGTTTGATTTGTCTTCTTGACCTAAGGATCATTAAGGAAGAAAAATTGGGATTGGTTGTCATTTTTTAGTGCAATTTGGACAAAGCGAGTTCATATAAGATAATGTTCAAAAACTATAGACGGGACTTATTAAACCTGGCGAGAGAAGGAAGATCGATGTCCTTGTATGGATTTACGTGCAAGAGATATAGTTAACCTGTACAGATAACATGACGGTGGTTATTAATATAACTAGTATTGACAACAAAACCAATGAGCAGAAAAATCATATTGATATAAGATGGAGTTGCAGAAGTCTTGACGATGAAGCATAGATTAGATCGACTTGGAGAAGAAGAAACAAAATGTTTCGCTTTTCAAATTTTGTATATTACTTTGTATGCCATTTAGGTGGAACAATAACGCTCTGTAATAACCGTTATTAGCTAATAGCATGTAATAACTTGATACATGTAAGACCCAGCTAAAGTAGCAACATACATGGACCGAAAATGTCATGAATTCTTACTAATAATTCACAAGTCGATCAAATCAAGAACTATGAATATGTTTTTTCCGCTATTCGTCATTCTAAATGGTCCATCTTTTCTCGATATTAGTCCTCCAAACAAAAGGATTACAGAAAAAAAAAAACCATTCAACCAAAAGGCATTGAGCAGGGCATAGAGACAGGACACATGGGTTGTAAAGGAAAATTTTCAATATGGCATAATCATTAGGGTTGTGGAAATTAAAGGGAAAAAGGGTTTAGATTCAAGAAAACTAACTAATTAATTAAATAGATACAAATCAAAAGAATTAACATTGCATCATGGAGTTATACAGTGTAAAGCAGAAGAGGACCACACGAATTCATTTTCGCCGTTCTTAAAGAAGTTTTTTATTTATTTAATGTATCTGTATCAGTACTAATCAAAATATCAAATGAACCTCTGTGTTATTTATTATACTTTTTTGTTCATAATTTAGGCTACCAAGAATGACGAAACAATGCTTCCTGCCTTTAATTTGTACCCTCTCTCGTTTTATGCCATAATCAAAGCCCATGATTTGCTTAATCACTACCATTTGTAATGATGGCGCTACAGTTGTGGTTGAGGCTGTGAAAAATAATAAACAGTTTCCCTTCCTAATTTTCTTACATATATTTGATCCTTCAAATCTCCAATTGATATATGTATGCAAACGAGGGCTGGCCCGATTGGTGTGAGTGTTGGTCTGCTGCTCTTCTCGTCGCGATCCAGGGTTTTGAAGTTTGTCTTTGCGCGCTCTCCCTTCTGGTCGATGCGCGTCTTCGTCTCCACCACTGTCAACAAATTCGAGGAAAGAGTACGCAGTTAGTGGTATAGTTACGTGTAAGTTCAATACGAAAACCGTATATGCTATGATGAACATATAAGTACATGAGGCCGTCGGCAAGGGCCTAAGGTGTTTGCTTTTGGAGGGCACATAATCCTCGTGTAGGGAAAAGGGGGGAATCGGCATGCCAATTACCTTTACTAAAAGGCCTCACCTTCTTCCATTTTCTGGTGAATATTTTTTTTTTTTTTTTTGCAGATGAGAAGAAAAGCAAACAAAAGAAAGGATACTTTCACATGAATTACTTCTCCTAATCATGTCCAATCCCTCACTTTCCCCCTTCCACTTTTAAATAGATAATCATATATTAATCGGAAAAGATAGTTACATCCCGGAATTTAGCCAGGCCATAAAATCAAAAGATCGACATGAAGCCGGATACAATGACAGGGCATTTCTAGCCACCACATGGGCTACCCTATTGTTCCTACTGCCAACAGATCGCACACTAAGTCCATCATGGAGATTGAAAGAAGACACCACCTCCTGCAGCAACGCCCCCACCCTTCCATCCCTTGTATCAGATTGGCTGATCTTATCGATCACAACCTTCGCATCACCCTCAAAGCAAATTGTATGGTACCCCAGGCAAAGACACCAAAGGACAGCCTCCCTGAGAACAAGCAGCTCTACCGTCATTGGATCGTCCACATCAAGCAGCTGAATCCCTAGAACCCGGATAACACCCCCATACCGCTGACTGATAACCATCCCACCAGCCGAATGAGAGCCAGCTTTAGTCACCCCATCTCATTGACAAACCACCTCAGACGGGTTAACCAAGGCCATGGCCCGGGGAATCGAACACTGAGGCCGACCATCCTGATCCCTATGCAATGCAATCCATTCGTTGTACTGTTGGGTAAATTGGCGCATTAAAGCCGGAATACCAAATTGTTTACCCTCATAAACTACCAAGTTCCGGGATCGCCAGATACGCCACAAGAGCATTAGAACAGCGAGAAACCGGTCTGGTTGCGTAAGTCGAAGCATTAACTTTTTGAGGAACAGGGGGAACGTGTCACGCGGCAAAGCCCGCCCCAATTGGTCCAACCCCGAATGATCCCACTTTTAAGACATTTCCTTTAATTTTGTGGAAAACGAACACCTTAATTTGGAGATTTGTTAGAACTTAGAAGAGAAGAAAAAGTGTTATCTTTTTATTTTAAAGTGAAAGATTCGATTGTGATGGATTAGAGATAGGGGTGTGTAACATTTTGGTTTGATTCGTTCCGAACTGGACCAAACTCATGAGAACCAAAGACCAGATCATCATTATATTCGATCCATTTGGTCCGCGGAAGCCTACACCAAGATTGAATTCAGATTCTCGATATCATCACACTAATGCTATAGAAAGTCGCTCTAATCCATTATCGTTGGACTTGCTATTGTCAAAAGAAGACAATCAAAGCACGATCATTGCAGCAAACGATGTACAGTTGGAAAGATTCAATTCAAGTGACACAACTCTTCTATTTTTGTACAAGTACAGACTGCAAGATCAGGGAAATGGATGCATTACAAAGAAGAACGCAAGGCAGTAAGACTGAATGCATACCCTAAATGTTCTTGAGAGATGGTATTGTCAGGCAGAGCTCGAATCACCGCTTGCCGCCGTAGAGTCCATGGAATCCTTTCTCTCTATCCTCGACCCTCTTTTTAGCAGCCTCCCTTGCTCTAAGCGCAGCTTTGTCTTCTTGAGATAAAACCTTCGGTTTTTTATCTTCTTCTCGCTTTCTCTTGTTGACAGTGACTGCTGAAGTTTTGCCTTTGACAGATCTCGTGGGGTTTAAGGATGCCGAAACAACTGGACCGGGTGGCGGGCCACTTGTGACTGGACTGGTTTTCGGTTTTGCAGAAATTGGCACCGAGACTGAAGGCTTCTGGTGTTTGCCGTTTGCTGAAGCCTTAACTGCAGCATACGCCTCCTGGTCTGTTACCCACTTGCCTGTGCCATAACTTCAAGTCAAACAAACATTTAAACACATACCCTGGAAAGTGAAATTTCACATTTTTACGACAAGTTTAATTTTCACCACATACCTATAGCATCAGAGTAATAGAAGCCGGAATTTGGATCGTAATGCAAACCGTTATCGTTATTGTAGTAGTAGCCTGAAGTACTGTCGAAGTCCCATTCTGCCATAAAGAGATGTGTCAGTTTGAAACAGCACAATGATAACATCCATGGCTGATCGACAGAGGATTATTTGAAACACGTAAGAAATATAATGCAGTTAGCCAGGGCGTATGTGCATGATTCATTCATAGATGAAAGAGTTGCTAGAAGAGTTCCAATTAAAGGACATAACTCACTTATTTCATGGTTTTAACAGGGTTCAAACATCTGTCTTGGTTTTATCTTCTTCTGCTGGGCCAACTTCCACAAGCATCAGGATTAATTGATCTTACACACGAACCATAACTATGTCAGGAATGCGATAGGGGTTGGAATCAATTGTCCGGATGGTAAGGAAAGGATTCTAGCAATTGAAGGCAACTTCTAATCTATGGAAATGACAAGATTCAATCACACTGCTTGTGAACAGTTCTGGAACTCATGGACTCCTACAATCATTAGGGGAATAAACTCCTAACAAAACTCACTTGCTTTTTTACTTGAAGGGTGCTAAGAGTTATATCTCAGGAACAACTAAAAATGCATAGTTAAAGAGTAACCAGTCTTAAGGACAAATATAGCTAAACAATGTTTAAACGAGCAGTCTAGGGGCAACACCAAAAGAAATGGATGAATGTCAGAAAGGAACAGAATCTGTGTACTTACTTTCCTTACTATCTCCTAGGATATCCAGTGCACGGGCATCACCAGCCTCCTTCAAGGTTTCCACATCCTTTTGATAGCTACGTTTAGCTTTCTGGTAATCAAAACAAAACAACGAGTAGTAAGCAGTATTGACAAACAAAATAAATCAACAAAGCATACATTAAAAGGAGTAAGAGACATGATATTAGCTTCATGTCCGGCATCGTCCCTAGTTGACTACTACCCAGAGAATCATTCCAAGAAAATCACATCTCATCACAGAAACCAGAAAGTGTTAAAAACAGGCAAAACATTGAGCTATAACAAGAGAAAGCAGGGAGTCGAAAAAGAATGATTAACTCAGTATCTCAACTCTGGCTCATGGCTAAAGTTGCTCCACACCAAGTTCAATGGACAATTCTGGTCTGCAGCCATCCTTAAACTCTGATATCTTTTGCTGTAAATATGGATCATAGACTAAACCCAAACACAAGTCAACATTTTTGCTCTAATTCTACCTCTCAATCCACCCAATTCCCCTCTGAAATAATGAACCACTTCAATTCATCCACTATTGCTTTGATGAGATAAAGAATTGGGGAAAAGAACCAACTTACAGCTTCAATTTGCTCGAGAGCGCGAGCCGCTTCATTGACAGCCTTCTCCTTGGCAACCTTCTCCTGCCGCATAGTAGTCAGCCGCTGCGCGACGCTGTCCTTGTGGCGCTGCCCCAGCTCGTGGTTCCTTATGCTGGAAGGGTTGTTGGAGAGGAAGATTTTGCAGAAATCGCACCATTTGTTCCCTTGGCTGACCCAGTACTGAAAGATTCAAAACCAAGTTCGTCAAAATCAAATTCGGCATTGGCAATCAACAGAAATTGAAGGGACGATGAGGAAAATATTTTACATACCTCCGTCATGGCTGGGTTGAGGAGGGGTTTCACCGGCGGCCGACGATTGAAATCTTGTTGGGGCGGAAGATAAAGCAAGCTACCAATCGTCCAACTTTCCGGGTAAAGAATGAATCTTTCTGATAAACCCTAGAAAAAGCTTCGCTCTCTCGATCTCCTTCTCTTGGTTTTCTTCGATTTTTCTCCGGCTCGGTATTTCGGAATTATGATGGATCGATTTCGGATCCGACCGCCGCTTTTCGATTTATTTCTCTCCTCCAAAGCAAGGCCGACTTATTAAACCCAAACTTTCTCCGGTGTCCGTTTTGGTCCCAGAACTTAGAGTCAATTACATAGATGTCCTCTGAATTTCAGATTCAGTTCGTCAAATCAACCAGTTTATACCGTCACGTTTGTCTAGCAAGTGATGTGGTCTGATCGCGATACACCCAGTTTGTATTCCGATTTATCCCATTATTGATATAACATATTAGAAAGTGAGAAATCATTAATACAAAATGAATTATACATTTATACAATCTATTTTAACTAACGCCACTTAACTATAGTTTTCAAGCAAATTTTTGTCCACTATCGGTAGGACCCGACTGTACCGATTAACATACCTGTAATTGAGGACCATGAAAAAAAGTGAGAAAACAAACGTGGCAGAGTGAGAGCGAGAAGTCGAGAACAATCACCTAAAATTCAAAACGTGAATTTATAGTTCTGAGTCATCTCCAAACCCTCTCCAGATCACTCAAATCCATCATTGAATCAACCGCAAATTCCGTACATTTTTCTAAGAGTGGTAAGAAAAAAAACATGATATATTTGTGGACTCATCAAAGAATAATTAACTTTTCACATAACAAAATTGAATAACCAATAATTGAAACGAGATTTAGAGTGAATATCTAATAAAAAAATGTTTTAAAATCCAAATGTAAAGAAATAAAATTGAGGGGCTAAAAGTATAATCTATTTAGTATTTACTGCAACTGGAAGAAAATGGTTTATTTGTAATCTTCTTCGTCGCTGCGAAACTCAGTCGATCGACTGTAAACTAAAACCAGTGGAGTCGATCTCTAGCTAATCCCCCGACTCCGATCGAACCCAACCGCCGGAATCCGACCATCTTCCCTATCTCCGATTTCAGTTCTCCATCCCAAAGCTTCCTCTTCTCCCCCAAAATCCCCAATCCCTAATCTCCTCACTCAAACCCCCAATTTACCCACTCTGCAAAACCCTAGAAAAAAAACCCACCCGCCATGGACGAATCCTTCCTCCTAATGCTCTCAAACCTCCTCCACCTCCACAACTCCTTAGACCCATCAACCTCCCTCCTCTCCTCCGCCTCCTCCACTCCATCTTCCTCCTCCGTCACCTCTTCCTCCCCTTCCTCCTCCCTCCTCACCACCTCCTCCGCCGCGCCGCTCCTCTTCTTCACCCTCGCCTCCCTCCTCTCCTTCCTCGCCTGCTCCAAACCCAACAACAAGAACCGCAAATCCGGCACCTCCCCGCGCCCCGCGCCGCCGGCGAACGGCGCCTACACCGTCGCGGTGTTCCAGTCCCTCAGCAACGACTGGACGTCGGCCCCACTCCGCGACGCGCAGTGGAGGGCTCTCTACGGGCTGTCCTACCCTGTCTTCACCAAAATCGTCGAGAAGCTGAACCCCCACATCGCGGCTTCCAACCTCTCCCTCCCTTCCGATTTTGCAGTCTCGATGGTGCTCTTCAGGCTCGCGCATGGCTACTCAGCCAAGTCGCTTGCTTCCCGGTACAATCTCGAACCGTACTTGATTTCGAAGATCACTAATATGGTTACTCGCTTGCTGGCGACTAAGCTTTACCCTGAGTATGTGAAGATCCCGGCTAGCAAACGTAGGTTGAATGAGGTTACTCTAGCTTTCGAAGAACTGACTTCACTGCCCAACATGTGTGGAGCTATTGATGGAACACCGATCAAGCTTCGTTCTTTCCCGACGAACGAATCGAATCTGTATCGGTGTGAGTACGGGTATCCTGCGCTCCAGCTGCAGGTTGTTTCGGATCACAAGAAGATGTTCTGGGATGTCTGTGTGAAGGCGCCGGGAGCTGTTGATGATGCAACTCATTTCAGGGATAGTTTGCTGTACAATCGGTTGGTTTCGGATGATATTGTGTGGGATAAGGTGATCAATGTTCGAGGTCACCATGTGAGGCCCTATGTAGTTGGAGATTGGTGTTACCCTTTGATGGCGTTCCTGATGACGCCCTTCTCGCCAAATGGGTCGGGGAGTCCTGCGCAGAACCTGTTCGATGGAATGCTGATGAAAGGGAGGTCTGTGGTGGTTGACGCGATCGGGCTGTTGAAGAGCAGGTGGAGGATCTTGCAGGATTTGGATGTGGGTCTGAGCCATGCCCCGCAGACGATTGTTGCGTGCTGTGTGTTGCATAATGTGTGCCAGCAGATGAGGGAGCCGGAGCCTGATGTTTGGAGGGAGCCAGATGAGACTGCTGCTCCTGCGAGGGTGCTCGAGAGCGAGAAATCGTTTCATTATTTCGGCGATAGCTTGCGGCAGGCTCTTGCTGATGATTTGCACCACAGGCTTTCTTCAAGGTAGGAGTGCATCAAGCCCCGATCTCCGATGTGAGCTTCAAGGTAATGTAGTAGCTATAACTTTGTTCAGATGATCGCGGTTCACTTATCGTCCTCTATTTTGGCGAGCTAAATGTAGATCTCTAACTTGGGGTGAAGATATTTGGCAGGAAATCTGTAACAAAAGATGCTTGGTAGCACAAGCACACCCAACTTTGTAATGTTGTTTAGGGTTTTATTGTTGTTTGAACCTTCAATTTTTTTTGTTTTTGTTTTTTTTTTAATCTTCGACGACTGCTTGGAGAGTATTAGTTTCGTTTGTGTGTGAGAATGTGATTGATTAGTGTACTTGGGACAATTCGACTGTAGACTCAGCCCTACTGGCAAGCAATTGTTTATCAAATTACAACTACATAACTGCAGGAAATGGGAGTATTGTGTTCTTGAACCTCTTACATAGCGCACTACAAAGGCGCAGCATAAAGCACAAATGGCTGTCGAAAAGCTAGCGATCTAGATATCTGTTCCTATTTCTTTCTTCCTATTTGCCCTATAGCATGAACAATCTACAATGCCAATGCATAAAGCCCTTCTTGGGTTCATTGGCAAACCACTATGGGTCTAGTTTCGACCACAACGCGGTGCTCACTTTGAACACTTGGGAGCTTCAGGACTTCCCTGTATTTTCTAAAACTGCTGGTAACATAACGGTCAAGCAGTCATAAATTTCCACTCACCAGGACTTCTCCTGAGGGACAGGCATCGCAACTAATGCTTAACAGCCATGACCATTCAAACCTCGTACCGGGTTGATGTAGCAAAAATGAGTAATCATGGTTGTTGCTGAGTTATACCTACTCATCAATGCAATAGAAGGCCCTGTATTCTTAGGATAAAGCTTGACAGGTAGAAGAATTGTCGTCGGATTGACATATACCCGATCACCGACCAGAGGCCCCACTATTTGGAAGAAGACCATCCTTCGCCATCTTGTCAAGCAAACTGAAAACGACATCCATATTCCCTTCATTGTTGTTGATTTGCACAAGTACTTTAGAAGCCTCTGCATCATTAAGCTTGCAGCTCCTCAATATGTGGCCGACGACTAGGTTTAACTGCTCATTCATCCCTTCACTGGAGAGGGCCTTAACCAGACTAATGATGGTCATGGTATGAGGAATGTAATCCAACTGAATCATTTCTGTATATAGTTTATACGCCTTCTTTACATTCCCCCATCTACAATGACCATGTATTATGACGTTAAACACAGCCTCATCTGGCTTGTGGTTTCTTCCAATCATTGATTCAAAAACTCGATCTGCTTCTCCCATCAAGCCCTTTATACAAAACCCCTTTATAAGAGCTGCCACACTCCTGAATTCCATGTTGCTGCAGTTCTCTATGAGAACATCATACATGACATCATCCGGAATGGCTTTATCGTAGCAAAGCTTGAGCAATAGCCTCTTCGCTTCCCTAGTTCGAGCCTGTTTATTTAGTCCGTTAATAAGTACACTATAGGTAACAGCATCAGGCAGAAAACCCTTTCGTGTCATTTCATCATGCAATTCAAGGGCCTTGTTCAACTCTCCTTCTTTACAGAAGGCATCAATCAAGGTTGTATAAGTAACCTGATCAGGAGGTACTCTCATAATCAGCATTTCTTGAAACATATCACATGCCTCGATCAACTTTCTTTGTTCACAAAGACCCTGAATGATTGCTGAGTATGTTATGGCATCTAGAGCAACACCTTTCTGAACCATTTCCATCTTCATATGAAATGCCTTGTCCAACTCTTGAGCTCTGCAAAATCCAGTTATGATAGTACTGTAACTGACTACATCTGGCTCAAAACCTTTCCTTTCCATTTCATGAAACACCATCTTGGCATCCTCCATCTGCCCCAAAACACAATATCCATTTATCAAGGCATTGAACGTCACAATGGAAGGAGAGAACCCATTAGCTTTCATTTCATCCAACAGTTGATGAGCCTCATTCATGTACCCCTGTTGTGAGAACCCATTTACCATTGTTGTGTAGGTCCTCTCGTTGGGAGAAAGTCCTCTAACACGCATCTGATCAAAGAAATCTTTTGCTCGGTTCAGATTCCCAGATTGACACATACTGTTGATCAAAGACGTGTAGGTAATAACATTAGGCGACAACCCATTCCCCATCATCTCCCCATGGAGCATAAGAGCTTGGTGAAAATTACCTTCCTTGCAGTGACCATTCACCAATGTGTTATAAGTAACCTCATCAGCCACAAAGCCCTTCTCTTTCATCTCAAAAAGTACCTCTTCAGTCTCCTTCATCCTTCCCTCTCTACACAAACCATTCACGACCATGTTATAAGTAAACAGATTAGGCTCCAATCCCTTCGAAGCCATCGATCTCATCAATCCAAACGCTTGATCCATTCTCTTCAACTTACAATAAGTATCGATCACCGTATTATACGTAACCACATTAGGCAAGCAGCCATACTTCTCCATCTCCTCAAAAAGTCTCAACCCCATTTCCAAATTCCCCGCCCTGCAAAACCCCCTAATCAAGATATTATAACTATACACATTCAAAGACACCCTGCTAGCTACCATTTCCCTATAAACCTCCTCAACCAACCTAAACGGCTTCCTAGACCTAATCAAGGAATCCAAAATCGCATTGTAAGACAGAACACCCGGCATAAACCCATTCTCCTTGGCTAAATTCACAATGTTGAGAGCCTGATCGATCAAATTCAAATGGGAGTAGGACTTCACCACCAGGTCGATCACCGCCGAGCTGGAATTGCAGATGAAGTAGGTGTCCTTGAGGCACTGGAACACGAATCCGCCGCCGGAGTCGTCCGCGGTGGTAGTGACGGCGATGTCCTGCGCCAGGGTCTGGGCGGTTTTGTAGAGCTTGAACCTGGTGAGGATGTGGACGGCCAGGCACTTGCAGCGGAGGTTGAAGAACTGGTGAGGCCGCGCCCAGTCGAGGAATTTTAGGGTTAGGGATTGGTCGTCCTGAGATTTGAGGAGTAGATGGGAAGCTGCTTCGGGCGTGAATTCGGGAGCGAGGGAGTTCAGGTGGTACGGGTGGCGTTTGAGGAGGAGCAGAGCTCTTTCCGCCAGAAGAGCGGCGGTCGGCGGCGCGAGGGACGAGAAAGAACGGTGCATTTGGGAGCTCCGGTGGGGCATTTTCGGGCAAAACTGGCGGATGGATACTGCGGCGATGGACTGGCCCTAAATGTGACGGAGGAAGACAATTTAGTCGATTCGGTTATAATCGTAACCATTATCTCGGTTATAATTTAATCCTTAATCAATTTGTGCTCGATTAATTTGTACTTAAAATACCTAGTGTAATTTAAGTTTGAGAATTATGATAGACATACCACTTAAACTTGAATAGGGCGTCGGGTATCACTAAACTCTATTATATGTGCACCCGGTACCACTTACATTTTCTGTTTATTATTCTTCTTGATATTTGTTTACTATTTTTACTAATTTATCTATTTTATTGAAAAAATTTGATTAGTCATTCTAGTAATAATATGTTTAGAAGGTTTTCCAATTATTATATAGTTGCGTAATCAGTGCACTCACTATTTTAGGTGCACTGAATGCACCGGTCTCATAATCGTTATTCTAAGGAAACGGTAATTGTCACGTATGATATGATGGACAAGAAAATACAATAATTTGTACAAAAATCATTCAAAATTTACTTTAATTTCAATAATTTAGGGTTTAGGTTTACAATTTGAGGTTTTAGGTTGGATTCAAAATTGAATGTCAAGATGTTAGGGCAATGGATTGATTAGTTTATATATTACATCATCGTATTACACTAATTCTACCAATTAAAGTTCAGATTTTGATGTACTATGACCATTTTTAGAGTTGGGTGCACTGAAGTAGCCACCTTATTATATTAGATAAAACTTGTTGAAATATAGTTTTGGATATTTTTAAAAGTTTTGGGCATCAAAAGTAATTAAAAGTTTGGGTTTGATGGAAAAGTAGACAGATGCACATTTTGACAACTTTAATGATACCCGACGCACTATTCAAACTTAAGTGGTATGTCTACCCCAATTCTCAAAATTAAGTGGCATCCGAGGTATCTTACCCTACTTACAGGCTTATAGCTCACCGAATTGTTTATGTCAGTCGGTTAATTGATAATTGGATAATCGGTTACTGGTTTATTGTTTTGTTAAAATTGACAAGTGATTCAATATGATGAGTCTGAAAATAAATGACTGATTATATGTTATTTTTTTAAAATTCGCACGGATTGGAACCTTTCACTCTACCACCACCACCACCACCACCGTCTCTTGGTGCACAAAAGAAGAGGATGAGCTCGACTTTTGCTCTACACCCTTAAACTTTTCAGAAACGGACGTAAAATTCGTTCATGGTTTCAAACTCAAGCTAATAGAGGACAACGAAAACGAGGACAAATTACCGTGTCAAAGAGTCGTCGTTGTTGTATACGAAGGTGCAGAAAAAACCATGACAAAGCATGCAGTAATATATGCTCTTAGCGAGACGGTGAGTGCACGAGGAAGAATCGGCATGTTCGTTTGCTTCCACAGCGTATCTGTAGTACGAGTAGTATTGTGTTATACCACGAGTACTAGTATGTAATTGGGTAGAGTTATATTCCTTATTAGTGTCGTAGAAGTTAGGTTATTTTCGTATTAAGGTGTTAGGGTTATTATAGAAGTCAGTCTCTGTACTATAGAATAAGGATTCTAATAAGGAATATAACTCTACCCAGTTACATACTAGTACTCGTAGTATAACACAACACTACTCGTATTACACATACTCTAATAAACCGTTCCCTAGCAGATCCGGTGAGTAACCCCATGCATAACCCAATAAGAATCTGCCATATCAGCGCCTCCTTCTCTCTCCTGGAAAAATCATTAATTTTCTTTTCCTTAATCTTTAACGGACGATTTCTCACTCGTTTTAACTCGGAATTTGATTTTTTTGCACAATTAGATCAGATTAATTGTGCTCTTCAAAATGATATCCACTTTGATATTTTTTAGAACAAAAAAATTTGCCAGTTATTACCAGTCAATACCATATGGTATAGTCAATACCATATGGTATATGGTATTGACTGGTATTAAATAACAGCATACCATATGGTATGAAAAATACCACCTCATACCAGGGTGGTATAGTATGGTATGGAGTTGGTAACGATTCAAAATGATATCCACTTTGATATTTTTTGGAACAAAATTTTTTTGCCAGTATGCTATGGAGTTGGTAACGAGAGATATGGAATTTTTTCCCCCAGAAAATTTTGAAATCCAATAGATCATGATTAAATCGTTCCTTTTGTGCAAAAATTTCCGAAAATGACTAAACAACGAAGGAGATATTATATGGTATGGAGTTGGTAACGAGAGGGATGAAAAAAAAATTCTCAAAATTTTTTGAAAACGGATATCACTTTGTAGAACACAACGAACTCGTTCTATCTGTGCAAAAAAATTTGAAATCCGAGTTAGAATGAAGAAGATATGATCCAATTAAGAAAACTAGGGAAAATAAATTCTTTTAATTCTCCACCCTTAGATCTACAGCCACTTAAAAAGGGTCCAGATTTGATTACTCATTGTTACTCACCCTAAATTACTCACATAGTTTACTAGTATTCAATGTGAACTTGACGACTTGCAGAGAGCAGCAAATTAAGGAAACTATCAGCTAACCAACCCATATTAGCTGAATCAATTTTATATAGATGTGGACTCAGGTAGCCAGCATGTTTTGGAACAGAACCCGCGGAGAGAAGGCTCAAGTTTTGGAACAATCCAAAATCGTACTTTGCTGATACGTAAAAGATGTTCGTTTCTTCACTAGGCAAATCAAACATCAGGATTGTAAAATAGGATGTGATACCAGATTCAATCTTGGATCTTCCTAATCACTTAAGAGTTATTGCAAACAACTTGTTCTTGGCATGATCAAAGAAGCTTTTCTGCAACTGCATACATCCTGTGCTTGGAAACATGGTAATTGATAACAGCAGCTAAATTATAAAATGGATGCGTTTAGAGGCCTGCTCAAGAATTGAGAACAGCAGAGCCTGAATTAGCTAGTTGGGTACATGAGCAAAAAAATGGGATATACGAATACTAGTAGTAGTACCATATGGATGTGGGTTGTATGATGACGATGATGATCAGCTTTGCTCCTGTTGTTAGTTGTTTGCGTTAATGATCTCGTCCCAGACTAAATTGCATGGCGCTCAACAATGGTCTTCCATATCATCATCTACCCCAAACTCAGTACCAGCATGTAATCCTCACCATGCCAGTTTTCTTTTTCGTCAAGCTTCTCTTTCTGTTAGGGGAAGAGCTCATCGATATCTTCCAACTACAATTTTGCTGGAAGAAGCTGCTGCATAGTGATGAGATGATCTCCGGCAATACAAAATCAATGCACGCCCAGGCGGCCATGGTGGTGGTCGCCCAGCTGGTTCATCAATTCCCAGCACAAATCCTCCTCTTATGATATGGAAATAAACCAAGCTAGCTTCTTTTTTTTTTTTTTTTTTGGGTAGAAAGCTAGCTTCTTTCTGACCAGCCTGGACAAAGATTATGCAAATGGTAACACTTGAGTTTAGAAACCTAACCAGATCCCACCATGATGTGATACAACAGTGACAGGGGAGTAATTAAATGAACTTGGTACGAGTAACAGAAGCAAGCTTTAAACTTGTTGGTTCGATGCATGGTGAAAACAAGGCACTTCAAAGAAAGTCCTCACGGAACTTACCATTCGAATGTGTAGCCAGGAAGAAGAGGTGTTTTCATGACGCCTTCATCATGGCTCGGCTAGACATGCCATGCAACAGCTTGATGAACCCGTGGAAGCTAAGTTTACCATCGCCATGTCTTATCCAATCGTTTAGAACTGCATGAACTGGGATGGATGGTCCAAGGCCAAGCTCCTGAACCCAACCCATTATCATTTAGTGAGCACAGTTTACTTAGCTAGGCAAATCAAAGATCTCATTCATCATCAAAAAAGGCTGAGTACGAGCTACAACATACTGAGGCAAGTTCCTGAATAACAATAGCCCTGTTTCCATCTTGGTCAAATATTTCATATGCAGATCGAGCATGCTGTTCCCATCTATCAAGTGCCTCCAATTGGTGAACACTTAATGCGGCTGCACAAAACTCTTCAAACTCCATCTTTCTGTGTTGAAGTGTATTTAGCTGTCATGAAGAGCAAACGGTTCGAGCAATCAGCATATTAATATTAAGTCGATATCTTATGCTATAAAGATTTAAACAGTTGTGTCTTTGTAACAAACAAGGGAGATCAACTACCGAGGCTAGGATATCAGGCATGCGAGAATCTTTCATTGCATCAGTTGCATTTTTCATCAATGCCTGCCACATAAGAAAGTGAAATCGAGGCTACACCTGTTACTAAAACGCTATGACCATGTCATCTCCAAGTGAGGTGCAAAGGAAGAAGATTATATTCACCATCCTAATGTTCTCCAATGTTATGCTGCCATTTTTGTTTGGCTGAAATATTGTGAATTGCTCCTTCAGATAAAAGACTTCATCTGCAGTCAATGTCTTGGCCAATGCCTGCAAAATCGTGTCAAAGCAAGAACATAGGAGGTTGATCAAAGGACAAACAAGCATAACTGGAAAATCCATCCTCATATATACTTCAGCTATCCTCCAGCGGATTTATTCAGTCTTTTGATGTAAGTTTTTCACTTGCTAGGACTAGGAAGGTGCATGTGCAGGACCATATGTATACACACCCTTAAAGCAGCCTTACGCAAAGAAGATGATCGAACATAAGCCCTCATTAGTTTCAGTACTGAGATATCAAGGAGTAATTTCACATCATTATAATTTCTGAGCCAAGGATGACCTGCAGGGTGGAAAAAGAAGATCACGAATGTGATTCACAATAAGCACCATGGTGACTGGAAACCCAAACAAAATGAGGGAGGAAAGGAGACATACTTAATGCTTGGGTGGCAGTCATTCTCCTCCTAGGATCTTTGTTCAATAGGCGCTTGACGAAGTCTTTTGCTTCCGGAGATATGGAGGCCCAAGATGCTTCATCAAAATTTGGGTCAGCTTTCAGGACCGATCGAAATATTCCAGACTCCGTTCGGGCCCAAAATGGACGACTTCCACACAGTAGAATATAAGCTATTACACCTATACTCCATACATCAGCCTCAGTGCTATAAGACCTATGTAGAACCTCTGGTGCAACATAGTAGGCACTTCCTACAATGTCATTGAGCCTTTCATCTGAATAAACGAAAACAGCTCATGAAGGTGAAGTAAGAAAAGGTAAAATTTGATAGGACGGCTTCTCAATAGGTATTAGAGCAAAACAAGGCGAACCTGGTCTGACATAATCTGATAAGCCAAAATCGATCACTTTCAGCTCAGATGTCTCTTCCTTTGAAGTATACAGGAAGTTCTGTAGACGAATCATATAGATAACGGTTAGGTTGGCATGAGAAACCCCTCATTACTATAAAGATTCATTTCTCTCTTTTTCTACTATCCTAAAGTGTCCTGCATGTATTATAACTGTTTTTGAACAGAAAAAAAAAACAAGAAATAGAATCGTGTTTCACCTCTGGTTTAAGATCACGGTGCACCACACCTTGTAGATGACAGAAAGATACAACATTCAATATCTGCACCATTACTGCCTTGGCATCATCTTCTGGGTATTTTCCCCCTCTGTACAACAACAAGTATGGTGCCTGAGCTCCCCGGTAGAGAAAGGAAGACTAAACCTAAAATAGCTAAGCTAACAAAGATTCATCCTTAAATATAAACTGTAACTAGAACAAGGGAGAGAAATAAAACCTTGCAAGTATTCTATCCAAGAGCTCACCTCCTACGCACAACCTGGAATGTTCATAGCAACTTATCAGCTTCCCCAGAAGGTCACAGGATTTTACAAAGGTGATAATCAAGCAATTCAAAATCCTGAACTGAACGAGAATGATTCAGGGGGAGCAACTAAGGACCTAAAACACACACACAAAAGTACGGACATTTACAGAAATTAATCGGATTTTTCCATGCTTACTCCATTACTATGTAGACATTATCAGAGTCTTCAAACGCATCATAGAACTGTACTAAGTTGCTATGTCCTGCCAAGGCCTTCAATATTTTCACCTCCCTCCTCACATCTTCAACTGCAATAGATGTAGTCATCTGGCAACGTAACGAAATGAGTAAATAGGGTCACAGCGATTTATTATGAGATGCTGCGACGAAGAAATGGATTTCATTATGACTCATTCACGTCAAATGTTTATACCAATCGCCATTAATAAGCAACAGTTAAGTACTACACCTACTACAAGACACTGTTCATTCTTTATTGTCACTGTGACAACGAACAAACCCAAATTCCAGTTCTCAATTTACAGCCAGAAGTCTACAGCTTCTGCTCAGATAACAACAAAACGCTGCAGAAACCTCAGAAATAGAGCAGAAAAACAACAAAAACCAAACGACAAAATGACACAATGCACTAGAGAATCCACAACTGCGGAAACCAAACGGCAAGCCATAATTTGCACAACGCTGAATAAACAAACAATTTCGCCAAAGAAAAAGAGAACCTTGGATTTGGGAATGACTTTCACGGCGACCTGCTGCCCTTTCCGATCACCCTTCCTGATCTTAGCCGAACAAGTATACCCAAAATGCCCCCGCCCTACTTCTTCCCCAACCTCCAACCTACTCGCGAGCTCTTTCGAGAACCCAAATCGCTTGTCCAGCTCCGCCCCTTCCACCTCATCCTCCTCGTTACCTTCCCCTCCGCCGCCGCCGTCTGCCTTGACCTTCTTCTTGTCCTTCCGCCGCCGGAGAACGGCGCGGATGTGCTTGGCCGGGGAAGGCGGCGGGAAGGGCATCTTCTTGAAGATCCGCATCGGCGTCGGCGTCGATACGGGGCGGGAAGGGCTGGGTGTGTGGGACGGGAAGAAGGGAGACGCATTCGGAAGCGGAGATGGAGCTGATGGAGCTGACGGAGCTTGGAATTGGTCATCTGGAGATTGGAATTGGCGGTCGTTCTTGGGTGCGTAAGGGTTAGACTTGGGAGGCTTTGAAGTGCAGCCACCCATTGCGGCAATGGAGTTTGGAACGGCGGCGCGATGGGAGGTCCGATTAGCTTTGGTGAAGGAATGAGGAAGCAGCGGCGGTGATTGAGGAAGTGGGAACGGCGTAGGCGAAGATGGCGTCGGAAGAGGGTGAGTAGAGTGGAGGATTTGGTGGAGAAAGGAAAGGGGAAATGGGAGCAGCAGGGAAAGAGACGGAGTGAAAGTTTTCACTACTGGACACTGGTGTCCACGTGGCATCCATAAGTTTAGGCTACCAAAAAAATAATCAAGAAATGGACTATTTCTGAAATCGAAATTTTTTTTAGTGGATATGGGTATTAATTTTCTCAATTATCATATTTATTATCGTAATTCCTCCTTCGTACTTCCTCCTTTATGTCAAGTCAGTATATGTGTGAATGTTAATAATTTTTATTTATTTATAAAGAATGTTAATTATTTGGTTAGAGTAATATAGAGGAATTATTTTTCATAGATAGTTGTGTATAAGCGAAACCAGATCATGTACGAGCATGGTTCTAATTTTCTATCTGATTCTTGTATGTGTGTTTATAGATAAAAGGTCGTGAAAGGCTCGGGTCCAGGTCAGGTATATTGTCCTAGGGCGCGGGCTAGATCAACACAGAGGGGTTATGTATTGTTAGCGGGGAAAAACATTTGATACGTTTCTCTTTTTTTTTTTTTCATTAAAATTTTGACAGTACTATATAACATAAGTGTCGCGTTAAAAAAATAAACATTCAAGAAACCGAGAGTCTCATCTATTATAATTTTAGTATAGCTGAAAATTCGATGTAATGAAAGTGAAATTTTAAGTAATTCCTTTAAAATTATAGACAATTTACATAATAAACGGATCGAGAATGGAGCTGAGACTGTTTTGAATTTGGCTAATAGATATGGAGAATAGCCCTATAGGCCCTGATCGATCGGTTTCCATAGGAAAGAAGGGACAGACACGTAGCTCGAGGCCCGATTCCAAGGCCCAATTAATTTATAACTCTCATGGTTCATGAACCATCTCCTTGACAGACAGACAGACAGACAATCAATAATAATCAGTCAATTCGTGGAATCTAATTAAGAGGTGCGGGAATTTTATAATTAGGATATAACAGTGGATTAGGTCAGAATTGTGAGATACAGAGAGATACGTATCTTCATTAATCAAATCCATTTGCCTTGATAATTGCTCTATAATAAGCAACCAAATCACATGGATTAAGCGTCAAAACCCATTCCCCACCTCACATGGCGGATGGATTCTCTCTCTCCAGATTTCTCGCTCAACACAAGACACCAAAGGATTCATTCTTCCCACCTGACTTTCCTTCGAGCTTCTTATTTGTGTGTTACCACTGCCTCCTGCAAGCTGGCCTCAATAAGGGATATGCCATGAAACAGGAAACACAGCCTTCCAAACATCCTGCGCATAACCACACTGGAAGAAAAATATGACCACTCGATTCATCGAAAAAAATCCTAAAATACACATAATTTAAAAAAAAAAAAAATTTCCAAAATACACACGTTATAAAAAAATTCCCCAAAATACACATGTTTGGGCATCACCGCTGTGTCAACCGCAGTGATTGCATTCACCGCGGCAGACCAAAGCGGTGAATGCATCACCGCGGTTGACGGCCGCGGTGAATGCCTGACGTAACACTGAAACTTCAAACAAACGTAACTTTGCGCTCGGTTATCCGATTGTAGCAAATTTCTTTTTGATTCCACATAACTTTTCAAGATCTTTCAATCTTCAACAAGCCTTCATCCCAAAAAAAATTCGTTTGCTACCCCGAACGAGCAATTTTTCGGTTTTGACAAACTTTGGGAGACCATAACTTTGTGCTCCACAATCCGAATGTCATGAAACTTTTTTTGATTTCGCATAACTTTTGAATTACTACAACTTTTATTATAACCATAATTTTGGAAAGTATGTGGATTTGTGAAAAGTAAAGGCAAAGTTATTGCCAAAATCCCGTATACCCAAAAAAATTTCTTTCTTTAAAAATTCTTTCCTAGTAAAAGTTGTAGTTCTTAAAAATTTATACGCAATCAAAAAAAACTTTATGACATTCGGATTGAGGAGCTAAAAGTTATGGTCTTCCAAAGTTTGGCAAAATCGAAAAATTGCTCGTACAAACGACATTTTTTTGAGATTAAGTCTTTCTTCAGATTGAAAGATCTTGAAAAGTTATATGAAATAAAAAAAAATTCGCTACAATCGGATAACCGAGTGCAAAGTTACGTTTGTTTGAAGTTTCAGTGTTACGTCAGACATTCATCGCTTTGGTCTGCCGCGGTGAATGCAATCACTGCGGTTGACAACAGCGGTGATTCCCAAACATGTGTATTTTGGGAAATTTTTTTTATAACGTGTGTATTTTGGGAATTTTTTTTAAAAAATAGATGTATTATGGGATTTCATCCCGATTCATCTTCCCGCCTAAATAAAGGACATGTTACATTCCACCTCTGCATTCCATCGTTGAATTTTATCCAGTGTTGTGATTCTCCCCAATGATATAAGCCATACTAGCAACGAGTTCTTGGGTATACCTCTATTCCAGATCAACTTTGCCCATGCCACTGTCTCTCCTCTTGGTCTAATGCTCTGCCACACCTTACTGGTTTGAAATCTAGCTATTCCTACTCCCTCCCATTCCACACCCCGAGCTGTTCTGCACAGTTTACCTGCAAATAGATTCCGAAGCTTTAGGATTTTGTCCCAAACCCAAGAGCCTCTCGTCTATACTTCCCAGATGCTAAGGTTTCGAAGTCTGTATCTTTTTCGTAAGATGATGGTCGCCTAATTCATATACGAAGTAAACTTCCTGCATTCATAAAAAAAAAAAAAATCATTTGATGCATGAATCTAACAATCATATGCTATCTTTTTTTTAGATGAAAAACCGGGAAAAGGGGGTACCTTGATCCATATTATTATTTATAACCGTTATAACCTTATGAAATGACAAATTATACAATCCAGCCAGTGGCGAACTCAGAATTGTTGGAGAGGTGTGTCGCCGACAAAATAAGATAATAATTAAAAATTAAATAGAAATTACTAGAAAATAATTCATAAAGTTCACAATGTCATGTTTACATATGAACCACGACAAATTTTCATGTCCTGAATTGTCTATAAAATACATTCAACGCTTATGTTGCGAAGCAAATCGTTTTCGATATACACAACTAAACAATCATTCATAAATTGGTCATTCGATCGATTTCGAAGTTCATTATTGATTATCTTCATAGATGAAAATGCTCTTTTGTAGCTTGCAATCGCAATAAGTAAAGTCACAAGTAAAACTGGAAAAAATCCAAAAGTACCATTGTTTAAAAAAAAATTCAAAAAATACCACCCAACCCCAAAAAATTCCAAAAATACACCCTTTTTCAAAAACCGCCACCCCACCCTGCGGTTTACACGAAAACCGTTTGTCGGGGGCGCGATTTTCTATGCAAACCGCGGGCCTAGGGGGCGGTTATAAAAAATTTTTTGGACCAAACTGCTGGGTGGGGTGGCGGTTTGACCCAAAACCGCCACCCCACCCAGCGGTTTCGTCCAAATTTTTTTTTTCCGATCAACTCATAACTTCGGCCGAAACTTCAAACGAACGTAACTTTACACTCGGCTATCCGATCGTAGTGATTGTTTTTTTCATTTCGCATAATTTTCAAGATCTACAACTTTTACTAGGATGAAATTTTCAAAACAAGAACTTTGTGGATATACGGGACCTTGGGAATAATTTTACCTTTACTTTTCACAAATCCATGTACATTTTGAAATTATGATTATATTAAAAGTTGTAGATCTTGAAAAGTTATGTGGAATAAAAAAAAAATTCATGACATTCGGATTTTGGAGCACAAAGTTATGGCCGCCCAAAGTTTGACGAAATAAAAAAAAGGCTCGTTTGGGGTGGCAAATGACGTTTTTTCGAGACGAAGGCGGGACCAGGCGGTTTGCGGCTTGCAAGATCTCAACAAGTTATTCGGATTCAAAAAATGGAGGCCGCAAACTTTTTGAGATCTTGCAAGCCGCATACCGCCGAGTCTCGCATTTCGTCAAACTTTGGGCGGCCATAACTTTGTGCTCCAAAATCCGAATGTTATGTTTTTTTTTATTCCGCATAAAATTTCAAAATCTACAACTTTTAATATAATCATAATTTCAAAATGTACATGGATTTGTGAAAAGTAAAGGTAAAGTTATTCTCAAGGTCCCGTATATCCACAAATAGTTCCTGTTTTAAAAATTTTATCCTAGTAAAAGTTGTAGATCTTGAAAAGTTATGCGAAATGAAAAAAATTCGCTACGATCGGATACCCGAGTGCAAAGTTACGTTCGTTTGAAGTTTCGGCCGAAGTTAGAAGTTGATCGAAAAAAGAAAAAAAAATTTGGACCAAACCGCCACCCCACTCAGCGGTTTGGTCCAATTTTTTTTATAACCGCCCCCTAGGCTCGCGGTTTGCATAGAAAACCGCACCCCCAACAAGCGGTTTTCGTGTAAACCGCAGGGTGGGGTGGCGGTTTTTGAAAAAGGTGGTATTTTTGGAATTTTTTGGGATTGGGTGGTATTTTTGGAATTTTTTTTTAAACAGTGGTATTCCTGGAAAAAGTCCAGTAAAACTAAAGGATAAAAGAAAATGGGATTTGTGAGTGGGTCTTGGTAATTAGAAACTATAAAGGGGTAAGAGTGAGTTTTTTTATTTCATTTTTTATTTTCAATAAAGAAAGGGTGAAGGGGTGGAAACAGTGAGTTTCAAAGAATTGGGTTATGTTTATTTTTATTTATTGTTAGATTGTGGTGAGTTACTTTAAAACGAGTATACTTATTTGATTTTACTTATTATTGTTCATTACTCATTAAGATAAATAACTTTATAACAAGAAAATCATTCTCGAAGATGTGTCGCTTACAATTATTTGAGGTGTGTCGGAAGTTCCGAAATAAAAAAAAAAATTGTAGCAAACAAAAAGTCTCCAACTATGGAGCTTCCTATTGGGATCAATTGCCTAAATGAAAATGCCATGACCATTAACTAAGTAGGGACTGTAGGAGAGGAGACAAGCTGAAAGTTCTTCAGCTCGGGAACACCATTTATCTCCCGGATTTGCACATCACGGTGCTACATCTAGCAACAACTATATTTACATGTCTGCAATCGGGCCAACGACCACCAAGGCCATACTTACTAACTTAAACTTTGCATATAGAAACTCCAAATTACATATAGAAGCTACAGAGGCCAGATTCCACATCTTGACATAGTTTAGTTTGACGTCAAAAGCCAATTCAAGCCTGCCTTTCCTTCCTCCTCTTCACCTGCAGGCCGAGAGAGCAGAGCTTTTCATAAATCATCATCGACCAAGCAGCAGTTCAGGTGTCTTCCGGTTTACACGAAGAATATCTAACACTGCATCCATCATCATCAACGAGAGAGAAGAAGGGGTTAGCAAAACGGCCACACAAACACACAGGCACATACCTGCAGTATCATCATCATCATCATTATCATTTGATTTGTTCAAGTACACGACTACAAGGGTGCAGCAGTGCTTGCGAACACAACAAAAACTCTCTACTGATTCAAAGAAAAAGAATGCAAACTACTTACCCCTCTTGAAGGGAGTTGGTACTTGGCCGCCCCGTTGAACCCAACATTTGTAGCTTCCAGCATACATGCCTTGCAATTCCTTGTACCTTGGAATCGGAGTAGGCCAGCAAGATACCGCGGGCTGGAAGATCCTCAATGTGGACATAGGCTGATAAAAGTGCGCCAGCTCTCCGCTGCTCAAGTCGCAAGTCACGATTTCATCATCTCCCATCTCCCCACCATAGCGAGGGTAATACAATAAGACAATTCCTGGGTTCGCTGGATGCAGACCAATTACTGAACAGCGCTCGAGCTGAAAGTCATTGTCACGCCATGAAACGAAGGCCTTCACCGACACCAGGTAATGGCTCCAACATTCACGACGGTCTTCTTCTTTTTCCAGCCTCCAGACGCGTGCACGCACACAATCGGCCTTGGCGTCGAGCTCGAATATGTGGAAAGCGCCCTGTGAGACCGAGATGTTCCACCGTCTCGGCAGGAGCTGAGAAACGTCGGTGCAGGTGGGAGGAACATCAGGACGGAAAGGGTTGAATCGAACGAGCTGAGGTGCAGCCCCTGCTTCGGCTCTGCGGCACCCCCAAACCAACTCCCCATTCCACGAGATCAAATGCGGATCCCTCAGTCTCAGAAACCCATCAAGGACAAGAGCCCTGCTCGTCCATTCTCTGGACTCGGAGCAGAACACGTCCAGATAGATCGACTGGCGCAACAGATACATACACACCACCCGAAACCTGTACTCTGAATAAACAACTAGATCGAGATCGATAGACTGCCGGGGTTCACAAACCAGCCTCGCCTCCATCTGAAAGTACCCCTCTGGTCTTGTCGGAGCGAGAGGCAGAGCGACCCAGAGCTTCGTAAACGGATTGCAGATGAAGAAGGTTCTGCCGAATTCGCCATTGGGTCCGTCTGCTTCGTCGAACCCGCACAAAACCAGGTCCTCGAAGGAATCGCAGACGCAGAAATCGGTCTCGACTCCTCGAGGCACGGGGAGGAAGGTCAGGAGGATGGAGAGGGAGTAGTCGAACGAGGGGAGAAGCAGAGGTGGTTCGCTGTTCCTGCTCATGTGGCGCGGAACAAAAAGGCGATTGAAGTCGGGGCTGAAGATCAGTGAGCTCCACCGCTTGCACACACATCTGCACCGGGAGGCGGATCTGGGGTCAGGGAGGCGAATCAGGATTTGTACGAGGACATCGTCCCCGAGTTTGCTGATTGGATCTGGACTGTTTCCTTCTTGGGCTTGGCTGATCCTTCGTCTTTTGGAGGAGGCGCAAGGAACAAGGCGTGCGCATAGCGGCGGCGGATCCCAATCGGAGGTGCAGTTCTCGGTGGGCATGGTGGCAGACCAACAAATCGATGGAAGATGAAAACGCCGCACAAGGAGAAGGGATGCCACAAAGCCAAGAGATCGAAATACTCGTTTTATGTTTTTCCTTGTGCGTGCGTGCGAGCAACAATTCCTAATCCTATATTTAACAGAATTCCTAAATCCTAATCCTTTGCGGCTTTTTATCTAAAATACTGTATTGTTGTCTAAAAAAATTAGGATGAATACAATTTTATAGCAAAATCTTTGATTTTAAACTAAATAATAGTTAAATTTTTTCAAAAATCAAATGATAGTCAAACCGTCAATTTTTCGTTCGGTCGGCAGTTAGTTGACTCTCACGTGACAAACTCTTTGCTGAGATGAAATGAATTTAATTATGTGGCAAAAAAATCAAACATGTGACTGTGCCACACATAGATAATTGTAAATTCTGAGTTATTCTTATGGAAACAAATGGTGTGAGGCATCGAGTGCAGGGGGTGAGGTGCCTGCCCCGCGAACGGTGGGCTCGCAGGGTGTGAATTGTGTGTGCTCCTTTGATGGGGCAGTTCGCGGGTCGTCACATTCAGCTGTGGGCTATGTTCTACAGGGGCCTTATGGGGTAGTGTTTCGGGCTTCGGGGTATGCGACGCTTACGGATCCGATGGTAGTGGAGTTAGTGGCGCTTCGCGAGGCAATCCTTCGGTGTCGTATCGATGGGACTTCAGGGAGTCTGCTACCAAGGCGATGCTAAGGTCGTCATAAAGAAGGTGTTGTCAGGTTGTGCTTGGGACAGTCGTGGAGGAGCAGTGTTGCACGAGGTACAAGGACTTCTTGCTGATGTGGTTGGGGATGTAGTCCAGTGTGTAGGTAGGGAGAACAATAGGATAGCCCATAGGGTGGCTAAAAAAACTCTTTCTTTGTTTCCCGCTCTTATTGGTGGATTTGATTTTTGCGATATGCTCCGATTGGAGTTGTCAACGTTCGTGATCTTTGTAATGCAAGCTATCTTTTGTTAAAAAAACACAAAAATTATTTTGTATGTTTCTTCCCCTCTCTCTCTCTCACTCGATAAACTCCTCTGCCGAAGGGAAAGATAACCCTGCCGCCGCCGCCGCCGCCTTCTTCCGACTTGCCAAAGCAGTTGAAGTTCCTGGCGGCGAGCTCCAGATCTATTTTCCTCTCATCTTGATATTTTTAATTCTTCTTCTACTTCTCCTCCCTTATCCGACCAACCTTTAATAGTCCGAAGAAATAAAGGGTTAATACCCTAGTTTGGTCCGAAGTTTGGCATAAGTGTCATTTTTTACCCGAAATTTCAAATAATACAGTTATGGCCAACTTTTGAAAATAATAGACAAATTTATCCCCAACTTTGGGTTGATTGTCAATACTAACGGTCAACCAAGTGGAGGGGCTGAATGTAGTAGCCCTTGGGTGCAAGTCGTAAAACTCAAAAACACATTTTGGAAATTCTCTAATTCTATCGTTCGTCAAAATTTGCACCACCAATCAAATCCCAATCCACTTCCATATCGAAACCCCTCCGCCACAAGAACCTTGTCGCCCAAATCCCCTTTCCAGCCGCCACATGATTTTGTCACTAATTTTTTTTTCTTCTCCTTCCATTTTATCAATAAGCTACTGGTATCAATTACCTTGTTTCCAAGCACACGGAACGTGTGCAGTTATCGATCGAAGCTTCTTTTTATCATGTCAAGAACAAGTTGTTCGCAATAACTCAGGTGATTCGATAGACCCAACATCACATTTTTCTTACAATCCTAACGTTTGATTTGCCTGGGGATTCATACGAACATCTTTTTCATAATATCAGCAAATACGAATTACTGTTCGATATGAACTAAAGCACAGAGTAACAACAATTGAAACCCTAAGGCTTGAGTTTCTCATTGATTCATTTTGGTTTATATATTACAGACATTGCAGAAGACAACAAGAGTGCAAACCAGGTACACATTTGTTGGTTTGCTTGAAAAGGAAACAAAGACTGTCTTGGCAATAAAGCAAACGAAGCTAAAAAGAAGTTGAACAGAACGACAACGTTTCCCATAAACGTTGTGCATTGACAAGTTTGAACTTCATTCTTCTTCCTAGTTGGCGGGTGTAGGATCAATGGTCACATTGAAATCAAAAGGGGATTTGAAACCCCTTGCTGTTACCCCCCCCCCCCCCCGGCAGCAAGTTGGTAGGCAGAGGTTGCGCACACCGAGCTTGGAGAGGAGAAATCGAAAAGCAGCTGGTGATAAAGGCTTTGTGAACAAATAAGCTAACTGGTGGGAGCTGGAAACATGAAGTATCTTGATCGTCCTGTTGAGCAGCTTCTCACGAACAAGGTGGCAATCCAATTCAATATACTTTGTTCTTTCATGGAAGGTAGGATTCTGAGCAATGTAGATAGCACTCTGATTGTCACAGAAAAGTGTTGCACGTTGTTGATGAGGTACCTGAAAATCACGTAGCAAATAAAGAAGCCACTGAATCCCACATGAGGTGAAAGCAAGCGCTTGATACTCTGCCTCACATGAAGAGCGTGAGACCGTCTTCTGTTTCTTGCATTTCCAAGAGAAAAGAGCATCTCCAAGATAGATGGCATAGCCAGATATGGATCGACTGGCGTCGACACAAGCTGCCCAGTTTGAATCGGAGAAGGCTTTCAAGTGGAAAGAGCCTTTGCTGGGAAAGAAAAGTCTTGACGCAGGAGATGATTTGAGGTACCTTATAATCCCCTGAACTGCCTTAAAATGAAGAACACTAGGATAAGCCATATATTGACTAAGTTGCTGAGTAGCGTAACTTATGTCTGGCCTTGTAGTAGTTGGATAAATGAACTTCCCAACAAGTGTTCTGTAGAATTCAGGATCTTCATATGGTGCTAAAGATTCATTGGATAAATGTAGCTTGTAGTCCATTGGAGTGGAAACTGTATTAGAATCAAGAAGCCGTGCTTCTTCAATAATCTCAAGAGTGTACTTCCTTTGTGAAATATGAATCCCAGATGCATTTCTAGCCACTTCAATACCCAAAAAGAACTTCAAATCACCCATGTCTTTGATGCTAAACTCTGTATTCAGTGTGTCGCAACCGTCCCTCTGGGGGTCCGTTGTCGTCCCGTCGACATTTTGGGAGTCACCATCGATCTTACTTGGAGTGGATCGAACACTCTTTGGATCGGCTCTAACCTTAAGGTCGGAACCGAGATATGGTTTGCGATTAAGAGATATGGGTTCGGGAGTACGGTTACGTATGGGGAAGTGAAATCACACCCCACAACGCCCTAAATCGGTACTACCTAAGTCGATAAGTTTTTATACGAGTTGGGTGTATTTTTATAATATTTTTTGTAATTTTAGGGTCCCACTGAACCATTAAAGAAATTAAATCTTATTAATTGTAATTTAATTGTACGCCCACTGACGTAAAAGATAAAGTTAATTGGTTAGTTGGACTCGAACCTTATCGGTTGCCTACGTACCCGTTAGACGGGATCAAAGTCCACGTAGTTCGTTTGACAACTTTGATAGTTAAATTGTATGACTTTTACCACGTTCCATTGAACGTAATTTTTGTATTATATTTCTTGTTAATAAAATTTAAGTTGATATTATGAAATTATAAAAAGGATAATATAATAATTTCAGTTATTAAGAGGAGATTTGATGTATTAGAAAAGAAACGAGATAAACTTAATCCGCAATTCTACATTTCGTATTAAGGATTTTAAAACAAATAAAACTGAATGGGATGATACATTTGTGCATGACGGGCCAGCAGCCCAACTGGACAAAACACCAGTCGTATTACGCGTTTAGTCCTACAAACGCGGGTTTGAAACCTGCTCTTGACTTTTTGTTTTGGGATTTCTCATTTTAATGCAGGGAAGGGGAGGGTATTTTTGTAATAACTCAAAAACACGGTGGCAGAGGTATGTAATTTAAGGAAACCCTAAGGATAATTCAGTCATTTTAATCGATGGGTATAAATACTCTCTAATGAAACCTAATCAATCTAAAGAGAGGCGGCTGCCCTCTCTCTCTCTCTCTCTCTCCCTCTCGATCCTTCCACTTCTCTCTTCCTCTTCCAGAAACAAATCAAACCCTAGCATAAACTAGTGCCGCCCTCATCTTCATCTCCCGCGTCTCTCGCATCTCTCTCTCTCTCGGATCTCTACTCCTTCTACTCCTTCTCCCTCTCACGTTCTTCCTGTAAACCGAGAGAAGGAAACCAACGAGCCCCTCCTCATTCGATCTATCTCTCTCCCATCTCCTTATTTCTGGAAAACGACAAGTAAAAAAGAAGAAAGGGCGTCAGCGGCGGCGACTGGGGATTTTAAAGGTTCGTTTTGTTTTGCATGCAAGATTTTTTACCAATTTCATATTCGATTTTAGCATTTTGGAGTTCTAATCTTTTATTTTGCTTGTTTTGTTTCCGGAAAAACCGGCTCTAACTCGAGGAGGCTTCTCGATCTATCCTTCCTCGCCGAAACGACGACGACGATGGGTGAATCCTACCCTCTGGTAACCCTATTTTGACATGCATGCTCGTTTTCGTTAGATTTAGGTGATTTTATTTGGGATTCGGCTAATATTTTTTCATTTTCTTGCGACTCTTGAGGATTGGGTTTAGACGACCGGAAGAGAAACGAGGAAGAGTCGTTGCTTTTTTAGATCCGCCGGCTAGAAGGCTTTGTTCTTTGCGAAACCAGAAGGCGGGTTCGAGTCGACCCAAACGCAAGCAGCGCCTTTGCCTCCACCTGATTCGTCGTCTTTTCTTCCGATGTCGACGCTGACTGCGTTTCTCGTAGATTGGTCGGTCGGAGAAGGTGGATTTGGGGTTTGTGGTAGGCGATGATTGCTGGGAAAGGCGTTTAGAAATTTGGGTTCGGGACCGAAAAATCAAGCGCTGGCGATGAAAGACACAGATCTGATTGACAAAACTTTTGGATTTTTGTTGGTGAAAAACAGAGTGGCGATTGGCGAAGAGGTTTGGGGGAAATTAATGGTGGAGAAGGTGAGTATAAATGGGTTTGGATTAACGATGGAGAAGGAGAAGTGTTTGTGGGTTTGGATTTGGATTTGGGGAATAGATGAAATGGAGGAGAACAAATTCAAACTAGGTGAATTACAGTAATGAGGTCATCAAAACCAAGTCCATTTCGTCACAAGAAGGGCCAATTACACGTCTACAAGCAAAGAGGTTAAGGGAGGAGTTTGCTGCCTATTTGGATCGTCACTTTGCTCAAATGGACATGGATCATCATCATGGGAAGACCATTATATTGCTACAAATCGTGGGCCAGCATGAAGGAAGAATGGGCTTGGAAGGAGAAGAGGATTCGACTAAGGAAGAGGAGGGGAGTCTCAAGTGTGAAAAGGATCAAGGTGGGAACACAAGGGAAGGCTAGAACCTAGGGAGTTGTTGACCAAGTCTTTTACTTGTCTTTTAAGGACTGTGTTTTCCTTTTACTTGTCTTTTAAGGATTGTGTTTTTTCCTTTTACTTGTAGGATTTGTTTTTCATTTTAAGTTTTGGATTTTTGTTAGCTAGTCTATAAATAAGAGGCCGAGTTCCTCATTGTAACTAATTCAATTATCAATCAACTTTCAAGTTACAAGTTCATACGAACTAGTTCTTTGTGCAAGCTTCTGTTGAGAGTGCTCCAGGAGTTTCACGTGTCTCTTATCAACTAGAGAACGCGTCTAGTTGTGGCGAGCTTCTACCCAATACCGATTGTCCTTATTCACGATTGGGTGATTTTTTGATTGGTTTCATATACCAATTGGCCTTTCACACGAGTTGGAATATGTTTGATCGTGTTCCATCATTATCTTTTGTTCGAGTTCTTGTTCGTTGGAGAAAAGCTTTGAAAACCCATAAAAAGTAGGAATGCTGGGTACTTTGGTCACATCAACTGGTATCAAGAGCCCGGTTCAAACGCAGCGGAGAAGAAGAAGGTTCTTTGGCAATCTTGTCGTGTTCTTGAAGGTTTTGACGTGATCGTGAAGGATCTTGGAGGATTCTTTACGTTCTTGAAGGTTCTTGCGAGCTATCTTGAAGGAGTAATTAGTGCCGCAAATATGGGAGACGAGATCAAGGCATTGACTGATCAAATCCAAGCGTTACTTCAAGCACATACCACCAGCCAAATGGAGATTCAAGCGGCTCTACAAGCTCAAAACGCTAGAATGGAAGCTTGGGAAACACAGATGCAAGCACCACCACACCCTAACCCTAATGTTGCTGCTGAAAGGGCTAGGAGGGAAGAAGAAGATCGTGGAGAGAGAAGGGTGGTACAACGACCCGTGTTCGAACATGCTAGGCGACATCGGCCAATGGGTGGACATGTTTCAAGACGAGGCCAACCTCGTGATGAAGAGGTCGAATATGAGGATGACTAGGGTTACCCTCGAGATGAAGATGATGATTTGAGGAATATTAAGGTCAATATACCATCGTTTAGAGGTTCTACTAATCCCGAAGCTTACCTAGATTGGGAACGAAAGATGCAATTGATCTTCGATTATAACAACTATTCTGAGAGGAAGAAAGTACAAGTGGCAGCACTCGAGTTTACGGATTATGCCATTGTGTGGTGGGATCAAGTAAGCATGAGGAGGAGGAAGAATAGACAGCCGCCTATTGAGACATGGGCAGAGATGAGAACTGTAATGCAGGATCGATTTGTGACTAGTTCTCATTGTAGAGAGATGCATCAAGCCCTACAACTTCTGCACCAAGGTACCAAGAGTGTAGAGGATTATTACCGCGAGATGGAGATGCTAATGATTCGAGCGGATTTGGAGGAAGATCGTGATGCTACCATTGCACGATTCTTATATGGGCTTAATCGAGAAATTAGAAATGTGGTGGAACTTCATCCCTATGTGGATCTATACGATTTGGTTGCAATAGCAGCCAAAGTGGAGAAACAACAACGTAGTAACGTTGGGAGGAGATTCACGCCGCCACAAGCAGCACCAAGGCCAGGAATGCCTTCAAACCCTATTCGAAGAGCTCTAGTCCTACTAGAGAATGGTGAATATGTCTCGGATTCCGAAGAAGAGGAGCACGTGAGGGAGCCATCAGAATCTGAAGTTGACGAATCAATGGAAATGGAGCCCCCTCCTGGAAGTTTGCTTGTCACGAAAAGAATGCTAAGCGTGCAACCCAAAGAAGACCTCGAGCAAAGGGAGAACCTGTTTCATACGAGATCTGCAGTGGATGGGAAGCTGCTCGCCGTGGTGATTGATGGCGGAAGTTGCACTAACGCTATTAGTACCATATCGGTTAGCAAATTGGGATTGAGTACAATCAAGCATCCCAAACCCTACAAGCTTCAATGGCTCAACGAGGATGGTTCAATTAAAGTGGTTAGGCAAACTCTTCTGAAATTTGGCATTGTAGGATATAAGGACGAAGTTCTGTGCGACGTAGTACCTATGCAAGCTACACACGTCCTGCTTGGAAGGCCATGGCAGTTCGATAGAAGCGCGCAACACGATGGAGTCTCGAACAAGTATCAAGTGTTACATAATGGAAAGAAAATCGTGTTAAAGCCCTTGACTCCCAAGGAAGTATATGAGGATCAACGACAACTCCAAAGAAATCGGGGAAAAAAAGCTATTGTCGTGGAACAGAAGCAAGGAGGAGAAGATTGCAAGTCAATGATGATAACACAAAGTGGAGAAGTAAAGCAAGATATGAATCATGTGACTCCATGATCATGATTGTCTACAAGGAAGCCCTACTGAATCAAGAGCTTGTTCAAGATATACCACCTAGGGCACTAGTGGTATTAGAGGAATTTGAGGATGTCTTTCCCGAAGAAGCTCCCAAGGGTTTACCTCCAATTCGAAGGATTGAACATCAAATCGACTTTGTTCCTGGGGATACTATTCCAAACAAGGCAGCCTATAGAACGAACCCAGAGGAAACAAAGGAATTACAAAGGCAGATTGAAGCGCTTATGGAGAAAGGACATGTTCGAGAGAGTATGAGTCCTTGTGCGGTTCCAGTCATTCTTGTGCCAAAGAAAGATCATACATGGAGGATGTGTGTTGATTGCTGAGCAGTCAACCAAATTACTATCAAGTATCATCATCCCATACCACGATTGGATGACATGCTCGATGAACTACATGGATCAAGCTTATTTTCAAAGATCGATTTGAGGTCCGGCTACCACCAGATTCGAATGAAAGAAGGAGATGAATGGAAGACAGCGTTCAAGACGAAACACGGATTATACGAGTGGATGGTGATGCCTTTCGGTCTTACAAATGCTCCAAGTACGTTCATGAG